CATGCACAACGATTTGGCGGGATAGCGCAGTACAATATCAAATCGTACTGCACAGGGAATGGGGGGTAGTCGACCAGGCCCGGGGAATCCATCGTAGTCAGGTTCTCGGGGCGCTCTACTGTGACGGAGTTCCAGGGGAGTAAGGACCCAGTCCTTCCACATATCTTCATTGAAGGGTGTGGCTGCACGTTCGCCTAGCAAACCATAATGGCGTGTGCGTCTCCGGGCATCGTTCTGCGTAGATGGAGGGGAGTGAGTGGGGAATGGGGGTGCTGCGAATCCGCCTTCGTCCTGCGTAGGAGGATCGCCGTGGGCGCTCTCAGAGATATCTGAAGCGAGGTTGAGGTGGTTGAGTACATGAATGAGCATGGTCAACGCACCCATTTCGTGCGCCTGCTCTAATGCGGCCCCGTCGTCCTCTACTGGAACTTTCCGGTAAGTCTCTTCATTATCTTCATCGTCCTCACTATCGCTAATGAAATCCTCCAATCGCGGCTTCTTTATGGTACGAGGTCGGGTGTTGGCGCCTGCGCCGCGTTCACCATTGGACATTGGCTGGGCCGTTCCAGCGACCGATTTGTGAGTTGGGTGAGCGCCGCCAGGGCCTCGTTTACGAGTACGTCGTCTCGAACGACGAGTGGGGGGTCGAGGTACGTGAGAGACAGAGTGGGCGCTTGTGGAAGTCGGAGTTACAGTGACGCGGCTCGACGAGCGCATGACACGTGGGGACGGACTTAGTACGCTTGATCGGGTATGCGGGGTATGATTGCCGCCGGTTCCTCGAGCACGCGATTCGGATTTAACTGCGCGGGGCATAATTGAGTGATGGGGCGTTGGATAGCTTAGCAGCACGTGTGGGGATTTGATAGGAGTGGTTAGGGGATTGATGATAAGTCCCAGAGTTGGAATTTGGGGCTTATAAGTCCTAAGAACACAATGGATTACCCAAAAAATCGAAATCAATTGTCCCATTGCCCAAATAAGTATTTCCAGTGTTCCCATTATTGTGCAAAGTAGCATAACAATAAGAAACTGATTGTCAATTGGGGAAAACTTGAATAAATCGAGTAATCCTTGTTTAAATCTTCCCGTGAGTGTGAGAGAACTTGTCAAGTCCTCTTGGTACACAATAACTGCCGAGTCTTCTTGGTCTACTGACTTATCACCTATTCTCGTGTCAATTTCTGTAACCGTGGTTTCTGTGGGAGCTTCTAATACGGTTTCTGGAATCATGGTGGGGCCTAAAAGGGTAATTTCTCCGCTCGGATTTAGAAGATAGGAGACAACAGGGGCTTCTTCTTGAAACAAGGTGCTTTGGGCCATTAAATAGGCTCGCCGTCCTCTGCCGCCAGTGAAGAATTCATATCTTTGGTCTGAATCTTCCGGCTGGAATCCTATATAGGTCCCGTCTTCTTTATGTTCAATAGATACTTTGTTCGCAATCTGCCAGGGAATACCTAGAAGCATATCATATCCTCCTTGGTCTCCAATATAGAAGTTTGCTCTTGTGACTATATCACCCCAGGCAATTGGGACATTTTGAACAAAACCACGCAATTCTCCACGTCCTCCATTTGCATCAGTCATAGTAAGCACTTCATTGGGATCGTATGGTAATGCAATCAAATCTTGGAATACTTTACGGTTGATTACGTTAAGTTCTGATCCTGTGTCAATGATTGCTGATACTGCTTTTCCATTGTATGTCAAAGGAAGTCGGAGAAGTGGTCCACGGTTGTGATCTGCCATGGAGTATGAATGGACTTCTGCGGTAAGTTCATTCACTTCAGGGGGTTTGTTATTTCGATACTTCATAAGTGAAGGAAACTCTTCTGTTAATTCACGAGATGTTCCCAATAATTGACGGACTGGTAAATTGACATGAGTGTCCAGTATGGTGTTAATGACTTGTCCTTCGGGTATCTGAGCAGATAATTCAGATTGTCGAGGTACAGGTTTGGGTCTGGATTGCATTTCTTTATTAGGTTGTCTTCTGCGGTTTGCTAGACCAGATTGAGTCTGATCTGCCATGTCAATTTCACGAGTGGGTGCTGATGCTACCGGTGCTGGAGTAACAATTCTAGGTGCGCGGTCGTGAGGAATACCATCAGGAATTTCCACTATAGGTTGTTGGCGAATTGGAGGAAGTACTGGAGGTGGTCCTGGATTATGTTGAGGGTTGGAAATCGCATTAGGTGGGTTGTTGGGATAATGTGGATTGGTTATTGCATTAGGAGGATTCCTGGCCACCGGTTTGTGCGGTGTGGTAGGCGCTCTTGTTCTGGTAGTAGGTCCAGAATAAGGAACACTACGATCTACTGGTTTCGGAGCTTTGGAAACCTCTTCAATAGCATTCTTCCTAGCATTAGTAGTCTTGCGATTGGAGTTCCTTTCTACCCCAACATATACTTCTGCTGGATCTTCCAAATAGTCTTCTTCCTCTGTCATATATCCCAAATAGTCTTCTTCGTCATCCTCATATTCTCCTCCTGAACTAAAGTAGTCGTCCGAGTCCACTCCAACATAATGTGATGAAGCTATGAGCAGGTTTGCCTTTGGTAGAGCGTCTATAATACGCTTGACTGCTGCTATAATGGTTTCGCCAGGCTGTTGAACAACTTTAGTTCCATTGCGGAATAGAAGTGTGCCTCCTAGATCTCGGGTAATATGACCAGAATTAACCAGTTCTTGAATTCCTTGACAGTCTCTTGCGGTATGACCGTCCTTGCCACAACCAAAGCAGACACGGGGTGGTCTTCTTTGTAACTGGTTGTTGTCATATGATGCTGAATTCATTGGTCGAGAGTTCAAGGTTCGGTTAACTGATCCTGGGCGTGGTAAAAATAATTCTCCCATCTTATCCATGGCTACTGGGTCAAGCTTGTAGGCCCGATAATATAAAGCACCGTATTCAGGATCTTGAATTGAGAGTTCTCCCATACGCTTGATTAACTCCGTGACTTCATCGGCAACTGGGTCTCTGAGTGGAGTGGGTGCTGGGAAGGTTGAACTAGTCTTCTTCTGTATCTTGTTGGTCTTGAAGTGAACCTTGGTCGGAGAATCGTCTTTATCTGAATCGGATTCCGAGTCACTATCCTCTTTCTTGTGGCCAGATTTCTTCTTCTTCTTCTTGGAGGATAATTTCTTCTTCTTGAGATACTTGGAGATTTTGCGTAGACTGATTTCTCCGTCCGAGTCTTCTGTGTCGTCCTCTGAGTCTGATCCATGAGAGTACCAATGTGGAGAGTCTGAATCAGAGTCTGCGTAGTTGTATTCAAATCTTCCACGCTCTAGAAGATATTCAACTATTTTGGTGACTTCTTCGATAGGGTATGCCTTGGTTGATGGTAATTCTGGTTTTAGAGCCCTAATTTGGAGTTTGATTTGGTCCTTCAAGGCAGACGGTAAGCCTTTCCAAAAGTACGCAGATTCATCGTCAGTCGTAATTAGGTTCTGGCTAACCAACCAGCGTGAAATTGCCAAAAATTCTCTTTGGTATTTCCGCCAATCAGCTAATTCTGTAATCTCCTTGGTTCTCCATTTCTTGGTGAGCTTGCGTAAGGCATGAAGATTATGACGTGTCTTTTGCCTATCAGCATCATAGAGTTGTAGCATTTCTGTTTTGAGATTAGTCCAATCTTTATTCTTAAAGTGTGGTGACACTTTAATAAGATCTCTGACTTTCTTGGAGCAATAATCCAAAAGCTTTTCGCCATAATCAGGTTCCGGTACATTGAATGCAACGCAAAGATTCTGGAATTTCTTGAGGAATTCCTGAATATCTTGTTTTGCTGAATAAAATTTGGCAGGAGCAGATTTCTCGCCGGCCCGCGGCATCATTTCTGGTGTCTTGCCATTGGTGAAGGGGTTGGGTCTTACCGAAGAAGAACCCTCAGCCTCATCTCCTCGAGCCATTGTATTGTGTAATGGATGAGGAAGTGGTTAAAGATGTTGTTGTTGTGGAGAGTATTAGAATCCAATTGAAATCCCTCGCGGTGGGCTCCAAATTTATGTCACACTAAGTCAGGTTAATGAATTAGTGCCCAGATGGTCGTGGACTACGGCGTCGAGTTGCACCTGGTTGTTCGTTGATTTCGGGATTTATTGGAATAGAGGAAATACTCTCAGAAGGGTATGGATAGGGTGAGGTCGGTTATTAGAAATAGTATGTCAATCAACAATACTACTCCTAAGTAGATAGGGGTGTGGTGGTGTATCTACTTGTACGATAAGTAGCAAGTATATACGGGGTTATAGGTCTATATAATAAACCTATGGAATGAACTAGGTAGCTAATAAACTGAAGTTAGTATGCCAGAATCCTACTCGTTTCAGATCTGGACTTGTAAAGGGTTTCCCTACTCGTTTCGGGATAGTCAAACTGTCAAAATAGCGTTACTGACACCTACTCGTTTTCAGTGCAGACTTAGCTGTTAGTGCGTTACTGTCACCTACTCGTTTCGGTGCAGACTTAGCAAAAGAAATAGACTGTACTTACTTTTCAGGTCTCTACAAACGATAATGCTGGTATCCTACTCGTTTCAGATACAGCCAAACTCAAGAACTAGAATGTGGGTGATAACTTGTATATTTATTGGCAGAGAGACTAGCTCCCTTTTATACCTAAACTATTTGTACCTAAGAACAATGGTAATAATAGTGAGGTAAATACAAATAAATACGGGGAACAATGGTCTTTAAGAAACAAAGACCTACAGGAATAATAGGACAAATAATAGTACACAGTAGTATAATAGAGGTAGGACAATGGTCTTTAAGAACAAAGGCCTATTAGAACAATAGAGTAAATAAGGGTATACAGTGGAATAATGGAGAGACAATGGATACCATTATAAGTGGTTTCCATATCAACAATAGAAGATGTAGAACAATAGAATCCATAACTATTGGTTTCTATGGTGAATTTCCATGACGAACGAACGTCAATGGAAAGATAGAACAATAACCCAACAATGGATAATATCCTAGGGGCTTCGCTCCTAGGGGTTCAGGGGTTCATCCTAGTTCCTAATGTCTTTATACCGAACCTATGTTCTGGTATGACAACGTACTTGAATTTTCCACCACCATTCAGCGGTCCACATTTCATCGTACAGCCGGTTCTCTCCTGAAGCATCCCCATACACATGCTCAGGAAGATAGGCCAAGTAATCCTTGAATGCTGGATTGCCGATAAGCTCACAAACACATTCCACAGGATCCCGCCGCCATAATTCAACCTCTTCAACGAAGGCATGCCCATGCTTATCCACACGATCACCTGTAATACTGATCGTCTCGCACTCCCAATCTGGGCCGGTGGGAAGCTCGTTAAGCTTCTTATTCAGCTTATACTTGCTTGAAAATGACAAGTTACTCTGTTTCTTCGTCTAGAACACTCGGTCAGTTGCAGCGCCATCCAAGATATCAAAATCACTTACAATATCCAGCTTTAGATATTCCTCTATAGCCGACTGACCGACATTTGCAACAAGCCAGCCCACTGTCTCCCATTCACTCTCAGATGCAAACGGATACCACTCATCTCGGCCTGCCCTAACGTTCTCCGACTGCCATTGCTCAAATTGTGTGGTTCCTTTTTGCAAGCGGTGTGGCTCCATAGGAAATCTTTCAACAAATCGAGCCAAGTTCCGAGGATCACCAGGGGACGTGAGTTCGGAAACCTCCTCATCGAAGATATCCTCGACCGTCGTATGCCGTTGTCGAGACATCGGATCGTCTTGAATTGGTGTGGAGACTTCTGTATGACCGGCGAACATGGACTCATCATTTCTGCTCATTGCAACACCAGCTTGTCCAGTTCCCGGTACTTCAGCAATGGCGTCTAGGGGCTCAATTGCTGCTTGCCATTTTCTTCGGCACAATGCTGAGTTTTTTATATGTCTGGACAGGCTGGCGCGTGTTGGCAAAGTTTTTCGGCAATAATCACACACCGCAGGAGGCATTGGGAGTTGATAAGAAGCAGTCCAGCCGTTCCGTATCAGTAAGCTCAATCCATCCACACCCTGACCATATTTGATATTCACCGAACTTTGTCACATGGTTAGACGCGTCTCCTGGTTGAACTCGAACCACCACCTCTATGACCTCCACTACCCCCGTGTCATGTCTGTTGATCAACATTCCATTTGTGTGTCATTTTCGTTGATCAACAATACAAGGAATCAAGTTCCGCTTTGCTTAAATACGGCGATAGATTGCTCACTTTGACCTCAGGCTCCTCCTGCTCTCATCCAATATGCGCGCCCAAGTTTATGACTCGATTGATGCCTCTGATAAAGAGAATGATGATGGTAGACGGCCGCCTCGTAATCGGCGGGCTTCTGAAAGAGAGGCTCAACGCCGTAAGCACTTGTATATATTGCAGTCTCAATATTAACAATGACCCTCTGGTTGCAGTTCAAGACGAAGCCGATAGGGCTGAACGAAAAGCAAGAAAGGCCGAGAAGAAGGCTGAACGAGAGCGGAAGAAGAACATGCAGACAGCTGCCTCCACTGCTGCCGCAAATGTTGCTTCGCAACGAAGCTATCCCATTTCAGATGATGAGGGGGATGTCTCAAGTGATGATGATAGCAAGGTAAGCAGCTACACTAGTACGGTGTTGAAACAGAATAACAATAACTGACATATCTCTAGTACACCTCTCACAGAGTAGAAGCGCGCCCCCAGGCCATCAAGAAGGTTCTTGTACAACGCAACACTCGTGTCCCTCAAGTTCTTAGTGTCGACTCAGATGATGACGATTCCAACGATTCTCAACGTGGCCGCACCACAATGAAGACTGTTCGTCGTGGTGACCATCGTATTCAATCTCCTCCACAGCCACTCCGTCACCAATCCATATCACCCATCGCACGTGGGCCCTCTCCTAACACTGGCGAGAAGTGAGCTCGTTCCGCAGACTCAGATGATTTACGGTCAGTCAAGGAACCAAAGCAGCAAACCAACGCTCGACCAAAGCAGGCCGACTATTCTCCACTAGTCCAGGAAGTCATTACTGTGGCCATTCAACTCTGGCGCTTGAAGATATTCTGCGAGAATGCCTTTCCTACCGTGCAAGAAGAGGCTAAATGGGTTGGGGAGGTTTGGCGTCAGGCCTGTGTTAAACTTCAAGTTGAACATGCCCTTGACATGAATATCAGTCGCTTGGTAAGCCAATTCAATCGCTCGATCTACTTCTCACGTCTGTTTCGTAGATCACCTCCCGAACTTCCCATACCCGCGGCGAGGTCAAGACAAAGGTGAAGGCATTTGTTCCATCAATCTTTGACCTGGAATCCTCGCAGCACCCAAAGATCATCGAGAAAATGCGCTCTCGTGCCACGAAGTTAAAAGATGGCTACAATTTTGTCTATAAGGTAATTGGTACATGATTCATTCAGAAAACAGGTCTGACTTTTGTTTCCCGGCAGAGTCCTCACAAGGATGTCGCAAAGCGCAAGGGACTTTATCGAGGAAAGATCATCCAGAAATGCGTGAACGCTATATGGTTCGCAAACCGCCGTGATGAAGGTGTCCGTTTTCCCGACAGTTTCTCCCCTATCCCATTACCTGCATTAGCTCTTATCTTCGCTGCAGTGAGTAAACTTCTATCACCGTTGCTAGTACTTGGCCTCTAATAAGTCTAGATTGAAAATTGTATTGATGAGTGGATCACTGGCATTCACACAAGCCTTGACTTCACAGCGACCGAATATGAGGTTGTTTACCAGGACCACTTGAAGTCCCTTCACTCATTCCGCGATCACTCAAAGCACCTCAATATCCTGGGTAATATTTGTGCGAAGCTATATAACACTGGACGGTAGGCCCATCCGATCATTACCGTAAACATGGATGGCCTCTTATAACATCTATTTTACAGGTTTCACTCCGGCGCGCAGCCTCTTGACACTTTCCGCCCACCAGCAATCACTCTTGATGCTTTAAACGCCGCCATTGATGAATACAAAGCCGACCCTACAACTGAGACAGACGGTGAGGATGGCAACATCTCCGAGGACTCGGCGTAGTCATGGTTCAATTACTTCCAAGCTCGACAACATCTTCCCTTGATTATATGCTTTATACTATATTACCCTGTATTCCTGACCTTTCGTACCCTACAATATATCCCGATACAAATACTATTGTGTGATTTATAAAAAATCTATTGTACTATGGACTGTTACATAGCACTACAACACAATGATGATATAGCGTCTATATGGAATACACTGTGCACGACAGTTACTACGGAACCTATGGAGTAATATAAGGGTCATGCTCCATGATACCTAGTGCTACATATCGAGGGGGATAACAACAGGTCGACCGTGTCAATCATGGTGAGGTATGTCGATGTCACCTTGATATTTTTTGCTGATGCTGATGACCTGTGGTTGAGCATTACATAGTACTGAGATACCGGTACATGGTAGTCACTCGACCTGTGAGCCTTCTGACAGCACTGTGAAACCGTTGTTGAATGTATCGTCGATGTTGAACCTTCGGTCTCCCGGGCTTTCCTCTGATCTCTTCAGCGCCAGAGCACGCCTGAGATTCCTATGGTTGCGGAATGATACGATGGCGTGCCTATGTTCGGGGTCTGTACAAACCACACAGCTCGCGCTACAGGGGCAAGGCGGAGCTGTCTCAACCTGAAGTACTCGAGGACTTCTTCCTGCTTGATTGCATCAGTAATGTTCCAGTTGTTGGCATGAAATAGAAAGCGACTGAGGGTGTTGAGAGGTTGCTGTTGGATGCGAGCGATATCAATGAACACGTTGACACTAATGGTGGTATAGGATAGCGTTGAGCGCTGAATCATACCCTCAGGTTATTGATACAGAAGGTATGGAAGGACTATTCCTGGGCCAGTATCACCACAGGGGCTTTATGTTCCTGCCTCGTTCCAACCTCGTTTTGGTTTTATGGCAAGTACTTCCTCTGCATGACGGTCGAAGCACTTCTTTCCCCCCTACTAAGGTAGACGACATACATATTCGGCCAACGTCACGTGAGGTGACAGTCACCAAGCTCAACATGGCCGCGCAGACATCATTTGCTTCATTTGCAATTTGTATTTGGCGTACGGACATTTCATCATGGCAAATCCAAGATATATAGTACCTCAGGTGTATATAATATTTTCAAGATTTTATGTGTAAAATTGCGCAAGAAGTAGGGTAAATAGTTGGGAGCAGCAAAAGAAACCCACAAAATGGGAGTGTCATGCCATGTCAGAAGGTACGCGAAGCATTGTCTAACTGTGTCATGATTTCTGGTGGAAGAATACGATGGCCTCTATACTTTTTAGCTGCCCATGCCGCTTGCTGTCCATCAAGACCACAGTGATAAGCATCCATGAACCTGAACGAGCGGTTGGCAAAGCTGTGATACACGAAATTCAGTAACATAACTAGCAAGAGAATGAATATTGATATGTACACACCGCCGCATGCTCTCCAAGGGAATGCTATTGAGCGCTTCAATAGCATTCCGCTCCAAAGCATCTTCTCGCGAGGACTCAGGATTGAGCCGATAGACGTGCTTCGCGTAACCCCAGCATTGCTCAATGAAATTGAGCTCGCAGTGAAATTTTGGAAGGAATAGTACCTGAAAGCCCCGAGCCTTGCAGGTGATCTCCAAGAGGGAATCAACATTAACGAAGTCGGGCTCATTGAAGAGAAGGCGGCGGCAACAACAATTGAAGGGAGGTTTGCGATTACCCTTGCACTTGAAGTCGGGGCATTGAGCGCGAAGATATCCTGGTTGGCCCCTTGGTGGAACCGGGACACCGCGCTCCTCGAGAATAACCTTCATTCCTTTAAAGACTCCAGCAGAGGGATGGCCCTCAGGGTAGTACAGGTCCTGTGAGCGGCCATCGTGGAATTGCGCCCCATGCATCTTGATTTTTGTCTTCAAGACCTTCCCTGAGGAGTCGTACACGAGTTTCCCATCAGCGCCTCGTTGTGAGATGTCGACCCTAAAATTATCTGATGGCTTCAACGGCATTTTAGACGCAGAGAGGGAGCCATCAGGTCGCTTCAAATGAATGGTGGCATTGTCGTACACCAGGATGTGCTCGTACTCCGGGTAGTCCTCCTCAAGTATCGCCATGGCTGCTTCAGCTTGCTCCATGATGTCGTCCGCATCAAAATATCCGTCGCGGTTTTTGCCAGGCTTCATGACACATCGAGCACTCCGTTTCCCATCGCGCGAGAGAAGCCAACCGAATTTAGGTGAGACGTAGTCAGCGACCATCAAAGAAGGACCATCACCCTTCGCATAAGGCTTAGCGGATGCATTCTTGTGACACCAAAACTTCCGATGACGGTCGTTCGCATAGAATATTGTCTCGTCGTGGAAATGGACGAGGACCGGCTTGCCTTCAGGACGAGGACCATACTCCGGTAAGTTATCTTTACACCACTTCTCCATGCGCGTCTCCAATTCCATCCACCTAGGCAAGAACTTGTTCTGCCGATACCACACTACATCCGCTCGCTCGTGTCCATCGGCGTACTGACCTCGCTTGGCATAGCCAAAGCGGTAGCCAAGTGTTTGAAGCCATCGCCGTGCGCTCCGAAATTGGCCTGGTTATGCCATGCTTTGCCATCACATCGGGTTGTGCCAGGTAAGTGACCAGCTTTCTCGCCGTGATGTCCTTGCCAAGCTCTTGAAGGTGTAGGCAAATGTCGTTGACAAGGTCCTCATCAGCAAGCATAGACTCGTTCCAGTCCCCATACGGATTGAAGGGAAGCATAACACGGTCCTGGATGTATGCGCGACAGAGCTCGCGCAAGCGGCGGGAGCAGAACCGGCCTCTCTGCAGTGCCACAGCTGCTTGCAGCGATGACGCGCCCCAATTGTTGTAGGTGAGTGACCGCCCATCTGTGTACAAGCTGAGCAGGGAGCACATCCCATTCATCCGATGGCGCGTGAACGCGTCAATGAGCGGTGCCTTATACCCTCCGGATTTGCCGCGAGACACACCGCGGAGCTTTGCGCGCATATCCTTCAGCGCTTCGAGCGCGTCAGCAATTGCTGGTGCCTGACGTCGGAAACCGGGCTGCTTCGCACATTCAACCATTCTCGTGATGTATTCTGGGCTCGGGCCGCTCTCGTTCCTTTGGCTGGCTGGCTGAGAACCGGAAACTGGATCCTCTGGCAGCGCGCGAGACACTTGCTCTATTGGGAAAGCACGAACCGATGTCGCGTCATGATCAGACACTGACACGATGTCATCATCTTCATCCGGCACCTCTTCAATTGTCACTTGCCATTGCCTTTGCTCCACGGAAAGAAGATGATATGATATTTCCGGAGCTTTGGTTGGCTCCTCAAATGGCCCTTCCAACTGAAATGATTGAAAATGCGGACATTGGTGGAAGAGAGAGCGAGAGCCAATGCAAGTTCCACCATGGCAGGGGTTTGAGCTGCTGAATACATCCTCCTCCTCAGGATTCTGGGCTATTATGATTGAGGATGCCCGGGAGGGAGCTCTGGGTGGTTCCTGCTGCGAAGGTCAGTTTTTTTTTGCCTTAGAAAAAGACCAGAGACTCACATTCTCCTTGTCTTCCTCTTCATATCTCCGCTTTTTCGACTTTTTCTTGGGTGAAAGTCCCTCTGCAAGCCTTTTCAACCCATTAATCAGGTTCTTTGCACGCTGTAGAGAGTTCTGGGATTTTCGGGGCATATGATCTGGCTTTGCGAGCCCGTCGCGTCGCGTCAAAGAGGTCTTATTGACGTGTTTAACATGTATTTTGCCTACTGCCTACGCAGTTATGAGTATTTTACTATTTTGATCATACAAGATCATGCTTACTTAGTATCTTCATTGATTGCCATGACATCTTTGCTTTAGACTACGTAGTAATAATTAAACAGTGAATTCTTTGTCCCGCCGCTCGAATAAGACTTGTCACACTCCGGCACGTGACGTTGGCCGAATATGTATGTCGTCTACCTTACCGCATGGGCTTAGAAAGTCGCTGATACGCTGCCAGCAGCCGTCATAGCGCTCCCACTAGTAATACATCAAAGACACTGGGGTGACTATCGGATGAGCAGGCGCATTGTGCAACTCACCATTTCCAATCGCCTTGCGCTCGTCTTTGTACTTTCTTTCCCCATAACCTGGGGGTAGTTAGGGTAAATAAGAATAGAAGGTTGTCTTCGTCAACGACCCACTCAGGGACGATTGCTGTTGAACATCGTAATGGAGCCTGAAGCTAAGCCTGAGGATACTTCGCGATCGTCTGCGCGACGATGGGGTCGAGAGTATCTTCGGAGTTACATATTATACTCAGGAGCGATGAGTGGCAGACAATTTCGTTGGATCGCAAGGCTGATATGGACACGGGCCGTTAGCCCTCGGGGGTCTGGATCTAAGCGCTGGAAGGCGATAGATTGCAACCGTTTAGAAGGCCATCATCTGCGAAATGCGAGACTCGGGAGGGTGCCAGGTGAAAATGGGGTTCGAGGACTGTAAGCGCTCTCATTCACCATCGCATGATAAGGTAGGCGTCGGCATGCGAATCTCCATCATCGCTGGGTGTAGCCTAGTCGGAAGCGTCGTCGTTGTGATCACCAAGGCCAGGAAAAACACTTGAATTCTACGAGATCAACAATTTGTCGATGCATCCGTAGTAAAGAATGTATCATTGCATTGAAATGGACGGTGAAGGCTGGATCTCGCCGGAAATAGGACTCGACACTTTGGAGCGGAGGCGTACCTGCATGGTGGGCAGGTGCTATTTTCTAGCGTTTTCTAGCAGAAGGAAGTTCGGGACTCCGAGAGAAGGGCGTTTCTAACCAAGCGCTGTAGCGATGGGATTTTCTCTTCTCGTCTTTATTACTTTATCGCTCTCGCCGTATCCCCTCGAAAATATTTCCAAGGGGACCCAGAGACATATAAGCTGTTGAAGCAATCCAGTAAGGTAACGCAACATCGCTTGTTTGAGCAAGATGACCACTCACCTGCTTAAGAAAATATGTCTCGCAATATTCTCTCAGCGATTTGATTCCGTCAGGGAATTCTAACAATGAATCATCTGCATCACACCGGAACGTATTTTCTTGACCAGTGCGACCGATGTCGATGTTACCTGGGGATGAGCATGATTTCAAGCAGGGACTGCAACGGGTTTCAATATCATCAATCCTGCGCAATTCTGTGCTCCCATGTCGTCGCAGAAGCCTCGAGGCGCTGTCGTTGTCGGATTCGCACGAAGAATGCAGCGGAAAGCGTCGAGCTAAAATTTCAACCACTACCTCCTCGACGTACCTTCTCGAAAAGCGGCGCTTCCAGCTGGAAGGTGCAGATCATTAAGGGCGAATTCGCGGTCCTGGTCGAGGACTGGCCCCTGGTTGTCGCCTTGGCTCAAAGTGCGTTTTCGATCACAAGGTTTACGGTATTACATAACTCTGACAATGGACTTGCTCATGCCAAAGTTCTTGTTTTCTGAATCCCACTTCTTCACGACTTCGACAGCGCCGTATACCCAAATTTCGCGATGGCAGGTTTCCTTCGCAAAAAGAACGCAAAGCCCCAACAGCAGGCTCAGGCTCAGGCTCAGCCTACGCAGCAACAGCAGCGCCAACATTTCCAACCAGAACCGGCGGCGGCACCACCGCAATCCCTGCCTCCGTTGTATGCCAGATTCGCGACGTCGAGTAAGAGTTCGTCGGCGAATGCAGGAACGGGTACGCCCCCCAAAATTGTGTCAGGTCCAATGGCTCTGGGAAGCAACGCAGCCAGAGGCTTGCAGGCCCGGAACGACGTAAACGAACCACGGAAATCCGCACCCAGAGAGTCCTGGTACAGACCTGCACCACCTCCGGACCCCTTGCCTCCACCACGCCTTCAGGTACAGCGGACAAGCTCGCCGAAGCGCCACGCCTCCCCGAATCACCGTTCCTCAACCCACGCGAAACCTAATGACCACCATGTACCATCACCCATGATTCCAGACGAAAAGCCTCTACCGATTCCTGTACTACCATCGACGACCAGGCAAGCCTATAATAATGTACCACCACCAGCAAGCTCACGACGAGAAAGTGTAATGACGTCGCCCAGTCGGCCTTCTGCGCGATTACCTGCAGGATCAGGCACTGTGCCCCAAGATCCTCAATCTCAGCCCCCGTATGCCAATACACTATTAAACTCGAGCAACCACGATCTACCTTCGACTCGGAGGTCGATTCTCCGAAACGCTAACCCACCACCTGCCCGCGACGAGATGGCAGGCCGTTTAGAGGGGAATCGCACTGAGGGGATCAGGCGTACCCCCTCAGCAACACCTCCGAACCAATTTCGAAATGCGTTGCCCCCAAACGCTTTCCATAACGTTTCATCAAGGGCCCCCGTGGCCGTCGTATCTAATCCCTCGACAGTACCTCTATCGCATCGGACATCGATGCAGGCCGAATTGGTGATTAAATCCCTTACTTTAACCTCTTTGCTATGCTGTCATCTGTCTCCACCGCTTCTCGCCCGGTACAGTGATCGTGTTGCTTGTGACACATGAACCTTGACGCGCCGAGATAGCGTAGGCTCGCCACACGTAACTTGAGGTTATCTTCCTGCCACCCACCAGAGATGTAATGACATTGGTGGATGTCTTGGGTGTTGCCCTTGACTATTTTCCGTGACCCAAGCCTCTTTTGCGATGCCTTTCCCTTCATCACTGTACCGATTGCGATCCTTTTCATCTCCGATGGCGCGTCATATCTTTTTGTTACTTACTCTATCTTTGGCTTTTGTTAGGTGCACCCCTCTTCGAGAGAGTATAATACCGCGTCCTCGTCGAGTCTACATCTCCCAAGTCCCACCAACTCTCCACCCAGCCCTCCTCCACCATCTGAACCGATGGCGATAGGGAAAATCAAATCTGTGAGAGTCTTCCTCCATTTCCGTCAATCCATCATACGTGATGTCATGTCGTTCCTAAACCCCCGAGCGCTGACATCTGAATGCTTTGATTGTTTTCCATTCTTCGTCCATGACGGCAGGTATTACGAGGGGATCGCATTCTCGCACAGACGCCTGCAATCCCTCGTTTGCCAACCGAAGATGACGCCCGAATAACCTCTTCGATGCCGAAATCGCTCGCAGCAGAAGCCAACCCAAGGCCGAAGAAGCCCGTACCCATCAATGGATCTTCACATTCTGTATTGCAGAAGAATGCAGCTCCTCAAGGAAGGTCTGGAATGACACGCGGCAGCTCTCCGTCACTTCAGCAGCCACAACAACAGGCACCATATCAACCGCGTTCATCATATATTCCAAGCAGCCCACAACCGACGTCGTTTTCACCACCTGTCTCTCCGAAACTTGACGCGCAGCCTGCGATGCAAGGAAAGCCGCTCATCTTCTCCGCGATGCACGCTGTACATGACGTGCCTCAGGGGAATCGCATCTCTGACGATATGGGACTTGGGAGGGCAAGTCCGCCGAAGATGGCTCACAACGCAGCGTTCGCCTACCCTTCTCCTCCCATGGAATTCAGCCCCTCGCCATTGGACAGGCCGCTCCCCCTCCCTTCACAGAATCTTCTCGCTAATCTACGAACAGAAAGTCCGCTCGTCCGACCTCAACCGCTATATGAGACTCAAACACCTCCTCCAACGCCCCCAAAAGAACACCAACCTCCCCAGCGCGCTCCAGGAACGTCGCCGCAAGTTCTTGAGAACCAACTTCCAACCGGGAAGGTACTCAATCGTCGAGATTCTCCCGACAGACAAATCAACCACTACGAAGCATCTCCCTCAGCCTCTCGTTCGGGCAGCCCTCTCAACCACCGTACCTCCCTCCACCACCGCAAGCTATCCAAGTCCTCCTTAGCTACTCGCTCTCAAGTCAACTCCCAAGCTAGCTCCAACGGCTCCTTAGTGAACGTAGCATCGGGAGCGAAAGGAGGATCACATCCTGGGCACACGAGGTCGCGTTCCGGGACCGTCTCTTCTCGCCTGATTCCACCAGCTGATCCAAATAGAGACAGCGAGACAGATAGCATGCTGCTCGACGACGATCCCTTCGCGCGAGTAGAAGGTGTGAAGCTCTTACCTGCATCCAATGAGTCTACTAGCAAGCATCGCCGAACCCCTTCAACCCCTGACTCCGTCTCATCCTTGGCAAAAGAGAAACGAACACGGACGACGTCAAAGCCTTCTTCTGTGGAAGGCGTGTCGCTAGATGAACATCCTATCGGGAAGCCTGACTCTTCGCCAGTCAAGCCGGGAGACTATCGGGAAGCTAGAACCATGCGAAGAGGTGAAGGGCTGGAGAAGCCCCCTGCCTTCATGGCGGACATGCCCATCCGGAAAGACCGAACTCCCATCCCATTCCCTTTAGAAGTCTTCCTCGCTGATCCAACCCTGCTCTCCGGATTACTGGCATACTTGACCTTCTCTGAATGGTGCAGATTGTCGACGATGAATAAGCAGATACGCGCTCTGCTCACCGAAGCTCCTGGGTCGAAGGAAATCATCCTTGAAAGATACTTGTCGACGGTAGGATACGCACGCTGGATATACGATGGTGCTGATCCTTTGCCACTATCAATAAGGGTAAGTTTGTTTATCTTCTGGGGTACGGCATGGACTCACACGAATGGTATAGGACCTGAATGATTACATGCGCGGTGTGTCGACCCCCACGCATGAGTACTCCCGCGTTGCTGGACTCTACATCCAGTCCCGTGCGAATCGGGGTATCCCGGGGTACGATGCCATTCAAGAGACGGCTCGATCGCTGTCCGCTTGCACTCGAGCGTATTCTCGAGTAGTTCTCCGCCTTCGGGCGCAGGCAGAAGCCCAATATGTTCTTCAATCTGCCCAGCAGCCCCGAGCGCCTCCCCCGGCGATATTCAACTACAACGGCGTCGGATCGTGTGGACGTTCGATGTCAAGTCGTGCGCCGTCCCCTTCATCGATGTCCCACTCGCATGCACATTCCTCGGTGATGGGCCACCAAGCAACGCATGGTTCGTCGCCAGGAACATCGACCTTCCGCTCGCCCTTGTATCGTCTACGTCGTGCGCCACTACTCCGCGTCTTTGTCCCTTCCCAGGAAGAGTGGCTGTCCGATGCTGGTGTGGTAGACTGCGAGAATGAACTGAGACGTGCTGGGATCGTTGATCTCATGCGACTTGGGGATGTTGTATGGGACGTGGCCGTAGGCGATGAAGGTAATGTGGGCAGATTGGTATGGGATGGAAGCTATCTGCTGGTGAGTTACTCGTCATTAGAGTTTGTGGGCGTTAAAGTTAAATGACCTGATCACGCGATGTTCACAGGACCTGGATTATGCATACTCCTCTGTGGGCGATTTGCCAAAATACATTCGCAGTCTCGCTTTCCCTCCTTCGTATTTTCATCGAGTCATCCGCACGGGCTCGTCATCCAGTAACCCCATCGCCCATATTGATGTCAGCCCATGGGGGGAAGAAATCGCTGCAAACCTCCAATTGCTTCAAGACAGAGTTCGGACAGAGACGTAAGTTGATGCACTTAATTATACAACGTAGGTTACGTACTGATGTTACTTTTTGTAGACCTCAAGGAGCGTATCACAATGTCGTTCGTTGGGTGCATCGCTCCTCCTTCACCATCCGCCCAGGCCGAGGGCGAACACCGAATTCTCGACCCTCGTCGCGACCGTCATCCCGGGCGGGGTCGCGCCCGACTCCCAACTCGATTATGCAAATAGGGAACTCGTCGCGCATCCATATTCCGGATACAGACGGGCTGTGTGTCGATCCTGGCTGGTATGGCACGGTAATCGTCGAGACGGAGGGTACCAACGAAGCACTTGCGGACCTTCAAGACCGGTGTGGACCGGGTGCCTTCCCTCCGCGAGCGACGCCCACACATGAGAGGTTCACACCTACGAAGGACAAGGAAGCGAAGAGAATATTCCGAATACTTAGAGAACGAAGGTTCGTGTCCATTTCCGTGCCATCGTCTCCCTTACCAAAATATTCTCTTTCTGTAGTCGCCCTGGAGAAATATGGATCAGGGCGGTCAGCGCTAAAGAACGATTGTTGTAAACCACAAACACTGGATATGTAGCCCGTAGACTGAGTGCCTTTGTCGCTCTTGCACCGTACTATCGTTAAACAAAGTAGTTAAACTTTAATCATGTAAAATCACCGAAGTCCTGGTATATCGCTTCCCCTCGTTATAGTATTTTACTGCTATTAAATGCACTCTTGATTTCTTAGAAAGTCGGACAAGTCTTGGGTATCCTAAGACACTCTGACCGTGTCGCATATCATCTCGTTTAGATCTTTTGCAGGTAAACTGCGTTTGAATATGGGTCCGTGTTTGGTCGTATTTGCACGTATAGACGCGTTCCGTTCTTCACGTGACTTGTTGACCGTTCAGATTAAAGTTTCAAGTTCGTTTCGTTTACCAACGCGCTCCTTCCACTTCCAGCCCACCACCTCCGGACAGAAAATTCTGGAAATATTTCGCAAATATGCCACGAAAGGCCGCTGCAGCTACCGATGCGTCTGCTAATGATGCTCCGGCTCCTCGTCGTTCCTCCCGCATAAAGGAGCAGCCCAAAACTGAAATCGCCCCGAAGAAGGCAGCTAAGCCCCGGGCGAGGAAACCTAAAGCTGCTGAAAAGGAGCCCGAGGTGGCGAAGGAAGACGTGGAGAAGGAGCCTGAGGCTGCCGATGCGCCTGAGGAGAAACCGGCCGAAGTCGCTGAGCCAGAGGCGAAACAGGATGGTAAGGATAAGGGCGAGGAAGAAGGTGAGGCGGAGACAGCGGAGGAGGAGGCCCCCGCGAAGCCTAAGTCTACCCGTGGGCGCAAGCGAAAGGATAGCGGCGATGAGCCTAACGGCACTGAAGAGGCTGAGAAGCCGGCTTCTAAGAGAGTGAGCGTTATTTTCTGTCAGACTGATTGCGGAGATCTGACAGGGGATGGTATACAGGCCAAACCCGCATCCAGGGCTAAGCCCGCTTCTAAGGCTGCTGCGAAGGCAGACAAGCCAGCATCAAAGGTAGAGAAACCCGCATCCAAAGCCGCCGAGAAACCTGCATCCAAGGCCTCAGCCAAACCTGCGTCTCGTGCCGCCTCCGCTAAGCCTCCATCGACGACCAAACCCGCTTCTCGTGCCGGGTCCAAGAAACCTGTCTCCAAGGTTAGTCATGTTTCTTCTATTGCCTCGTCTATCTGCGATGGTTGACGCCGCAGCGTCACGAGTTGCGGAAGACTGACGCAGGTTTTGTTTTGCTTATCAGGTAGAAGGGCAAGAACCTGCACCGAGTACCAGTGCCGCAGTCGATGAAACTATCGCCGAAGAACCAGAAGCAGAGCAGGCTGCTACTGATGCTGCTGTGAGTACCGAATCCCGCCCTCAAAACCCGTCTGACCATCGTTTTTGGCGGATAGGCATAAGCATCGGATGCTCTCGACGATGGCCACGTTACTCTTCACTTCCCAACTTCTCGCCTCGTCCGAAATCGACGCTAGGTCCACCATTGCCAACATATGTAACTTTGTCAACTTCCCAAGTGTATATTGTTCCATGGTCTATTTAACTTTCCCCTCTCCTCTTTTGCCTATTTCTTTATTAGCTCTCTTCTTGGCTGGTTTTTCATGTCATGTTATCGATGCTATCCGTATGTGTGTGTACTTCGTCCAAGCTGAATGTGTATCATCATATCATGACACATCATTTGTACTCCCCATACCTATACGATCTGTCTTCATATTTACTTTACCCCAGTCCCTAACTTCTCTTCTTACCATTTGTACATGTCCCTATCGATCACTCTACGGTCCTCCATCGAAATCCTTGCTTTCGGGAGAACGTTGAGGCGAAGTCAAATGTACATAGCTCACGAAATATTGCAAAATTTCCTTCTCCTAAAGAGTCGCATGCCTTCAGGAAGCTTCAGGCTCCGAGGCTGCATATCTATGTACGAGTATCAACGTCAACCACGTTCTTGAAAAAAAAACACCCCGAGGTGTAATTTCTAAATCAACAAGTACTGAAGGTCTGACTACCATTTTTGTAAATATGGGCGTCTAAAGCAATATTGTAATTTGTGGCACAATCCCTTCCTTCTCTCTGACCACCATGTCTCGCCCGCACACTCCGCTCACCTCTCCCGACACCCCGGCGACCCCAAAGAGGCGAGCAGTCGTCTTAGAGTCTCCTTTTATTCTAGAAGGTCCCGCGACCGACGATGGGAACACTCCCAGAAAGCGGCTCAAGACAGGAACCTCGATTTCTACGACTTTGAAACTGAACGCGCGCGCTGACATCCATGACATTCTGGTTCTTAACAATCCCTCGTTGTCCAAGAAGCGCGACGTCTGCGTTGTATCAGGCATGACCGATGAGATGGATGTCATCGAATATTCGCATGTTGTTGCTCGCACGACTCGGCCAGCGACGGTGATTATACTGTACGGTATATTTCGCACTCGTGAGGCTGAACCTTCCGCCTTTGCAGCTCGATAAATGTGAATGGTGCTGGGGGATGGATTACTACACCCTCAATCTGGACACGCGCAAGAATCTCCAGTCACGTATGTGCTTTGCTCGCTCTATGATTTTTCTGACCCTCCCAATAGTGCGCGTCAACCTCCATAGGTTCTTCGATATGCCCCAAACGGGTTGGTTATGGGTACCAACGGATCTTGACATCATGACTAGATTCGAAAATGCCTACAAAGTTAACACTCGTAAGAAACCAACTGAGGTGGGCCTGGTTCTTACCTCATAGCCCTATTCCTTTGCTGATGCCCATTCAACAGCTCTACGAGGTCGAAGAGACCAAATTTTCCTACTACCTTGTTGCAGCCCCCCAGATGTCGAATCGCCATATATCCATATACGACCCTTCACTGAAATCCAACGATCCTGTTGCTTTCCAGCGTCACTTTTACCCCTTCACTACGCTCCCAAAATTTGAGATCAACGTTCATCCGCACTTCGTGATATTCAACACCGGATTCAAGCTGGAGCAGATTTTTGGGTCAGGCGCCGTTCTTGCTATCGCGACGCTCTCGAATTACTTTAATATCACCGGTTCCCTCGTATACTCATTGAAGAGTTGCTATGACGTATATCGTGTATGGATGTCGGCTTCGCCACCTGAGGCCTTTCTGCACTCCGAAAACCGTCACTGGGAAGACCTAGATGCGGCCCGCAGGCCAGCCGGCACATCGTCTTCTGGAAAGAGTGAAGCCGGTGGTAGTCGCAGCGCGGGGAGGAACACGCGAAATACGAATCCTGGTCCCCTTGGTGGTGGTGGTGGCTCTTCCACTGTCGATCGAGAGACTGTGCCGCTTGGGACCGACACCCCAGATGACTTTGTTGATACGGAACTCGTGATGCCAGATGACTCTATATCTCTCTTACTAGGCGATGATGATGAATCTCAGAGTCATCAAGCGAGAGAGGAAGAGGAGGAGGAGGATCATGAGGCCTTCTTTCGTGGAGTCGAGAAGTGGGCGGAGGATGTATGTGAAGCAGCCGAAGATGGTGCTTCTGATCATGATCATGATTCGTCAGACTCGGACACCTCCAGCCATAATAAGACCCTCATTGGCAATACCCCTCCATCTAAGTGCGGCGAACTCGAAGACGTGACGATGACGGACGTTTCGCTGAAGATTGGCTTGACGGAGACTAGTCACCAACCACCCATATTTCACTCCTTCTGGGACACTTACTAGAGGCTATCGCGCGTCGCTCAATCTTGTATGTATCATCGTCTGATCTTCGAATCAACAGAACCCTAAACTTGTACAGAGTACTTCGGTATTCCAACAGAGAGGGTTACCTGGAATGTCCAATGTGTCCAACTAACGATCGAACAAGCAAATAAGACGTGCGATAAAGAAACAAGAGACCTAAATACAATGTCTGCTCTCAGAGCAACTATAGACGAAGCCGAACGCAGGTATGTGGAATAGCATGGCGAATCGTGAAGCGCATGACCAATCGTAGAAGGTATTAGGGATAATATACAAGATAGTCTAATAATACAGTAGCGTCTCGGTGTCGGCGATCATAATGAAATACCCCAACCCTCGTATCCTCGTCGGGTTGACCAGAGCTTCGAGGACTCGGGCTCGGTGTAAGGAGACGCAGATGAAGCGTAAGGATGGGCACGTCCAGCCGTTAAAGGCATAGCACTCCCAAAGAGGCTGAATTCCTCCGCGCACCCGCTCCCGTGCTCATCAGGGCACTCGACGATAGAGCAAAGGGACCGATCCTTCGGCGGTGAGGCTCGGAGAGACGATGTACGCGGAAGAGGAACACAAGTCGCGGGCGATATGCGGATGGAAGTATACGTAGTCGGGAGCGAAGCATCGTACGCAGGTACTGGGATGCGCTTGCTTCGGTTCGCCCGGTGCACGGAAGGCAGGGTAAGAGAATCCCGAGAGCTACTCCGCACGCACTTCGAAGGCGAGGAACTGGGTACGGGAGGGGGAGGAGGCGCCGCCACCCTCAGCGTTACGCTCGGTGCTCGGGATAAGGACGGCCTCAAGATGTCCTCGTCGTCGCTGTCGTCCAACGAGCGCTGCCGAGGGAACACCAAGCTCAGAGGAACTTCGTCCCCGAGCTTGCGCCTCAGACGATCCATCTTCTGACGGCGAAGCGTGTTCTGGGACGGAATGACGAAGTCTGGCTCGATAAGCGAGTCCCGAGGCGAAGGTGTCCTGGAATGATGAAGGGTATAGCAACTCTTCGTCTCATCAATTTTGAAGCTCGATGCTCTGGACAGGCCGAATGAAGCTTCGGGCGAGGTGGGCGAAGAGGGTATAGTCTCCAAAGATGGTATCGCTAGGCAGGGCGCAGAGTTGAAGCCAATGCGCATGAGGGGTGGTCGTGTTCGCGACCGTGGTCCGCAAGACCTGGCTGAGCGAAGCGAAGTCTCAGAGCGCGTTGACGACGGCGACCCAAACACGGACGCAGGCGAGGTGCTGCGTGATGTGCTGCGTGATGAAGAGCTGCCGGAGGACGAAGAAGACGACGAGGTCAGCGAGTCCATAGAACCGCGATGAAATGGGTACGGCTCATCCCTGTACGCAATGAAAGGTCCTGTGGAATATAAATCTGATCAAGGTGGTTAATATCCAATACTACATGGTGATACAAACGCTTCTTACCTATCCCATAGGCGTCCTCGTCGATCAGTTGAGGCGTGCTGCCGAGCATGCGTCCCAATTTCTTGGTCGAACGCTGCAGCTGCTTGCGCTGCTGCGACGTGAGTGAGTTGGTAGTAGGGGGCGGCGGGGGGAACACGATCTTCGAAGATGTCATGATAACAAATGAGCTCAGAACGAAGGTCTCAGGAAATGCTCAATGTCGCAAGGATAGAGGATAAGACGACGAAGGGATGATGCTGAACGAAGCTGAAAGCAGTGTCGAGGGGCTCCAGAGACCCAGGATGAGGAGCGAGGGACATGAGGCGGGGCATTCATATAGGACAGAAACAAAAGGAAGCCTGGCCGTGCACCCGTTGTCCCGAGACTCCCGACTATCAATACTGATAATAAGGATGCTCGAGACAATAAAATAGCGCCCACATGCCCGAGCGCCATTATTGTAGTCCCCCCATCTCCGTTGCGCCAGATCAGGGTGCCTGCAAAGCTCAATTGTTCTGGTGTGCAAAGCTGACGGACTTACCGAAGGCAAAGCTTGACCGAGAACAATAGGAAAAGCGACCGTGGGAATAGACGCCCATAATTACATAATCTACACTTGCATTACATCGTCTGCAGTTGCCCGTGTGTTGCCCTGGTCTATAAGATATGATAGTGCAGAGATATTATCATCGCATCTACAGGAATCGTGAGCTCCGCATCGCAGGATGTGCAAACTCCACTTACAGCCGTCCCACCTCCTTCTCGAGACCCGATAGCGCCCGTTGAAGTATTCTGAAGACGCTGGCATACTCCCCTGCTCTGTCGCGTAGTATGCGACCGTGGGCGGCCATAACCGAGCCCGCCCAGACAAGGTCAAACTCCAGATGAGGGCCCATTTCCATATGCTCTCCGATGAGGCGCAGGAGCTGAGCCAGGTATACCACCGGGACCTGTCTCGCGACCAGTCGTATATCGCCTCTCGGCACGCTCTCGTACACTTTTTGGATCAGCGAGCGCTCGTTCAGCCGGAGGGCCATGATCAGCGCCTTGAGGTGTTCCCGCTCGCCGAGCATCGCGAGCACCGCCTGGGGAGTGAGGTCCATGGAGAGGTCGAAGGGATCGAACGTGATGCTCTCGTCCAGGGAATATATGAGGAGGCCCTCGGTGGATGCCGCGGCCCAGGCGCGCCCTGTTGGAGAAAAACGAATGCACTTCGTGCGCGCCTCCTGGCGATATTTCCGTACCGACATGTCTCCAGCACCCCTCGCCGCCCCGGGTAAGCTGAGGTCCATCCTATCCTCCAGATCGCTTTCCTCGCCCCTCCTGTCGATCAAGTCGACGTTGATCCCGGCGTCATTGACCTTCCTGCTGTCCAAAAACTCCTCGGTGCCGTCCAGGGAGAGATTCTCCGAGATCTGGAACTTCTTCAGCATGACGCCCTCGCCGTTCTGCACATCGTACAGGACGACATACTTGCTGTTCCCGCCCGCCAAAACGCACCGCCCGTCCGCAGAGTACGCGAGGCTGTTGAAGGACTTGCCCGAGGTGCTGTTCGCAGCCGACACGCGGTCATCCGCTTTCCGCCCGCCAGAGATGTCCTTGCGGCCCTCGATCACGTTCGTCTGCTTGCCCTGGTCGACGTCGAAGAAGACGATCTGGCCGTCGAGCGTGGACGCGGCCAGCTCCTTCCCGTCGGGTTTGAACGCTATCGAGAGGACGTCCGATCCAAGAACGAACGGCTCGACCGCGCGCGACCGCCCGAACACGCTCCACACGCGGACTGTGCGGTCCCAGGAGCCGCTGGCGAGCTGGTTGGCCCCCGCCGGGTTGAACGCCAGCGCGCACACGGGCCCTTCGTGCCCCGTCAGGATGTCGAGCAGTTTGCCGGTCTGCACGGACCACATGTACACCTCGAAGGAGTCGGTGGAGCCGGCGGCGACGACTTCGCCTGACGGGTCGACGGCGAGCGAGGAGAACTGGACGGGGGCGGGGGATGTGAAGGTGCGGAAGTTGCGGTAGCGCACGAGGTCGTAGGCACGGACGGTGCCGTCGAGCGACGCGGAGAATAAGACGGAGCCTTGCTTTGCGAATGCGACTGCGGAGATCGGGGCGGTGTGCTCGTTGAAGGTGATGAAGCAAAAGGAGGAATGCGCGGACCAGACCTTGATCTTCCCATCGTCTCCACCCGTGGCGATCGTTTGCCCGTCCGGCGCGTACGACAGCGTGTTCATGTCGAAGTAGTGTCCTTGCTGCTTGAGGATATACGACTCGGACTGCCACTCCCACACCAGGAGCTGCCCCATCTTCTTCGCCCCGAACGCCAGCCACTCACCGGAGGCGTTGATTGCAACCGAGCTGATCTTTTCTTGTGAAATACTGAGCGTGTGGATATTCGAGAACTCGGGCAGTTCCCAGAGCCCAAACACACCCGTGGAGAACCCGACGACGAGGAGACTCGATGCGCGGTGGAACGTTGCGCAGATGACCTTGGTGCCCGGCTGGTGGAAGTAGTTCCTTTTGTGTACACCCCAACGTGTGTGTGCGATGTCGTCCTCTGAATCCGATTCTTGCTTAGCTTTCCAAGTAAATACAGCCCCGTCTCTGCTAACTGTGTATATCTGCATACCATTATCTAGCTGACTGTGCGAACAAGCAATTCACTCACTGATCCACCGTCTGCTGAGAAGAACGCACCCAGCACCACATCTCGATGCCCCGCGAATGTTTTCGGCCGAAAGCCCTCGACGGGATTCAGAGTAAACAAGCGAGCAGTCATGTCTCTCGAGCTAGTCATAAAGCACTGCGAGTCAGGCGACCACTGTATGCTGAGCACATCGTCGTGGTGCCCCGTATACGTCCTGTGAAGGACGAATGGAGCGAATTCTCGCACAAGGTGATTCGGCGTCCGCCATACCTGGACGTGCGAGCCGTGCGTCACTGCGATGTGCCTGCATGTCATTCAGTATCCCTGCGCACAGCTGCAGACGGCCACTCACTTCCCGTCTGGTGAAAACTGAACATCCTGCACGGGTTTGTGGAAATTGAAGTGGTGCAGCACCACCCCACGGCGAAAGTTGACCAACAGCGCGCGTCCGTCTTGGGAGAGTCAGGACAGCCATGTACACTGATCGCGATGCGTACCTTCATCCACTGAAAGCAACACATTTGCGTCCGGACTGAGTGCGATGGCTGCAACGTTCTTGCGATTCTCGAATGGGAATGTAAACGATTTATTGCTGCCTGCGGTGAGCTTAGACTTGCCGTCATGAATGCTGCGCTTACTTGACGAGGTCGAAGACAGAAACGCGATTTCCAACAGGACTTAGGATTGAGTTACCGTCTGGGGTGAACAGAACATTTCCCTGGCGATAAACCGTGCCGCAGATGTTGGAGAACTGGAACCACATTAGCATCTGGCATAGGATGAGTGATTATTTAGTAACCTTGTAATTTGCTTTCATGATGCACACACTGGCATAATGATTCACGAAAAAAAGGCACAAAGGTGTGAAAACCTACAAAAATTATCTGATAATAATCGAATCACGAATCACGTGATGTAGAGCCACCCACGGAACGGTGCAATCTTCAGATTCTTCTCCGAAAGTTGAAACATAACATGTCCGACGAACCGTCTCAGGGGGAGTCCTCTGAGGTGCAATTCGTGGAGCAGTCTGGCGACGAAGAGAACCTCTGGGAGGTTCTCGAAATCACCGCCGAGCGCAGCAATTCTTATCGCGTCAAATGGGCCGGAACTGATCCCAGCACTGGCAAACCATGGCAGCAGAGCTGGGTGCCGAAGCACGATTGCACGCCAGAGCTCGTGAGTTCATGGAGACAGAAGAAACGGTCAAAGCGGCAAGGTGAGCCTGGCGAGGGATTTCCCCTTCTTGAATGCAAGCTGACCCCCGCGCCCAGGAAAGTCCTCTGCTGGGTCTACGACGCGCCGGTCGGGGTCAGCAACGCGAAAGTCATCTTCCGCGCCTTCCGATGCGTCCACGGTTGTGTCCTCGAAAAAGCGCAAAGTCGTCGACGAGGACGACATAACACACGCACCCCTTGACAGTAACCACCAATCTGCGAAGCCTGTTAAGAAGCGACGGCGCATCCTACCTGAGGCTGTCCCCACGGAGGAAGAAGAGGAAGAGGATAACGACGGTACGTTAATTAGACCCATATCTGCATTTCTCCCTAAACAGCATCTCTCAAGTTATCACCGTCCCTGTGCGAAACCCCGTCAAATCGAATCAACCCCTTCGGGAGGTACACAAGACTCCCCCGGCCAAACCCCAGCAGAATGACCGCCGTTCTCCCCCCCTTCGTAGTGCAACCGTTCAAGAGGCACAATCTCCCTTGCATGACCCGTCCCCAGCGCGCGACCCATCTCTACCACCACAACTACCATCTCCAAACAAACGCGCACCTCCCACACCGCCTGCAGTCACGCAGCCCGCATCTCCAGTACGCCCACCGGTCAATGACTTCCGCCCTCATACGCCAAGGCTCAGCCCCAACGCGGAAGCGCGACTAGCGCGTTGGGAGAAAGATGTTAACTTCCATGAACCCAATACCAACGACACAGTCCACCTGCTCAATGACGATTCCTACAGAAACGGAGTCGTCCCCGAAACTCAGGAACCGCTTTTAAGTCCGCCCCCACCCGACGTTTCGCCAGTAAGGCTGCACACGATCATGGACATCCCGTCCACACCTAGGGAAAAATTGATCTGGCGAATGAGACCAAAAACACCGTCTCTCGTCTCTCTACTACATGGCAGTCCAGCAAAGTCTTCGCCCTCCCACCCGTCCAGAAAACCTCTTCGCCCTGTACCCGTTGTCACCCCTTCTGCCTTCGCCCTTAATATGCCTTCGACGTTCGACACTATACAAACTGCAGACATAGATGAGGTAGACAACGACCACGCCGACGATTCTATTGACCAATTTAGTTCACCGTTGAAAGGCGCACAAGGTCGCCGATCTTCTAAGCAGCGGAGCGCGCCAACTTCAAATAACAAGCGAACGCCTTCTCCAAGGACACCTAAGCAAATCTCTGGAGGCTCGCGCGCGAATTCCCAGTTAGGATCTGGATCACGAATGTTCCAGTTCAACGCGTCAGGCCTTCTTGGCACGAGTAAGAGTAACGACGCAGAGCAGATACAGGGCTCTGATCCTCGGATACAACTTCGAGAAGAGGAGGAAGAAAACACGCAGGATCTAGCAGCCCCACTGCAAGATGACGACGTCCAGGTAGCACCTCATTATGCATTGCTGCAGAATGAAAGTTGATTCAAAACTAGATACCACAACCGCAAGCATCCACGATTAGCAGTCCACATCCCCCGCCTAATGACAGCCCCAAGGTACCACGACCCCCGAGTCCAATATCGCCAGGATTGCAAAACGGGACCGTCATCGACGATTCGACCGTCTCCGATCTGCCTCAAACGGAATCGCAGGAATCGCAGGATCGTACTAACTCTTCACAACCTTCCCATGTACGCCGTCCCAAATCCCACCCCGTTCGCAATATATAACTAACATCCAACAGACTTACCCACCAACGCAAGGGGAACATCTTGGCGCCGCCCTCACCCTCTTGAACACTAAATCCGAAGAGATATCGAAGATCGAGGCTGAGTTATCAACGGAGAGGGCGAAGAACGCTGAGTCGAACAGGCAAATTGACTTCCTGCGCGGCCGTCTTGTCGGCTTAGAAGCTATGGCTACGGAAACAGCGCGGGAACGGAGTCGAGAGCGGCACGATGCTGAGAGGATGCTGCAAGATGCCCAGCGGGCGACGCGAGTGGCTGAAGATCTGGAAGCGGTTGCCAAATTCAACTTGGATAAGGTTCGCGCGGTGGAAGAGAGCAAGAGGGAGGAGCTGGTGGTCGAACGGGATCGCTGGAAATCTGAATGCGATGAAGTGCGGGAGGAGAGGGACCGTCTTGTTGTCGAGAAGGCGTCGCTTCTCGACGCATTGGAATTGTCACAGAAGGGGCAAACGGAGTGGGAGACGGAGAAGGCGGCAATGGAAGCGGACATCGCGAGGCTCAAGGCGGCAGTGGAGGCGGCGAACGAATCGAAGCGGTCCACGGAGAAAGACTGCGAGTTTTTCAGGGACCAGTACGCACAGGCCTCTGGGTTCGTTACTACCGTACGGGAAGAAAACGCGGAGCTGGAGAAGCGGGTGAAGATCGCAGAGAGTCAGACAAGTACCGGTGTAGACGCCGTTCGGATGCTCTACGAGCGACAGGTAGAAGCGGCGCAGCAAGATACGGCGCGATGGAAACACCTGACAGACATTCTCACAGAGCGGGATATGCGTACTGGGGGAGAGGATATCCGACGACGAGCAAATCTGGAACCGGAACTTCGGAAACGGGTGGACGAACTTGAGGCGACAATCTTGCGGTTGCAGGACGACGTAGATACCTGCAAGGCAGAGGCCGCTGTCCTGAAGCGCGACAAGGATCGTTGGGTGCACTACAACGAGGTATGGAAGAAGACGGTCAGCGCGCAAGCTGATGAAATCGCGAAACGAAACAAGTTAGTCTCGTCGCAGTTGAGCATCGGGGACAGCATCGAACCTGCTCGACTGCACTCCGTCGAGGATTCGGATGAACTAGTTTATCCGTGCTTGTGGAGATTTGACACTTTGCAGCCCCCGTTCTCGTGTACATCATTGTTTGCCGATATCGAGGTAAGTGGCTGTGATGGTTATCGTCAAATACTTATTAACGCTATCTCAAAGGGCCTTCACCACCATGTCATCTCTGTCCACGCTGAGGATCCATCTGACCCAGAGTAACCGCTATCGCTATCGACGTTTGTATTATTGTGCTTTTTATGTATATTTCACGCTATCTTTTTCGGTTATCATCGTTTAACTGTCCCAGCACACTTTCGCCGACCACAAGATGACTCATGCAGCCATCGGCAACCACGATACACAGTAATGCAATTGCAAGCATCCAACGACCATCGTGACTGACTGTGACCTTGTTGGGGGTGCGCTAGATGCAACTAAGGACTGGGAGCCGGCAACCGGGAGTCGCAAAAGCATGCAGATCATCGAGCTAACGTCGTATTTGAGCTATGGTTCCGTTGAAGCGCAGTCGTACATACAGAAGAGAAGGGTATATATATACACATCGGAGGACAAGTCCTCAAGCCGCGGGACTCGGCGGGCGATGCCACTGCTCTGCTAACTGATACAATTTGTTTAACTCTCCAGCCGGTTTGGGTCGTGTCTCGCGCACGGTATTGCTTGCTTGCGCTAAGCTGCGTGTAGGTTGCCATCCACTTCAACGGTCCAACCAGAAGTAATCAATAAACGACCCTGCTAATACGGATGAACATTACTCACCCAGGCTCATTTGGAGTATTCCAGTCGCAGCGCGTGCAGAGCCAGACGAGCGATTGGGGGCCTACAGCGAAACACCGAATGGAGAAAACTCGAAACCAGATGCGTGCTTTAGCTAGCATGATAGTTTCTGTCATTATCAAAAGAAGCGTTGGTGATCAGATCGACGCCATGCGAGGTAAGTTTAATCGAGTCGTATCTGGATCTGACCTGCGGTATGGCATTCTGGGCATCTGCAGGCCAGTTTGTCGCCTATTGGTTCGAAGAAGGTGCGTTTTCCGACTGCAATGTTCGTTCAAGAATCAAGGCTTGTCAGCTTGTGACGGTGATGTCTCGGTTGGCTCCTGAGGGCTGAATCACGGAAGATCAATGGTAATGTGGAACTTACTTGGCGGCGTCATGAAGCGACCGTGAAGAACTAGAGCTAGTGTGCTCCGTCAATGGGGGTCGTTAGAGAAGTTGGGGAAGGTGTTTTCTGGGTTAATGATAGGCGAGGACATGACTTGCGAGTTTCAAAAGTTCGAGATCAAACATGTTGATCGGTTGAGCCTAACGACAACATGGACTGCCACAAGGCACCTGGCCCGGGCGAGCCCCACGGTGACTACCTCAAGAATCACGAACCGAACACGAAGGTTGCAACCTATTTTTGTACTCGTACTCGTGGCTATTCGCGTTGTTACCACCTATGGTGCGGTTCGCTTCGTCACCGCTACTTTTGTGCACCCAAAAGTACTCCTTCCAAATTAGGTATTTTGACTAGTCCTTTTGCTGAAGTGCTTGTTTCAATGAGGGGAGTGTGCCCTCTACTATCACTTAGACAGATTTGCAAAATTTTGGACAATTCGACCTGGTGCTCCAGATTGGACGTCCCTACAACTCCCGGCATGCTACGAGGGGTTGTCGCTCATCTTGGCTAAATACCTATCAACTTTTTGAGTGAATCCCTTTCCGAGTAGTAGAGCAATGACGATGCCGGTACGACGAGTACCCAAAAACATAGATTTGCAAACTTTTCGTCACAGTGTGTCACGCGTCATTCAGACCCAGCAGCGCAGCCGTGTGCCGCCGTATGCATTCAGCCGCTCGCTCGGCAACACATGGATCTGCAAAACAAGGGGCAAATAGGAGCTTCTTTGTCACGCAAAATGTTGCTGGTTTTCCTGTGCATGAACCAGTAGGTATGAGTGCAAGGGACTCTAGATTCAGACTCTAGCGCTACTATACTAGCTAAGAAAAAAATCAGAAGTCTGTAGGATTGTTATTACTCCCACAGCATTCAAGTCAAATTTGAAATGACTATTTGCACGTCACATTTTGCCCGCAGAAATGGACTTGCAACTTCTCAAATGCCTTAAGATTTTTACAGTAGCTCAATGAAGTCTATTTCTCAAACATACTTCATGTCCGAGCATAGGACATGGAATCTACAACAACTTAAAATTGGTTTTGCATATCTATGTGTGTTTGCACCTCAGTACACGTGATAGTACAGTGTTCAACCAGTCAGTGGGAAATCCTCAGTCAGTGGGAAACGAAGTTGAAATTCAAGGACTTGACCACCATCGGACTTTGTGTATAAGTCGTCTGATAAGTCATCTACATTAGATATCCGAAGCAGCTTAGACAAGACTTGAATATATAACATGGTAATTAGTGCCGAAAACTATCTGATATTGTGAGCACTAGAGTTCTGAGCACACTGAATTCTATCAAACAACAATGGTCATTAGATGCATATCATAGACACCTCTCAAAACCAATATATGTTGGGTTAGCAAACACACGGCAAGTCTATCACTAACCAAATACGGCTATCCGTTAGCCGAAACGGGTAATGCAAGTTGGCCATGCGTCAACTTGCACCATTTCCGTTTCATGTTCTTATCACACCTTTTATTACTTACATCTGATTCACTGCCCACGCGCACGCATGTGCGACTCGTAACCGTTATATATGTGTTTCTTTAGTTTTCGGCACCTGAGTTATTGTACCCCACAATACTGAGGTGAGACCTTTTTCTTTACCTATCTTTACTTAACGTGTACTTACTCGTACTCATAGTCTATTACTTCTACAATATATCCATGATTTTGGACTGAAACTGTAGCACAACAACAAAGAAAACATATTGTGGGCAGCTGGCTTGTCACATCACACTTTCCTAATTTGGATACTATTGAGTACTAGTTTTAGCTATACCCACACTTCAAGAATTTTTTGAAAATCTCCTCCATCTCACTACACAACCCCTGCTACAATGGTCGGAAGAGCCAAATCTATAACACAGAAAACCACTGAAACCAATGCACTGACAGAGCGATACATGAGAATTGCAGTCCAGATTTACCAAAAGGAGCAAAAGAAGAATGGTACCAAAATGGGACTAGTGGCAGTCTGCACAAGCATACAGAGAACTTGTGTCATGACAAGAATGGCATGGAAATAAAGCTGGCAAAATCTTCATTGGAACGGAGGTTGAAAGAAGTGAGAAGTCAGGCAGAGTCCAATGCGGCAAAGGGGTGGCTTACAGAAGAGGAATCAAACATGGTCGTCCAATTTGCAATCAATATGGCAAATGAAGGATGGCCCCTGAGCAAGAGTCAACTTGTTGCACACGTCAATTTGATTTCCCAGGCAAGACACAGCCCCGAGTTTGAGGGAGTAGGAAAGAACTGGATGATGTGATGGATAGAGAAACAAGGTGCACAATTGTGTTCATACTGGTCCCAGCCACTTGAAGTTTCACGTGCTCGGGCAGTGAATGTGGATATGAAGGAACAGTATTTTCGCTTGCTTGGAAAGATGCTGAGAGGGAAAGAGGGGGAAGTGCCAATCACTCCTGATTTGATCTTTGGTGCTGATGAAACAGGAATCCAGGAGGGTCTTAGTACATGTGAATATGTCTACAGTCCAAAGGGAAAGAATGTTCAGCATCAGCAGCGAAGTGGAAAAAGGAACAATACCACCCCAATCGAGACTATCTGCGCCGATGGGACTGTATTACACCCAACAATTATCTTTAAAGGGAATAATTTCCAGACGGCATGGGTGCAAAACAACCCGTTGAAGGCCTAGTGTGTTCTTATAATATGCCGGGGTTTAATGAACTAATGATGTGTCTATAAAGTGTTTCAGTTCAAAAGAATGGGTACATGGAGGGAGATATCACATACCTGTGGCTTGTCAATGTCAATGAGCAGACAGCTGAGAAAGCAGGAGGAAGGCACCAACTTCTTATTGTTGATGGCCATCAATCTCAAATCACTGTCAAATTCTTGGTCTACGCACAACAGCACAATATCCACGTACTTTGCTACCCATTGCACTCGACCCACATATTCCAAGGACTCAATGACATTATCTTTGGCAGCTCAAAGCAACCATGGAGTGAAGAGCATGACCACTATGAGCTCTCGAGAGGGGTACCAGTGTTAAGAGCCACACTCGCAGGGGCTTAGAGATACGCAGACCCGCGGGGGCGCGGTTCCACATAGGCGCGGTTCCACATAGGCGTGGTTCCACGTAGGCGCGGTTCCACGTAGGCGCGTGGAGGAGAAACGAGGGGAGCAAGAACGTACGGGCTTGGCTTCAGCTACTGGCTGTGCCTCCCACACTCTTGCATGCTGTAAGGGTTGAACCCTTTCGTTCCGTGCACTCCGGCTTCCCCTATCCCCTGTTGACCCCTCTCCGACTCTTCGGACGCGCCCGCACATGACTTGGACGTCACTGACCCGTACCGGACACATGTGATAACGGATCAGACAGCATGGATCAATGTTTAGTCTCTTTTTTGTTTTCGGACTCTAATATTTGGACTATACTAGCACCATTACTCGTTCCTGGTTCCTTTTCTTTTCGGACATTTCTGATATTTTCTTAGCTACAAAAACTGTCTATACTTGTAGTTAGAAGAATCAAGCTTGTTTCCCCCCCACATCGAGTCAGAATCTAAGTCGTCCGAGAGCTTTCTCCTCATCCGTTGTCAGAGTTCGCCGTCGTCCGAGTCCGAGTCCGATCCGAAGCTATCTTCTCCTGCCGTCCTTATCATTCTCCTGCCGTCCTTATCATTCTTCTGCCGTCCTCGTCGTACTATCCGAAGCCGGGTTGTTTGTTCCGCGTCCAAGCGCGTCCGAAGCCATCCGAAGTGTCCGAAGCATCCGAAGTTTCTTATACGTTCTTTCTCACTCTCGGACTCATCGTTTGTCACACATAGTTCACTCGGGTGTCGCACGGACTTGTCCTGCCGGAGGCGGACCCTCGCATTTTATTAGACTACATACTAGTCTACGTGTACATTCACTACTACAATGCCCTGTATTTCCAGGAGGAGTCCTACACGGGTACCGAGGATACGGGCGGAGGCGAAGGAATGCGACGGGGGAACCTCAATAGAGAGGCGAGGAATGTGAGTGCAGAAAGAACTAATATTCAAACTAAGGTAACTGTATGTACAGTACAGGAATATATACTGGGCACGGTGTCCGCGCATTCACGAAACAGCAATGAGTCCGGTCATAGTAAGTACAGTGTGCTCGAATATGTACTTAGCCTGTAATCTGACAAGTCCGAGTGGCTGTGTGTATACCCGGCCCGAGCCCATAGCCGGGAACGCGCATGAATGCGCCCCTAGTAACCCCTAAGGGGTTCCTTGGATGCGCCTATAACAACCAGTTACGAAGCACAACTTTCTGGAGGTCCATGCAAAAGCGCACGCAAAGGCATTCACTGTGGAGAATATTATTGTGGCATTCCGAAAGACGGGTGTCGTCCCTTTCAATCCTGATGTTATTGGAGCAGATGTGATGGCACCATCAATTACGATGTCGAGTCAAGGCCACCAGTTACAGATGCCAAGTCCTATCCGTTCAATGTCAGACATGATTTATCGGGACTTAGCCTGGCGAGCAGAACAAGAGGAAGGAGACAGGGACTTACTGTTGCATCCTCAAGCAGCTATTCCCCCTTGTGCGATGACACCAGTTTGCAGTGCACTCAATGATCTGGCCTCCACATCTGCTTCATTCCTCATATTGTCAGCTCAACCACCTTCATCCGCTCAAATTCCAGCCTACAAGCCACTCACCATTTCACCTTTCAAAGAAAGCCGTTACAAAGACCTTCTAAATCAGCCACCAAGAACCCAAGTTGAGCATCAGCTCATGGAAGCATTGAGAGAGTCTGAGTTGTGGGACACTCAGCAAAAGTACAACATGGTGGGAATGCAGGCTGCTACACTTCTTCAAGGAACCTATGTAGCAAGGGTCAGGACGTCACTCCAAGAGAAGGAGAAAAAAGATAAAGAGAAGAAGAATATTTTGTTTGGAGATGGAATGCCAAGGGTCTTGAGTGACCAGGAGTTTGTAGACATTGTGAAACAGAAGGAGGCAGAGGCAGAGAAGAAGGCCTGTCAGAAGGCAGAGAAATCAAGGTGGAAGGGGTGCTACACAATTGTGATTCAGCAGTGGAAGAAGGATGATGAAGCACAAAGAGCACGGAACAAGGAGACTACTGACCAGTACCATGCACAGCTTGCAGCATGGAAAGCAGAATCAGAGACCACAAGAAAAGAGAAAAGGAAGCCAGGTTGGACCAAGCCAAAGAGAGGAAATATAGAGAAGGGTGAACCATGGCCAAAGCATGCAGATTTTGAGGGAGAGGAAGAGGTCAACACGATGGATGATGATAGCGATGTTGATGAGGTGGCCCAAGACGATGAGGCGGAGCTTGATTAGGAAGATCATCGCCACAATGATTAGTCAGTATCTCAATTACGAAGTTGCAATGTGTGATGTGACCATCCCATTGACATGGGAAAGTGTGATAACAATATTTTACAACAGATAACAAGATCGTGGCACAAAGGTCCCCAAATGAAGCTGATCTCTAGTGGGATATATGACATATAGTTCATATCAACTCATCCTGCTACTCTGATCAACTCCAACCCTTCATAGTGCTCATTCTGGTGCCAGTCTATTATGTACCCATCCCACTGACTGGTTGAACACTGTAAGTACACCCATTCTTGATAGCCCCAAAACTGAATGAGTCAAATTTGCAGATGTATCTGATTTTGCACTATATAGTTATATGGGTATTAACAGGCCATTATCCATACTAAATCTAATCAAATGTCTGCATTAATGCCTTTGGAACTTATTAAGGACTGTGTCAAGGGGCCTCCTGGCTCCTCCATTAGGGGCACGGGAAGCGGGGAATGTGCAGATGAGATTAAGCTTTGATGATGTACCCTCCTAGCCCTGTGGTGTCCCGGTTCAGAGAGAGCAAGGGTGAGAGGTGGACTTCATGGAGGAGCCCACAATGAAGACAAGTGTAGACCAGGTGACAGAAAGGAACTAAGATTCAGAGTGAGGAACTCATGTGTACTTGTACCTGTGCTACTATAATACTAGGTAACATGTATATGTAGTGAGGCTAGTAAGTAGCTACACACGTACATGAAACATGTAACAAACTAATCATAGTACTGCACATCATGCCTAAGCCTCAAGGACGAGCCCAAGGGTTTCTGAGTGTCCGAGTGTCCGAGTGTCTGAAAAGGGGTGTAAGGGGGTGAGGATCAGTATATAGCATTTCTATACATCCTCTAAGCACTCATAATCAATGATTGATCATCAGTGCCTTGTATCTTTGTGGGCAGGAGAATTGTACATGAACCGTATCTGTAAGATCGACCTGACGTGGGTACGTTGTTAGGAACTGAGCACTATAGTCCTGAACAAGTACAATCCTGAACAAGTATTCAGGGGAGCTTCTCAGGAGCTCCAGCGCTTATTACATCAGCCGAGGCGCGAAGTCCATCTTTGTTCTCAAAGCCCAAGTCAAATCCAAGTTTACAATGTCATCTTCCTCACGAAACGCCTCTCGTACGACCGAAGATACATACGAAGGGCAGAACGACCAGAGGCTCGACGACTTGCACTCCAAAATCCGCACGTTGCGAGGCGTGAGTTGCCCTCCACGTTGCCGCACGTTTCGTGCGCGGACTGTGCTGAACTGACAATGCCCCCGCCCACTAGATTACGACCGACATACACGACGATGTGGAGCGGCAGAATCTGATGCTGGACGACACAGTACGCTCGCCTGCTACCCCAGACTTGACATACGTGAACCACTCACCACTGGCGTGCTAGGGAAACTCGTTCTCCTCATTTGCCGGCTCACTTGCGCAGTCGTCTCGGCGGGCCACGCAGGCATTCGGACTGGGCGAAGGCGGCCTTAGGTGAGCTTAAATTCCACGGATTGCTCCAGAATGACCGAGGGCTAACGCTGGGGATGATAGGACGTGGCGCGTCGTCATGCTAGTTGTTGGGGCATTCTTTGCGTTCTGGATAGGTTCGAAGGTCTATTCGTGGTGGGTCGGTAGTCCATAGAATGGGTGACCTTGTGATGAAGAGCGCTAGCGGACGTTTCGGATTACTTACATCTAATTTATGGCTTTGGTTAATCGCTTTCTGTTACTGGATACGATTCGTATTTACTATTTACTGTCTTGCATGAAAGTCATACATGATTGTGATTGTATACACCAGAGCACGATGGGAAAAAATTGATACAGTAATGGCTTCGTATTGTATAATCGTAAGTTGAGACACGGAAAGCAACGAACCGCGAAAGATGATGAATGAGGCCATGAAAATTACACTAGCAAGCGAAGAGAATGTACTGCACTGGCTTAAACCTTCTCGTTCATCTCTTGCTCAGCAACGTCGTTCCCTTTGCCGCTGAAGGCGCTGTCCTTCTCTACCATCGACGAGGCAGAGCCAGGATGAGTACGTAGACCACGGGTGCTGAAGATTGCGGCCACAGTGATGCCGATCGTCACCAATAACGAGGCGAATGCGATCCACGGAAATACGGCGGTAAGACGCACTGAAAAAACACGCAAATCATCAGAAATGGGAATACACACGGGAGCATGACCTGAACAGTACGCACGATAGTCGATCTCCCTGTAGATACTCGTTGCTCCCAGTTGAGCCTCCACCGTCTGAATAACCGAATGGGGAAGCTCCACGTTGCCAACAAAGGCCCGTACGACCGCCGCGCGGGTGGCGAAGTAGTGCGTGAATGGAACTTGGACGGAGAAGAGGAAGAGTGCGCAGAATGCTAGTGAGATCCACTGCAGTCTCAAGGTACGCGTTGACAAAGGCGTGGAGGTAGAGCCGAATTTTATGGGGAACAAGAGGAAAAAGACGAAGGCGGACGTCAAAAGCGCGGTCAAGAGACACGCGACGGTTGCGATGATCCCCGTCGTTCGTACGTCTGCGCGAGCATTAGAAAGGAGATTCGGACAGGAATGCAACGACCAACGCGTACCAGAGATATCGATGGTGACCACGGCAGGCGGGGGAACCTTGCTCTTCAGCGAGCTCTGACTCTGGTCGCTCTTGATGAGTGAGTTCAGACCTGCGCCGCTCGCCATGACCGCGAACGCCCATGTCAGCGACAAGGAGATGAGGCGGGGAACTCTCAACGGGACAGACGACGAGCTCATTGTGCACAGCGAACGAGCGGGGGAGGAGAGTACGAGGAAGATTTGTGGGGCAGACCTTTTATACTGTCTCTGCTCGATCGTCGATTCGTCACTGTCAGCCTGTTTTGGTGCAGATCCTGCAAATAAGCGATTACACCCCAAAAAGGAAAACCAAGAACGATGTGCAGCACATGCTACTAGTGCATGTGCTTGGAAGGGGTGCGGAAAGCTTTGAAGGAGATATATAGCATGGACATTAGGCGATTGCAAAGGGATCGAGGAGGTCGAGGAGTAGAATGTGATTCTCCAGGTGGCTTCCTTTGCGGAAAAATCGTCCAGGGAGGGTACGATCATGAGAGGGCAACCACAATCACGAGACCCGAAAGGCACAACCGTGCATGTGAGTTTCCGGGGCAGTAAGATCACTACGACGACAAGGAAAACCTCGAGACAGGTATAGAGTACAATGAGGAAATCAGACACAGTGCCGGAGCTCTCTTTATTCGGATCCACAGGCCGTCTATGACATGAGCAAGACCACATAAGCGCAGGGGTTTGGTGGAGAGTCCGAGAGGGTTGCCTGAGAAAGTCTTGCACCTCCACATACATACCCCACATGCACCAAGGTGAGGGCCGCCGCTGAGCAGAGAATGCCATTTTCGACCGGGGCTGAATCTGAATCAACAAGATCGCATGCACAGTAACTGCCCAATCCTGAGACACGGGCAACCGTATGTGCCCGCATTCCTGTAGATTCCTGTAATATGCCCGTTAACCAGGAACCGTCCATGCGGTGAGCAATGCTTGAAAACATACGAGATGGACTAAACCACAATACTCCAAATATGCGGATCCTTTTCGGTTGACGGCGGCGTTGGAAAGTCATATAGGCTACAAGCAGCGGAAAGCGGTTATATGGCAATCGCCGTCCTGAGCCCACTACGGTCGTGAAACTGTATGTGCGGCAGAGATTGACCACCGACAACGGAGTGCTTCTTCGATATCGGAGTGTCCTAGGCCGCAAGGCAAATTTGGGGGAAAAAAGCTTGATGAGCATTCTGGCACCATCTTCGCGAGCAGCGAGGAGTTCGACGTTGAGTAATGGCCCGACAATGGAACATCAAAGCATCGTTGCGAGCAACTGGCAGCAGGACCCGGGAAATTCCCACTAAATGTCGGTTCACAATCTGCTAGTGTTTCGTCCATATATGGAAGGAGGGTTGGTTCAAAAATAATAGGCGTCTCCTAGTCTTACATAATACTCCCACGCCTATGTTGGTTATGATCGTCTCCCACCTTATCTCCTCATTCCCAGACGTCGATTCTCTGTCTCCTACCAAAGTGTCCCCCCGCAGGTTGTTCATCACGCACACATTTTGAAGCCGAGGGTGATCATCGTTGGAAGCTGGCACCTGGAGCCGCGATATTGAGCCCATCTGGTAGGTCAGAGGTCAGCTTACACGCTTACTTAGTGCTGTTTTCTTACGTTCTACTGCAGCAGGCTCGCCTCCTTGTCGATTGGCCCTCTGCACCCGCACCACAGGCTCACTGGAAGAAGTAGATCCCAACAAGAAGAACTCTCTTAAATATATTCCGCCCAATATCCAAGTCCATCGCTTTATTCCATTGGCCCGCTACAGCCTCGTTCTCCCTTGTGCGCACACACCTTGGGTAGATCGCGATGCGAAGAACACGCCGGAAAGCTCAATGGCTTACGTCCAATATGTATATGATCTTGATCTCGCAGTTACTCCATTGTCGCGCTTTAGCTATAAAATACACCGAGTACCATTTGAATGCTTATCTGTTTCTCATATTGATGTCGTCTGTATCTGACCCCATCAGCGTTGACAACGATGTTCCTAGTGATCAAGCCAACTCACCCGCGACATCTTTGGATCTATGGATTGGTAAAGGTGATGCCCAAGTTTTGTGTTAACGACACGGTGGACTGATCAAACAAACACTAGGTCGTAAATATGTTGATGTACCAAAACTTGTCTCGAGCGAGTTATCTCGCCGTGTATCTCTCTCGGCAGCTTCTCGGAACCTCCTACCACCCGACCACATCTCAATTGCTCAACTCTTGCATTACCAACCACCGCATTTATCCCAAGCGAATCAATTTATCATCCCCTCGTCCTGTTTTTCTGCGGAACCTCATAACACAGGTGCTGGCTGGCTATGCGACAATCCTATTCCTTCACGGGACTTCCTTAACAAGCTTCGCAATGAATCCGGTCAGGCAATGCTAGACGGAAAGAAGTCTATCCGATATTGGGCAGCGACCCATGTATACCTGCCATTTGAGGCTCTCGGTTTCTGGGCTCTCCTTACCGACCTACACGACGCACGCCAAATCTGGATTTCGGCAAAGCGTTGGCTAGACACACACTCTATAGCCTCAGATACAAGCCAGCAGCGCCGATTTAAACTTGTATTGGAGCGTACAACCTGGCGCGGCCTTATCCCGCGATTGGGCCGAAGTGCTTCAAAAAATGAAATGGCGGGATTCTTATCCCAGGGAATGCTATCAACGAGTCACATCGATACTATGCTACTACGAATGCGTTGTCGGCTACGCTCAGATCCACCAACCCGTGCATCTGGGCATAAGGTGGTTCCATCGAGCACATTCGACGCGGCCTTACGTGCACTCGGTGAAATGGCCTCTCCGTACTTTGAAGACACACCGCCAAGCGAACTTCATGTGATTGGTGTTGCGCTAGCAAGGCTCACGGAATCTGACACGGCTCAGATCTTCTCAGTTGGTTACTCGCACCCATACCATTGGGGGGCGTTTGTTATCACCGTCTCAGGTGCTCGAATACAGCTGCGATGGGGCGACTCACTCAGGCGCGCCATTCCATCGACTCTTCTCAAGGGCTTCAGGAAATGGGCTAGGCACCATGTCCCGCGACGATTTTTGACAACCGACAAGGGCTTACAATGCTCGATACAGCCTCTCGGGGATGCATATTCGTGTGGAATTATTGCGGTCAATGCTCTGCACCACGAGTTGTTTGGAGACGCCCTTTGGATGAACAAGAGGCGTGATTCACTGCGCTTAGAGGAGTTCCTAGCATCAATGGAGTACTGTAACGAACAATCGGTAAGACTTCGCTATAATTAAAGCATAGAACCGTCTAATTCTAGTCAATCAAGGACCCCGATCCGCCTTTGCTACCTTTCCAGCTCCTCATCCAGCCCTCCTCGAGAAATCGGAGCCTTAACACAATCGCTCATTTACCCCTGCCGTCCCAAGTCCTAGCTGCACCCCCGCCGGCTGCACCCCCAGTTGTAACACCAACCACACCTCTGGTGGTACAGACAATCACAACGACAGTTGCGTCACCGGTGAAGCTATGCAAAAAACACGATCGTGCAACAAGCCCTGTTCAGCAGAGAAAGCGCCACTGCGCAGAAGTCACCGTTCCAAAGAAATCCAACGCAAAGAAGTCTGCAAATGCGCAAGTGGCGAACGGCACATTCCAGATTGTCCAACTAAAGTGGGACCGATATGAATGCAAACTTCGCTTGTTGGACGCGAGGTGTCGGCTTTATCCTACCTGCCCTACCAAGCTACGCCATGTCGGCTGTTCGTATTGCGGGAAGGACAAAATCATGACGGAACCATACAGTATTTCAGCGTTCGAAAAGCATGTCGACTTGTGCAAGCGCAAGGCAAATGGGAAGCATGTTCGAACCCTTTCCTTTGCATCAATCTCAAAGCCAGTTGCGACATCAAAATCGCTGCAATCCCCTTGTTCCGGTCTTACACCCGAGCACCATCCCCTTGTTGCACAATATACACAACTTACGGAGGCTTCATCTGCTGGCAGAGTCAGTTATCTTGACATCGCAGCCAAGATGTTCAACAAACAATATGCCGATCTTGACCCAGCACAAAAAGATGCGGTAAATCTTGCGCAACGTACGACACATCGTTGGAATATTGATCACGAAGGTTGTCGAATCTATTCGGTCAATTGCCAGCGGCTGCTAGATGTTCCCCTTGATCCAGACGGCAAACTCCCTACCTGTTCTGAATGTAAATCCCTGCTTGGACTCCACGAGCTCAAGGTTGCGCTCCGTAAGAAACGCGCTTTGGATAAAAAACGTCAATACATTCCACATCGCTTTCAAAATAAGGTCCTTGGAGGGTTGTATGCAAAAGACTGTGGCGGGGTTGTTGCTCAGCTTGTTGATGAGGTACGTATGTTGAATGCGTAGCGCGCACAGAGCACTGAATAAAAGTTTCTAGTCATCCAGTCATGCAAACCTCCTTCAATCCTTTTCACGGAAACTTGTAGAGGGAACTTTCGATGCCAACCCCGTCTTTCTTGATCTTATTGAGGTCATGATCTCGCGGGCGCAGCGGCAGGAGGATGAACATGGTGCACAAAATACACGATACCCACCAGCATTGGATGAGTTCTGCCATGAATTACAGTGTATTTCCCCGCAGGCCTATCGCACATTCAAGCTGCACTTCGCTGGACGCACCGAACGCAGCTTCAAGCACATACGCTCCAAGCACCCTCGCTTGATGCCAGGCATATCATCCCACATGTTCGATCGCGCACAGAAGTACTTGTCCGATTATCAGTACCCGGCAGATGCACCATTAACATGCTCAGTCGATGACACCAAGCTTCTCCCCTCTTTGCAGCCATACCATGATTCAAAGGCATCAAAGTGGTTTCTCATCGGCAATGTTGGGGATCCAATGGAGATCGCCGATGTCAACCTACTGCATGAACAGATCAAGGAAGCAAAGGATCAAAAGGCAACAAAGGCACGGCTTTGGACGGTCGGTATTCCCCTCCCAAATGTCCCCCCCCTTGTTGTCGCTATTGCTCCCATAACAGAAAAGAACTCGGCCATTAAATTGGCTGATATGGAGGAGCGAGTTCTTCGGATCCTCATTGTCGACCCCGCAAAGCCACTCAATATCATCTCTCTTGGCTCAGATGGGACATCTGTTGAACGCCAGGCTCGTCGCGAGCTCGTCCGGCGCGGATTTGCGACTGAAATCATATTTCGTCTTCCTCGTTCAAACCCAAACATACCGGCTGTTACTATAACACTGCTCCGGATTGGTACTCGGCTCCTGGCCATTATTCAAGACTCGAAGCACCTTCGGAAAACCTTTCGGAACAACTTATTCTCTGGTGCTCGCTTGCTTGTCCTTGGCCGTGCCCCCATCTTTTATGAACAGATACGTACAATGGTGTATGACCGAGAGGCTTCACCTCTCTTTCTACGTGATGTTGAGAGGTTGGACCGACAAGATGATCGAGCTGCTGCACGGCTGTTCTCAGCATCAAACCTGAAGCATGCTATCAATTGCAGTCATCACGGCCTAGCAATTTACCTTTTCGTATTCGGGGAACTCTGCGACGCTTACCAGAGCCGAACCATCACTCATAAGGAACGCGTCAAAATGGTCCTTCGTGCAAGCTTCTTCAAAACGATGTGGAAGAACTTTTTGAACGAGAGTGAATATCCACTGTCTCGCCATTACCTTTCCGCAGAGGCAGATGATATTATTGACATCGTCGTCAATGGTCTTCTGAGTCTCATTATTTTGCACCGCGATCATCTCCCTTTCAATCCTCCAATTCCGCTTCAGCCTTGGTCGCATGGTACAGAAATCAACGAACACGTCTTTGGTCTTCTTCGTCAAAACATTGCCGACTTTACAATTCTGGATGCGCTACGTATGATACCGAAGATCGAGGTTCAGTTGATGGCAGCCTGTAAACGTTCTCCAACGGCTGAAAATCTTCGCCAATCAGCTGCTAGCTACTCACATACCTATTTCGACTCAGACTCGTCGATATCAGACATGGCAAGGCTAGCGGACTTTCCTACTGACGATGAGATGGGCTCTATGGCAACAGCAGCTTATGAAGAGGCCAGGGATCTATGGGAGATACTAGGATACTTTCCGTCAGTTGAGAACAGCCCTAACAATGTGGGGCGTGTTCACCCTCCAGCAGTGGACATGGATACCAATTGCGATGATGATGACGATGAAACAGATCTCGATGCACATTCAGATCGGCGGCTTCTCAGTGATGCACTCAAGGCTGCATCAGAGTCTTATGCCATACAGTTGCCATCATCCCGCTCAAACAATTTGCTGGATGAATGTGGATTTGTTGCAGCCGCATTGGATCTGAACGAGCTTGAGAAGCTGTAAGCACCAGTTCGAGGCATGTGGCTCCTCACTAATTTATCTATTCAGCGACTCCATACCGGAGGAAGATCCCGAAACACTGTCCATGTTACGCTCCAGGCTTGGCCAGCTGTTGTCAAGCTTATCGGCACATAGCAGTACGGGCCAAAGTCTTGTGGACGACCTGTTGAATACAGCATCAGCACAATATTCACCGGCATCCTTGACACCGTTGAATTCAAATATTCCTCTAACATCAAATCTTCCATCTATCAATTTCGAGACTCTTGTGGCTACTCGGGAGACTACTCAGAGCAAAGAGACATTACACGCATGCCAGAAGCTCACGCAGACGTCTATGAGACCTGAAAGTGATGACACTCTACCACTAGGACCCGCACCCAAGCTGCCATCAGCTCGCCAACTTCTTGCTCAGAAGATTCACGATGTGCTGAAGGCGGAGCAAACTGAGCAAGGCGCAAGCACAGGATTAAATAGGCAAATGCGGTGGGAGAACTCTGCGGGAACATTAGCCACTGGCAATGCAGCAAATGCGCAAGTTGTGGCCCAGAGAGATGCGAACAACGTAAGTAATCAAATCAATGCTAATTTCATCATTCATCATTCATTTTCAGTTGGTTAAAGCTCGTCAAGTAGCATTTGCTCCACTTCAACGGTTATCTTCATATACTGCTGCAGCAGGCCTAAGCATGGTGGCGCCACTCAAGGATGGGGCATACGCAGTTATTGTCTCTGAAGGGCAGCTTATGATTGGGAAAGGTGAGTTTCAACGACTCATTCCCGACTTTAATACTAATATATAACTGTAAGTGCTTACAATATATCAACGAGGTGGCGGTAAAGTTGCGCGACATGGATGGGTACCTGAGGCTACTAGTGTTGGGGCTATATCATATGTCGGCATGCAAACTTGGGCCGAAATCCCTCGTCGACTCGGCTCTCAGCTTTTCCGCAGCAACTCCCAGAAGGCAACATCCCACCTTGAGCTACCGCGGTTCACGCATCTTCCGGCGGCCTGCTTCCTCTACTATATCCCATCGGCCAACGTCAAGCTTGGCGAGAATGCCTTGAAGCTCGAACTTGCAACACAATTCTTTGAAACTGTTTACCAGCCCCTGGCGGGCTTGAAACCCCTTATTCTGAAGGGTATCAAGGCCCTTGCATCCCGCAAGGAAACAACGAACACTGAGGACTAGATACTTAGTGAACAAGTTGTTTAGCACTTAGATATTACCCCTGCATATTTTCGCATTTTTCTCGTATTTATTTGATTTTTTAGAGGTTGATTCTGTTTATCTCCTACTTTTTCCGCCTCGCGGCGAAGGTTGCTTCGTTTCCCCTAGTTTTCCGGCTGATTTTGGACATTTTTACCTTCTACTTCACGCTCAGAAAAGTGGTTTTTTCGAACCAACATTTAGCGGGAATTTCCCGGGTCCTCTGGCAGCAAGTCTGATGTTTGGGCGCTTCATGTTCCTCGTATCATCACCTGACCTCTCGATCGGTTCAGGGGGTACGACTTCCGATAATCGATTCGTGTTGCCTAATCTCTATGCACACATAAGACCTCGTCAAGAGCGCAAGGACATTGGTCGGGCTTCTCTTGAAGCGTGGGGTGCAAGCCTACATATGTAGCTCGCTAGAAATATGCACGGTCTAAAGCTGCAGACGCAGTAACCCTAGGCTACGTGTGAGGATTTGGACTGTATGAGCCACGTTAGAGCAAAGAAGTAGGTTGACGGCGGTCGTGTTGGTATTGAGAGATGCTACAGTGAGTACGTATGTCCGAATGAAATTGAAGTCCATGGAATTAAGCAAAATATATCGAAGTAAATCAGCGGGGATTGCCTTCCCGGACTTATAAGAGGGTAAGAGTCTAAAGCAATGTTGTCAGCAGCGATATGATGGTCCCTTACTCCCACTTACGACGTCGATTGAGTCTGTGTACATGGAATCGAAGGTAGTGACGTTTGACGTGATGGCAATTTGGTCGTGTGCAGGGCTATACACGAATTTAAGCTGAGGAACCGCTGCAAAATGGATAAACGATGTCAAAGAGTGTGAGTAGGGAGACCGCTTATTACTCACATCCACCATCATTGGCATAATAGGCTGAAACGCGGGTCTGTGAGTGAGCAGGATATCTATGAGGGTATTACACATACGAATGAGTTGCGTCTGGTTGACGATCCACATGTTCGAACGTGGCACAACTACGTCTACAGAAGATATGTCAGTATACTCAACATAGAATTGCACAGGTTAGGACCGTACCGCGAGGAGAGGCCACGAGCTTCAGAACACTGCAAGCCGTTAGCTAATAATCCCCAAGAAGATTGAATCGGCAACTCAACGTACTCTGAACTTCCCGACCCTATGGCCGTATCGGACTGATTCGGTGAAAGGCCCAAGTACGGTTCCCTCACAGATGCTGGCTTCTGCAACGTCTATGAGACATATTGAACGCCGAATCTGACGCTTCGCTCACCTTCATGAGAAGGGTCACTGGCCCGGCGTCGTCTCCTTGCCACCGAACCTGAAGCGCCCCGGACTCGGAAGGAGTAAGCCCAAACGGCTTCACGCGATTGTGAAACGGCCGGGCGACGTAGCCTAATGCCGCACCGTCCTCGCAGCGAGTGACCTTTAGTTTCTTAAACTGCGGCTGCCCTTGGGATCTGGAAAGTTGTATCAGCGACGAGCGTATAATCGGCAGGTACGAACAAGCGCGTACCCAGCGACTGGACTTGGGGAAGGAGCTGCATGCCGGCCTTTGATCGACAACACTCAGTAAAGGACATGTTTTGCCAAGTGCAAGTGAGTTTACCGTGTACGCGAACACGAGTAGGCCGTTTATGTCTTTTTGCGAGTATTTCTGCAAAGCGCTTCGGCGGGAGCGGCGGTAGCCCAAGCGCCATTCGCTCCCCGTTCGTCCTGGGTTCTGGCCCCAGACTCAAAGTCCCCCGATATCCCTCATCAAGAGAGAAAGCCGGTACTGAAAAGAGCGTGATGGAGATGAAGAAGATATGATAGATCATTACAGGCATCCAGGCATAAGAAAGTGAAGGTGGGGCGGACGCCGAGTCGTATTGGTAGGAAAGAGGTCGTAAATGGGGAATGGGGAACCACGTCCATGATGGGCTCAGATAATAAGGAAGGGGGATTCTGCGAGTAACCACTGGTGGGCTGTGCGGGGCCTATCATCATGTTCAAGTTCAAGGTTATTGTTTTCTCTTCATGTGAGCCAGCAGGCACGCTAGAACAACAATCACGACCGGCTTCGTGATGCCCATCATCAACTGTACTTGTACCGAAAAGGTCACAAAGAGAACCCGGCCAGGGTAAAGAAGCCGAGAAGCGGTCTGTTTGCAGAATATGCAGAGACGTTTGAGTCGCTTCCAGTTATAAAAAAGTTGCCATGATTCCTGCGGGCTTGCTGTTGGATCGTTGAGAATACTTTGGTCTTGTCGTCGCGAGAGTAGATGTGAGAAATGCAAGATCGCGACTCTTATCGGATCTAATCTAATCTAGAGCAATCCCCAACCATCTGCAAGAAGTCTGGCCAGGCAGACTTCTTGCAGATGGTTGCTTGTCGGGTCGTAGCCCGTGCCCAACTCTCCGAGAGCACAAACGCTGGCCACTTTTGCGGCGTGCACCATGAGAGTCGCGGGCTGCACGAACTTGAAACAAGCAGTGACAAACAATTTTCTTGCAAGTCTTTCCCTCATTCTGTTTATCACTTGACATCCTTTTGACGCGACAAACGAACACGACCCGCGGAATAGCAAGAGTCACGAATTTTACCTCTATTTCTCCCAGATTGGCCGGGGGATTGGGAGAACTGTTCTGGTCGTCGTGTCAGGCGGTCGTCTTGGTGCTGCGCTGACATCCGAAGGCAGTGCGGCACACCGAACCGGATATCAACGGCTGGCAATGGTGTTCGTCGACAATTGATCGTTGTGGGGGTCGTTGGAACGATTCCTCAGGCCTTCATCTTTGGTTCGTCACCATTTCTGATTGCAATGATGTTAGTTCGTGGTGCTGATTTGATGATGCTTTCAGATAGCCAGGCTAAGAGCATATTCGAACCACGCCCGCATTCCTCCATTGACGAGCGACACACGTACGCAAGCCTAGGACTCAGTGTAAAGACGAATTCACTGGCAGTAGACTCCTCGGGCGGCGATTGCGCTTTTTCCTGCTGGCGTAATTGGCGAGAGTAGAAATAACGGTGGGGGAAGGTCTTCGTCGTCACCATCTCACCCTTCTACCCCGGCCGAAGGGAAGCACAGGAAGCCAAAGTTGAGAATTGTCGCATACACCCTCGAGCCGCCATGTTCATTTATTTGCGTCCTCTGTCCACCCGGCCAATTTCTGGATAGTAATTTGGCCACCTCGAACAAATAAAGCCAACAGCCCTGACATCTACCCATATACTGAGACCCACAGTCACGTTTGGTCTCTCTACTCTCTACCTTCATCCCCCACTTAGATAGGCCGGACAAACGGATTTAAGCATACACCCATGGCTTCGCGAAGCAAACTGAATCAGATCTGCCAATTCTGCAGATGCACACCGCGTACGGAGCTCAAGAAATGCCACAAATGTGGCAGCGTTAGGTGGGTGTTCATTTCCCGTTTGCTTTATTGGCCACCACGAACTGAACAGCTGCTGCGTTCCAGTTATTGCTCGCACGCCTGTCAGCGAGAGGACTTAACGGTAATAGTCACCTTCACCTAAGAGTAGGTTTCAGAGGATAACCTTAATTGACGCGTTACCTAGAATCACCAGCGAGCGTGTCGCGTTGCGCGCGAGGGTGTCATCATCCCGCCTCTCGACTTCTTGAAGACCCGGAAAGAGAAAGAACGCCTCACGGAGATCCTCACTCACTGCGTTCCGCGGTTGCGTACCCTAAGCGAGCTTAGGTGGGCGTACAAGGCCGGAGGTGATTCTAGGTCTGTAGATGAACCTTAGGATTGTCAAGCTACACGATGGTCGTGAGCATCCGCGTACCTTGGGCTAGGTGAGTGTAGCTGGCTGGAGTAGCTCGCTTAGCATAAGACACGTGCCTAGGTTCGTCTAGCTGGCACGACGAAATGGGGGGCGACGCGGACAGCCTCAGCCGGATGAATAGATGATGACATACATTGATATGTCTTCGCACCAAGCCCGCGCGAGGAAGCACGCAAAGTGATGTGTTCAACATCGATGATTTTCATGATATATAGCCTGTATTAATGGTAATTGTATAGAATCAGTGTATGTCCAAAGCGCCAGCAACTTGAAGGCAAGCAATCTATGTAATAAGTGAAAGAGCTCTGGGTTCGTCTTGAGTGTGAAGTAGGAAGCAACCATTGCTGACTGTTAGTGACAGTAAGCAACGGAAACCGCTCACGGAACTATGTTAGAGCTACACCGAGGGCCGGCGTACACAAGGCGTACGTTGACATATCTAGATTAGCCACGGCTACCCTAAGCATTTATTGTAGGGCAAGTGGATTAATGTTTGTGTAGCCGACCTACACGAACCTACGCGTGGCTAGACGACGCTCCATGTGATCGACTTAGGCGCAGTTCGCGTACCTTGGTGTATCTCATTTGCACACTCCTAGACTCAGCCAAACACTGTTCGTCATGGTCAAATAGCTGAACCTCTATGTGTACGTCACTAACATCAGCTACACGAACGTACCCGAACTTGGGCTAGGGAACGTCGGAACGCAGTGACTGCGCTGTACAACGACCTCGCGCGCTGGATGGAGGCGAAGTCCAGTGCCCTGCTTGAGCGTTGTATCAACGACCTCAAGCTCAGGTACACCCCTAGCGCATGCGAGACGCACGTGCTGCGCGTCGTCGTATCGCGCGATGAGATGTGGCCCTCCTCCACGTCGACACCAGGGGAGTTGTTCACCGTTACGAAGTTCCAGGTGATGGATGTGCAGTACGCGCGGGAGTCGATGGTACTATGGAAGGATTGCATGAGGGAGCTGGAGATCCAGCGGAGGGAGGCAAAGGCGAATGGCTTGGGGATGATCGCTGTCGTTGGTATCGAGTGCCCCGCGCTAGCCACGGTGAGGCTCCTCCAGTTTACGGGGGTGGGTCGATATCTTCTGGTGACTCCAGCAGAGAGTGGCCAACGTAGCCATCGAAGGGCTCGGCGATGAACTTCGGAATCCACTACAGATGAAAGCAAATATATACTCTCCAGCCCACAGGCCCTCTGATCTTCGATTATATTCAAATGTGTACCATTCACTACGGCCTTGTACTACCACGACACACTATTCCATGCCGTTGTACCAAATCCAGTGCGAATTTAATAAACTAACCATCAGTGCCGGGACTCCGGGTGGGCCCGTTTTCTTATATGAAATACATTACATTTCCTAAACTTCCTAACGTGCTCCCAATGCCCTCGAGAAGGAGCTTTACTTTGTTACATAATTTATTTTTACCCAAATATTCTAAGTCCGAGTTGAAACGGATACTTACTATTTACCGCCAACTTCGACCTTACACTCATTCGTGACTTCTCTTCTCTTCCTGTCGACAATGACAGTCCTTTTATCTTTCGTTCCGGCTCGACAGCCCTTTAATCTCTTTGCCGCAGCGCTGCACAGGGTCAGCGTGCGCCCGATAAGAGAACGAGGCGAAAGCGAGGCCGAGATCATATATAAAGGCACTGGATTCAATGAATGAGATGCAAGTGTAGTCGCGCTGCGCAGGGATATCGCTTCCTTCCCCCCTTCCCTCTTATACACACCGTATACCATCTACATCATCGCTCAGGACCTTCTAGTTCTAGTATGCGCGTCTGCCGCTGCACCAGCGCTATTGGCGGCTTTTTGTTGCTATTACGGGCCGAGGAGGCTTACGGCTGGTTCCGTCTGCCATGCACACACCCGTTGGTCGAAGGTCCGTTCGTCCTCACTATTATCTAGCATGACTGCCGGATGGGATTTCGTCGCTGAGCCTTGGTGTTAAAAACAGACCGTATCGACCCGATAGGCTTCCCCGGTCAAGTACCGTCCCAACATCTTCACGTGAGATACGTAATCCTTTGTTATCCAACGTTGTTTTCTAATCGCTTCATCCCGATTCGCAACTCCTGTGTGTTGATAGACTGTTCACGGAGGATATAGTGAGATCTTCACTCGTGGCTGAAAGAAAGCATCCGTGTCATAGCTTATTACTGCTCTCCATAGATTTCAACTCTACAAGCACGTATGACAGCCTACGCGCCTCGCGCTGCACCTCGTGCCAAGTCGCTCAGGTATCCCAACTATCTCTCTTCGCGTCAATTCCGGGTCTTACTTACACTTGGACTCGTCGCCTTAGGATCTTTCGAACTATTGTGCGTACTTTCAGCACCAAAAATCTTACCTCCCCCCTTCCACACCAAATACAGGGTTCCCAACGTTGTACTTCCGCGACCCGAAGACCCACCAATACGAAATGGTCCCCAATGGCGGCCTCCTCGTCTACTACCAGAACCGGGGCAAAGGCGACGTTGCGAACGGCGGGTCGGGCCTGAAGGCGTTCCCGCCAGGGTTCAAGATGATCAGCGGTGACCCTACGCGTCGGGCGAAGAAGTGAGTCATAATATAAATACACATTTACGCAGACATGCGCACACTCGTAGCTAGCAGTGCTAACTGTATAAATTTATTGATATTGATGTGATGCAGGTACACAGAGGGTATGGGGACGCAGGAAGAACTAGCTGAGCGTGCTATCACATATACGTGCTTGAGGTACACGACAACGAACGAGGACGTGTATTGTGAGCCCTAATATTGGCCTGAATGAGGTGTTGGGTGCTTATTATTTGAGACAGCTTACGGCTTCCCATCGACGGACTGCGAAGCAGGGTTCCAAGGCCGCGTTCACATGCCCTCATGTTGGGATGGACAGGTTAGTCTCCCGCAAATTCCACTCCCGGGACGTACTGACACGGCGCCTTCGCCACCCATTCTTGTCTCTTCGCTTTGTCACCTTCGCCTTGTCCCCTTCAGAACCTTGACTCCCCGGATCACAAGTCGCACGTCGCATTCCTCTCAGGCTTAGACAACGGCGAGTGCCCACAGTCGCACCCCGTGTACCTCATGAAGCTGTTCTACGAAGTCACCTGGGACGTGCACCATTTTTCCGCGCGGTGGACAGAGTCTGATGGATGGCCGTTTGTATATTCAACTGGGTGCGTCTCTCCGCTACATAATACACCACATACCATATAACATATACTCTCGCGGTGCTCATTCCTGTGAACTCAACAGCGACCCCACCGGCTATTCGTGGCACGGCGACTTCCAGAACGGATGGGACGTCACGTAGGTCCACCTCTCTCCGTGCTCTGTCGCGCCGCTCAGGCTCAATTCTTGCATCGAAATCGAAGTGTGTTGCAGGACGCCATCGACCATTGCAACAACGCGAACGACGACACGGCGAACGGCGTCGTTTCGGCGTGTCCCCTCTTCACGATCATCGACGCCGCGACAGCCGATCAGTGCGACCTTGCAGCATCGGTGAGGGAGAGTGTTGTCAGTAACTCCACGAAACTACCAGGGTAATTGATCCTCCATCCTCCGTCCTATGTTCCAAACCACTATAACATAGTGTGGAATCCGCCATGTACAACGGTCTAAAGGTGTTGATATCTCCTCTAGATGTAATCCTCTCCAAGCCGGACCTACGGATGCGACAGGGTACACGGATGACAACTGTCCTAATGGGGCCGGCGACGCTGAAACCAAGCCAGTCGCCCGAGGTCATGGCGGCAAATGCAGATTGACGAAGAAGCGGTTCCAATGGTAGACCGTCTTTCCATCATAGAATTTTGGTAGAAGCTTTGTGGCAGCGTAAGCTTGCTATTATCATCTATTATCTTTGTACGTGAAGCGATAACTAGATTATACAAATCCATATTACATGGCCGATTAATATTACACTGTGCACTATGTGTTGCGCAAGAAACCGCCGGTGCGGCTGTTCAAGTTGTCTACGCGGTTGACATCCTTGAGGCACGACTGAGTAACCCAATCTCTGATTACATTAGATGCTTTCTTGCTGAGAAGTTGATAAAGCCGCTCTTCACCTTACGAGCGCGCAATTAACGTACCTGGAGACTCTGCATCAGATGCTTTGGGTGTAAGTATCACGGCCCCTGGCCAGCTGCGGTAGCACCGTCATGGACCGCCCTCCGAGAATGGATAAGGCCCCGCGTCTGCGCGTGCATGCGTTCCGCACCTCTCTACCACTCATCCAGCTTTGAGTTAAGATTGTGACTTGCGCGGTAGGGTACCGCCGGGGGAACAACATCGCTTGAACATCGCCGTGTCATTGACGCGCTCCCAGTGAGATCCACTAGTCCGGCAGCAATGCGTACACTTCTCTCACGTTTCCGCCAGTGGGCCACATAATTTCCGGTTGCCGCTTATGCATCTGCATCAGTAACTCTCACAGGAATAGCAGACCATTGACCAATGGTGGGTTACTGCGCACGCCGCCGACCACTGGCGCGGGCCAATCCCGTTTCTTACCTACGGGCAGTGCATCTTTCAAATTGACAGAACATTGACTGACCCACGACTGATATCGATTTCGACCTCTCAAATATATCGTCCTGCGCCCCCAGTCTGCAGTCGGCATCAAGACCAAGCCAACGGGACCCCTGGCACTGGTTTCTTGGTGATACCGGAGTGTTGCTTCACGATTCACGTATCACTGCATAATATGTATCACTTGTGAGATGTTTCTAGTGCACTCATACAACGACCAAATTTGCTTTGAAATCACAGTAAAACCGGATTTAAATGTGGGACATGTTTGAAGGTGAGAACGAGTTGGCGCCGAGGCGCCGAAGATGAATTACCATATTTGGGCATAAAACTATGGGGTCCTGCCCCTTGCTACAGGCTTAGACTTACGGTCATCATCTTAGCCTGCACACTCACATCTTTTCCTTCATTTCGCCCTCGTTCTGCTCCGTGCTGGCCTCGGTGCAGTCTGAACGACTTTTACAACATAACCAAAGTCGTTTTCAGCTGTAATCATCACTTAAATGACTTTCGTCAAACGAGGAAAGAGCCATCCGGATGACATGGACACGGACGAGGAGAATGACGAGACGATTGACCCCGAGCTGAGGCTGCGCACAGTGCGCACGGCTGCGTCTGCAATTGCAGAGTCCATTGTCTCGGAAGCGCGCATGGAGAGGAGGAAGACGATGAGGAGGAAGAGGAGCTTTTTTCGAAGAGGCAGCGAGAAGAAGAAGCCACCGCCAACGAGTGCGCCTGAGGGGTCACCACCATCGACAGCAGTCACGGGGACAAGGAGAAAGGTGTACTTCAACACCCCCCTCAGCGCTATGGAGGTAGACCGCAACGGAGAACCCAAGATCAGGTATGTGCGAAACAAGGTTAGGACGAGCAGTGAGTCCCTCGTTTTTATTTCATGGTGCTCGCTTCCTCAGCCGGAACAGAGTATACAGCTATCACATTCCTTCCGAAGAACCTCTACGAACAATTTAGACGGTGCGTACAGTCGTCGTTTGCTATGTCAGTATGTTAATGCAACGCAGCGTGGCGAACTTGTACTTTCTGGCTCTCGTCGTGGTTCAAGTGTTCCCAATCTTCGGCGCGGCATCCGCCCAGACGTCCATGCTCCCGCTCGTGTTCATTCTGACCGTCACAGCCATCAAGGATGGCGTGGAAGATTATCGGCGCGCTATTCAAGATGACATGGTCAATAATTCAGCCGCTACGAAGCTCGCGGGCGCCTTCCACAACGTCAACCAACCCACTGACCCACGCTCGTGGATAGAGAAAATTCTCGGACTCAACAAGCCGGGCAGCGTCAGCAAGGGGGTGAGGAAGCTAAGAGAACGTGAGGCGAGTGAAGCAGGGCTTGGCGTCAGGGGCTTGGCGGTTCCACCTCGAAGCGGTGCCTATGACTCTGAGAGCGTCCTTGGTGCAAACAGCTTGGACTACCATGCTCGAGGGGCCGGCGGCAGGCGGCTGGAGGACATACAAAGCGTCGATTCTCACAGTTATCCTCCCGATCTGTCCAAAGTTTCACTCTCTTCCAGTTCCACGCAGCTGATGAAGCCGTCATCAGAGTTCGGTCAAGTCGCCCCCCCTCTTCCCAGCATGAGTCTCGACTCCTTCCAACAGTCTACAATGTCTCAGTCTACTCTTGGAGTTAGCGTTGTGGATTGGCGCAAGCGATCGAACGGTTCAGTACACTGGGATCGGACACTCTGGAAGAAACTGGAAGTTGGCGACGTCGTTCTCTTACGCGACAATGACCAGGTACCAGCGGACATCATCGTACTGGCAACGAGCGACCCGGACGGCATGTGCTATCTCGAGACCAAGAACTTGGACGGCGAGACAAATCTCAAAGCTCGAAAAGCATTGAAAGCCACTACAGGCATTGCCAGTGAAGAGGACCTCGAACGCAGCGCCTTCGTACTTGATTCAGAACCGCCACATCAAAACCTTTACGTGTATAATGGGGTTCTGCGATTCAATGATCCTTCATCGCCGGACAAGGAGCCTAAGCAAGAACCTGTGTCCATCAATGAAATGCTTCTTCGGGGATGCGCTCTTAGGAATACTCAATGGGTGATTGGCTTGGTCGTTTTCACTGGTGCTGATACGAAGATCATGATGAACGGTGGCGACACTCCGTCCAAGCGTAGCAAGATCGAGAAGGAGACAAACTTCAACGTCGTGGTCAATTTCATCGCACTCATTTGCATGTGTCTGATTGCTGGCACCGTTTCTGGTATCCAAGAGGATAGAGACAATACGAGCGCCGATATCTTTGAAGATGGGGTTCAGCCGACAGATTCTACCGTTATCAACTCAATCATTACTTTCGTGTAAGTTATTTCGCTTCATACTCGCCTTGCTGCCGTTCACATCAATTATTCGTAGGTCATGTCTCATCGCCTTCCAGAACATTGTCCCCGTCTCGCTCTACATTTCCGTCGAAATCGTCAAGACCATACAGGCGTACTTCATATCTCAAGATATCGATATGTATTACCCTCCACTTAGCACAGCCTGCGTACCCAAGACGTGGAATATTTCGGACGATCTTGGTCAAATCGAGTACATCTTCTCCGACAAGACTGGTACCCTCACGCAGAATGTCATGGAGTTCCAGAAATGTTCGGTTCACGGTGTGGCTTATGGCGAGGGTGTCACCGAAGCACAGCGAGGTGCGGCGACGCGCGACGGTAAGGCGGATGCGATGGACCCGGAGGAATTGAATGCGAAGCTCGACGCTCTCAAATCCCAAATGACGAACACGATGGAACGCGCCTTCAAGAATCGCTACGTCCAACTCGACAAACTTGCGCTGATCTCACCCAAGCTCGCTGAAGATCTCGCAGACCGGTCCTCAGAGCAGCGCGCGCATCTGATAGCCTTCTTCCGGGCGCTCGCGTTGTGCCACAGTGTCCTGTCCGACAAACCCGACCCGCAGAATGACCCTTATCATCTTGACTACAAGGCCGAGAGTCCCGATGAGGCCGCTTTGGTCGCTGCGGCGAGGGACGTTGGGTTCCCATTCATCGGTAAATCGAAGGATACGCTGGACATTGAAGTCATGGGTCAGTCGGAGAGGTACACGCTGTTGCGGACACTCGAATTCAACTCGACGAGGAAACGGATGAGCGTTATCTTGCGTTGTCCGGACGGCAGGTTGATCTTATACTGCAAGGGTGCCGATAGCGTCATTTATGCACGTCTCGCCGACGATCATGACCCAAAGCTCAAAGATCAGACTAACCGCGACATGGAATCGTTCGCTAATAATGGCCTACGGACGTTATGCATAGCCTACCGATGGTTGACTGAGGACGAATACTTGCTATGGGGCCGGACATACGACGCTGCGGTCAATGCCACCGAGAATCGAGACGAACTGCTTGAGCAGGCAAACGAGCAGATCGAACATTCGCTTCGGATTTTGGGTGCTACTGCTTTAGAGGACAAACTTCAAGAGGGAGTTCCGGACGCGATCGAACTGCTCCACAAGGCCGGCATCAAGTTATGGATTCTCACTGGTATCTCAACTCATACACTCATAGAATTCGGTGTTAATCCCTCTTGTCTATAGGTGACAAAGTGCAGACGGCGATCGAAATCGGATACAGCTGCAACCTACTAAAGAGCGACATGGAAGTCATGATTCTATCCGCCGACTCTCATGAACAAGCCCGTTCGCAAATCGAAGCCGGATTGAACAAGATAGCCTCTATCCTCGGACCGCCTAGTTGGGACCCTCGCAAACGCGGTTTCTTGCCCAACGCCAAGGCCTCGTTTGCTGTTGTCATTGATGGCGACACCCTGCGACACGCGCTCAGTGACGACTTGAAGCCCATGTTCCTCAACCTTGGTACACAGTGCGAGACGGTTGTCTGCTGTCGTGTCTCACCAGCTCAGAAGGCATTGACCGTCAAACTGGTGAGCAACCCTGACCTCAGACGTCTGTTAGGATGTTGATGGAATGCTGGATGCCCTTAGGTCAAGGAGGGCCGCAATGCTATGACTCTTTCGATCGGCGACGGCGCGAACGACGTGGCTATGATCCAGGAGGCCAACATTGGTTGTGGGCTTTTCGGTCTCGAGGGCTCTCAAGCTGCTATGTCCGCAGATTATGCATTCGGCCAGTTCAGATATCTCACGAAGCTACTTCTCGTGCATGGTCGATGGTCGTATCAACGTATTTCGGAAATGCACGGCAACTTCTTCTACAAGGTATGAATTTGTCAGCTACTCGCACTTTCCAGGTGCTTATCAACGTGGCACCGTTAGAACGTCGTTTGGACTTTCGCGCTATTTTGGTATCTTCCATTCAATAAGTACGTAATCCCTTTCATGGTTCCGCATCTGAGGCTGAACCGAATGAAATTCTAGCTTCGATGCCACTTATCTGTATCAGATAACGTTCATCCTCCTGTACAATGTCGTGTTCACGTCTCTTCCTGTTATCGTTCTCGGTGGTATGTCCGGATCGGTGCTGACGCAAAACGGACGCAGCTGACGCTCTAATGATAGCCTTCGACCAAGATATCAATGCTAAAGCCGCACTGGCCTTCCCACAGCTCTACGTTCGTGGCATACGGGGCCTTGAATACACCCGTGCCAAGTTCTGGATGTACATGTTGGACGGACTGTATCAGTCAACGATCGTTTTCTTCTTCCCCTACTTCGTCTGGTCCCTCGGTCTGGCTATCTCGTGGAATGGAAAGGGCATCGACTCTCTCGCGGACTTCGGTACTACCGTCGCTGTCGCTGCTATATTCGCAGCCAATGTGTACGTGGGAATGAATACGAACTAGTGAGTGCTTGATCTTCCATTGGTGTACCTTTAGCTGATCATTCGCTGCTTCTAGCTGGACTTTCATCACCTGGATCGTGGTCATCGGATCATCCGTGGTCATGCTGCTGTGGATCGCCATCTACTCATTCTTCTACAGCTTTGATTTCATTGATGAAGTCATCGTGCTTTTCGGTGGTGTAACTTTCTGGGCGGTTGTTTTCATCTCCGTCGTTGTTGCTCTTGGTAGGCTCTTTCGTACTCAGACGGCGTCTGCCTTGCTTATGATATATTTATTGTACAGCCCCGCGCTTCCTTTACAAGTTCATAGCTCAAGTCTATTTCCCGCTTGACAGAGATATCATACGCGAAGCGTGGGTCATGGGCGACCTCAAGGATCAATTAGGAATACGCCACCGAAATCCCAAGAAGAACACGAATCTCGGCGATCCTGAATCTGTACCCATGTACAGCGCCGGCCATGGTCGTTCGTTTTCCGAGCTGTCTGTAAACAACACTTATGAACCCACGATTCCCGCCTCAGGTCCTCAAACGAGTCCTCTAGTGCGGGAAGTACATCCAATTCAGGCGGACATGTATTTCTCTCCAACATCCAGTCCTAATCCGCGCCATAGCCTAGTACCCGACGCCGCTAGGAATGTGTCGCCCGCTCATATTCATGATACCCGCAACGATGTCACCTCTCGCTCCTCATATTACTCAGTATCCGAACTCCCACCAGCGTCACCGCTACCCTCACCTAGATATCGATACCCCTCAGGAGAAGTTACCAACACGCCCCCGCCACGAAGAACATCGACAGCCACGCGTACATCAGTGCATTCGCGGACACTGTCACCTGCTGCGCCACAACCTAGACCACTTCAACCGTCACCTCAGGGGGGACTGGTCAGGCGGCTGAGCGGCGCTAACACCGACGGACAAGTGAGTCCAGGAGCGTACGAGATGCGAGTCCGCAGTCCGCCGCAGGAGTCCTATGGCCATCTCGGTCATCAGGGAGAGCGGTCAGCGACCGATGCTTCGTACGCCACTGCCCAGGATGACTTCGAAGTTGTCGACGACACTTTCGACCCTCCAATACGGGGTCAGTCGCCGTATGGGTATGCTCGTCAGCAATCACAACATCAGCATCAGCTGTATCCTGAAGAACAAAATCCACCAGGTAGCCGGCGAGCCAGTGGCCAGTCATGGCAGGGTGGTGTCGCGATGTAATACTACTACGCACTTGTTCTTCTCATGGGTTTTATTTTGCAGTTGCTAGAGATGTATCTTCGACCTAATCGTAACAACACTTTCTTTCATATTCCAATGCTTGATGTTGCTATTTACTCATATCCTTTTTTATGCTTATTGTTCCCTCTCTCAGCATCGTACATACCATTGGACCTCTCACTCGCTTACCGCGCTATTTCTTGTGGATCTCTACTTATAACGCAATGAAGGAATGTCTACCATGATCACGTCTCCCCTATGAAACCCACAGGGGTCACTGTTGAGGTTGCGCATGGCCCTGTGCATCTCAACCTCTCACGTCCATCTAATCCATCCCTGCTGCGCGTTTCCTTGACATTTCGCTGAAGACTCCTCGTGCAGGGTCCATACGTCGGACGTGTTCAACGACCGACTTTCACCCACACCCACGAGGTACGCGTTCAGCAGCCCTATTTTTCTATTCGCTTCACTTTGAAGACTGCTGATGACCGTGGCCAGTAGGTGCCTATGTAGCGCGTCGAACGTTGACGGTCAACCTCAACAGACAGCGGTAGAGGTTCGTGCATGTCGTCCTTTTTGACGCATATATGCGCTCATTTCGCGCGTTTGCGGTATTTGATAGGCTCATCGTGGATGTCGCGCGATATTCCGTGGTTTTTGGTGGCCGTCACAATCGTTCTGACGAGAAACGAAGGCTCTGATGCTCGTCGAGAGTTACGTGAACAAGGCTCCGATTTTAGGAGATTTGCGGACCGGTATCGATAACAGAGTCCTAAATCCTTTTATTTGATCGCCGGGAACTTGCAGTGGCTAATGTTATTTTTTTTTTTTTTTGGTCTCTGTTTAACGTCCATCGGAGGTGCTCCATGCGGACGGCTCTGTACTGCCTGTATCTAGTTCTACCTGTATGTACTTATAAGTAAATAAAGGGCCCCATGCCCACCTTGACCCCTAGCTCGTCTTGCACGACAGACGGACGGTCCTAGACCTCGTCCCCCTGCCGCCCAGCGACAGAAACCGCCGTTTTTCGGACGCTAGTGTGTTTATGGGTAGCCATATGGTGTGGGTTGGACGACTTCTTGGCCTGTGGCCTCTCTTGTTAGGTGCTCGTCCCGAGGGAGAGCGAGTCCGTGGCTATCTGTCAAGGTAAGAAAAGTAAAGTCTTGAGGGAGTCTTGAGGAGTTGCTGCCAGAAAACCTTCACCTACCCCGCCAGATTGCGGCCCGCGCGCGAGCAAATCGCGGTCGTGGCCTTCATCTGTGCCGCGCCGCCCCTTCCCGCCCTTTCTTCTTCTGCTGTTCCTTCTTCTTCCCCTTCCGCTCCTTCTGCCTTTCCCTCTTTTCCTTCAGTACGGCCGCCCTTCTAGGCGCGACTAGGTCTCCTTCCAGACTGCCAAAGGGGTTGTCAAAGCGCCTGGTGCGTCGGACGTAGGCGATGGTGGCCTCCGTCCCTCCTGCTGTGGATAGCAGCACTTTCAGCGGTAGGTCGAAATTCTTGCACTCTGTCTGCATCGTTGCCCGCTCCACGTCGTACGCTGGGCACTCGAGTAGGTAGTGTCGGACTGTTTCCTCCTTGTCGTTACAGTGGGGGCAGAACGGTGAATCGGCTTTCTTAATTCGGTGAAGGTGCTGGTTGAGAGGAACATGTCCGGTACGAAGTTGTGTGATGACGCTAGTGCGATTCTTCTTCCAGTCCCCGACCATGCCCAAATACTTCCCAACCTTCAGTGTCGGGTCGATCCTGTCTAGCTTTGGCTTTCGAACAGACTTGCGCCACGCTGCCTCCCAGCGGAGCGGGATGCGCATGCGCGCTACACGTCGTACAGCTGCTCTGCTGGAGGGTAGTCTTGGGTGGTCAGTGAGTAGGGAGGGGAGGTGCTCAGCTGGGTGCGCCACTCCTGTGGCTGCTTCTTTTGCCAGCACGTCTGCCCGCTCGTTGCCCACGACATCATCATGCGCTGAGATCCAATGCAGGCTAATGTTGAGGGGAGTCGCGGCCTCCGCTGCCCTTTCTTTGGCGAGCTTTAACGTATCTTCGACCCGCTCCAGGATGTATTGTCCTGTGCCTCTCTTGCCCGATTCCAGCCGTTGGATTACGGACTGATTGTCCATATAGATCTCAACCTCTCCCTGTAGGTTTTTTGTCAGTACCTCGTTCGATGCAAGAAGGAGTCCCACCGCTTCGGCATCAAAGGTGGTGTAGTGTGTGAGCGGCCCTAGTGTGTGACTCGTTGCTGCAATTTCCCCTTCACCATGGTGAACGACCGCTGCTGCTCCGGCGCCACCCTCGTAGCCCGACCCATCCACATAAATCTTGTAGTCCGCGGTTGAGCTGGCCTCCCGCTCTTTGGAGTCGTCCCGAGAGGCTGCTATGTGTGTTGGGATGGGGCAGGTACTACCAAGCCTCCTGTACGAGGTCGCCTGGATGACTTCCGTTTCTGCTGGCTTGATGTCGTAGAGCCTCGTGAGTGCGATGATGGGGGGAACGTGACTGCCATGATAGCTGTGGGTCCATGTCAGAATCTCACCCACTGGGTGTGTACCTGGCAGTGTCGCCGCCCTCGCCGTGTTCCTGTGGCAAATGAAATCCAGTGTATATTCCAACGGTGGAAGGCTGGCATGCAGGTCCAGCACATCGTTGGCGGTGGTGCGCATGGCCCCAGAGATCGCTAACGCTGCTATTCGCTGTGCTTTGGTGAGGATTTTCAGTGTCCTGACGGACCCGATTCTGCGCTTACGCCCCTCTGGTAGGCGGACTGGGGTGTACCAAACATCCAGTGCGTAGGTTAGCTTTGGGACAGCAACAGCGAGATATAGCTGCCTGAGGAACCTAGAACTTATCCCTCCCCCGACACGCCCTAGCCTCTTGAAGGCGTTAATCCACTGGACAGTCTTGCTGAGGGCGGCCGCTGTCTGTTCCTTCCACCGAAGGTGCTCGTCGAGTATAATCCCTAGGATTTTGTACGATGACTCGCGCAGGACCTCTTGACCTCGTAGTAACAGGGTGGGGTGCTCGGTGTCGTCGGGTGTGAAGTTTACGATTCTGAGTTTGCTGGCCTCGAAGCGGGAGTTGTGGGTGCCCGACCACTCATAGCCTCCTCCGCGGCGTGTCATCATGTCCGTTAGCTTGCGGTGTGCACCTTGCGTGGTCTTGGCCTCTGCTATGAAGGTGACATCGTCAACATAGGCGATGGCGGCCTCTCGCTTGGCGGCATCTGGAACGTCTACCAAGTCAGCGTTGTAAAAGAGATAGAGAATCATTGAGATGGGATCTCCCTGCCCAATGCCGTTGTCCACGTCGATCCAGTCGGACTTGTAGTCGTCAAAGACCATGGTGGTTTGTCTGTGAGAGAGGAGGTTTCGGACGAAGTTGATGAATTCCGGTGGGATCCTGCGCTTGCGAAGATTGGTCAGTAGTTGGTCAGTTACCGCATTCGGGAAGGCAGCTTCGATGTCTAAGAAAAGTGCAGAAACCACCCTTCCTGCGCCCCAGGCCCTCTTGATTTTGGTGGTAAGCGTGTGTAGTGCGTCGCTCGTTGTCCTGCCTGGGCGTCCCCCAAAGTGGTGGTCTGGGAGAAGATTGTGCTTCTCGCACATCTCTACCAAGTCCTCAGTGACCAGTGCCGTGAGAACCTTGCCCATCGTGTTGAGTAAGGCAATCGGCCTCCATGCCTTGGCCAGATCATACCGGGGTTTGCCCGGCTTCTTGAGGACAATTGTGGTCCATCTCTTCCAGGCTAGTGGGTAGTGGTTCAGGCGAAAGATTGCTTCGTAAATCTTGGTCAGTATGGGGGTGAGCGTGCCACTGCATTTCATGAGGACGACGTTCGGAATTCCGTCTGGCCCGCAAACCTTGTATGGCTTGAGTCTGGCGATGACATTGCTTGTCCTATATGTTGAAGTATTGAAATTGTGCGGAACTGGCTCTGGGAACGTCTCGGGTGCGGTCGCCTGAAAATCTCGGGGGCGTTTGGGAAAGAACATGTCAGCGAGCATGTGCCCTTTCTCCTCGTTAGAGGCAGCCTCCTTTTGCGTACCATCGGGCATACTGAACTTGAGAGAGGGGACACGCACCTTGCCTCCATCCGATCCCGGGCTGGAGATATACTTGTTGGCTATCCACAGTTCCTGAGGATCGAGGTCTTCAAGGAAGTCCTCCCAGTGTGCCGTCTTGATCTCCTCCAGGCGCCGCTTGTACTTGACGCCAAGCTGCCGTGCCTCATCGTGGACTGGTGACGCCACTCCCCGGAGTTTGTGTGATGCTCGCTTTGCCCTGGTGTGCTGCGTGCGAAGGGTTTCCAGCTCGGAGTTCCACCATCTGCGGTTGTAGGGGGCGATGCCGCTCTCCTTGATCGTGTCCTTGATGACTCCCTGCAAGAGCCCCGTGAGCGTGTCGACAGCAAGGTCGATATCCTCGGTTGTGCTGAGGTGGTTAGGAATTCCAGCACCAGGGAGGCGTGCGGTGAGTTCATCGTTGAAAACCTTCCAGTCCACGAGGCGAAAGTTGCGTGTGCGTCGCTCTTCGGCTAGGTCGGTGGAGAGGTCTAGTATGGAGTCTATGGGGTAGTGATCCGTGCCTGCGGGAGCTTCCCCTGGGTGCACTTCGCAGACCAGGATCCTGTCGATGAGATCAGCGGATACGAAGACGTTGTCGACTCGATACTCGTTCTTCGTTACCATATGCTCCAGCGTGGGGACTCCTGGTTCTAGTGCCATCTCCATTTCGAAGTCGGCTGCAAGGTCGACAAGCAGTTGGGCTTCTTCGCGGGCTCTGTCTGTGAAGAGGTGATGGTCGGTTGGTTTGTCCCACCATTCATGGTGCCGGTTGAAATCCCCAGCCCAGATCATTAGCGGGTTTCTGTATCGGAGTCGCAGGTCCAGAGCTGTCTGTCGGACACTGTCCAGCGCACGCGAGTGGTTGCAGTCGTTATAGATGTTGAAGATAAAGATGTCGCCAGCATTGGAGGTGAGGCGTAGGGCAGTAACGTCGCCAGTTCCAGGGATGGGTATCTGTTCGTATGCGTCAGTGCTGACCTTGCTATTGACCAGAATTAGTGATCGTGTGGGGTATAAATTATCGGCCTGCGAGTAGGGGTAGAGTGGGACCCAGTTGCGGTTAGTACGTGTTAGTTGCGCATGACAAAGATAGGGTTCTTGGATTAGCAAGATGTCGAAGTCCTCATGTAACGGGGTGTTGGAAACTGTCTGCTGGGCGATCGACGATTTGTTGAGGTTGTACTGTCGAATGCGAATACTGTTGGATGGTTCGTCAGTCATGAGGCTACGGACATGGGGGACTTCTCTTTCAGCTGGGGCGGCGGGTCCTGATCCATGGGTAGGTCCCGGCCGGGGTCTGACCAGTCAGTGCCGTCAGGTGGTGGAGGGCGGCTGCTGCGTGCAAGAGATGCTGCCACCAGAGGCTTGAAGGCCTCAGGTATCGTCGTTTGTTGCAGCCGATCCTTCTTGGTCTGTCGCCAGTCACAGTCCGCAAGGCTGTAGTTTGAAGCGCGGCCTGAATAGAAGGGTGAGCGGCGCTGGGTCCAGGGCTCCTCAGTTGGGAAGAAGGGCAGGCAGTTGCCCTCCAGTCGCTCGTCCAGTAATCTCTGGAGTTTGAGCCGGCTGGGACACGAACGCTCCCAGCTCGCATGCCCACCGATACGGCAGGCGACACAGGCGTGGGCTTCTTTTCGGTTCAGTTGCGGGCAGTCCCCTGCCTCGTCATGGTGCTGGGCGCAGGTGGCACATGTCGTGAGTGAAGCTGTGCAGGCGCTGGCGATGTGACCGTAAGTCTGGCACTTGAGGCATCGCAGTGGCTCTGTCTTGCTCTTGTGACAGCGGTAGTTGGTGTCTAGAGAGGTGAGTCCCTGTCGGAGGATAAGATTAGCATCTTTGGGCGAGGTGAAGGTAATGGTTGCATGTCCATATTGCTGGTTTTTGCCACGTCGTTCCGCTGATTTCATCCACTTGATAAGCGTGATGGCGTTGGGGGGGAGGCCGTTTTCCTTTTCAATACTTAAACGGGCTTCAACGGTATCGATTGGCTGCTCCACCGGAAGATATAGGGCCTTGATGGTGTACTTCTTTGCTTTGACGATGGCGCCAGGACTGAAGATGGCCGTAAAGTTTGCAAGGTGTTCGCCGGTGACGAGCCAGTCCTTGACCTCAGCTAAGTTGGCCTCCAGGAGCACGCCTCCCTTTTCGAGCTTGGTGCAACTGATGAATGCCCATGTGGGCTTGCCCCCGACCTTATGGAGCGCCTCGGTGGCCTTCCTGGTGATACCTATGTTTCCCACCGTGTCAGGGTAGAGTCGGGTGCGCCCTATAGGTGGGTCAATGAGAATGCGTCTGCGGTCCCGTTCCAATCTGGCCTGTGTTGACGGTTGTAGGAGTGCCGGTGCCGGGGAGGGGAGTACTCCGGTGGATGCCACGCTAGCAAAAGATCTTGGGGTGCTTTCTGCTGTTGCCTTCAGATCGCCGGTGGCTACTTTCACTACATCAGTACACTTGTCAAGTTCTCGGCCTGCCTTTATAACACCCTGCCGAACCGCCGTGAGCGTTTCCTTGGTCAGCTCGGCCATTTTCTCAGTGAGGTTGCCCGAGATTTCTTTCACCGCATCCCGCAAGGTGAGTGTGGCCTGCTCCATGGACTGCCGTAATAGGAGCTCGTCCTGGACCGTGGCCAGGGCGTGAAGGAGCTCGCTGGTCCCAGTATCCTGCGAGCGTGAAGCTATTCTGAAGAGAGCGTTAGTAACAGCACGGAGATCAACTTTACCCATGAGTCCGAGCATCCCTGCGTCCCGAAGATGCTTGGTGGCCTTGCTGAGGGGCGTGTCTGGTTCTGCACGGGGTGTCGGAATTTTGGCCCGTTTCTGCGAACGGCAGGGTTGACTACGGGCAGGGGTACCGGGGGTCGTTCTTGGAGTTGCCGCCGTTGCTGGGGTGTCAGGGAGAGGCGTACCCGCGTCCTTGTCTCTATCTTTTCGTTTGGTGCCTACCAGACTGGCTGTGGAGGGCGAGAAGGGGAGTGTGCTCTGCTGTAGGGGTGCGTGTGGGGGGGGGTCACGATCTTTGAAGGGCTCCGCCCGATGAGACGCTGCCTTATTTCTTGCCTTAATCTTGTCCAGTGTCGCTTGAAAGGTGAAGTTGCTGAGGTCGGCGTTGTCGGAGTGGGTGGATTCCGCCCTGGCCCTGAGCTTGGGTGTTGGTGTTGGCTGGTCAGTGGAGGAATGGTAGGCCTCGTCGTCGTCGTCGTCGTCGTGTTCAGCCGCAGTATTGCGCGCGCCAGGGAGGGCAGTCAGTCCCGCATGAATCGATGTTTTTGCACTATCAGCTGGGTGTGTAGGAAGGAACCAGTTGCTAAAATTGAACCCGGGCTTACTCCCCGGGTTGGGGTTACTCATGTTACCTCTTATCTTCCCTTTCTTGCGGTTTTTACCTTGCAGCGTACCCGGGCTTAGGGCGGGCGCTTAATCTTGATGGTCGTGGTAAAGGAAGAGAGAGGTCCGGCTAATGTTATATGTACCCCACAACCTGGAGGTTACGAAGCGGAAGCGGGGTGAGGAGTATGTGTCGTTCCAGGTGCCTGAAGACCAGCATAAGCTCTGGCGAATCATCGACAAGGAATAGCCAAGTGGTAATGCAAGCCAAGGTACCAATCCCTGTCCTCCCTATTACCACTCCAATTGACCTCCGCGCCCTAGGTCGCCTACAGCTTCTTGTGACCGCTTGCAACGGCGGCCGAGAACGAGAGTTGTCAGTGCTGCTTGAAACATGTCTGGGCGTATGTGAACAGCCTAGCTTGAAATGGATCTAAATTCCCTAGCTCTCCGTTACAGTCACCAGTGACGATGCCTTATAGGAGCAACGGATTTACCTCCAGACTCCTGGTCAGGTGTGGACTCTGTTGGAAGCTTGGAACGAAGCCTCTTTGATTCTTGAATCTATACTAACGCCACAACGCACGCAATTGGTTATTCCCCATACGCCCCATCAGTCTTTCGGAGGCCTGGTTCTGGCTACATGTCATGGCGTGGGGCCCCGCAGAGCTCTCCAGTTTCTTGTTGCATATATGTTTCAGCTTGTGATAGAGTCCAGGTTCTCAATTGAGGGACACTGGTTTGTCTCTGGGCTTCCATCGATCAGGAGGAGATCCCAAATGAGGTTTCACCAATCTGTCGGGTAAACTCGGCGAGAAAGGAGATGTGACCACGAGGTGAGGTTGTGCATTATTTACTACTATTACACTATACTCTGCTATTTCTATTTCCATTACTTACTTACCAAAGATTTCACTTGTTTCTCGCCGTCATCATGCCTCCAGTCACTTCTTCAGAGAGCCAGGACCACCAGCAAGCTCAGGCCTCTATTCTCAAGGAAAGGCGCTTCAAGCTAAGCAGGTTAGTCACCACCTTCCTATGTCCGCAGCGATATTTATAACGATTCGTGCAGGGCGTGTGACCGATGTCGGTGAGCGCAGCCTCGAGTGCTTTCGTGACCCTGTTACCGACTAGTTCTTGATCGAATAGGCGGCGAAGGATCAAGTGTGATGAAGGTCATCCTTGCCAGGCATGTCTGTCGGCGAATTCAGCTTGTACGTTCGAGGAGCCGGGGAAGAGGACACACCCACACAAATCAAAGTGAGTCATCGTGCAGTTGCTGGAAATGCAGACGTTGAAGGCCACATAGACGAACAGCGACCCTGGAAGACAGAATGCATCATTTGGAGACGCTGATTCAAGCTATACCCCCAGCAGTCTTTGCAGCAGGCGGCATTGTGCCGCCTGTGAATACCAGTACGAAGGCCTCTACGGATCCGAGTACAACAAGTCCGATCACTCCGTTCATGTACCCATCGCAAGCATTTCCTCTGGGCGTGCCACCACCATCTTTGCATGTATTCCCCCTAATCAACCCCTCCACCCACTTCAGCCCTGATCCCAAGGCCAATAACGAACGACAGCAAAGCCCTATCGCCGCGTTCAATTCACTCTTCCCCAATGCTTTCCCATCGTCAACCGTCGCCCATGTCACAACCCCAGACCAACTTGCTGACGAGACATCACGAATGTCCTTGGCTGCATCTTATTTGTACTTCGATGATGAGGGCTATACACGGTGGCAAGGCGAAACCTCTGGGCTCCCTCTTTTGGACCTCCTCGTCGAAAGGCATACCCCGGCTAATAACCGCGAAAAAGTAGAATCACCGGCTAACATAGATACTTCCTCGCCAGGCCAGAATGGCGCTTCCAATTCTACCAATACTGATTGGTTCCCTAATCGCACCCTCCGACGCACTGATATTAATCCTCAAATATTGTGGCGACTTATCACGTCTTATATTGTTCCGGAATTAATGGACAGGTGCGGTGTTAGACTTCTTGATAACAGTCAAGAGCTGACCTTGGAAAAAGTCTTGTACAGTGTTACTTATCTACGTCATATTACATTCTCCCATTCCTTCACGTTCCCACCTTCCTTGCTGTACGTTCGATATTTTCTGGTGCAATCACATGCATCTCGTGTTTTCATCCGTCTGGTGCTGACCCTTGAACTAATTTAGGATTATGGAAACCCGCAAAAATGGGGAGAACCGGGATTCGCAGCGTTCATCGTTTCTATCTGCTGCCTTGCCTCGCGTCACATGGATGATCCTCGCGTTCGCCCCAACGCCAATGATAGCATTTCTGCTGGAACGCACTGGTTTGAGCTTCTTGGGCGATTACGCACCTTGCCGATTGCCGACAGACCAACACTCTATACCATTCAGGCAAATCTAATCGCAGCTGTCTACGCGGTTGGACTAGGCAGACTCTCCAAAGCTGCATCCCTCTTGTCGGAAGCAATTACCATGTGCATCGATTCCGGCATGCATCGCTCAGCCGATACGTATGATGTATTCGATCCGATCGAGGACGAAGTGCGAAAGCGGACCTTTTGGTGCGTCTACATTTGGGACAAGCAGCTTGCGGCGCACTTTGGGCGTCCCCCAATGATCAGGCTGAGAGATTGTGACGTTGGAGAGCCGTCTCCGGTGGATGATGAATATATCTCGCACGACGGCATTGGCACACCACCCACGGGTACCGAATCCCGGATGACCGCGTTCATATGTTCGTTGCGAATTCTGGTTATTTTGGAATCTGTTGTGGACGTTCCTCCGGCCCGCACTTGGGGAGATTCGTCGCCTTTCTTGATGCGAGCTGCCTCTGTTCTGTCAGGCACTCGCCGGTACAAGGAATTGCGAGAGGAGGAGGCGTTGCTGGATGAGGTTCACCATAGTATACCACCGTTTTGGTCCCACACACCCGATACATTAGCAAGCGAAGATACTATCCGAGTAACACAGGCGGAACGTCTGCACGCTGCGGAGCACTTTGTCCGACTACTGATCTACCGTCATCGTTTTTCGGAACTCGTGGCAGAACGGATGGACAATGGCGAAGAGGAACAATCGGACGCTGAGAAGGAAGCCACAATAGCAGCCCATAATTCGGCATTGCAGATCATAACGACTCACCTACAGATTGCGAAGAAGGGCTTGATGACCTATTGTACGTTGTCTACATTACTCTCTTTGCTGCTCTCTCTCTTACCTACGATGACCAGATGGAGTGCACGTAATTCATCAACTCACTCAAGCCGGAAGAACCCTGGTCGCTATCTTGCTAAACTGCAAGTCGGAAGCTTTGCAGCATCTTATTTCACCGGCTTTGGACGCATTACGCTCCTGCGTTGGTCTCCTACGTCGGTTCAGCGGGAGATATGTTTGCGGTTTGCGTTCGGGTGATCTTATGGAAGAATTTTGCCGACGTAAGTCCATTTTGCTTGGACAATAAATATTGGCCCCAACGTCCTTTCAGTTACGCAGATACCGTTGGAGACCTCACGCTCAGACGGGACACCAAGCAGCAGTACACGACCTGCATGGATTCGTCCTATCCGCAAGAAAGCTCATTCAGTTGCTCGCTCCTCCCACAGCGACGTGTCACAGCATAGTAGTCCTGAGGCATTTTCGCCAGCAGACTTCCTCGCTGACCCGCCAAAATCTGCGTTTCAAAATGGAACTACGATGATGTCGCCGAAGATGGCTGGACCGTCATCGCCAGCGTTTAGTGGCGCCAATGGAGTGACCTCGAGCGGTGTCACGAATGGCAACGGACAGGCGCCTTCACCGTTCGCTGATACATCGTCTGGCATGAATTTGGATCCCCAAATGTTCATGAACCCCTCAGACGTGATGGCCCTTTTCAACGACGGTTCAGTAGACGTAAACTCGATGTTTGGTTCCGATTTTATTCAGTCGCAGCCCTCACCACCATCAGCATCGCCCAACGACCAAAGTACCAACGGCTTCGGGACGCCTGGTATGTTCAAGATGAATGGAATTGTATCTTCTCCTTGATCCACAAGAACCTTATGTTGTAATACTGTGCCGTTGTAATTGTTCTGTATGATCATTCACGCTTTCGATTATATCCATCCGACTATTCCAACTTTGGGCCATTTACTGTTCACTTTTAGGTCAATTCGCTGTGTTGCTATACCGTAATGATCAAGGCCGTTCTATCATTGCCTCTTGCGCAATGCAAACGACCCGGGGCCGAAACGTGAGTGGTTTGCGGTATCCTTTATAATCACACAGACAGATTCTCACAAGCTCTCACACCGTAAACGCGGATTTCGGATTTCATTTTCATCGAGACGCGTGCGGTTACTACTTCTTTCGGGACTTTCTAGGGCCTGCCCCCCCTCGATATCGATGACAACTATTGCTGCCATTCGCATGCTGGCAAGGAGGTCCCGTCAACGTCGTCACAGAGACGCTATGGGGAACTACCATATTTAGTGCCGCGTAGTCACGAGGCGCCCAGCGATCAACCAGCCGATCGTGATAGTCCTTATTTTGACGTTCCTTTGTCCCCAACCCGCTCCAGAGCCAACATCGACCGAGCTCTGGCAGTTCATCATTCATGGCAGCACTTGACATCGTCGAACAAAAGAACGGCCGCGTTAGCTTCAGTCATCGACGAGCAAGGAACCTTGCTTCTGACAATTGTTTTGTAGTGTGCGTCCTCCTTTATCCGTACCGCAATATCTTATTATTTCCTGGCGTTGTGATAGTGGGAATTTCAAAGGGCAAAGTCTGTTGCTTTTTGTTGTCAACCTTAATTTCCCGAACCGCAAGACAATAAACAACTTTCCCGATTTGAAACTCAGGTTGGCTCGCAACGGTTAGTCCGAGAGGGCCCAACCTCTGAGATTGCTTTTTGTTGCGGTGCCATGATCCATGGGACAAAGCAGACGCCATGGTATACATATACCCCGGGGTGCGGCCCCTTCACCTGTTTTCCCACTTCTTCCGCCCTTCATCCCCCCGTCGAGCTGAGTGAGCGATCCCTACCATGACCTCATCATCCCTAAGCCGCTTTGGCCGTCTTGCGCCTATTGACTCGTTGCCTGTTGAAATCATCTCCCATATCTTTGTCCTCAGCGCCTCTGGAGATCGCACTAACGAGCAGCAGTCGGGATTCGACTCTTCATGCATCACCATGCCACTTGTCTTATCCTCTGTTAATCACCGATGGCGACGTGTAGCCTCAACGACACCTGCCCTATGGACGAACTTGTGTTTGACGCCAGACTTTGTCGTCAATAGCACAGGAGAGTTGGATACGAAACATTTGACCAATTATCTCCAACGGTCGCGCAAATCACCGCTTCGCATTTGCATCGACGCTCGAGATCCAGAGTGGGATTTTACGGAGGATGGGTACGTGCCGTTCGACCGTTTGCCGATCCTCTCAACTAATTTTATATGTTTACAGAGTAACTGTTAGCCATTCCGAGTACCAGCCCACCTTTACATCAAAGCACATGAGCCAAGCGCTAGCGCTTCTTCTCCCTCACCTTTCTCGATGGCGTTCAGTCAGCGTCTTCACAGACACATGGGCTCTTATGCATGCTGCTTTGTCGCAGCTATCACCCGCCATGCTTACTTCTGGCGCCCCTCTCCTTGAGTCATTGACGCTTATGCGTTGCAACGATTTCGTCAGTTTCTCTGAATCCTTTCAACCTGGCGATCTCAAACAGTCCCCACTGTTTCGCGACTGTGGGTTTGGGATATCAGAGGATGGGAAAGCGGTTCTACCTCGCCTACGGCATCTCACCCTGAAAGGTGTACATGCTGACTGGCCATCTCTCTCCTCGATCCTCTCCTCCACTTTGTCGCTTGGTAACGGCGGGCTCTACTCGCTAGAGCTCTCTTCACACTCTCCCGATGTTAGACCCGACCTGCCCACCCTCCACTCCATACTTTCGTCCTCTCCACATCTCCGACAGCTCACCATTACTGGTTCAGGCTTCCGCCACGCCGAAGGCCTCGTCGATGCGTCCATTAGCAGACATCACGAAAGCACCAGTCGTGTCCGCCTACCTGAGCTTAGGCAACTACACCTGGGATACAGATCTGTCCCGGATGGGTGCAAGTTCGTAGACATGATAGATGCGCCGCAGCTAGAATCCCTTTCGCTGCGTAACGATTCACATCCAGCCGATTCAGCGATCGTCGACGCTGGGCCAGTGCTCGAATATGTCGGCTCAGGGACCACGTCTCTCCCCAGCTCCCATCCATCTGCTCCCTTACCATCCTCCCCAGCCGAGAACACCGTGGTTGATGGTGAACCGCCTTTCCCGCGAATCGAGACCATCGTTCTCGATAGGGTGGAAGCGTCCGAGTCCCAGTTCAGAACGTTCTTCGATGGTTTACCAAAAGCTCGTCGCCTAGAGTTACGGGACACACCGTTGGTGGCCATGCAATGCCTCCTACCTTCTCGACCGCACCGAGAAGGCATCGAGAGTCCGTGTCCCTCTCTTCAATCACTGGCGCTATATACCTCCGACGCCCTCACGCCGTCAGGCGCTAGCCTCCGGCTTTGTGCTTTCCTGGGAGAACGTGCTCGCAGTGGCGCCGGCCCGCTGAAGGATTTGTCCGTGTATCTGGATTCCGACTCGTCTTTCTGCGCGGAGGAAGAGAGCATACAGACTACTGTCTGTGGGACGAAGATACGAGTCTACGAAGCGCTGTCCGAAGACGAAGATTGGTTGACATGCGTCGGCGATGAAGAAGAAAGTGCCTTCAAGCTTGGAGGTGCCTTCAACGATCCTATCTTTGATTCTTATCATTCTGGGCATTCGATCGGCGTCGCGAGATAAGACGACGCTGAACATTGTAACTTGGGATTGGTGGTTTCCTGTATAGTACCTGTATTCCTTTATAGAAATTACCGGCGTCGCGCTGGTGTTTGCGGCAACTTGACTCATATACACTCATATCTGGCCTCAAAAACTCTGGGCCATTTGAAGCAAAGTTGTGTGCACCATCCACCTCAGGTAATCGATGAGGATGCTTACGGGCCAGAGTAAATGCACAGCTACTTGTGTACGATGCTTCGCTACCAACAATGTATACTTCCATCTGCATATCTCAATAGTCCCTTCGCCACCGGGGGGTGGGTCACTTTGTTCTATCGTCGAGTGCCCTGATGAGCACGGAAACGGATGGGAGGAGGAACTCAGCCTCTTGGGGAGTGTCACGCTTTTGAAGACTGGACGTGCCCATCCTTACGCTGCGTCTCCTTACACCGAGCCCGAGTCCTCGAAGCTCTGGTCGACCCGACGAGGTTGAGGTATTTAATTATGATCGCCGACACCGAGACGCTACTGTATCATTAGACTATCTTGTATATCATCCCTAATACCTTCTACGATTGGTCATGCGCTTCACGATTCGCCATGCTATTACACATACCTGCGTTCGGCTTCGTCTATAGTTGCTCTGAGAGCAGACATTGTATTTAGGTCTCTTGTTTCTTTATCGCACGTCTTATTTGCATGTTCGATCGCTACTTGGACACATTGGACATTCCAGGTAACCCTCGCGACGCGCGATAGCCTCTAGTAAGTGTCCCAGAAGGAGTGAAATATGGGTGGTTGGTGACTAGTCTCCGTCAAGCCAATCTTCAGCGAAACGTCCGTCATCGTCACGTCTTCGAGTTCGCCGCACTTGAATGGAGGGGTGTTGCCAATGAGGGTCTTATTATGGCTGGAGGTGTCCGAGTCCGACGAATTATGATCATGATCAGAAGCACTATCTTCGGCTGCTTCACATACATCCTCTGCCCACTTCTCGACTCCACGAAAGAAGGCCTCATGATCCTCCTCCTCCTCCTCTCTCGCTTGATGACTCTGAGATTCATCATCATCGCCTAGTAAAAGAGATATAGAGTCATCTGGCATCACAAGGTCGGTATCAAGAAAGTCATCTGGGGTGTCGGTCCCAAGCGGCATAGTCTCTCGATCGACAGTGGAAGAGCCACCACCACCACCAAGGGGACCAGGATTCGTATTTCGCGTGTTCCTCCCCGCGCTGCGACCACCGGCTTCGCTCTTTCCAGAAGACGATGTGCCTGCTGGCTTGCGGGCCGCATCTTGGTCTTCCCAGTGACGGTTTTCGGAGTGCAGAAAGGCCTCAGGTGGCGAAGCCGACATCCATACACGATATAAATCATAGCAACTCTTCAAAAATGAGCTTCTGAGGGAGCTAGCGAGTTTGAAGTAATTCTTCAGCAGGTCGCTATCGATCACGGCGCCTGAACCAAAAATCTGCTCAAGCCTGAATCCGGTGTTGAATATCACGAAGTGCGGGTGAACGTGGAGCTCGAATTTTGGCAGCGTATCGAAGGGGTAAAAGTGACGCTCGAATGCAGCGGGATCGTTGGAGTTCAACGAAAGGTCGTATGTGGATATATGGCGATTCGACATCTCGGGAGTTGCAATAAGGTGGTAGGAGAATTTGGTCTTCCCTTCGTAGAGCTGTTGGGTGGTTGTCAGCAAGGGAACGAAGCTGTGAGGTAAGAGCCAGGCTCACCTCGGTTGGTTTTTTGCGCGTGTTCACTTTGTAAGCTTCTTCGAATCCAACCATAATGTCAGAATCCATTGGCACCCATAACCAACCTGTTTTGGGCATATCGAAGAACCTATGGAGGTTAACGCGCACTATTGGGAGTGTCAGAGAAATCATAGAGCGAGCAAAGCACATACATGACTGGAGATTCTTGCGTGTGTCCAGATTGAGGGTGTGGTAATCCATTCCCCAGCACCATTCACATTTATCGAGCTGCAAAAGCGGAACATTCGGCCTCACGACTACGAGATATAGAGTACAGCATAATTACCGTCGCTGACCGAGTCGTGCGAGCAACAACATGCGAATATTCAATGTCACCTATGTCATCAGTCATGCCTGAAACAACGCAGACGTCGCATTCGGCGGACAGTGAGGGGTTACCAACAACCAGAATGGCGTGGATGTCAGCGCGCGCGTTCAGTTTTAAAGTCGTGGAAATCGAGGGTCCTGTCTTGAGCCGTTTTCTGGTGTTCCCATCGTCAGCGGCGGGCCCTTCTGGTATAAAAGGAGAATCTAGAGCAGCTGCCCGCCTCTTTGTGGTCGTCGGGGTGTCAGGAGTGTGCGGGCGAGACATGGTGGTCAGAGAGAAGGAAGGAATTGCGCTATAGTACGTTCATTGCTTTAGTAGCATTGCTTTAGACGCCCATATTCAAATGCGTGATCGCGGTTTTGGTCATGGAAGTGGCGTGGGATCTTTGCCAGAAACATAGCCTATTCTTTCCTTCCCACGTACTTGTAGAATGCGTGGAAAAGATGACTTAATCCAAGACCTGCCACACTGCCACCAGACCCATCCTTCATTCCGCACCACCAAGTGAGTACCCCGTCGCCACCCTTCTGTTGCGTGGCTCATACTTTTGTTTGCAGCACATTTTCGCTTTAATCCACAAAACACATTACATGGGCGGTATATCATTTACTGTGAGTAGATCCAACGCCCAGGGAACGATCAACTCATTGGGTTTCTGACTTAGGTCAAGAACAAACCAAATCATGGCGGCGTAAAAGCTGGAGGCACTGCCCCGAAGCCAAAACCCAAATAGCCCACCTCGCATCCACCACGACCTCTCATCATCTGCATCTACCCTTGAACTCTATGCTTGGACAGCGCATCTTTTAATGGCGGATCTCATTGGTGTTCTTTCTACGGTACATTGATGCTGCAGGGGCGGCATCCGAATTCTAGATGTTTGTTGTACTATCTCCTCGATCTCGTTCACATTTTTTGTAATTTCTAGTATCCCAAAGTCCATTTAACTCATACAGTGCTAATCCAGTATTTTCTCGGACTCAGCTTCTACATGACCAGATGACGATAGCAAGGCGGAAGATAATTGCCAAGGCTGACGATAAGGGAGGCTTGACTTCCCTGCAGAGTTGGTAACATTCGGCCACTCGCATTTCTTCGCACTGTGATCGGAGTAATGGCGCCCTTGCAAGTGCCTCATTGTTTCGACTATAGCTACTAATACGTGCTTGTACATGGTAATTACCGAATGTACCCGCTGCTCAAGCAGTTCGCTGTTGTGGCCTAGCGGCTGCGACCCGCCTGGTCGCACCTGTCCTAGCGCCGTTGTTCACTCTGTTCACTCTTGTCGTGCCGTTTCCCCGTGCAGCGCCTGTCTGTGTAACACGACCTGCCGCTGGCCTAGCAACACGAGCCGCATTTGCTAGCCTCCGAGCACTGGCAGCGGTAGCTACTCGACCCCGGTTGGCAGTATTGACACGATTTCGGTTGGCGGTGTTCGCTGCGGGTCGAGCGGCTACTCGGTTTCGATTAGCGGTGGCAGCGTTGACTCGATTCCTGCTAGCAGCGCCTGTATTCTGTACGCGATTCCTGTTCGCCATGTTGACCCGCGTGTTGGTGTTCCTATTCGCTGTGTTGACTCTGTTTGCTGTATTGGCACCTGTCCGGGTAGTTGCCCCGGCGTTGGCGTTGGCGTTGGCGTTTGCTGCACCGGCGTTGCCGAAGAGATTGCCAGCCCCGACTACGCCCTACAACATGGTGTAAGTATACATTGATCCCTCGAGGCTGGAGCGTACCTTGTTAACGCTAACACCATTCAATGTACCCTGCCCCGCGAGTATGCTGGCGAAGTTATCCGTAAGCAGTTGCACCCCCGACACAAAACCACGCGTATCGAACGCGCTACATGATAAGAGGATGTTGATTAGATAAGAATAATGATCCACGTCAATGCTTGGACGTACCAATGACCTCCGTTAGGAGAACCATCTGCCGTTTGGAGTTGGTTTACTTGAGCTGCCGAGAAGCCAGCATTGGTGGCGATTTGCGAGTACGCAGCGACACCTTGGGGGCTGGGTGGAGATGGCCGTTAGTGGCGTTGCTCCCAAGTGAAAACATGGAGTGAACGACTTACATCGTTTGCTTAAGACTGGCTAGCTCGTTCACCGTCGTCTGCCAATGAATCCTGATGCTGCTGATGTCCCCTTGAACTTGGACCTGCCTACAACGGGGAATCAATCCTATCAAAGACCGCTCTTCCCGAAACACACAAGGATATCTTACGGTGCAGTTCCTCCGCATCCCATAATCACGCCCTTCACACCGAGGGACGCACCAAAAGCCGGTATGGTATGCCCGCTCAACATGATCGCGCCACCGCTGATGCCTTCCATGAAGATCTTGGATTTGTCGAAGTTGACGATTTTTGGCAGTTCCTAGGTACCACTCCGTGAGCAATGCTGCGCGATGCGCAAGGAAATGAAGCAACTTACAGTAGTGATGAATTGGTTGACAGCGGCACTATGTGCAACACCTTGGGGCCTATCCGAAGAGATTTCGTTGGTACGTGCGACGAATCATAGTCAACTGCAGGAAGTACTTGCCTTTGCAGATTGCGACCAGAGCCACCCCATCTAAGACCGGGGTCCGGGGACAACAGTGCGACACCCATAAGGCCGCCTTTAACTCCTTGGTTCTAAAGGCAGATTTAGGTCCAGGATGAATATAGATGAATAGATTGGTTTATACGTACAGGGAAGTCGAAGAATGAGGTCCCTCCGTCACCGTGGAAGAGGATGTTGACTCCCAAGGTTCCGTTCTTCGCGCCAGCTGTCGAAACGAGTTCGGTGGTCGGCGCAGAGACCTTGAATCTCATATTCAACCCACTGATATCAATACCAAGTCAGCACACCGCACTTTGAGACTAATTGATAACTCACTTGATGACAACCTGGTTTTCAACAATGGTGCTGCCATCAGTGGCAGTAGCAGGTCCAGCGCCGATACCAGGCCTATTCTGGCGGCCATAAAGGTGCGGCTCCTCGCTAGGGGCGGCGAGGATAGACGATGCTGACAGCAACAGCGAAGCGGCGGAGGTGGTAAGGATCCAAGTTACAACGAGCATCTCGGATTGTACGTATTGGGGAAATTGACGCAAGGAAAAGAATGTGTGTCGAGTTGAGCTTCAGAACAACAATGACTCGAAGATGGGCCGGCCGAAAGAGTGAAAACGGACTGGAGCCAAAGCCAGTAGAGCGAAATAAAGGGATTAACGAGGGAAGGAAAGAACAAAGTGCAGACCCAGCCGCCGAAGAAGTAGAAGTAGAAGAAAGTCCAAGTCAATGAGTGAGAATGGGAACCAGTTCTGAGGAAACATAATCCATATTGCTATTCACTTTATACCATTGCGTTGTGGGGAATGTCCAATGATTATAACCGTTGTTGCTAGTGATCGATATCGCCGATGGGACGACGGTGCAAACTTCACGGAGACTAGATGAGTAGCTGTGGATAAATGGTGTCGCCGTAACCAAGACCAAGCTACTAGTAGGCTCAGGGAACTAGTATGTTGAAACGTTGGAAATCGACGTGCGGAACATGATTTACTGGCCGGTCGGGGGCGGAGACAGCAACAGACCATCGTAACCTACAGAATCGAACGATCATCGTGATTATCCAACAGACCAACACATGACGTACTAATATGATTATGCCAACTACCACGGTGACAGGTCTGAGTCGAAATATACAATGTCCAAAGTGTGTACAATTGTCCAAGATAGAGATAATATTAAACGTTTACATTACCAGGTCATGAATTGCGCGAGTAGAAGTCCGAAATACCCTGAAAAGATGAATAGAGTCTGCCATTCAAGTGTCACCAATTTCGCCCACAGCCCGGTTGTCAATGAAGTGGCTGAATTGCTGTTGCTGGCCCTGCCGTCGCCCGAAGTAGTGGTTGACACAGGTGTTGGCGATGGTGACCGCGCAAGCGAGCCAGTTGCGGACGAAGACGGAAATGATTGTGGACTGGGATTAATGCGGGCAGAGCTAAAGCTCCCTGAGGGAGCAGGTTCAACGAGAGCTGTCGAGTGGTCAATAGGTGGCGAAGTCGTGAGAGGTGAGTAGATATGCGTACCAGCAAAACCAGTGCCAGTACGACGGGCCTCTGCGACTGTCGATTTGAGCTGGTCCCCAGCGTCCGGTGGAACAGTCGACTTGAAGCCTATACGAGGAGAATCCTGGGACGGATATGTTATGTTCCCGTAGTAAAACGTAGCCATCACGCTACAAGTAGCTTATTAGCATCTCTCCCACAAATTCCCGTAATCAGATTACAACGTACCCTTTCAAGAATGGAGCCCCCAGACTCCAACTGTAGAGGTAATTCTCTCCTTCTACAGGCGTGTCTGTCTCCACAAGATTGGCAAAGCACTTTTCCGCAGAGTCGTGCGAGACGGAAGAAATGAAATCGCGGGGGTCGACGGGGAAGAGTGTACCATTGATCTGGAATGCGAGGGTATGCGGTACTGAGCAGTCAAATTGGTTGGAGCCTAACTTGGAAAAGATGTTCGCGACTACGTCTGCAGGGCCGCGAATAAGAGAGTTTCCCTATGGATGCGTTTAATGGCAGCGACTCGAAGCGAGGGACGGGAGCCTACTGTATCAATTAAGGCGGAAAGTTGGATATTTGGGCTTGGTAACGCTGATCGCGGTAGCTTTACGCCATCAAAGTAGACATCGTCCATAAAAACTTCCCATGTCATCGGGTATGTCTATGTAGACGACGTTTAGGTCGATCTAATAGCGACGCCCTGGGTGCGACTTACTTCGAAAGGCGAATCAATGGGGGGTGGTAAACCTTTCTGCGCGACGGTATACCCACGGACAGGAGACCATGTCATACTCTCCGGCTTCAAGTCTGGAGGCAACTCGCCTACACTAAACATCCCAGCGTTACCGCCCACCTCCACGGCATCCCTCTGAAGTGCCACAGTAAACATCGGTGACTTCAGCACGCCATCCATGACGAGACGAGGTATGAATGGCCCGGTCGAAGGTAGTGATGAAAGGATAGCATTAGTAGCAGTCGAGCCAGCGAGTTGCCGCGAGCTTAGTCGTGAAATGGAAGTACTCTGGTCTGTAGACGACGGGAGAGAACGAAACTGAGAGCTTCTGCGCTGGGGAATCATGGGGTCTAGCGACTGAACGTAAACATCGTGCCAGATAAAACTTCGTGAATAACTTAGCAACCCGACGCTTTTATTGCATTACAACATCGCTCACCTATTAATAGGAAATCCGAGGCCAAATATACCTGCACACCCAGCATCGAGGACACTTGTATTCGTGTCGTTGATCGCCGCGAGGTATTGGGCTGGGAGAGTCATCCCAAGTAATCCGACTGTGTCGCGGCCTATGGGACCGTATGCATGTGTTCCTGTTCGCGAATCGCCATATTGCAGTCGGACAATCAGACCACTTTGTTGAAGGCTGGATTGTGAGTACAGAGGCACCTGCGTCCCTTTCGCACTACACGCCGTACATGCATTTGAGGCGACCCAAAGGTCCGCAGAACCGGTGTCTTCACATCATTGGCCAAGGTGCTTCTCCGTAGAAAGATTGAGACTCACCTAGTACCACCGGTACCTCCTCGCTTCCAATTAGCAACCGTACCGAATACGAACTGAAAGGCGGGTCGATGAGGAGGTCCGCCGCGAAGAGCTGAAGTCAACTCACATGTCTTTATAGTCGCCCAAGCCCACCACCGCTGAAAGTCCGTCGTGCTTGGCAATGATTTGCCTTTTCGAGCGAACTATCGGCATTATTGGAACGTGGATCCCGCCATCGCTGCGTCGATGGACAGAAGCTCCCGAAGAAAACCCCGAAGAGAAGAAAAGCAGCGCTAGCACTGAATGAAGAGCATACATGTCGAAAAGAAGGGCTCGGCGAGAGAGTGGACGGAAGAATTTATTGCATCGGCTTCCAACCGTAGACGCGAGGCGAAGCTGGAGAAGGTGCGCAGCCAGCAGTGGGCCGGCACGATGCAGGGAGAAGAGAAGAGAGATTGGGTGTGGCCTTCATCGCACGACGGACCGCTACTGTATGTATGTAATCACACGCACCTCTGGCCTCAGTTCTGACGAGGCACCGGGATCACGGCCATCTGCTCATCTGCTCAACACCATCTCCATGGAAATTTGGATATCAATTGCAGAGGCGGGTGGCCACCTGGTACAGCCGGCCTTGATCTCGCAGCCAGCGCAGGCTACTCAGTCTTGTAGAACCGAAAACGAGCTAGTTCTGGTGAGTTTTTTGTCCTTGAATCTGTTATTCTACTGCATGACCTACCTCAGGCTGTAGACATGTGGCGAGGGCCGGTTCCTCAGTCTCTGAAACTTCCATCATTTATTTGCACTCATCAAATGATGTTCATCCGAGTGAGTTCCAGAGGCTGGATGCCCCGACAATCGTCTTTGGGAGATGGATAGACTACCATCAGCCAACTATGATCCAAGTCACCCTTATTACAGGCTTACTAGAGACGAATCAATGGGTGCATAGGGAATGGCGGAGAGTTAACAGTGGAAGACTAGGTCGCCTTTTGAGAAGTGAGAACAAGCGGCGAGTCGCGAGCAACTCACGAAGTAACTTCCATGATGTGAAATGATGGGGTTTCTGGCAACCATAGAGTGGGAGATATGCTTGGCAGCAACTTACATTTGATGCCGTAGTCCCCATTGTTGAGTATTATAAAGAGGAACGGTGTGTATGTTAACGCCCTCACTTCCTCTTCCTCGCAGCGGCTGGCTCTGCTTTTTATTCATCTTCCTTCCTCCCTTTTCTTGCAATTAGCTTCCCTAGTGGGCCCACCTTGGTTCCAGCATGGTCAGAATCGCTAGTCTGAGACTTCTCTTGTCAACTGCCACTCTTTTCCTGCCACTAGCATGTGTCCTAGCGCGCCCAATCGGTTCAGACATCTCGCTCTCGCTCTCTAGGCGTCAAAATATTCCCGGTGTTGGGGCTGGACCATCCACTGCCACTGATGGTAGTACGATCGTTGAGAAGGAAGTTGTCATCAAGTGAGCAATCTCTGTACTTCAAGTGTCATATCGCTGATGAGGTTTACCCCTCATAGTGGCTTCAGCATGAGATTCAAAGTCTCGGCGCCTTCCACTGAGCTCGTCTCAAATGGAGGTGCAAAGGCTGGAACGTTAGGCATCAATGTGTTGTTCCATGGTGACGGCGGACAATCGTTCTTTGATTTCCCCGTAGGTCTTACGCCCACGTACGCACTGGACTTCCTCTTGATTATTATTCGTAGAACCAAGGTGTTAACTCTGGTCTTATGGGCGTGGCACTGCTGTCGCCCGATCCTAACCTTCGATGGGGAGGCTCAGATCCCCGAGATTCGCTCATAAGGTAGTTATTCGGTGTTTCGCCGTAGCCTTTTGAAATTATTGACTCAAGATGCAATCAGACCTCAGGGAGCAGCCCACAGCGCCGCGGTGAATCAGCTCCTCACCACTGTATGGAGTCATGCTTGCAGTTAGAGAGGACCCTGTTAATGACTCGCTGAACAGGAATTACCGAAAGTCGTCAATTTCGACCAGACCAAGATATTTATGGAGGGAATCAGTGGCGGTTCACTCTTATTAAGCGGTGAGTTATAATACACATCATGTTTCAAGTCTAGCTTCATGACTCTTGTTGACATAGGCTTCATGGTCCCGGCATTTGGAGCCTCCCTAGGCGTTCCGGGAGTCGTCATGGGCTGTGGTGGTCTAGCTCCGTGAGTAGCCTGCGCGCGCGGTCGAGCGCCGGGGCGGTATGCATGCTGAGACCGGATTCTCAGGCAAGTGCAGGTCCAAGGCGACATTTCCGCCCTGCGCGTACATTGGCAAAGCACGGTGAATGAGCAACCAGAGCTACAGCAATCTATGTATGTCCTTCCGAGTTCTGGTTGCCATATTTCCCGTTTATGTACATTTCGCAGCCCACAAGCGATCGCCGCCTATGAACGCATTGCCAGCGGTGCTGGGTTGTCGGCTGCTCAAATCAACCAGCTTCAAACCGCGGACGCGTCTCCGAATGGTGGCCATTGGTACGTTAGCAAAACGGCTAATTCAATTTTGAACGTACTCATATATGCCATCAATATAGCGAATTTGACCAACGGGATTTTGTTTCAGGAGTGCAGCTTCTTTCCGATAACTACGCCACCATTCTCTCCGGACAAGGAGTACTGAATGGCGTCAATGTCAACAATGTATGTACTCATTCTTCTTCGTACATTGGTGTAACTCTAATTTTTCTTTAGGGCGTCGTTGGCAACGAAAACCTCTTCGCCGTTGCGGCCACTGGAGCGAATAGAGGTGCAGGTCAAGGTGCGGCGGCGGCGGCGGTAGCAGCAGGCGCGAACCGCGTAACGGCCACGGGTGGCCGGAATCGCACTGGAAATAGGAAGGGAGCGAAAGTGAATAACGCCAACCACGTTGGACGTAGTATGAGTTAAGTTTGCTGCTCTGTGAGTTGAGGAGGGCGGTCACATTCGGCCCGCCAAGTGAATTTAGAATTTCAAAACTGGACGCGATCGAGATCGATCCATCTAAGATATTTGTGATGGCTCGGAGGGGCTGTCAAGACGTTCTTCTGGATTATGAAGCACCCACGAGGCGAACTCTAAGAAAAGTTGAAACACAATCTCTGTTTAAAGATGTTTGCGGTTCAGCGCCAAACTCGGTGTAACTCTTCCAAAGCTGTTGCACTTGCGGCTTAATCAGTAACCATGAGGTTACTTCAGAGCAAATCGTCGAATGGCCCAACGCGTCCAATGGGCGTACCCCTTCCTCGCCGGAAGAGCTCTGGCTTCAAACTGGAAAAAGGCATTGGTATTGATCATGTTAAAGTTGGAATGAAGATGGTTGCGAGTCTCGCGGAAGGGATTGACTTTCCTGGCTTGAAGGGCGCTGCCTTCCTGGCGTATGAGATAGTGGAAGTGGCCGACGTGAGGCGTTTCTTCCTTTGATTATACCAAGAAGACATCTGACTAATGAATCTTGATTCATAGACGGTGAAAACGAACAAGGAAGACTGCCGCTTCGTAGCAGAATGCGTCTGGCGCTTGATTGACGCGCTCGTTGACTCCTCCGCGCGGTCCAAAACGATGGTCTCCAACGCGCGTCTAACAGAGGATATAAATCGTCTCGGCAGGTGGGTGCTTGTTTCCCGCTATTTATGTTGTGATTGTAATTGCTTACGACCTTTGAAGGGATCTTGAGAGAATCAAATTTATTCTTCAGCTCGTTGCCTCGCGGAGACTCTTGGGTCGAATATTTTACCACGAAGCGGACCAGAAGCAGATCGCAAGATGCAAGGATATGATTGATACGAGCCTACGCGTGTTCTCGGTCAGTCATCTCGCTTGACTCCTACACGGCGAGATGTTAATTAGCTTCCAACCATCAGGTATACACGGGAATTCAACTACGGACCGATGTCTTCGAGTTGAAGATTCGGCATGTACGTACCCGTTATATCGCATTGCAGACACATGCGGGGTACTCAACTCTGCTTCACAGACATCTGACGGAGACCCGATCCTCACAAAGTCGTGTTCTCAACTTGTTGCCGCGTTTTAGACACTGACTTCACTCCCCTTTAGTGTACAAATATCGCGAGTACCGCCACCGAAGCCTCGTGTATTCGTCGGGCGCGACCAAGTAGTCAACGAAGGCATCGCGATTATCTGCGACGCAGTGCGGAACCAAGTGGGTGCGAACGTCGCGATTCTAGGAACCGGTGGAATTGGCAAAACATCCCTTGCCCTCGCAATTCTACACCACGACGAAGTGCAAACTTCCTTGAATGGGCGGTGCTACTTCGTCCCATGTGACGCTATAAACAGCGTCAGCGCGTTGATCCACAGTATTCTGCAAGTCTTAGATGCACCTCCTGGATCTGTCACGGATTTGATATCCGCTCTGCACAGATGTCTTGAGTCATCGGACCCGCTGTTGCTGATATTGGACAACTTTGAAACTCCCTGGTACGAAGTCACATCCCGTACGCAGGTTGAGTCTGTGCTGGCTAGGATTGCCGCTATTGCCAATGTCACATTGATGATTACTATCAGAGGGCTGGAGCTCCCTTCTGAGATACAATGGATTACTCTGCCTGTCCGCCACACTCATGGCCTCCCTGCGTTGACATTGGAGGCAGCAAGGGAAGCATTCTGGGCTCATAGCGCGGCGACACCATCTGCAGATCCTGAATCTCAGCGAGCACTGGATACTCTTTTGGAGGAGTTGTCCTTTGTACCACTTGCTGTCAAACTTGTCGCCCATGCAGGGAAGCAACAACCACCAGAGTTGTTGCTCAAGCGGTGGCGGAAAGAGCGAAACGCTTTGGCGGAAGCTCACGGAGATAAACATGACCATCTTACAAGCATTGACTATTCTATTAGTCTGCTTGTCAATTCTCCCATTTTGGCTGGTCAGAAGGATGTAAAGCAGTTTCTTGCATTGCTAGCCAATCTGCCAGATGGAATTCCAGATTGGACCAAGAATCTTGAGCATATGGCTCCTCAGTTTACCAATCCAATGAGATTGGCTGATGTTGTGCAAACTGCCACATTGGTGTATCCTGATAGCTCTGGTGCTCTGAAAATGCTATCACCCATTAGGCATCATATATTGGATAGTTACTCTCTGGATAGTGCACATTTGGCTGGACTGGAGTCCTACTACATCACCTTGGTGAACCAACATGCTGCTAGGTCTGGTGCTGGATTGATGACTGCTGTTCAAATTCTGTCACCCCACATAAACAATATCATGAGTGTCATGAGATCAGCTCTAAGGCAACATCCATCCAAGGTTCTGGTCAATGCCACCTTGAAGATGTCATATTTTCTGTATGAAGTCAGACCTACATGTGACCTTCTTGAGCAGATGGTGAAGGTCTTGAAGGTTGTAGATATGGCAGAGATGGAGCCAGTGGCATATCATGTCATGGGAGATATTTGGTGTAGGGAAGGGAAGTTTGTAGAGTCCAGGGAAAGACTAGAGAAGGCATATGAACTTTTCATCGCAGCGGGGAATGAGAATGGACAGAGTCAATGCCTCCAAAGCTTAGCAGAGCTGTGTCTGCGGGAGAGCAAATACTCAGAAGCTGAGGTCAAGATTCATCAAGCTCTTGTAATATACCAAAGCACAAACAATGCACTCGGAATCGCGCAGTGCCAGCGCCGGCTTGGGGAGCTACTCTTCAGCAGCGACCGATACCCCGAAGCTAGAGAGAGCTTTGAAGATGCCCTCCAGAAGTTCGAGAAGATCAATGACAAATTTGGCAGCGCGCAATGCCTCAGAGGTCTCGGTGAAGTGCTACGTGTTGAAGACGAGTACGCGGACGCGCGGGAGATGCTAGAGAAAGCATACGTGGAGTTCAAGACACTCGGAAATATGTTCTGGCAAGCTCAGTGCTTGAAGAGCCTCGCAGATCTGTTATTGCGAGAAGATAAGTACAAAGAAGCGAGTACAACAATCGAGGAAGCCGAAGCTCAGTTTCATCAAATCCGCAACGCACTAGGCTTAGCGGAATGCCATCAGACTCAGGCAGAGTTACTGCAGCTCGAGGATAAGTACCTCACGGCCAAAGAGCTGTTCACCGTCGCATGCAAGGAGTTCAAGAAGATCGGGGCGCCACTGGGCGAGGCGAAATGCTTGAAAAGCATCAGCGAGATTCTGTTGGTCGAAGACGACGTCACGGAGGCTAGACGGACACTCGAGCAAGCCCAAGAGCTCTTCAACAAGATCGAGAAGCCGTTCTACAGCGCCCAGTGTCTCCAGGGGTTGGGGGAACTTCTTAGTATGGAAGAGAACTATCCGGAAGCCGAGGCGAAGCTAAAGGAGGCGGTCGAGGAATTCGTTCGACTTGACAACCAGATCGGAGAAGCACAATGTTTAAAGACGCTCGGGAACATCTTGCAGCTAGAAGACAAGTACTCAGAGGCAAGCGAGGTCCTAGAGCGAGCTTTCGTGCTATTCGACGATATCGAGGATACTTTGGGCGAGGCACAATGTCTGCGAAGCTTGGCTGAAGTTCTTCGGCTGCAGGGTAAGTATGCCGAAGCCCACGAAAAAGTCCAGAAATCGCACGAAGCTTCCTCAAGAATTGGTGACTCGCTCGGTATCGCCCAGTCTTTGCAAGTCTTGGGCGAGATTCTGAGAATGGAGGGAAAGACTACGGAGGCGTTTGGGAAGCTCCAAGAAGCGCTGGACTTGTTCGACTCTATCGGGGACGCCGTGGGAGCAGAGCAGGTCGAGGAAACTCTGCAAGCTATGAAAGAAGGGATCTAAAGCAAAGCGCGTCGTTTATGTTACGTAGAATTAGGTTTGATTTAGTTCACGGGATCTTAGCGTTGAATGGATTTCGGGTTAGCATTATCACTATCTCATACAACGGGTTCCTCCAGACATATCAACTACATATATACAACGGTACATGGTATGGAGAAAAATACACAATCTACACACATGCGTGGCACTACAAAAGTCCATCACGCTGAAATTTACAATACAGACTTACTGGTACGTTACAAAATATCCCAGCCCTTCTTCCTGCTCCAGTCAACGCCATTCTTCAATTGTTCAAGGGTCAAGAAAATCAAGATCGTGGTGGGTTGGAGACGAGTCCAAGCAGGAACCCAGCCCTTGAACATGAACATAGCTCCCTCAGATTGCATGGAAGAGCGGATGACAGCGAGCGTGGACTGATCAGACTATTAGCATGGAAGGGGCACTCAGGGGTAGGTACACTTACGTTTGAACCAGGACCAGAAGCATTCATGATACGACTCTGCAATGAAGAAGAGCTGAGATCAGAACAGCTCTCATGAACGGTGTGCGTGCCGCGGACTTACCTTCAACACGTCCGCTGGGGAGCAGACAGTAGTTGCGACCGTTCCCTAATAGCAGATTGAGTAAAAGGCGATGAGATATGCCTAAGTACTGACTGCTGCGAAACTGGCCGTGAAGTGGCAGGCGATATTGTCCTCAAAGTGGCCCGTCTTGAGCAATTCGGCTTTGAAGAAATCATACCTACGCAAGGGAGTACGTTAGTCACCCCCGCACGATGTGAAATCGGAGGAGGCGCACGAGGCCAGTTGTGACGCATTCATCAACACAGCACGGAAGACGTTGGGCCCAACGCCGCGTGCAAGTGACGAGACACCCTCTTCCCTAACCATCTGCAGTACATTTAGTACCCAAGCGCAGCTCATATCCACGTAAGGGACGTACGCGGAACAAAGCGTCAAAACAGTGCTTGTAGTTGAATCGTTTCTCTGGTGGCTTCGCAAAGTCGCCCTGAAGCCTGACCATGACGATCTCTATATCCAATATTTGATCAGCGTTGTGTTCTCTTCTAATAGTAACAGTAACATACCGCCAGGGTTTCCGACGAAGCCAGCAATACCACCAGCTACCGTGACAAGTACTATCAGCAACAAGTCACTAGTGAAACGCCGATACGATAGCACGCACCCATGCTGCCTGCCAACGCAAGCTTCCATGCAGGGGCATCCTTGCCTGCGCCTAACAGTTTCTTACTCTCGTCGTATGCCCAGAAACGGCACATGGAGTAGGACATCTGACGCAACCATGTTCCGGAGATGCCATCAAAAAGACCGCGAACACCTGCATTAAGAAGGTACGTCATTGGGCGTTCAGGTAGATCAGAACAACAGAAGGTGACCTACCAGCTGTTCGGACCGTCTTCTTGATGCTCTGAACCATCCGTTTGTCCCCCGAAGCTTGCAGGCGAACTTTCGTCAAGTCAAGGGGACTATTATTGACCCATGAGAATCGAAAATGGTAATTACTAAATCAAGGAAACGTACTGGGTGATTGATGCCGCGATAGTGGCAGCCACACCTGCGCACAAGACGATATCAGTTCATGTATCCGTGGAAAGCAGGTGAACACAACGCGCCTCCTAGCCAGAAAGGATACGGTTTCTTCTTCATTGGAGGAGGGATCTGCGTTGAAGGAGTTATCGGTGCTGGGGGTGACGACATCTTGAGGCACTACAGATCAAGAAAGGCTCGAATCCTTTGCAGAAACAGGCAAGTTGGGGGCTGCAAAGTAAGGGTAAGGCTGATGAATGGGTTCCGTGGGTGATTCAAGTATTTATATCGAATCTGCTGCGTCGTGGCCTAGTGCTATTGTTGGGGAAATCGTGGGCGTGTGCAAAGGAAGGCTAGCCGATATATTCCTACTTCACCCTGCACTTCAACCAATCGTGAGCATCAGCGACACGATACCAGGGCTTCTGGAATTTGGAAGGCCAATCTGCTGCCAGGGTACGGACCGTCAAAATGAAGACTGACCTTATAGACTTAGGCTTGAGAGCATTCCAGTCCGTAGCTCTTGTCCCGGTACCGTTCGAGAAACTGAGATGGCAGGAGGGGAGAAGAGGAGAAGAGGAGATGGGAGCAGTTACTTTAAATGTACGGCATGTGACCCCTGTTACGCTTAACGGTTTGCCGTGACGGCGCCTAACGGAAACATATACCCCGCAAGACCCCGCATTTCTCAGGCTACTAGAAATATGGGGTATTTTTCCGATGGAACATTTCATCGCCGGGTGTGTACGTTGTCACTACCGGACCTGATGGGACTGCAGGGGGCCACACGTATTAGTGCCCTAGACGGAGCATCCACTGTCATTATGGAGACTATACGAAGATATAAAAGGCTTGCAACCATGAATACATTTACATTACATTGAACCGTATTTCCCTCTGATCGAGACCTAGGCAATAGTGCATCCGTCCGGGCTCCCATCCTGACCGAAAGCAGCGGGGAGGTCACCCATAAGCTCTTGGGGTGGGGAACCATACGATTGCATCTGCGTTGAACTGTGTCAGAGTTAGGGCGGTAAATGAAAAACAACTCTACCTCCGTCATCATTTCTACAATCTTGAGCTGGGTTTGTGAATCACCCTCGTTATACCCTGGATCGTCAAACACGGACACGATCCGGCGCACGGAGGCGAGTTGAAGCTCATAACGTTCAACATCAGCCTTCGGGAGTGTTGCGGAGTTCGTCTTGATATATTCGGGGAGCTGAGGGCGTAATCAGTATCCTGTATCACGCAAGGAAAGGGATGAACAGGTATTGCCTTCTGACTGAGCTCCTGCAGCGGATCGTATAATATTTCCTTGCTCATGAGCTGCGTCATCATATTTTCGATGAATCCGGCCAATTCCTCTTCACTGTCCCCACCAGATTCCCCTTTAAGCGACGATGTCAATTCGGCCATAAAGCTCTCGAAGTCTGGGTTCGAGGCATCTCCCTATCAAAACACGGCGCTCAATTTATGGCAGCAAAGATGTTCATCGTAATCTTATCGCGTACCTGTAGATTCGATTCGCCCTCCTTCATCTTGTTCATCGTCTGCCGTATCTTCGACTGGAAGTCCTCCTTCCCACCAGAGGTAGACCCGCCGGCATCTTTTCCTAACGAGCTTTCTGGATCAGACATTAATCCGTTCATGCCGTTCACAAGCATATCTTCCCATGCCTTCTTCATAGCCTCCTCGTCAACTGGAGCATCGGCCGACCCCTCGCCTTTATCCGGGGACACGAGGTCACGCATCAGGCTCTCCATACCCTTAGAAAGCTCCTTCGCGAACGTATCTGCGATCTCGTCTTCCTCTGTTGTTGCAGCAAGACCTCCACCAGGCTTGCCCTGTTTCGTGGGTGGCTCGGGGTCCACTCGTGTGTTGTGCCGGGGACGGGTTGGACCGGTTCTCGTCGACGCAGTGGGTAAAGGCGCTGGCGCGGAAAGAGTAGCCTTTGATACACCATCCTGGCCGCTGGAAGACGGTGCCGATGCTCCAGTCTTTTGATTTGGAGTAAACTGGGATATGACATCTATCAACAAGCCCGATGTCAGTCCAATGAAAATTGATCATATGGGTACAAACCATCTAGATCCTCCAGATCATCTTCAGCGTCGTCGACGCGTGGTTTACTTGGTGGATGACTGGCCATGGGTCGCTGGTCGTTGTGGCGTCTGGTAAAGAATTCACAGCATCGTCATGGAACCTGACTGTGGGAACCTCTCTGTGACCGTGTGATAAGGATAAAGGGGTCCCCTGATCCCCACGCGAGTCGGTGCGTCGCGTCCTCTCCCGAGTAATATGTCGCGACCCCCCCGGCCCTATTCGCTACAGGGAGCCACTATCATACTGGTAACTCGGGATATGTATTACTTGCTTCTTACCATTGCCTCTTAGAAACTATGCAACACTCCTCCTGTCTGTCAACCCTCGTATGAACTACATACATTGACAAGAGTTTGGGCATCTGACTACGGGATCTCAACACCATACTCAGTAGTTGCAGGCTTTGATTCGCAGAGCTCTCATCTATATCTGTCGATCCTAGTGAATAATCCCCAACCGCCTTAACATACATAGTCTTGAGGTAACGTTCTCCAAGTATGTCACATGACCGGTGTTGAAAGGAGCCTTGTTAGGAGACTAACACGTATCTTGTCGTTATTTTACCTGGTTTCCCATTACATACTGGTATAAGCTATATGATATACTCTAGATGCAGCCATGGTAGGACATAGACATAATTGCGAGCGTAGCGAGCAATCATGCTCTAAAGGGTTCAAGGCCCGTGCAAATAAGGCCAAACAAATTCTGCGTACTTTGGAGGCTCGGTCGTGTTTTTTTCTGGCTGGACTGGCCTCTTTTCCACAATTCTGAATCATGGGAAGTGTGGATTTTGCTTGCCGTAGTTGGTTTGCGCCAAGAAAGCGGCACTTTTGGTAGAGATTTGATGATTTAAGACCGTAATTTGGCGAAGGTTGTTCAACTTCCTTCAACTCGAGACTTGCTGACGTGGCGCGCGCCTAATTCTCTGAGCTTACGGTGTACGCACTGGGTGCATATCGATGAGAACTCATATGCGCCCTCCTAGCGCTCATAGATTCTACGCAAGTAATAGCTAGCCATCTACCTAGTCTAGGAATATACACTGAATCCTTGCCCTAGCACTTCGAAGCGAGCTACCGCCGGCGCGGCCCGCGGATCCATATTATACTTGCTGCTCAGGGGTCTGTCCGCGATTGAAGAGGTAATGAAGGAAAGGGATAATATAGGGGCACCCCACGATTAAGCGCTCAAGCTACTTGATTCGGGGCGCGCCCTCCGCAGCCACCGTTCGCTCCTCTCTTCATGCGACTTCACCACTTTGCATCCATTTCTGGAGGCCGAATTCGCCAAACATGACTGTCACTCACGACCTTGAAGTTGGCCCAGGCTCAGGCTCAGGCTCAAGGTTGCCAACGGCTGTACTCACTTTGGCTGGGGTATCTTCACTGCTAGCAGTGCTGATATCCGGGATGTCTATATATCTACAACTGAAGAACTATCGCAAGCCGGGGCTACAGCGGTCAGCTCCCTCTCTTCGAGTGTATTTTGCTGGGGTTCGCTGAACGGTTGACCGGTTGAGTAGGATGGTTGTTCGGATTATGCTTATGGTCCCAATTTACGCTGTATCGTCTTTCATATCCCTCGTATCTTTAGAAGCTGCCGTCGTTATAGACGCTGTGCGCGATATATACGAGGTGAGCGTCCCCCCCTTTGCCAGCCAGCTCGTTCGCTTATGCGTAGTCAGGCATTTGTCATATATTGCTTCTTTGTGTTGCTTCTATTATATCTGGGGGGCGAACGGTCATTGCTCATATTACTCCACGGCCGGCCCCCCAAGGAGCCCATATTCCCCGCCAGCATCTTCCAGCGCGAAATCGACGTCAGCGACCCCTACACTTTCCTTTTCCTCAAACGTGGCATCCTTCGTATGTTCCATGTTTGCACTGCAGGAACGCTGGCTGATATTCGTTAGAGTATGTCCAAGTCAAGCCTGCACTTGCTCTGGCGACCGTCGTCCTGAAGGCGGTCGGCAAATTTAACGAAGGCAGCTTCCGCGTGGATTCGGGTTACCTGTATGTCAGCATCGTCTACAATGTAAGTATCTGCCTTGCGCTGTACTGGTGAGCCATCTATTTACCCATCGTCCTTTGGCCTTTGCTTGAACTATGACTTGCAGCCTCGCCATGTTCTGGTTGGTTGTGAGCGACGATCTGAAGCCTTTCAGGCCGGTGCCGAAGTTCTTATGCGTGAAGGGAATTTTGTTTTTTTCCTTCTGGCAAGCTATCGGGATATCCATTTTAGTCTCTGCAGGCGCGATCAAGAGCCTCGGCCCATATACTGACGCTGAACACATATCGCTTGGGCTAACGGACACGTTAATATGTGTTGAAATGCCATTCTTTGCCATCGCGCACATGTTCGCCTTCTCACATACCGACTTCATCGATAACAAACATTCGTTTGTGGCGAGGATGCCTTTCTATTTCGCCTTCCGTGACGCATTTGGCCTTCGAGACGTCGTCGCAGACTCCAAGGCGACACTCCGGGGCGAAGGCATGGATTACCGGGAGTTTGAACCGTCAGAAGGTTTTATGCACCAGGGCATCGGTCGCGAACGCCGGATTCAAGCTGGGCTCCGGTATAGACAAGGCGGGAAGAGCAAATACTGGCTACCTCGGCCGGTCGAAAACACGCAGCCTCCAAGCAAGTTCGAGCGCGGAATCAACAACGCGATTACGCGCGTCGCGGGCCGCGATCAGGGCGAGGAGGTCCACGCCCCCCTCCTTGCACGAGATGCGGAAGATATCGTCCATCTGGCACCCGACATGGCGCATCCCGACGAAGAAGATATATGGGCCGATCCCCTCATAGAGGGCGGCTATGAACTGCCGTTTGGCGAGATAGACGACGCAGACGAGGAGCTATTTAACCATAGCCGGAAGTATCTGTTTGGCGATTATAATTACCCTTGCATTGATGTCAGCTCCGAGGCTGCGCGGGTGACGATGTGGGACGAGGAGGAGCGGGTTCTGAGGGATGAACGGGGCGCCTGGTTTTCTCCACTGCGCGGGGCGAAGGGTCAGGCTGCCCTCGATCAACGGGGTGGGCCCGTTTGGGAGGGATATGGTGCCATAGGGACGACACAGAGGCAGACAGATGGTGGGCTGAAGGGGAAGGGCAAGTTCCAAGGCGCAGTACCCCGCATCAACGAGCGATTGATTGACCATGAATCGGACCGGGCTGCTGATGAACACGGTGGTGCGGACTCCGTCAAGCTCAACTGGACGAAAGCACAGCGCTATCAAAGCCAGGGCCTTCCTCGGCCTGCGTCAGGGTATCGGAATAAGAATAATCTACATCCACATGTCGACACGACGCATTCGTATCCGTCGTCTGCAGAGAGTAGTAATACCAGCGAAAGGGACCCGAGGGTACGGGCGGCATCTATATCACGAAGCCACTCTGGATCTCCCGCGAAATCGCTACCTAATGTTCTCCCACCGGATGCCGTCGATCTGGTAGTGGAAGACAACCATGCCGCCGAAGAAGACCGGATACAGGAACGGCGGAAGGGCGAGCCTGCCATGACCGGATCGTCGTTGAGAAAGGTGTATCGGAAGGGGTTCGTTACAGAAGACGATGCCGGACACGGGCAAGAAGGCGATGTGGAGGTTGAAGATCCGATAGCATGGCATCAGCCAGGAGATGCGCGGTCAAGAAGAGTTGACGCCGGCGAAGTGCTCTGGGACACCCTTGAGCACGACTTTGATGGGCACGCCGACAACCATCACGATACCCCACGAACCAGCATATCCGAGACGCCCGACCTGGAAGGCACCATCGTACGCACGGGGACACCCCCACTACATGCTAGAGTTTACCTGGACGGTGTCGATAACAATCCATGGGCATGATGTATCACTGTATATATCCTTATATTCACGCCTTCTCATTGCAGTGTACCTGTTGCATAATTGTATTGGCATTCCTAATTCCCATTGTCCATATCATCAGAACCTTTCGAAGTCGTTGCATGGCCATCAAGGGAGGATCGTGTCTTCGGTATCGATATCGGAGGGAAGGCGCCCCCAGCTGGAAACTAGCTAAGTTCATTTCTTACGGTGATTCTGGGACTAATGGAGCAACGCAGCATCAACCCCGAGAATTAAAATAAGACATTTCAACGGACACCTACGCCGAGTCTCAGTAGCAAATTTCGATGAATTTGTAGATCCGCATCTTTGTTCGCCAACAATGGCAAGTAGTCATTGCGGCGCACATGTAGGACCGGCTGTAATCGCCATGAAGGGCACATCCAGACTCCCCGTTGTTGGAGGATCTTCGAAGGTATGTAAGTATATCCACTCAATCTTAACTTGAAACATGATGATAGCAGAATTTTCGTAGCATTGAGAATGTGTATTTGGAACGATATCAATTCTAATCGATACTCAGTTCGAAGCATTATCCTTTAGAGTGCAGCCAAGACCGCATCGGCACCAGAAACGGTAACACCTGGGGCGGGTTCAACCTGGGTGAGGAATTACATATGGTTAGAAAACATCGCGGCCTATGAGGACATGGGGCGAACCTCGACGTATTTAACGACAAGATCGTCGATGATCAAGGCGTATCTATTTTCCAGTTCGTTCATTCCATCAGTATGGAAGGAGGCACGGGGCTTACCTGTTAGTTCTAGTGCCCAAGCCCAATGCCGACAAATCAAGGGAGAGACCCAACGAGGCGGACCACGCAGCCCCCGTGTCAGAGAGACACAGAATCTAAGACCAATCATCAGGACGTGACAGTTCGCGATGCAATCCGTAGCGCAGCTTTCGGAGTGCTTACTTTGTCTTTGACGCCTTCCACTCGGCCCCAGCCGCTCATGACGAACACATCGTTCGCGGCCAAGACGGCGATCACATCGACGCCTTTGGCCTTGAACTCTTCGTACTTCTCAACGTAGGGCGGGAGGTGGTTCACGTGACAGGTGGGCTGATAACGATAACGAACATAATGGTCAGATTAGCAGATCGGTTGAATCGACACATACGCACAGTGAATGCTCCAGGCACAGAGAAGAGGACAACCTTCTTTCCCTTCCACTCATCAGTCTTAAGCTTGCTAGCTAGGGATATCGATCAGTTCGTAAAGGAAGGTGTGAGTGATGCATTCGATGTTAATCGCAAGTTCGTTCGACTTACGAACACCGCAGGCAGCCTGGGGAGTTTCGACGGGGCAACCACGAAGTAGATCAAGAGATGGAGCATCAAGAAAGTATCAATCAGCCATCTCTAGGCTCAATGGTGGGGTTGTTAGAAGGCTTACGAGGTCGTCCAGGGCAGGCGAGTAAGGGATGTAACCAAATTCCCCCTCAGGGATCGTATCTCCAACTTTGATGGTAGGTGCCATGGTTCAGGAAGGTGAAGCTTGAATTACAGAACGATTGCAGTGCAAGTGGGTCTATTAATGAGAGAGGGCGATTAGATAACGGCCAACTCCGCGAGCACGCAATCATGAGAGCCTGATTTCCGGACGGTCGGGATACCCGAAAATACGCTGGTGTGAGAAGGCGGGTCGACGATAAACCTCATTGCACATGGATCTTTCATATGGCCATACAAATAGCGAGTGCTAGTGGTGAGCGGTTTACATGGCTTCCCTCTCAAAGCAGCCTGTGATACTGTACGCCATATAGAGACCTCATCAGCGACCACGTTCAGACTAGGAATTTAGCGAGGTGGCACACTGGTGACTAGCGAGAAATGCTGAAATAGTTCTTTGATGGAAGAATTGCTTTCACCACATGCTGCAGCGGCAGTCGGTGGGGTGGGATGGCGCCAGCGCTAGTCAAAAGGGTCAAAACCAAGACGGCCTCGGCCTGGTTCATAAGGCATAGGGACTCACTGTATCGTATGAGAAGTGGGTCTCCGGACTTGGCTACGACCCCAGAACTCTGGCAGCTTTGGTTTTGCTTCCCATCAGTCCGCAGGAAGAGGTGAGAGATATCATTGATTGGATTCGTCGCACAGCCTTTATCCTCTGATGCTCCTGATTTGTTTGTGAGAGCAGGCCACCGATAGATGCGCCAAGGTTTCAGTTTCTGGGAACACACGCTTGCCAGAGCATCCCCAGTTCAAGGCACGTACGAGCGCTCATCGCTTTTAGTACGGACTGTTTGCTGCTGGATACGGTCACCGACATCGCGCCCTCGGTAACCTAGTGGTAAAATATCCGACGAAAGGGGATTGCTAATTAAATCCTTCACATTTCCGTGCAACATCGGTGAGAACGAACTCACCGGTTACTAAGTGAGAAGTTGAAATGACGAGAGCCAATCCTTCCTTCCTCTTTCGCCAGTCGCCACATGCGGGGTTCCGAGTTCAGCTGTTCACACGATGAATCGACTTGAAACATGGTTGAAACAACCCATTATTTCCACCAGAACATCTTTCACTATAGCTCGGATCGTGGATAGAAGGATATGCCAATGTTTAGGTCCCTTTGGCGACAACGATCTAGCCGTCATCGGAAGAAGATGCCAACTTCATCATCCGCCTCAGCTACGCGACGGCCCGTCGCGCTCGTCGCGAGCTAGCTACGAAACCTCGCTGTTAGAAATGCAGTAAGTATATGCATTAGCGTGCTCCTGATATGATAGGATTAATGCTAATATTGTTCAATCACTTGCTGCTAGCCCGGACCATTGATCACTGACTATCAATCATCCATCAAATAATGTTGCCCTGGTGTTGAAGCTTTCATAATCCAGGCGCTCGCATCGTGCTCCTCCGGAGGTACATAAAGGTCTCATTCCTCCGAGGAAGATGTATATCGGCTTTGTTCTCTCCCTAGACGATGTACGTTGTCTCACGTTTGATTCTATGCATATTAATTGACTGAGTTATTGCTCTAGGCCTCACTACCCCACCCCAGCTATCCGCATCGTTGTCTCATGCGACGCTGAGCGATACTTTGCGGTCGACATCACCGGCGCTAGAGATGCCAGTAATATCCGAGGGCGCATCTTCGAGAAAGTCAGCGCTAAGAGTGTTATGCGTAGAAAATATACTGACCGTGCCAATAGTTGAATATTCCGGAGGACGAGCAGTCGCATTACTCTATCTTCCAGTCAGAGATAGGGACCTTCGGTATAGGTGCCGCATTATCGGATGACATGCTCATCGATCTATGTCGACAATACGGTGACCCCTCGGGTTCACTCAAATTCTTTGTTTCACCTTACCATGACAAACCATCGGTTATCTACCAACCCCGCCGGACGCCAGAGGGTCGACGACGTGAGTATCCGTTCCAGGTGTCAAAATACATACTTATCACTCTGATTCTAGCGATACGGCGCCACGTCTGATCGCTTGTGTAGTCGCAGTTGAAACCACTGTTGTACATTAAGTATTTATTGCCGGAGTCGCTGATATGTGATCTGCATTTATCCCGCTTGTATGAGCAGCTTGCGAGCCCCACGCTTTCTCTTGCGAGTCCGATGACAAGTCTTCAGCGGCCATTCGCCTGACAGCATCAAACCTTATGCTCTAGCACGCAGCAACCTGGAGTAACATCGATCTTTGGGGCTGCATAAACTTCTCCAAGCACCGCCCTCGGAATAATGTTAACACTCGCGCAAACGTGTAAGACTAGGAACTATTCGGGAGGGCATGCTTCTTACATAGGTACCCTGGCTTCAGCTCCTTTTGCGCCTCGTGTAGCCTGCAGACACATCAAGCAGAGTCACCGGTCCTTAACCCGTCATTCGTTCATCTCGGTCTAGCTTCGGTGAAGACTTGTTGGCATCATCACGTAGGTGTTTCACGATCATGATTCCATCTAGCCAGCCTTCATCAATGTTCCTCGTTGATCGACGATTTGCACTCATGGCCACGGAGATGGCACTACCTACATGTCGTTGGAGCACTCACCAGGCCCGGTCGACTATTGCTTCCTACCCTCCGATCAGCATCAGGCGACCCACATTGACGATCAACGGTTCAACGTCTCGCTGACAGATACGTTGGACACTTTTAAGCACTTGCGGAAGCTGACTGATTCAGGGTGGTTGGATTAGGAAGCACAAGGGTTCAACGTTCAACATTCAATATTCAACGTTCAGCAGACAATGAATTACGTTCGGCGGTGATCAAACTGCAATTACCTATAGATTTTCTTGTGCGAAAATGCCGTGAAGTAGTCACTGCATGAGGAGCTTAGCGACCGTGAATCAAATTGGATAATGGCTGCGATAATATATATTTCCATCGGCATCAAGCTTCGTGCACACGATCAACGCGACTTGCACTGCATGTACGCGGGTTGTTGATTGGTTTTCTAAGAGACACCTGACGTTGCCTCGAAAAGCAGATTCCGTGTTCTTTTCTTGATTTCTTGATTTGATGGAAATGAAGCAAGGACCATCCCCTGATCTATTATCGTTGTGAGATTGCAGCGCAGCAATCAAGATTGGTTCGAATCGCCCGCCTGCAAAGGATCGTGCTCCTAGCCCCTAGGTAGACACCAGCAAGGTTGGTAATGTAACGACATGTAACGACAATAGGGGGCTGGCAATCCCTCCTCCCTACCCTCATTCGCTCCTCCAAGTCCTCCAGCCATTGGAATCTTTACGACCTGGTCTCATATCATATCACCCTCAACCTGGTGGACTACCTTGGGTTCTTTGGCTTACAGATAGCCAGAGGCTAGAGCTTTTGAGATATACACACTTGGACTCCACCCTATGGAGGAAAAGGTAGGCCCTTCCATAGTGGGACAATACAGTTCTTTTTCTCAACAGATTGGTATTCGTGATGGTGAGCGCATTGCCTGTGTCCTTCTAAATTCCTGTCACGCAAACTCTGTCTGCTCATATCCGCCATGGGACCTACCCTGTGCAGGAAACACTACTGTTTTCATGCCTCTCGTTACACAGGCTGCCCAACCCTTTGTTCACAGTCCAATCATAGATATATTCATGGATGAATTAATTGGAAAATTGTACATTCAAATTAATTACTTTATCTACGGATACTGATGGCTGTCAGGGGACTTCGGAAGGTGGATTTTGGGTCACGTGGTGCCTGGTCCGAAACGGTAGATCGCCCATCATAAGCCAACTTCTCGCCTATTGTCCTGCCATAATGGCCGACATTACCTCTCCACGAAGAGCTCTCACAGCTGCCAATAATTTTATCTCAGGGCTATACAGCTCAGCAACAATGCATAGCGTCGTTCGTGAAGAATTAGCGGGCAAGGTTTCCAAAGATGATGCCTCTGTTTTCAAACGCCTCGAAATCGACCAGGTGTCTGATGAATTCGTCGATTCTTGTTTCGAATTATCCATAACCCAACATCGAGGTCTCTTCAACGAGCTCAATACGGTCGTGGCAGCAGCTGCCCAAGCCCGGAACAAAACATTTCACCACAACACGCAACTCGAGGATAGCTGGGAGGTGAAAATGTACCCGCCGCTTGTGAGTCCCCAATTTTCCACCTCTTGTATAGTCAACCCCATCTTCAGCAAAAAATGTGCAACATCGTCACCAATTTCTCGCATCCAAGGGAGCGGAAAGCGATGAGGAACATCAAGATCGCTGCGAATAGGCAACTCAAGGGCGAAGAATATACAACTGGCTTTCCAAAGGTTGCGCCAGACGGAACCGGATCCCGCGCCCTCGAATGCGATTCTTGGTTGGAAACTGACTGGTTCGTAGAAATCAAACTGAAGGAAAGCCAAGGTCTCGCTGCGAAAGATGCTACCATATCCGAGGTCGTCTGCCAGGCCGCCGACTACGCTCGGCTCCACATGTCGTGCCGCCCTTTCCAGCTCTTCTCAGTCGGCCTCCTCATCTTCGGACGCAAGTTCATGGTGGGTATCTTCGACAGGGATGGTGTCTCGCTCTCTCCTATCTCCGACTTCTGCGACGCCGGTGAAGGTTTCAGAACTTTCATCAGGGTGATCCGCCAACTCGTCAGCCCCCGCCTCTCGGATATCGAGCTCGGGTGTGACCCTACCGCTCAGCCTCTAAGCCCCTCATCTGATCTTCACGCTGCTGTGCGTGAGCTCGCGATTTCACGAGGGCTATCACCAGACTTCCCGCCATACGTCGTATTGTGCCCGAGAGAGTACTCGACGACGGTCAATGGCGTGACTTCTACAAAATGGCAACAGAATTCGTGGTTGACGGTTGGCCCCCCTATTTGGGTGTCTCTCTCCCTCATCGGTCGGGGAACGAACATTTGGCCTGTAGTCCCGCTGATTTGGAACTCTGGCAAGTGTAGTATCGTCGACGGTGCACCAATTTCGATCCTTAAGAATGCATGGCGCAATAGTGAACGCACTGGAGAGGCGTCCATCTATGGGAGCCTCGATGCTCCTCCCCCTGGCATAGCGCGCTTTTTGCAAGGAGGCGATGCCCGGTTCGACGGTGAGACTGACATACTGATATCGGTGCACAATCTTCGTCGTCAATACCCGTACGGCGCATGGCTCCACAGAGCTGCGACGAATGCTACAGCCAACGTTCCACCTGGGCCTGGGACTGGGACAGCCGTCCTCCATCGTCTTATCCTGCAGACCATCGGGCGGCCATTGTGGCACTTTGCGAGCTATCTCGAGCTGCTGAAAGCATTCCGTGCGGCCATCGTTGGTAAGCATCAGATCTCGCCATCATGCCTGCGTATTCTTGGGATAATTCTTGGGGGATAGGTCATCAGCAGCTCGTCGCTCATGGAATCCTCCACCGAGACATCAGCGCTGGGAATATCATGATATCCGCCGACGATCATCCCGGTGCGGGCGAAGAAGGGTTCCTGATGGACCTGGAGTTCGCGAGGATTGATGAAGTTGTACATGTCACAAAGGCCCCTGGGGGTCCGCAGCGTACGACGTGGAGTGTTCCGAGGCGGGGCATCCAGATGACCGTACGAGCTCATCTTTCCTGATCGAGTTGTCTACTAATATAGACCAAAATTAGGGCACCGTGCAGTTCATGGCTAGAGAGATCTTGAACTCCATCCTCAAAAACAAGCCGGTTGAACACACAGTATCACACGATCTTGAATCGTTTGCTTGGGTCTTCGCCTACGTCGTGCTCCGCCGTCTACTTCGCGATTCGGGAGATGAGACGAATTCGACAGTGCCAAAGGACGCCCGACTCGCTGTCAAAACGATGTACGAACAATCATTTGGTGCTCTGAAACTCGAGACCGTGCTGACCCAGCGTCGTTCACTGGGCGTGTTCGACTTGGAAGAAAATAGTTTAGATGGGCTCGTCCCCGCCGCTATCGCCCAGTTCATGACGATTTTGGGCGTGCTGGTGGGCGCAAACCACGCGGCCGCCCGACCGCGCATTTCTGATCCTATGCTTCCACAGGCACCGCGGGAGAGGATGACGCATGACAAACTTGTATATTTCATTGATAAGTCTGTCGCGAGCCTGGAGGAAGAGATGCAGGTGGGCTGATCTGGACTCTGGGGTGCTACTCTACAGAGGTGACAGAAGCGACTTTGTTTTGTGTTTACCTTTGCCTCATGGATTTGAATGACTTGTAGAACACTTCGGAAATGACAGAAATCCGCAAGTGACCCCCGCTTTCGACACACGCAATTGTCCTCGCCACTGTTGAAATAAGCCAGTGAGGTCACGCGAGTTCCGAGTGAGCAAGTAGATATATTGCGTTTGGCTGGGACTCCAGCAAATGCATAAAGAAAATAATACTTACATGCGCGCGAGACGATATTACAGTAGTCACGTGCATTCCCTATACCCCTGTACCGCCAAGATGACCTGACCTGACATGTTGAGATGGACCCGTACGTTGTCGGACTCCTGCCGGAGGTGTCCCAGGCTTTCTTTGCCTGTAAGCAGTTTCGAGCTTTACCGGCGGTTGTGATAGTTTGTCGGAGTTCGCTAGGGTTTTGCTGATGCAATTTAATTACAATGTATTCCGGGGGATTATATCAGCAGTGCATGATCAAGAGGCCCTATCACGTGCCGTTTAGTCTCGCTGTTCGGATGCAATAGACTTAGTGCACTGGTCGGTCATGTTTTTTGACTTGAACATTCCGATACCTCTTTCTTCCTTCCCGTCAACAGCGCAATCAAGGAAGGGGAAAGGAAAACAAACGAACGCGGAAACTCCCCCAGCCTCTGTTTTCTCCCCCGCTCAGGTCAATGCCTTGGAATCACGCATTAACCTGCTTCTTCAATGTAAACAGGATAACTCTGCTTGGATCCATCATCGTGTCTCTGATAATGTCTCGAAGTAGGATACACGGTACTTGCGTTCAACCAGGTCGTGCACAAAAAGGTCGACCCGAAATCACATTGCAACGTTCTTGATAGTCTTCTACCACAACTGAAGCATCGCTCGGGAGTCATATTTCTGAAGCGATTGACGATTATATTGGATGAAGACAGCGAGAAAGGATTCGGCCTTGTACGCTCATGGTCTCTTAACCTCTATGGGAGCTCACATATTCCAAGATCAATGCCAACATCCCGATGTTCAATTCCTACGATCTCATTTCTTTGTTACCAACCTCCGCAACCACTTTCTCGCTAGCTTGCCTGACACATAGCCTGCCCTCACAGCTCACTGCGCATATCATATCTCTCCCCCTTACCTTGCCCCGACTTCCATTTCGCATGAAGCACACTCTGATTCGTACGGCGCTGAAGAATGGCGCAGTTTTCGAAATCAATTATATAGGCGCGCTAGGTGGAGAGAACGATCCGTGTTTAGTAAATGCGGACGCAGCCATAAATGATAGCAGCGCGAAGCGCAATTGGTGGGCAGCCTCGAGAGAACTATGTCGGGTCACGAAAGGCAAGGGGATACTGGTGAGTAGTGGAGCTGTAGCAGATGCCGATCTCAGGGCACCCCGAGACATTGGTAACATGTATGCCATGCCTCACCGGCCCCTTGTCCCTTTAGCTTTGGAGCTGACTGTTTGCGCAGCATTTCTTTATTGGATGTCCCTCAAAATACCGCACGCGACTCTATGTCGACATTGCCCCGATCACTTGTTAAACGCGCTGGTGGGATATTTTCCGAGCGCAAGCCAGATCGTCGGCTGACCAATCCCATTAGAAACACGGAAAACATACCGTGCGGTGCTTTCCGAACCGAGGGTCGTCATCCCAGAAGGGCCCTCGCAGCCGAAGCTCAACGCTCCCGTTACTGTAACTCCCTTGAGCAGCGCGCACAATGGCGCTAATCTCAGAGCCGATATCGCCGTCCATGATATCATTGCCGAGCCGCAAGGAGGCTCGGAATGCGGACCCACTAATGAAAGAGACGGTCGAAGTGGGCCCGTCGAGATCTCGCGCACTAACGGACAGAAACGCTCCCGCGAGGATGTCGAAAAGCAGGCCGTAGCGGCTCCCGTTGATAATGAAACCAGAAAAAAGAAACGCAAGAAGAATAAAGATGGTCGCGGTTTAACCGTATCAACCAGTGGCGCAGGGAGTTAAATCTGCAGCTTCAAATTTCAGGTTTGTAAGTAATCGCACACAAAGCACTGCGATATGTACTGGTTCACCCTAAGCAGTATCGCTTCTCTCATAGGTCGAGACGTGAAATCTGCGATGACCGCGCGGATCGCCTATCTAGACTGGATCCCTGGCATTACAGCCCGTAGGCCGAATAAATGACACAAACTACCCATTAGTGCACCATTCCCTAAAGCAACAGACGAACCATCATTCCCTCCAATGATTACATGGCTGGTATTATATACTAGTAAATTGTCCTGAGAAGTGTCTTTCGGATACCGGGTTGTGTTGCCGCTGATTATAACTCATCCATATACTCTAGGCATCTGTCATACAACTTTCCCCACCGCCCTCCATTCCAATGACGGACTCTAGACCACTCATCATGGGGAGCCATGCGTGCAATCCAGATGAGAACGGAGCATAATGCGAAGTCGGCGTAGGACACGTGATGCCCCTGAACAACAACTCCATCTCCATCGCCAGTATTCTTGTCAAGGATCATGGCGAGAAAATTGAATTGTTCTTTGACCGCGTTCCACGCTTGCTCGCGTTGGCTGCCGGATAACTGCGGCGCTGACATGCCCGGTATCGCATACCCAGTGGGTCCTCCGAAGAAATGATCACGGCTGCGCTCTGGGAGTCGCTGGTGACTCAGAGGCACCATAATTGGGAGCAGCGGCTGAGCGAAGGAGTTTTGCACGAAGTGTACGAATAAGGACTGCAATGCCCGTGAGCCTTCGGGAAATATGGGCCGTGCAGGATATGATGACTCGAGGTATTCCGCAATATTGTTGACATTGGACAGAATTCGAGGGGTGGGTGATTGGACAGGATCAACGATGACGGGTAGCGTGTACGAAGGGCGCCCATCGTTGCGCACCGCGCTTGGAGGTGCGTTTATCGAACGTAACGTGGCTTCTACGTCAGGGAATTCAAGCCACACGGTGCGGTACGGCAGACGCTTGTAATTCAAAATAAAGCTGCCAAGAGGTGTAAGTAAGCCTCATGGCAGTCGTGACGATATACTCGCCGTATTCTCCAGATATTCGGGGCCCATGGTTGCGGACTGTGTCCTGCACGGATGTCGTAGAGTGTGATGACCGGCGGGTTCTGTCGCGAGTGTGACGAAGATGAATGACGATGCATCGCTGAACAATAATTGGATGGTGTCTTGTAAGCAAACAACAAGGTCTTTATATGTCCCCTTGTATATTTACTACATGGACACAAGTCCCCCAAGAAGCAGGGAACCCAGTCAATTGTCGCAATCGCGCGTCTGCGCACCTCTGATTGAGCTATCAACCCCCGGCGCAATATTCAGCGAATGGTCCGTCGGAATTCTGTTGTATTGTAGTTACCGATAGTCAAGAAAGCATGACCTCCAGACCCAAGTAAGGGCGGCCAGGCGCCATAGGTTTCATTGGTGATCGGTAGACGGAGTCATACTGATACAAAGGCATCGCGCTGAGATTGCACCCGGAATCGACATGCTATTATTGGAATGTTTGGCCCAGAGAGAAGTGAGTACTGGACCCATTGACGTATATTAGGCGTAGACGCTATCTCAACCGCAGAAGCTGTACGAGCGCCACTTGGCGCCGTTGGATTGCTAAAGTAAGAAGGGCGCCCGAGCTGTATTCTCCCTGAATTCGGCCACGTGGCGGAAACACTACTCTACTTCCTGGTCCCTTTTTGGTCGTATTATGCATGCTAATGCTTGCATTACGGAGAGCTGAAGTTAGACACACCGATATTTGATATTAAAGTACATATGCTTGAGTGCGTGCAAGCACATCGAGCCCTTGTCAAGCCCGTATTTTAGTTGGCACAGCTTTAACTCTCGAGCTTCGCAGCCGCTCACTGATCGGAAGTATCATGATAACATGCAGTGACAGAATAAGATCGTTATCTGCGAGTATAATCGTATGATCGAAGATCTGTATGAAGCGTCCGATGACTTCACTAAGCCCGACCACGGTGTGTTCCTGGTCAGCACCTTGTTCTGGATGGTGCAGATGCTGAAAATTTAGCACTGGCTACTGCACAGCAAGTGCAAAGCGGATTCGCAAGGACGGAGAGACTATACGGTAAGATGGTTGTACCCATTGAGTTACTGGCGCTGTAGATTTCCGCGAGCGTACGAGACGAAATGACTCGTCAGTCCCATGATAGAGATACTTGCAAGGGTTGGAGTTGCGAAGGTACAATTTATGCTGACACCAGCCTGTCATGTCCTGCTGTCAAATGGTAGCACTCTCGTACTCACTTAGATCTCTGCCAGTCGAATTACATCGGCATGATGGAATCTCATAAAATCTGTTACCATGGGCGCTTCAAACTTTTCCTCGGGGTGAAATCTTGATAGCTGTGAAAGCTGAGAGCTGAGCGCTAAGAAAGTGCCATAAAGATTATGTTGATCTCAGTCTAACTCATGGACCGCTAGAGTACCAATACTATATTAGTTGTCATTCTTGGGATTAACTCTAGCGGTTCTGAGGCAGCCCCTTTAGTCGCCCCTATGCACCAGCACGGTCACCTGACGTGACATCACATTGTCACGCATCAATGCATCTCCCAGCGTTGGTGGTCGTGGTTGCTTCCGCCACTTCAGACTTCAGTTCTACGTCCAGGGTCCCTCCTTCCTTCCAGTCACGATTCAGTGGCATGGAGACGGGGAACACGTTCTCCAGCGCCAACCTTCGCGTTAGGGATAAAATTGTGGAAGAGAAGCATCAGAAAGAGCTTGCTGACATAGAGCGCAAGTTGACGCGATGCAAGGCCACGAACGACGACCTCTTGAAGCAGCTTTTCGATGCTAGACACCGTGGCGAACATCTAGCTTCGCTACTTGGGTTTCCTAGTCTCATGGAAGCTCAAGTCTATATCGAGAATGCCGACGAGGATATGACATACAAGGAACGCAGTGATCGTATGACCGACCTTCAACGTCAATTGAAAGCAGCGCAGGCCGCTGTGGACGAGTCAGCAAATGTCAGGGAAGAAGTTGAATCTCTCAAGCGCAGCCTAGCAGAGTCGCGCGCGGAGGTAGAGTCGCTCAAGTCGTTAGTTTTCTTGAATGTCTTCTTTGCTCTTTGTCTGACTGCTTACACCCAGTGGCGGTGAGCTTGCGATTCTTCAAAAGCGTTATGATAGGGTAGTAGACTCTATGGATCGCGCTAGCAAACGATATGCGAGAGACTACCGAGCAATGGATAGAGTGCGCAAATATCTAGCTTGTACGGACGCTATGATGGATAGCACAGATCCACACCGCGCGGAGTTACAGCAAAAACGTCTCAAAGGCTTCTCTAAGAATGAACTACAGAAGCTGATTGATATGCTGGCCAACGGCACTAATCCAGCTGCCTTAGGTACGTTCTGCTTGCTTGTAATTGACAGTCAATGCTTAAATTCGTCCCTCAGATAAGCACCTCGGTATAGTGCATGCTATTCCACATCGACAAACACCCCAAATAGAACCTACATCGTCTCTTCGTTCCTCGCAGACGCGTGTGGCCCAGTCCCATTCTCCTCAATCCAAGCTTCCTCCTTCGAGCCCGTCTCCTCACGATTTACCTGCACATAGTTCGGACACCGAAAGTGATTCCCAAGGTCTGTTGCTATCAATCTCTACGGAGGGATTTCGCTCAACATATTGCAGCTTTGGAACCATTCGCCGCTACGTTATTCAGGAAGGGTGGGGGCCCATCTTCAGATACTGAAGACGATTCCCAGAGTGCGTCTATCCCATGACCCCATTGGCTAGTCTCACTTTCGTTGAAGTGCCCAGTGCAACTAACCTCAGCCCTGCTCCTGTTCGTGTGGCCACTAAGTTCGAGACGCCTAATTATACGTCCAGGCCTTTCATCCCGAGAACTGTCCCTCACGAAACTCGAACGTCCCCCACGACCAGCCATCTACAGCGACGACCTAATGCAGAGGCAGCTCGGCCTAGTAAAGTGCGGCGCACGTACGCCGAAGATGTCTCCGCGAACATGAGTTCGACACCAATTCGAGCTCCTGATCGCTCCACGAGGGCACCATTGAAGGATAAGCCACTAGTCCGCATAATGGGAAATGAGAAACCCACCCCCGACTCCGCCCCGTTGTTCAAGGGAAAAGGAAAGGCCACAGAGGGCGGCGGAGCCACTACTCCGACGCCATCAGCGCCAGCGAGAAATGGTAGGCTCACAGACTACTCAGCTTACAAAGGTCGGGGGAGATATGCACAGCCAGCTCAATCTTCGGGGTGCGTGGGCGTCCTTGTTTCATTGTGCTCCGTGGCTGAAGCTTCGCAGGAGCTCCAAGCCCATCAACACATTGTTCGCGATTGATCCCAAACGCAACGGCGGACTGGACTTCCAGTTCGAGGAAGTAGTAAAGAATAAAGAGGATAGAAAGAAGTTGCACGCGGGCGATTGCGAGTGTTGTCGCGACGTGGGTATCTCCTGTCCTTTCCTCAGTCCCACTTGATGAACTTTGGCCTAGTACTATGAAGCTGTTGGGCCTCTTCCTCCTAGGCCTCAGCCACCTTTGTGGCGATCGCCGGAATCCACTCCAACCGCTCAACGCCACCGGGCTTCGAGCAGTAACACCTCCCCCGACAGTAGGACTAAGACCATTGATCGGCATAAGCAAGCTATATCTCGGCATCGGCAACAATGGGTTCGAGGTCGGACGCCGCCGGGCTACTGGAACATAGGGTTTCCAAGCACCCAAGAGGCTAATGATATCAATCGCTACGCAGAGGATATGCATAGGAGAAAGCAAGAAGAGATCGAGAAAGAGGCCCGGAAAGAGAATGGACGGTATAAACGGAGGGATCGAGATTGGTGACAACCGGTGTGTCACGATACGTCTCCGCGGGTAGTTCAGTATATTTGCGCTATATCGGCAATTTGGTTGGATCAGTGTAATCGTGAGTTGCTTTGCACTAGCTTTTCCGCACAGCATCCTAACTACATCATATTTATTCAGGTTCATACTCGGATTTTTCAATCCCATGGTATTAGTACATACGCGAAACAGATAACAGCTTTATGCGTGATGCGCCAAGCTTCAAGTATCAATGTCCATATCCAAGAAGTCCCCATCGTACGATTCACACATCCTCATACCGTACATACCGGACATCAAGGCTATGGCGTCTGGGTCGTCCTCCACTGACACGTCCTTGGTGTTTCCCCGAGGGAAACGGAGAGGCGACCGCAAAGGTGAACCTCTTAGCGGGCTTCGTGACTTCCGAGGCGTCGATGTTTGGATGGGCGTCAAGAGACTGTTTTGCGCTGCAACAGACGAACTTGTCACAAGCTGGCTCGTCGGTCGATGTTTCCTCCTCGGCTGCGCCGAGGGTGCCCGGACTAGATTATGGTACGGCGTCAACTGAGTTGGGTGTGCCCTTAATGGCGACGCGCTGAATATATTCTGCAGTTCCCTCGGGTGAAGCCTATTGCTGCCCATAGAAGTGAAGACGTCGTCGATTTCGTTCCTAAAGGTGTTCGTTGCGGCGACTTTGCGACGTTTGCTTTGTCTTTCTTGACTAAAGTCCTCTTCGTCAGCCTCATCTAGTGGCCCAAGTCCAGGGCTAGGAGTGTAAACCCCGTATATCCTACTTCTGCTCGCCAGGGGGCTGCTGAGCGGCGTCACCGATTCTACGTGCTTGTCATTCCGCGTAGGTGTGGCGTTGGCCCTTCTCTTGTTCGCTTTAGGTGCTCCAGGTACGTTCTTTGTGATGCCTACGGCTACCTCGATGTCCTTGCGTATTTCTCTGTCGGTGCGAAGTAGCGCGACGTCAATCCTCATTGACTCTGGTAATTTGGCATTCAGTGAAGCTGCGACTTCCTCAAGTTTCTCCCTAGACATCGTCAAGAGATCTTCATGACAACAGAAGGGTATCTTGTCCAGGGCGGTGATGACGATTGCATCCTCGGAACAATCTTCGTGCTGCAAAGCGATCCGAGGAGCTCCAGGAATGGAAGCGGACGCTGAGCCATGAGCATGCTTTGTTGCCACTGGATTCCTCGATGTTGCACCTGTCACCTTCTTGGGCCCTAAATCCTGGGTTTCTATCTCTTCTCCCCGACGACGCTTTCCCAGTGCCCGTCCTGCTTCGATTCGGATGAATAGTCGCTTTACTGGTGTAAAGTACATGGTAGAGAGTCAGAAAGATGGAACGGTGGCCCACAATAGCGAGTGGCTGGCATTGCCTGAAACGCTCCTATCAAATCCACGTGATCGCGAAATTGCCTAAACTTCAATTTCTTCAGCATGTCGACCGCGACCATGCTATTACCATTTGATTTGCCCAACAGATCCACTTTTCTTGTCACCGACGAGCTCTTTTCGCCAGCCGATTTCATCATACATTCACATGTTGCTGCTCAAGCGAAGGATCGGTCGTACAGATGCCTCATTGTATCGATGCTCCCCGACGTATCCAGATGGAAAGCGATTGCCGCGAAATCCGTGGGTGAATTAGTCACTTGAACGCGCTTCATTAATCATTCCCGCTGTGTTCACGTTCAGAAACTCAACATTGCGGAGAAAGTAGCGTCAGGATCCATCACATTCATCGACGTTTTACCGCTGATACGGCCTTCGAGGGGTGAAGACTCACCACGACTACACGATTTATTTGATGCTGTCTCTTCGAATCTCTCGCGCTTTAACTCGGAGGATTCAGATGTGATTCTAGACGGGATTTCATCGTTACAATGGATGGGGATTCCCAGTAAGGATGTTGTACGATTCCACCGCGCTGTTCGGGGTCTCTGCCGCAAGGTGCGCGAATCTCTCACAGTCCGACTAGAGCTGACCTATGTGAACATCGCGAATACGTGCAGTTTGGCTCAACATTGCTCATCAGACATCACGTAGTCACTCCAACGCAACCCGACGACGTATTTCGAATGCTATTGCAACTATGCACATACCACATTGACGTCCGTCCACTTGCAAGCGGTCGGAGTGGAGCTGTCAGTGGGGAGGTAATGCTTATCTTGACTTCAATTCAGGGCATGGGTTTCTGAATCTTCGTTTAGGTTACGCTCTACTTCGGACCTTCGACGCGTTTAATTCAAGGAGTCCAAGGGAACCGACGGTTGCAATATAGACTGTCTGACAACTCTGCTGTATTTTTTGAACGAGGCATGGCAGGCGGTATCCTCTAGCTAATACCTTCGACGTGATGCTATGTACTCGGATTCTGCGGGAAATGGCTGATCTGGACAGGACTCCCCACTAGTTCGAATTGATGCACTAATTGGCCTGGAGTATCGACAGCCACTTTGTATACACCATTAAACAGCCACATATTCCCCTGCGAATCGGCGCGAGCCAAAGAACCGAGCGTTATATTCAGGTGAGCTTTTGCAGATGATCTTGGCCCGATATCATGTAATCGTGCATAGGAAACCAGCCTTCTGTTGGGTCGGGGCACTGGTCCAGCGTTGCCACTCACAAATAGCATAGTGACGAAGTCGGACTTGACCTTGCCCGTATTATGGACAACCACTTCGAGTGTGTCAAATGTGAGTAAATCTGGTGTCTTTGAGCGGCGAATACTGGATACGAAGTCCGAGATGCTGTAACGCGCTTGAGGTCTCTTCTGCCACATCAAAGAGAACGTGGTAAAATGCAATCCATGGCCGAAGTCGAAGACAGGTGTACCGGTGTACCATTGGTAGGTTCGTCCTGGATTGTTTGCAGACGGGCGCAGTGACATGTCAGTCATAGGGACCTGGTTCACGTATTCGGCAGGATATTGGGTGACGGGTAAACGTCCTGCGGGTGCCGCCTTTCCCGTGAGGATGTCAAACAGTGCAGTTCCTCCACTTTGTCCGGGATATCCTCCCCATACTATCGCGTTGATCTACAGATATTGGTCGAATCGAAGAATCCGATAATCATGCAAAGCGACGTACCTTCCGATTGCTTTTTAACGCACTATCGTCGACCTGCCCGCCTCCAAATTGTAGGACAACGATCGGCTTGCCTGCTCGTTCTAACTCTGTAAGAAGCTCGAGCTGGTTCCCAGGCCATGTGATCTCCGTACGATCTTGGCCCTCTCTTTCTATGGATAATTCATCAATACCTCCCGCAAAGATAACCAAGTCGGCACTTTGAGCCGCTGCTGTCGCAGCGGAGAATCCATCCGTAGTGTTCCCCGTCACTGCAGTTCCGAATTCGAAGATGGCTTCATAGCCTGCGTCGATGGCTCCTTGTAGAGGGCTTATGAGGAATGGAGCGATGCCATGGTAATTGCCTTGCATCTGCACGGTAGCATTTGCCCATGGTCCTACCAACGCAACACGCTTGAATTTGCGGTCAAGCGGGAGGATTCCGTCGTTTTTAAGAAGAACTACTCCTTCCACCGCCGCTCTATGTGCAAGAGCTTGGGTGCTCGGGACATTGACGTCCGACCAATCAATCTGTCGAAATGGTTGTGTCTCTGGAGAATCAAAATATCCAAGGCTAAATCGAACGTATCAGATACACTGATACCTGTGGGTAATTTATTTGTCGTCGCTTACCGGACAAGGGAAGTATAAAGCTTCACGACTGCTTCCTCTAGATCGGCTCTGGTGATCATTGATTGATTGAAAGCAGCCGGCAAGTCCCTCGCGAAGGCCGTTCCATTGCGAGCACAACCAACATCTGTACCTGCTTTGAGCGCAATGGCTGCAGCTTCTTCGGGCGTAGATGTGAAATGGTGTGTTCTCCATATGTTGTCGACAGCATCGCAGTCGGCTGTCACCCAACGGTTGTCATCGAACCCCCACTCGCCCCGCAACAAGTCTTGCAGTAGCCACGAATTAGCGCACGATGGGACCCCGTTGATCTCGTTGTAACTGCACATCACCGATGCGACTTTGGCGTCTCTGACGCAGCTCTGGAATGGGGGGAGGTAGAACTCGGACATGTCCTGGGTGGTCACGATGGCGTCAAAAGAGAAGCGCGCGATGCCTTGCCAGAGCTCGAGATCGTATGCTGCAAGATGTTTGCAGCTCGCGACGATTTTAAACTGTGGGGGATCAATACCGCCTTGCAGGCCGTTAATCAGCTGGAGGACGTATTGCGATATGTGGAAGGGATCTTCGCCAGGCGTCTCTTGACCGCGCCCCCAACGAGGGTCTTTGAATGGGTTGATATTCGGAGTGAAGTAATCGAGACCGGCAAACCCGAAGTTGTTGAACGCCCGGGTTTCCGTGCTGATCACGGTGGCTACCTCCTTGACCAGCGCATCGTCGAATGCAGCGCCCAGGAGTATGGGCTGAGGGAACGATGTGGCAAAGCTGAAGTTGCCGGAAGGGGCGAAGGTTACACCAGGGCTGGTAGCGACGCCATGCTACACGGTTGACGGTTGTAATGATCTTTCATTAATCGGTCCGTCCCAAAGAGTTCAGACAGTGAGACGACGTACGAGGGCCTCAGACCACCAATTATAACCAGAAAGACCCAACCGAGGTATCTCTGGGTTTTCGTTGGCAGTTCTGTTGATGAGTTCGTCAATGGTGAACAGGCTTACGACGGCCTGCGCCCGCTCCCTGGGACTTTTGGCCGTATCGCAGACGATATTATTCTTCAAGGGACCATTAGTGCAATCGGGGAACCCATACAGCGCTGCATAGCTGGTGGGTGCGAAAAGTAGATGGACGAGCGCAAAGATGAACATGTTCTACGCCAACAGAAGGCAAACGTGGGCCCTTTGGAGAGTTCTTAAGTTTTATGCACCACATCTAGTAATCTTTGGGTGGCGAAGAACACAGAAGTCAGGACGAGAATAGCTTGAACCGCCAACGGATTCTCGAAGTCGAAGAGCTCGAGAGCGTATGTAGTCTTGATCACAAGATGTTGTTGGTGCCATAACTCCTCCCCCGCTCGGCCCGCCTGTAGTACTGTCCATGGGAGCCCATATCTTCTTTGAGTACAGAAGTCGTCGGAGAGGTGAGACCTGATTTAGAAAAGTAGTGTGGTGGTCCATGTGAGCTCAAGCAACGTGCAGTGCTAAGTTGTGGTATGCGTGTAACGTTGTCGCGGGTCTTTCTTTTATCCAGCGATGCTATGTAGAACGTCTTTCCAGCCGGCTGACCATGGAAATGCGGATAAGTGTGTGCTCTAGGACATTGTGAGGAAATTGTACGCGGCAGGGTATTGTGTTTAAGCTTACTATCTTTAACTGTCAAGACAAATCAACAAGTGTCAAGACGGAATGGCCTTGAGGGAATACGATAGGGGAATAGGAGTTCAAATTAGCTTCGGAGTAAAGGTCTCCTTGACCCACCAGAAATGCAACGGGAATCCTCTCACAATAACGTATTGAGGCTGAATGACAGAAAATCAGGCTGAAGACAATCCGCAGTACCACCACAGTGACCAGGGGAAAAACCAAGGAAAAACAGTAACAATTACCCCAAGCGCTAAGCGCTCACTGTTATTTCAAGCTGAACCATGTCTACTACAGAATCTTCAGCACCTCGACGTTCCTCAAGGATCTCAGCGCAACCGAAAGAGGAAGTGAAAACCACTGCCAAAACCAGGAAGCCTTCTGTGAAGCGAACAGCTGAGGCTGCAGCAGAGAAGACCACAGCGAAGAAGGTCATTCATTCTTGTTTTCGCATCCCTCGTATATGGGACTACATGTAGATTGTAGGCCAAATCCAGTCCTGAACACGAAGAAAATACTGAAGATCATGATGCTTTGCCAAAGATCGACCTTGGCGACGTCCTTCCGAGCATCGTCCTGAAGAATGAGGAAGATGTAGACGTGGATGTTACTGATCTCGTGTCTGAAAAAGGTCTAGTGCTTTTCCTAGTCCCCAAGGCAGATACTCGTACGTGGATCTCTGAAGTAGATTCCGGACATGTCGAATTAACGTCGTTTCTGTTGGTAGCGGGTTGCACCAACCAAGCATGCGGCTTCCGAGATATATATCCAGATTTCACATCACACAATTTTGAGGTTTACTGCTTGAGCGCCGACTCGCCCGCGGCTCAAAACAAATGGAAAACAAAGGTAAGACAATACTTGTGATCTACGAAGATCATACTCAAACCATCACAATAGAAAGAGCTGCCGTACCCTCTACTTTCCGATCCTAAACGCAAGTTGATCACTGCTCTCGGTGCGGGCGAAGGGGGGAAGACCAAGCGAAGCCATTTCATCTTCGAGAAAGGTGGTAAACTAGTAGATAAGAAGATTCCGGTGAAGCCCGTTGAGAGGTACGACGCCTCGCCGGTCTAGGGCGGATATGCCTGACATCCCCCGTTTCGTAGCCCTGCGCTAGCGCTCGAATTCGTCAAAAGCCTGTGAAGGGCTTGAACGTTCGAACCCTTGGATGCCGTCGCTGGTGGTCGTTAAATTGGCATGGATGGCGCTATCAATGACTCTACCAGCTTGCTAGAAACGTCTCAGACCATATAGACGAGTGGTTCTAAGCAATGATAGCCGACTTTTTCGTATATGTTTGTAGTAATTGCTATGAGGCTGGTCTGCTTACAGGCTGTATGTCTTATAATGACAACTCCAACACCCAATCATAGCATTAATGGGGTAGTGGTAACCTGGGTCGTTGCCAATGGAACATTCGTTTCGACCCGCCGGGAGTTCGATTCTCTCTTAATGCAATTGATTTTGCCTTTTTTGCTGCCTGATGACTTGAGTTCAGTACGTTCAGTACGTTCAGTTCCTACTGGCGATCCTCGGCACAGACGCTTGCCGCGAATTCTGGGGGTTTCTTTCTGCATATTCACAGTAGGCAGCATCAAGTCAAATGTGCAGATGGATATACATGGTAAATAAGTAATAGTGTACCGAAAGGATGATATACGTTATCTTCGAAATACAGGTTCTATTTGAATACGAATGAGTTCTAGGTAATGCATGCATCTAGGTGTGGATTATGAATAAATATTTCGTCTATGTCGTGATGATGTTCGTGAAATAAAGGCAATGTCTGATTGATGATGCCAAATGTGAAAGGAACGGGATGCACATCAAACTTTCTCTTCCTTCGCCAAGGCTTCTGCCTCAAGCTCCTTCGCAATGCGTAGATCCTACACGCAATATTCATCAGGAATGGGGAAAAGGAAGGTATGCGATGGAGGTGACATACAATACAGGGAGCAAACTTGCTGTGCGCACGAATGCGCGGCCCATATTTCTTGAACAGAAATGGTGATGGAGCGAGTATCAAGCCGAGTATACCGAAGAGTGTACACGCCCAGTTTACGCCCATCTAGGAGATAGAAAAGTAAGTCACCCTGGTAAGAGGTTCGAGGCGAGGCGACTACCTTAGTAAACATCTGCACCGTGAATAGCGGGAAGGCCGCGGCGGCGGCCGAACGACACATCGTGTTTGCTGCGAAAGCGGACGCACTGTACATCCTTGGAGACGATTAGACGACGAATAGCACCGAAAAATGAAAGTACACACAAATACGTATCCACCAAATAGCTCTATATAATATTGATGGTTAGCAACTGCACGATTACCACAAGGAATGGACTACTGACCAGGAATGATATGAAGATCAAGCTGATGCTGGTGCCGAGGAACAGCGAGCTGAGGGCGGGCACATACCATGGGATAGAGGAATACTCGCCCGTCCACCCCAGCCAGAAGATCCCAACGACCAGACAAGGGCCACCGATCATCGCCCCGTACAGCCGTTCTTCCGGAGGTGGGAAGCCCTTCCACTTAGCAATCAGGGCTGGGTAGTGCCTACTCGTGAAGACATTAATGAGAGACCCCAAACTCGTCCCGATGCCGATGCCGATGAAGATAAGGCCGTCTTGGGCGATTGTAAACCCGCGCTTGCTCACGAAGATGATCGGGAACGCCTGGAAAACTGTATGGAGGAGAATATTTTAGCAGATAGCGGTTTCACGGTGAAAGGGTGCCTTACGGGCATAGAGAATGGCATAGACTATGGAGACGTAAAACGTTACGAGGAGGAGGATAGGCTCCATAGCTAACATCTTGAACGGTCTGAAGAGCGTGCGGTGCAGGACGCCTTTGAAAGACCAATCGCTCCGTTCATGCTCAGCGTAGATCGCATGATTCTTCTCGGGGTCGGCCTTCCTTAGCCGCCGGGCCTGTATGATAGAGTAAGATTGATGCCGCTTGCGTCGCAAAGATCACATACGCGTTTCTGAAGGAGAACGGGTGCGTATGTTTCGGGTAGGAGGATTATCATCAGCAATGTGCACGCTCCGGCGAACATCATCATGACCCAAAATACCCATCGCCAGCTTAAGGAGCTCTCGACGATGCTATGGGGCATTCTTGAGTTTCAATGGGATCAAAGAAGAGCATGCCAACTTACTATCCAGCGACAATGGGGCCCATGACAGGGCCCATAAACACGCTCGCGGTAAAGAGACTAGTAGCAAGCCCGCGAGTCTCGGCAGACCAAATGTCCGCTATAACACCTAAAATAGCCTACGGTCAACAAACAAAGTACATCCAGGAGGAGGTACACTTACCACCACAATTCGTCATCGGCGCGACGGCAAAAAATCCGGAAAGGAATCGAGTAACGAGTAACGTTTCGATGTTCTTCGCAAGTGCTTGTCCGAGGTGAAGTACAGTGTAGGATATCATGGCGATGAGGAAAATAGGACGTCTGCCCCACAGCTCCGAACCCGGACCCCAAAATAGCGGCCCAAATACATAGCCCAGAAGGAAGGTCGTCGTCATGAGATAAGATACCTCAGCAGAAATACCGAAGGTGGCGATGACCGCATGTGTTGCAGCTGTCGGAGCAGATGAAGCAAACGTACTGTATTCATACATCGTGAGTAGGTGCCATGCATCAGTAACAATACGACGCACACGTTAACCGTCATCATGATGCACACCGCGGTAATGCCCCATTTACGGCGGACTGACCAGTTCTGAGGATTTTCCAGATCGTTGGCGCCATTCCAAAATACACGGTTGGGATCTTGGGCCGGCTCTGTAAAAGTTGGTGTCGGTGTGATCGAGGCTACTTCTTTCGACGGTGGGTCATGGATATCATTCCCTCCGTATATTTCGAACTCTAGCTCGTCTTGTGCGATCTCCCTGTCTAACGGACTAGGACCAACTGACGCCGCTGGGGGATTGTTTTTATGTTCCATGAGGGTAATGGAAGAGCGCCTTGAACCTTCCGCCACCAAAGTAGCCATGTCGGCGAATAAAAGAACGATGAAAAGGTATCACTTGACATAGCTTGAGGTCAACCTTTTATGCAAATTATGAAATGTTGCGCACTTTCGGCTATCTGTAACCCGGTTGTTGGGAGCCGTCCAGGGGCTCCGGAAAGATGCCCGAGTTATCGATCGCCAGTAATCGAGGTAGACATATGCCCGAAGATAGGTGGGTTGCATCCCGACGGGGGTAATAGAAAGCACGGAGCAGCCTTGATAAAGGACGAGTGCGAAGGGAAACGGACGATTACTCAGGAGGTCGATGTCACACCAATGTTCATCTACAAAGACTATTTTGCCAGATAATTGGGTTGCAGGTCGTTAATTGTGGTGGCGCCACCACAGGCAACTTGGAGCGAGCCATCGGCACAAGTGCATTCCAGCCAGTGCTGGGCCGGAGCTGGTGGAAGGCTAGACGGGGCATGAATGAGAGGCGATCTCGCTGAAAGCTTTCCTACGGTTGACCTTTGTACCACCAAGGCGTCGACTTCTTTAACTAGTATCTTGAGGCCTCTTGAGACTCGCCACTCATCCCGAGTTTCTTGTCGTGTGTAGCGGCGCGACGTGAATGAGCACGTGATCATCAAAGGACTTACGACTCAAAGTTCAAAGTTTGGAACTCTTCCAAGTCCAACTCCTCGTCCATGAAATTGGTTCAGATCACGACCATAACCTTCATTTCCTAATATCTGCGCACCCCTTATACTGGACGTATCACAAACATCACGACCATGTTGAACAGCAGGAGTGGTCGCACCCCTGCTCGTACCTCTCAAGTCCATGCAATTCCATCGGTATTTGCAACAAAGACCACACCTACGATCCCATCAGCATCGGCGGGATATGATCCACTCGTCAAAGCAGTATTGCAGCGTCGCTTGGTTTCCGAAATCTTTGTGTACAGCGCCTTCTTCTGCTGGGGTGCCGCCTTCTGCTGGTCGATATGGGGAAGCGGCGGACTCGTGCACAAGCTGTTTGCTTCACTGCTGTACGCTTCCACATTCTGGATAGTAGGAGCTCTTCCCAGCATCATTCTGCGGAAACGCTACGTTACAGGTGCGGTGTCATTGAAACAACGAAAACCCTATCTAATAGTTCCACGTTTAGCTGACTCTAGCATCGCGAATTCCCCTTCAAAGACCGTACGGCAAGCGCTATGCAAGCCAATCACCTTTCATGCTCTACTCACCCACGTCGCTTCGGCCATTCTGATCGCGACGATCCACGCGTTCGTGTCTTCCGAAGCAAAACTGACACTGTTTGTCAAATCCAAGTGAGTTATTCCACTGCTGCAATGGCGTTGATTACCTGACCTGCACTAGAAAGCACCCGCACTACTTAAACGGTCGGCTAATTTTTCTGCTCTGCTCTCAAGTATTGCTGGCTTCAGCTTTCACCATGCGCAACGCTATGCTTGATCGCTACTTGCTTCGTTCAAGCGTGCGACAACCATTTGCCCTTGTTAACATCGCCAAAACAGTGGCCGTTGCAAGACTGCTGACGACCATAACAGTCGCTCTGTCAATGGCAGCTATAGCCCTTGCGAAGGTGTTCATGTTGCCCGTGTTGTATCGCGTTCCTTTCGCTTCGTTGCTTCTGAGGCCATTTGCAGGGCATTTCATGCGCTCGTCCATCATCTCCCTCCTTCCATCGCACCATCTTGCAACGATAGTTCAGGCCTGGTCTCTGGGTTCTGTCACCGTGGATGTATGGGAGTTCTCAAACGCCCTCTTCGACTTCTACGTGCCCATGCCCGTCCGTATTGGACTTGCCTCCGCAGACCCTATCGTAACGCTTGTCTCTGGCGCCACTTCCACCGACAAAATCATCAAGCAATTTGCATACGCCGAACTTCAAGACATCGCCAGCAGCGATTCGCCCACTGCGAGTGCCCAACGGACGGCCCTATTTAACGACCAGAAATTCATGCCTAGTTTGTGGAGCTCTCTCACCAGGGAAAGCCTCATCACGCTTGGACACGACTACCAACACTTTATACGCAAAGGCGCACCAGCTCCGCCACCGCCTACAGCCCCAGCCGCACCAAGAGCCACAGACCCTATCCTTCCTTCCACCCCCAAGAAACTTATACAAAAACCTATCTACCAATCGGCAAGACAGTCACCGATACACAACGTCATTGATTCGCTGGCCGCAGATGGGTCTTTCGCCCAAGCGATTGAGGAGACGCACGTTCCTGACGTCTTCCGCTCGGTGACGAACGCCGTTGTCGAGCCAGCTAATGCAGCTGCCAAGCACGAGGTGCAGAAGGTTCGTGAAGCTGGGATGAGTTTCTTGGGCCACCTCAAGAGTCAAGCGGGAGGCGTAGTCGCGGGCGCGATGACACAATATGCCCCTGCCCGAGTGAACGATTTCTTGGAGACGTGTCGTGCATGGTGGACAAAGGAGAGGCTGGGAAAGGTTGTTGAAGGATATCTGCCCAACAGGCAGCTTGACGTCTTGATTGTTCAAGGTAGGTCGTATCAATGGCGAAGTGTCATATTTGCTGATATCTCTTGGAAGTGTTGACACATCTCGTCTGCGCATCCCTGACGGAAGACCGGTACGGAGTCGTGCAGAGGGACATCCCGAAAATTCTAGAAGCAATGTTATCCTTCCTCTCCGAGATCGAGGTATATCAGAAAGAGGTCAACGCTTTGTACACGCCACCACCAACGAACGTGCGTTTGAGCGTGAAAGAGTTGGACGAGAGCGAGTTTGTTCGGGGACAGGTAGAGAGAGCCGGGGAGGTGCTCGGCGAAGTTGGAGACGGTGAGTTGCCTTCGTTCCATAGGATTCCGACGCTGAGATTGTTTTTTAGCGCTGAAGGATGGCGTTGCCAGTATAGTTCGTACATTTGGAGACAAACTATTAGCCTTCAAGTTCCCGCCAAAGACAGCGAGCAAGCTCCAAGGCTTCATGGACTATTGCTAATGAAAATGGACTTGTCCCTTTGTTGTTCCTTTTTGCCCATGCTAATGGTAATCAGAAGGCAGCGCGCTTGAGTGATACTTGGATGCCCTCAATAAACTATGACTGGATTGCATTTTGGCGGATAGTCGTATATTGCAATCACCGAGTGGGTTCACATCCAGAGTAGTTTCGAGAACTCATTGTGTCATTCAAAATTTAGGCGACGACTCGTAGAGAATATTCAAAGAACCACTACCGAAACTACCCAGGCGCTCTCCTCAAACCTCGCTGCTTACGACAACGTGGGCACGCTCCAAGGGATCCACCGTGTTTGGTCGAAATTGCTGTAGGTCGTGTCGGTGCGGAAGATGTCTGTGGTCCCGGATCCGTTGAGCAAGAATTTGTTGAGGAAGGCCGTCAACTCCGTTTGCTGCGATGACGGGAACGCGCAATGGTTGTGATTTCCTACTTGGGAGTACCCCATGTTCGCGGAGGCGCCGAGGGCCTGGTAGATGAGCTTACTGGCACGCTGGCAGCCGTATGTGCTGAGGGCGCCGAGCCATTCCATGCTAGTGTTCTCGATGACAAACAAGCCACGGGGCGCAACCATCGCAGTGAGTTGATGGTGGTCAACGGGCATGCTGTTCACTTGGTTGACCCACGAATTGAAGTTAGGCGAGAACCAGACGTTCTCCTGTACGATCTCCGGCGCGGTCTGCACGTTCTGGCCCTGGGATTGTTGGAAGTTGGACAGCCGCCATGAAGCCGACCCTCCTGACCCAGACTCTTGCGGGATGGTCAAGGCGATGCGCTCGTCGAACGCTCCTGCGACCAAGGCTCCCTTCCCATTGCGCGAGCAGCCGGTAACACCGATGCGCGTCAGGTCAACGTTCGCCGCGGGAGTTATCTCGAGCGCGTCGATGATGCGCTGCACTCCCCAAGCCCATGCCGTCATGGCACCAGCAGAGTGCCCGGAGCCGTAGAGCTGGTAGAATTTGCCCTGCCCGCGCGAACTGCCGCTCTGCTGGGCAGCCATGTCATCGTTGTTGAAAGTGATGACGCCGATGTTGTTTGGAATGGGGATGCTAGGGCCACCATACGCGATTATAGCTGGGAATGGGCCGCTGCCTGACGGAGTCGTGATTTTGACGGCAAAGGAGATGGATTTGCCTTGGTCTGACACGTTGATGGTCAGAGTTCCACCGGAGAACGAGGCCGTCACCGACTGCGGTTTGGGAGGCATGGTGCCGAGTTCGTATCGTTGGAGAAGCTGCGATATTTCGTTGCGTTGACACGTCCATTGAGCCTTGGTGGAGATCCGGGCACCGCCTGCGACGGGCTGGAAAGGATCTGGGAGGGCAGCATTGGAGAAACTGATAGATGCGGGGATGGCTGCGCAACTTGCGGGCGCGGTAGGTGTTGGTCCACTCGACGTTGGAGCCGACGTCGCCGGTGGGGCTACAGTTGTCGGCGGTGCAGATATAGTTGTCGGTGGTGCAGGGGCCCTGCAAGCATACCATCAGCAAGCGTCCGGCCAGGACTTGCATCAACTCACGATGTGGTAGGCGCAGGCGGAGCCGTGCCACGGAGGCACTGGGAGTAATAATCGTTGAGGTGTGTACATGTCAACCCAGCGTCGCAACTTCCTGTAGATTGGGATGAGAATTAAAATTGGTAGGTCGCCAAGCGTTTGTTCCCTGCTACTGACCGCTTCCGCTCCAGCCGATGCCCTGTCGATACGTCAGTATTCGCACCCATGCGATAGAATTGGTGGGCTCACGCCACATTGCGCCCATCTACGTTGTCCCGAGATCAGTATCATCCTCGGCAAGCGTGCGTCTTCACTCACTCAGGGATTGCTAGAACTCCTGGCGCAGCCACAGCCACAGCGGCGAGAAGACGAAGATACTTCATGGTTGGGTGGAAAGTTCTTGGCGGTAACTGTCTTGAATTCCCTTCAGATACGTCTGAGCAAAGTTGAGGGATTTTATAGGTGGTCTATTTCGCGACGAGGTATTGTCGGTCAAAGTCTGGTGACAGGTTGTCCCCACATGCTATGGAGAACTTCTTGGATTGAATGGCTAAAAGCTGGGCGATGACCACAAGTCGACCCGTCCCAGCCGAGATCAGAGCGCAATAGTTCCGGGAGGGTGTTCGGGATCGACGCTTAAAATGTATAAGAGCCTTCCAAGATCCACGCTTCCATCCCCATATCTCCCCTGAACGGCTTCAACGACGTCCTTGTCAGTCACAACTGCCTCACAGTTTTACTCATCCTACGCGCGCCCTGGACCTTTCTGAATGTGCACCAGCGCCCACCGATTTGTCCAAAACTCTGCACTTGAAGATCTCTCCCTACGAAATCTCTGCTTCGGAAAGAAAACCCTTCCTGTTAGCGATTCCACCGGCGGCCGCCCCACCACTTCGCGTTCTTGAACATTCTTACTGCGTTGTTTCTCCGCCATACGTATCGAGCTTGGTCTATACTATTGATATTAACCGCGGCTGAGCGGGTGGCCGTCGATTACAATGGTTCGTGCAAGCAGCTGATCGTGTCCACGTTGTTCCGAAGTTCCACCATGACGTGCTTGACAATCAGAGGATCCATACTTAGGCCTAAATTACGGCCTCGCAGTATCCTTCAGCCGACACCATGGAAGGCGAACATTCTATGTTATGTTAGTACCAGCCTTGCGGAGGGTCCTTTGGAAGTGGTGTATTCCTGTTCATCCTCTCCTTTACGTTCGGCCACCCGTGTTCATGGTACCGCAGACTTCCCCATGCTCTATCACACGGACCAGCGCTGATGCCCTACGACTAGAATACGATTTCGATCACATGTTTCGTGAAGAACGCGCCCACTACTTGCCAGGCTAGATCGCCTTATCTACACGTAGGCTCAGGGTGTCGTGTTATCGAGGGTGATTTATCTGACACGGCACCAGATGGTCGAATGTGCTTGGCCCCACCTCGTCTTTGTTCGCCTATCCAGAAACGAATCATCGGGCTTAACGGTCGACTCTTCGGGTGCGAGCATGATTGCAAGTAGTCTATTTCTGTCCTCGCATCACTGGCACTAAAATATCGTGCCCTCAGTCATAACCCGCTTGGGGATCGCCGCTACTAGTCTTTCGCATGATATACTTGCGCAATTCCAAAGTTCATAACGCCTTCCATTTCACGGGGGGCGGAGGAGGAGGGAGCCTCTTGACCACGTCGACGCTCATCGGCAAGACAGTGTTCAGTGACTATTTTTGCGCTTCTTCGCACCTCTATCTAATCAGATAAGGCCTCTAGACAAAGACCATACTGTCAAATGTTCCAGCGCGCGTGGATGTGCTCCTTTCATAGGCAAGTTCATATCCAGAGTCATTCGAATACCGAAGCGTTGGGCTTCTAATGCACCTGGTTCCATGTGTTCTAGATGAACTTGCTAAAGATATGCAGACGATCCCTGTTCAATGAAATTGCGTAAAAGAAGCGGTTTCCAAAGGTAAACTGTGCAGAGTCCCCAGTGCACTCCCCCGCTCTAATCACCATGGACTCGACGCCGTTGAGGCAGCCCTTTGTGCGCGCCGAATCATCTTACAACCCAGACAAGCCGTTTTCGAAGAAGAGGAACCAAGAATATCCATGGCAGCTCTGGTGGTGCCTGGCAGTGTTCTTCTTCCTCGTCTCTTCCTTGCAGCTAGCTTCACATCTATGTAACAAGATCGCCGTCGCCAGGTCGAAGACGCGAAGCGTTGGTGATGGTGAACCCCCCGGGCAGCTGTCGAGCACCCGTAGCGTCTGGTCGCTTCGAAAGCTTCCAACCGCTGTTGTCAACGGCTACCGCGTCATGGCCTTTCGCTGGACCATCGACTTTGGTCGCGGCTATGTGTTGAATGTGGCTGAGGTCGTCTTGACTATTGTCTATATTGTCGCGCTATTCACTTGGTCTTTCATCAACAGTACGTACGACTATCACTTTCCGTTGTCGATATACTAACACTAGACAATAGCTACTGATGTTGCGGGTAATAAACATGCAAACCGGTACTGGTCCAATCGCACGGGAACGCTGGCTACCAGCCAATTCCCCTTGATCACCGCGCTTGGGACCAAGAATAATTTGATATCTTGTAGGTCACTATTCATTCGACTTTTCGTGTTCTGAATCAAATCTTTCAATGCAGTCATCACGGGAGTTAGCTATGACAAGGCATGTAGCTTGGCTTCTTCATCTAGTGTCCTCTGACAGGATAAAACAGCTCAACTACATGCACAGGATGACATCGCGAGTCACCTTCGTTCTCATATGGGTGCACGGGATTGGTAGAGTACGTCTATTTGGCAGTTAGCTTAAATTGTGATACTCTAACACATCACATTCGTCACGCTAGATTGTCAAAGGGTATGATGCTCTTGATTGCCTATAACGTTTGTTCATTCTTTTTCAACAGCATTCCTGCGCACGAATGGCATGATTCGTGGCTGTGGCCAGGTATCCTGGCTGCTGTAGGCCTGACAATCGTATGCATGCTATCCATCCGCCCTGTTCGCGCTCAGGCATACGAGCTTTTCTTTTATGTCCATTTCTTCCTGGTCCTGTGAGCCAAATTCATATACCTCTCTACACGACACAATCTAATCCATGGTCATAGCGCATTCCTCATTGGCGCGTACTACCATGCCCGCTATAGACAGTATGTTTGGTCCAACCCTCCATGCTGCATCATCTGATCTATCTGACAGCTTTGACCCTTATATCATCGCGTGCTTCATCATTTGGGGAGCCGACCGTCTCATCCGCGTCGTGCGTCTCGTCGTATTCAACCACTCGTATTTCGGGTTTAAATCGGGCAGCGGCACGCTCGACGCTACGACCGAGCTCCTTTCTCCGGAGATGGTGCGCCTCGTCCTGCGGCGCCCACCCCACTTCCATTGGTCGCCAGGCCAAACTGCGTACCTCATCATGCCGGGTGTGTCGGCACTCCCGTTCGAAGCTCACCCCTTCACCATTGCGAGCTTCGATTCTGGATCAAATGTCGAGGAGGATTTCGGCGGCGCTGGGAGCTTCGACGTGAAGGAGAAGGAAAGCGAGGGTTCCGGGAATGATACGACGTATTGGAAGGAACTCGTGTTCCTCGTCAGCCCCAGAGACGGCTGCACCCGCCGCTTGCTCGATGTAGCGGCTAAACGAGGAACGATTAAAGTCTTTGTGGATGGGCCTTACGGTCCTTCCCCGGATATGCGCCGCTTTGATACTTGCGTTCTTATTGCTGGTGAGCTCGTGTTAGCTAAGTCAGCTGCGATGGGCATTAGTTGATGGTGTCCTTCTAGGTGGCTCTGGTGTATCGCACACACTACCCGTTCTCTTGGATATCATTGAGTAAGTTGCATCGCATTCTATAATGCTCTCCGGCTGAACTCTTTCAGGAAGGCCCGGGATGAACAAACACACTGTACTAGGGTACTCTTTATATGGGCAATTCGTGAACTTGGTACAAATCTTCAGTCTATGCCCTTTTCAGTCGGGGATAGCCGCTCACAACTGTGTCATAGCGCACATCAACTGGATCTCGGAGGCCCTTCGCAGAGGGCTCCTCATTGCTCCCCCTGATTTGGACATCGATATACAAGTCTTCATCACTCGTCAAAGTTCCGACGGCATGGAGGTTGAGAATGCATCCACTAACCTGCATCCTTCAACACCACAGAGTGACAAAACCGTTGCTGACGGAAACCCTTCCGTGCTAAACATGTCGGGCATCCGCGTAGCCTCTGGCCGACCCGACCTCAAGGCGCTTCTGCAGCACGAAGTGGCTGCTACGCAAGGACGGATGTCTGTCAGTGGTACGTCGTTGGCATACTTGTTTCAATACCGCAACTGACTGATTTATCTGACCGTCTAGTTTGTGGATCACAGAGTATCTCCCAGACCGTGAGGAGCGCGCTCTCTTTCCCCGTGTCTGGCGCCCCCAACATCCTTGGAGGAGGAGCAAGCGTGACTTTACATGTTGAGTCGTTTGGATACGCGTGAATTGTGTACATACATTGTACCATGCAAAGAAGAAGTATATTTTTACATGTAACAGATATCATTGTCGACCGCTTTAGATGCCTATCAGTCATGAGACAGGGGTTCCCTATTTCTGAACCTGTGCTCCCTCAAGGTCTGCTAGCCTCACTATCGGCGATTCAAGTGGATCCTGAGAGTTAGACGGCGTAAGAAACTTCTCTCCTCTTCCGTGTGGGCAGAGTGCAACCCGGGACAACTCCCTGGAGGTACGAAACATCAGCTTCTCGAGAGTGGGGGGAGACGGCGCCCACAAGGGACGTACAACTTGGCATCAGCGGTAGATGCCAATGCGCAGTGGTAGTATTATCTTTTGCAGCAATCTGCCCCAAATTAGTCGTTTATCCTGAATTTGAAAAGGGGGGCGACTGGCGAGCGCACTCGAGTGTCGTAACAATTGATAAAAATCCAGCAACGCTCCATATGCCGTATGTGGGATACTTTTAAGGTATGGGTACCAGCTTGGAGCAACCCCCCTCCGCGCAGTCTCTCTTTGCTAGAGGGATCAAGTTCACGACAGTTTACGACCAATTTACGACCGAAAATGTGGCTGGCCATGAAATTTGGTCCTTATCAGCCGGCGCCTAATTTGTGGCACTCAGCCAAGCCACCTGCTCTCATCCAGACCATCAATCTTTTCCTCGAAGACCACAAGCATCAACGCGCAGAACGTCGCCGACGCCGCAAAGAACGACGCCAAGCACGTCTCCAAGAACCCTCGCCTACTATGGATCCCGCCTCCCCCCACATTGGGACAGAATCGCCACCGCTGCGAACAACCATCTTGGGCTCCTTCCTCAGAGGCCGACCGCGAAACTCTTCTCAATCACACATCAATACTGATTTGGCTCGAGAACTATCGCCTTCACCGCCGGCGCAGCCGCCGTCCCCGGGGGGTACAGGTCATAGGCGGCGTCCCGCAGCAGGTGGTGTGCAGGCCTCTGCGTCTCATAATAGCGCCTCTTCATCTGCGGGCATAGGTACGGGATTATCTCATATGCTCAGGCGAAGACGATCTGCAGGAAACATCGCGACGCCGACGACCCCAAACTCGACGGCCTTGCCACCAGCTGTGGCACATCTCTTAGGGCAGCCAGGCATCAGTAATGCCACCCCGGCCGCGGCACCCTCAGCCAGTAATTCAAACGCACCAGCCCATCGCATCCGTTTAGTTCCCCATCTCGATTCTCGACGCTCACTCAAATTTGAAGCCATCGGTAGAGATATTAGAGAAGGCGATCCGCCACTTCGCATTGGTCGTTTCACGGACCGCACAGGATTAGGGCTTGCTGCAGTAAATGCCTTGGGTTCCAACAAACTAGCATTCAAATCGAAGGTAGTCTCACGAGCACATGCGGAGATTTGGGCAGAGCAAGGGGGTGTTTTCTTCATCAGGGACACCAAATCATCGTCGGGGACGTTTTTGAATCACATCAGGCTGTCGCCTGCCAACTCCGAGTCGCGCCCATTTCAAATCAAGGATGGTGATATTTTACAGCTTGGTGTTGATTATCAAGGCGGGACCGAGGATATATATAAATCGGTCAAGATTCGGATAGAACTGGGGCGAGAGTGGCAGTCTGCCGCGAACGCATTCAAGTAAGTGGTGTTTAGTTAGTTTCGACAAGCACTTCAACCCATATCTTCAATGTCAGTACCAACGCGCTCAAGAATCTCAAGTCCCTCGCATCGGCCGTTGCTGGGCCTAAACCCGGAGCCAAAGCTGTGCCCAAGTCAAGCATCCCCGATTGCTGCATTTGCCTCTTCGGCGTCACCATCAGACAAGCACTCTTCATCGCACCTTGCTCGCACACTTTCCACTACAAATGCATTCGCCCACTTCTTGAGACGCACCATCCTGCGTTCTCCTGCCCTCTTTGCAGGACATTCGCTGATCTCGATGACGATGTTGAGGTAGAGATGGATCCTGCCTTCGAAGATGATGACTCTGCCGTGGAGGATGGTCCTGGGCCTAGTACCGTCAATTCGCCAGCAGTGGGCCCGGCAGAAACGAATGGGAGCAGACCGGGAACGGCGGAGTTAGTGGAGGACAGGGATGTTGTAGCCGTGGAGACTGATTTAGATGATGGACGGGTGGGAATAACGAGAAACAACCGGGTTCGCAACAGCATGGGTCGCCTCAGCGATCTACACGAGTCCTCTGGTGGCGAAGAAGACGTAGAGATGGTTAACGATGCGAACCCACACGCCACAGCGCCTGGTCAAATTGAAGTGGATGACGTCCTCTTAGTCGACGCAGGAGTGAGCGACCTGGCTGCTACCAGGATGAACGGTGGTCTGGAGACGGTGGTGCGATCTGATGGAGAGAGTGATGGCCGAATGAGCCCTGCCGTTGGTGATGATGCGGGGTTGATGATGCAGGACGATGGCGAAGGCTCTTCGGACAGTAACATTGGAAGCAAGCGTAAGCGATGAAGGTCGCTTTCGCTCTCCCCCAGTCTGTGGTGATATTTTCGGTAGGTCGTCGATTGTACTTCGAATTGCGTTCCTCTTGCACTTTCCCCCTCGAGATATCCATTTACTACTTCCCTTATTCACTCTTCCAGCTCATCACCATCCAACACGTATTCTAACGTCCAATCTCCCACTATTGTTTCCCATTCACTGCGCTCTCTTTACGCTTCACGCTTCACATTTCACGCCCACAACCTAATGTCTTCCAAGTTAACGAACCTTTTGATATACGATCTGCATTTGAATAAGCCAATGGTCTGTTGATACGTCGACCGTTTCGTTTGGCTACACGCAATACAATTATTAGTGAATAGTGGAAAGTCTGTACCTTCTTGAATTGATGTGTAATACTATGATTACGCCTTAGAATGTTCTGGATATCTTTTGATTATTGCTCGGAGACTCAGCTACGAGCCATGTGCTTCGTTTATTCGACTGACGCGTCTGCAATTTTTGCGAAAGCTACAGGATGATTCAGGGATATGTCAGCCACTAAGCCAAGGCGCAAATGTCAGCAAAGCCCGGTTACTTGCGATTGCGCTTCCGGCTTCACTAACCTGGCACTCTGTCAGCCACTTCCCAGCTCTTCATAAAGCTCGTCTATCGCACGCATGGCCATGCCAAACAGCCCTCTCATCAATGTCGAACTCCAAACTCTTCCAGCCCATCACCATTGGCGACATGCATCTTAAACACCGGGTGGTTCTCGCGCCCCTGACGCGGTACCGAGCCAATGATCAGCATGTCCCATTTCCGCTTGTGGAGGAGTACTACGTCCAGAGGGGGAGTGTGCCGGGGACGCTGTTGGTAACGGAGGCGACCCCTGTCGCTGCGAAGGCTGGCGGCTATAGGAACATACCAGGTATATGGAGCGACGAGCAGATACGTGCATGGAAGAAGGTGTGTTGCTATTCAGATCCTAGGCAACGCCGGTGGTGTCTGAAGTAACTTATAATACTAACAATGGTTGATAGATAACCGATGCGGTGCACGCAGAAGGGTCCTTCATATTCATGCAACTCTGGGGGATGGGGCGTGCTGCTGACGCCAGCTTCCTTGCGGAGCAAGGGTTGGACTACGTCTCCTCATCCCCCATCGCCTTATCAGACCGAAAAGATTCCCCCGCCCCCCGCCCCCTCTCTGTCCCGGAGATCCAGGAATACATTGAACTGTACGGTCAAGCCGCCTACAACGCCGTCCATCTCGCAGGTTTCGATGGCGTTGAAGTCCACGGCGCGAACGGGTATCTGGTCGACCAGTTCCTCCAAGATGTCAGCAACCATAGGACCGACGACTACGGCGGAAGTATCGAGAAAAGGGCGAGATTCGGGTTGGAAGTGATAGATTCCATCGTGAAGAGGGTAGGCGCGCGGAAGGCTGCTATTAGGCTGAGTCCCTGGACGACAATCCAAGGTAAGTTCCACCTCGTGCCTTCCCCGTGGGGTGTCAATGAACCGTTTAATGTCTTCAGGTATGGGAATGGCCGATCCCATCCCCACATTCTCCTACTTCGTCAAAACCCTGCGCGAGCGCCACCCAGGGCTGGCATACCTTCACGTCGTCGAGCCGCGCGCAAACGGGGTTGTCACCGTCGAGAAGAAAGAGGGCCAGTCCAACGACTTCATCCGCGAGATCTGGGCTCCGAAGGTGTTGATCAGCGCCGGGGGGTACGATAGGAACCTCGCCATCCAGATGGCGGATGAAAAGGGGGATGTCATCGCTTTTGGGAGGTTCTTTATATCGAACGTAAGTCTTCCTTCGTCTTGAGGAAAGGTGTTGGCTGAATTCGAGTGCCGGACTATAGCCCGATTTGCCGCTGCGACTGAAGAATGGTTGGCCGGTGGAGAAAGGCGATAGGAAGAAGTATTATAGACCTGGCAGCACGGACCCCGACGGCTATACGTCGTACCCCTTCTTCGCTCCCGCCGTTGATACCAGTAGACTATGAATTGCCTGAGCCGTTAGATGTCCCATAGAATATATCCGTTCTTGTTTCGTACAGCATCGCAAGTGAAACCGAGGGTATACCTACCTCAGACAGGCTCAAGAACAAGTGGATGTTATAGAATGAATATGATTTGATGCTCGTGATGGACACTGTATGATGAAGTGGAAAGAACTGTCAACTGCTACAGGAAAGAAATCTGCCTCTGACTCGATGCTTTTAATCCGTGGCTGTTAACTTGTGTTTACTCCGTGGCAAGCGCGAGCTTGATTTCCGCAATGGCTTTGGCAGGGTTGAGGCCCTTTGGACAAGTGCGAGAGCCTTGATAAGGGATATGATTAGCGTCGGTGAATAACAAGGCGAAAGCGACTTACAATTGAAGATTGTGTGGCAGCGGAACAAACTCAGCTCGTTCTGGAAGTGTTCCTTGCGTTGCGCGCCGTACGTATCCTACGAGATGTTAGTCTATGGGAGTATGCAATAACGACATCACAACGCACTCGCGAGTCCGCAATCCACCTGTATGCAGCCATCAATGCAGCCGGCCCCAAATACTCGTCTTGGTTCCACCAATAACTGGGGCACGACGTGCTGCAGCATGCGCACAGGATGCATTCATACATCCCATCCAGCTTCTTGCGGTCCTCTGGCGACTGGAGGTGCTCCCTCTCGGGAACATTGTCGTTCTGCAGGTAAGGCTTGATGGACTTGTACTGCTTGTAGAACAGGGTGAGATCGGGTACGAGGTCTTTCACGATGTACACTGTTGCCGAACGTCAGCCGATGCAATTAGGAGCTGGAAGACATGTCATACTGTGCGGCAAAGGGTAGATCTTGCTGTCCTTGCTGGCGTTGCGGTCAATTCGGCACAGGCAAGCCAACGTGTTCTGTCCGTCAATGTTCATCGCACACGAGCCGCAGATCCCCTCTCTGCACGAACGACGAAATGTGAGCGTAGGATCGATTTCGTTCTTGATCTTGATAAGAGCATCCAGAATCTACGAGCCCGTGAGCGCGGAGACAATCGCCTTTGGATTGTACGTACCATGGGGCCCGTCTGGTTCAAGTCAATAGTGTACGATTGGAGATGAGGCTTCTTGGCGGGCTCATCTGGGTTCTGTACCGCGAGTGAGCAGTACGTCTGGATATCCAAAGGTCTCAGCTCACCCAACGGTAGATCTTGAATTCTTTCTGGAGGACGGGCTTCTGGAGGGGCTCAGCCTGCCATCTTCCAGGCGAGGTGGAGAAAGCACGAATCGAGCGAGATGAGCGAGCCAACGACCTGGAGGTGAGCGCCTGCATGGTTCAGTGATTTGTGTGTTCCCGGGACGTCGTCGACGATGGTGAAGAGGAGAAATGTCAATTCTGCGGCGGGATCGCGTGAATTCGGGAGCGGAGCGGGAAGGCTCGTGGCCCGGACCAATCAGAAGGGGTGTGTTACTCTTCGGAAAATGCCGGTGGACTTAAGGGAAGTTCATAGGCTTCGTATTTGGTTCCAGGCCAGGAGAAGTACATGTAGAATTGGGGTATTGAGTAGTAGATGATACACATCCAACGTTACTTTGATGGACAATAAAGTAAGACAGAAGAATAACGATACGAGACAATCGATAATCTTTGCGTCAATCGTACTCCCTTCAATAGTGAGGCGTACATGTAGGAGCACCTAGGAAGTCTCAAGGTACGTGAGCAGACGATACATATTGTTGTTATCCTGAGAGGGTAGTCAGGGCGTCTTTATGAACATGATTCCATCGTATCCACTTTCGACGACTTCTTCGCAAATCTTTTGATACGACGGACATCCTCCAGCCCAAAACATATGCTCCATAACCTTGCCTGGGACGTTCGCACCTCTGTACCACGAGTTTGCCCGATTCCAAAGCCCCCTGGCACCGATTTCATCTATTCGTTGAGTCCAATCCAGTTCCGCTTTGTTACTTGCTTCGATGCGAGCGAGCGAATTCTTCATCATATATTCAATGCAGTTGGTTATCCAATCAACTTGCAATTCCTAACCGTTTCGTCAGAATTACCGATGCCCACCGTAAAGTCAATGAAGAGCTACTCACAGCACATGTAGGTGCATTGGTAAAGCCGCTGGGTGCATGAGGGCCGTATACCATAAACATGTTTGGAAACCCAGACGCCAACATGCCCAGATATGATTTTACCCCATTGGCCCATTTATCGCGAAAGACGGCCCCGTTTGTCCCTACGATTTCGATGTCCTTATAGCCACCAGTTCCCATATCGAACCCCGTGGCCATGACCAACAGGTCGAGAGCATATTCTGTCCCATCCTTGGTACGAACCCCAGTAGATGTAATCTCATCAATGGGGCTTTCGTTGAGGTCAACCAAGGTGACATTATCTTGGTTAAAGGCTTCGTAAAGGTGCTAACGGCGCTTGGTGTCAGATTGCAAAGATAATAGAAGCCATTCGGGCCACTCACCTGCTCCAAAGCTGGACGCTTCGTCCCAAAGGGATGCATCTTGATGGTAGGGGCAAGTTTCTCTACGAGCTCGACCTTGTGAATCCGCTGCCGGACTTTGTCCCGCCAATACGCATAAGCGTAGTCGTTGGCAGTATCATCAAGCAATGTATCATCATATGCCCCCAGCCAGAATGCGAGACCCCCCTTGTTCCATAGTTCATCAAATACAGCTTGACGCGCTGCGGCGCCCTCGAGAGCCGGCTTTGGAATGAAATCCATGTCGAAACCACCAAATGTCTTCTTTCTCTGCTCGAATATGCCGGGATAGATGCTTCGTGACACTTCGGCTTGCATGGATTGTCGCATCGGGAATGCCAAGTTCGGTGTGCGCTGAAACACGACAAGGTCTTTCACCACTTTGGCGGCTGCTTCGATCACCTGAACGCCACTGGCCCCAGTCCCGATGACCCCAACTCGCTTTCCTGCCATCTCGACGTTCTCTGGCCATCGTGCGGTGTGACACAACACCCCTTCAAATGCTTCGAGGCCCTTGAAATGTGGTTGGTAAGGCTTACTCGCAAATCCGATGCACATAACGAGGAACCGGGTCTTGATCGTCAGTCCTCCATCTGTCGCGACTTCCCAGAAGTTTCCGGTGTTGTTGAACTGCGCACGGACGACCCGTGTATTGAAACAGAAGTGTTGGCTAACTTTAAATGTTTCGTCGACGTAATGGAGGTACTGAAGGATTTCCTCCCTGCTGGGAAAGCGTTCGGAGAACTGCCACCCCTTCCAAAGCCCCTCCACGGAGTACTGGTACAAAGCAGCGTCGGAATCGACGCGGGCGCCAGGGTAGCGGTTCCAATACCATGTCCCCCCAATATTCCTTCCAGCTTCGACTCCTTTCGCGTCTAGTCCTAACTGCCGGAGACGATGCAACTGGTAAATTCCGCTGATACCAGCGCCGACGACAAGGGCGTCGAGCGACATGTTCGCTGAGGCTTCGCCGGTCCAGCTGTCAGTCATTGAGGAAGGTATGGCGGGCATTTGGGCGGAGGGGGGGGTTAATAAACAGTGACTACACGAGATCGTCGGTCTCAGGCAGACCGGATACCGTGTGGATGATAATACCGTCTTCCCACCAGATCACCAATGGTGCTTCGCTCAATCGATTCATGGGAGCATGTTCACATGTATGTGTCAGGCCCGCACCGCGATCCTTGTCCGGTGATATTTGCTCCGCAGCGGCGAGCGAAAACCTCTCCCAAGTGTCCCTTTTGAACTCTATAAGAAGTTGACATTCGGGAGAACTACACACTTACCTGTAGACCAAGACTATGACACTGGACAGTCACGAGTCGTGAAACGGGTGAAATCGCTCGTGGTGAAGAACAGATGTATGACATTGGCCCGAGTACTGTGGTCGTGATCTAGGTCTCTGAGGCGAAAGATCACAGAATAGTCATCAAAGAAGGTAGAGTGCTGTTAAGATTGTCTGTATACTTTGAAACCATAATTTCGAGGACATCACAGCCCATAGCAATGCCGAGCAACCCGTATTGACGAGCTTGCTTTTCATAGGTAGCAAATGCGTAGGAGGCCGCGGCGGGATGTACCTTCAATGAGGGTCTTATGAGTGAGGTATACAAGGCAGAATATGTGTTGTACCTGGGGCACTCTGGTTGAAAAAAGGAAGAGCTATTGAGGTGACACTCGAAAATCTGAGTCCAACGGCCTCGCAATTCCCTTGAGCATACGTAGTAGAGCCGGTCCATAGGAATAGGAAGAAGAATGGACGTAGAAAGTGTATCGATCTCCTCGGCCGAGATGCACTACTCGATTCGATGGTGGGCTTGATTCTTGAAGAGTTCAGTAGGGATGGGACTTCGAGTAATCGTAACCGAACCTCAAAGCCCCCCGAACCAATTCGTAGTCAACAGCGATCGAATGCCACTTTGTTGACCTACTTGCAGCTTCTCTGGGGCTTATGGATTGTTCAGAAAAAGTATGTGCAGCACTGGCTTAGGTCTTCAGCAATCGTTCTTGAAAATGTTTCTTCAGGCAATGTCGGCAGTCTCAGAAACCATATATTGGTGTTTGCGCAGGTGAACAGTTCACAAGCGGCAGGAGTCCGATGTCGTGTGACGATCGAGCGATATCGTGAGTATGAACTGGTCGTGAATGGCTCTTTGCGAGCGAGAATACCATGAAAGTGGTTAGCGTTATATCGTGCAATAAACACTGGCTTCACTCACAAATGCAGGATATCTCTGAATCAGAGATTCTTAGAGACCGATGTCCACATGGTTTCCGCAAGCGCTTACCTAGAACGTGAGTTTGAAGGTTACATTTAGTGCGTTACTTTTTTAGAGACTAAACAACTTTTTTTCGGGCACAGTGGGAAGCCTACTAAGTCAGTGTCGACGAAAGCGAAAAGATACGAAGATATCACGTTCGCCAGGGGAATGACACAGGTATAACAGTACCTCCTTTGAGTTGAGTTGAAAGAGAGCCAGCTGTAGTTCCTTCACAACATGTACGATGACGAATGTACATTAGAAATAACTATGTAGATGGTGATAGAATGAATACGAATCCGTGATTGCCATTAAAAGCCGGGTAAAACGGTCCTCCGTCCTCCTGAACAGGAATATGAATGCTACGTATATAGAGCTGGGATATGCAAAGGAATTGTGTAAGCTGTAAGCAAGATATACGATAATGAGACGATCGGCAGATAAACTGGCTTGCGAGTAATTTATGAGGGGTTTGGATCAAGGCTAGAAGCAGATCCTCTCCGAGGGGCGTAAGGCCGGGGAGACGCAAGTGATGGTAGGTTAGGGCTTAGTATCGTCGGGCTTCGTATAGTTGGCGAACCCATCCCGTTAGCATTGGCAACGGGCTCCAAATCTGGCTTGCCCGGCGGCAATGTCGGTGAAATGAGACTCATGATGGACGACGCAGACGATCTCCGTGAGATGTACGGTCGCGGGGAAGGTCTCTCTTGGCTAGGCGAGACAGGGCTAGGAGATACTGGGGGAACTTCCGCTTCCGGTTGGGGAGTATGGACGTTCATTTCCAGACCGTATTCGTCCAGCAATGGTCTGGGCGGCGGGCGCTCGACCATGGCCTCTAAAAGCTAGTTCACCGCGATCATCAGCTAAGGAATGAATTCAAATTAGGCTGAACACCAGAAAGCCTACCTCTTTGCGCAAATCTTCACCAGCGTAGTCGCCCTCCATTTCCTCGGGGCCGAGTAGCACAGTGCCCTTGCGGAATACCTCGCCTTCTTCCTCAACCAAGAACCTTGAACTTCAGATTCACGCTATGAACGATGCGTTTACTGCGGGCACTAAGAACATCGCTTACCGGTCGATAGTGGGAGATGTGATGAGCGCAGCGTCATCATCTCCTTCAGCGAGGAACTGGGAGATGTCTTCTTCGTCCGTGTCGCCCTCAGTCATCGATAGCGACAATGAAGGGCTGAGGACCTTCTCAGGTTCTTCTGGAACGGGATCTGCTTTCGCCTTTCCTTTATCAATCCTAGGGGTAGAAACCTCTTCCTCTTCATCAGGTTCATCCTCCTCGGCGATGGGACTGCCGTGCAAAGACCCATTGGTGATGACAGTACCATTTGAATGGGCAGTCCACTTGGCTATATCCCCAGGAGACAGTTCTGGGCTGAGGCCAACCAACTTGAGCGATGGCTTCCCCGGCGAAGGAACGCGCGCCATCAGTTCTGTCAACTCATCATTAAGGGTAAAGAGTTCTTCCATCCGTGAGGGATCGCCCGTGCCTTCGATGAGCGTGGTGAGCTCCGACGCGATGATCTTGGCTTGGGTGATAAGATCATGGAGGGACACAGGCGGTGGAAGTGTCAACGGGTCAGGAGATATCGAAGCACGGAGTTGAGCAATCATAGTTCGGGCCCGGGGGAGTACGTCACCATCGGTCTACAGTTCTTGTCAGGGCTAGACTCGACACACGACTCGAAGGTTGTATTTACCTTTGACCCCTCCCCGAGGCGTATGCTCCTGGCAAGCTCGCTTTCTTCTATCATACTCCAAACACCTTTACCCGTACTCTTACCTAAACTTCCATTAGTGAGCCCTGACTGAGTGCTCTTCTCCGCTTCCTCGGTGTTCCGTATGCATGAGTTGAGGATATCTCGGCACATCCTATAAAGTTCGTCGGAAAGATATACGTAAATGGGAGTATTTAAGTGTGGATTCAACATGAGGTGTACCTTGCGAACTCTTCATCGCTTGGAGGAACGTTTAGATCCAAGCACCTGAGGGTGTGGTTTGCCCTCAACCCCGACCTGAGCGCCATGACGCTTGCGATATCCAAGTTGTTCTCAGTCAGGTCCAAATGAAGTAAGCTAGTCGATTCGGGCAAGAATTCGGCGAGAGCTATGGCTCCAGCGGAAGTCATCGACGTCGAAGAAAGGAAGAGACGCTTGAGGGCAGAATTAAGAGTAAAAGCAGTGCGAAGAGATTGGATCTGAGACTAATGAGAACGTATGATAAGACAGGACGGTAGAGTGAGAGCATACCCCTTCCAGACCAGGTCCACAACATGGGTTCTTGCTTAAGTCAAGCGTCTCCAGGCAGGAATTATATTTCTGAAACGCATCTTTCGTGAGTCCCAACGTTATGAAGACGAAAGCGGCAAAATTACCAATGCTTCAGCGATATACACCAGACAAGGGACGTCTAGCTTGTTCTCACTGAGATTGAGTACCTTCAACGTCCGATTGCGCTTCAAGACTTGGGCAAGATAAGAAACACCAGTCTGCCAAAAGCACGGAGTGCCGTCAGTGGAAGCGGAGAAAAAGAAAGGGATAACGCACGCGAAGGTCATTGCCCTTTAAATCCAGAGTCCTCAATGCCCCCAACCTTGGTAGCGCATCCAACGCCCTAACTTTGTCCAACAGCGCCTGGCTAGGACCCCCATGATGGTTCTTGTCACCACCCGCTTCTGAATTGCTTGCCGATCCCGAAGAAGTATGGCCTGGCAACGATGATGGATGGCGCATCATTGTCACACCACCCTGAGAGGAGCTCGTAATTATCGGAACAGGCTGTCCGGTAATCGATAAAGGATTAGGTGGAGGTCGCCCACGCCGAGACTTAGGTATGTATGGTGTGTAGGTAGTTTGTGGGCCGGTGGGTGGGTGTCTGGGGGGAGGCAAGATCGGACCTGCTCGTGCTGGGGGAGTAGGGGACGTTGGGCTTGTTAACGGTGAGCCATCATGGAGCGGTGGAAGAGGAGATGTGGAAGAAGCAGGTGAAGGTGGAAGGGAAGAGGTTGGTGTGGAAAGATTGCTAGGGGAGAATGGTATCGCAATGGGGGTTCCGGCTGGTATAACGTCTGGATAGTCTCGAATCATGAGCGCAAGCGCGACTGCACCGGTCTGGTTTATCTTATTATGCCGCAAGGATATGTTCTTGAGTGACGAAGTTCGGATCGCCCTGCATAGCGTCTCAAGTGCTGCATTTCGAAGATTACAATCGTCCAGCCGAAGAGAGGCTATCCCCGTCGTCGGTGGCGTTGACAGAGCAGCGACAATGTATTCAACAGACTTCTTGTCTAGATTGTTCTGCGAGAGATCCAGGAATTCAAGACTCTTCGCCTGAACGGCGAAAGCACCGATCAATCTAAACGCGGACGTCTTCAAACGCCTATTAGACGCGACTGAGAGGTAGGATAACGTCCCAGGGATAAGGAGGGCATGTAGCATAGGTTTCAATATCTGCGAAACAATGAATTTTTTCTTTGAAGTAGAATGAGCGGGACTGACGTGTTCATCTAGGTCACACTCGCGAAATACCAGCTTTCGGAGACCCCATTCGATGGTGAACACGTCGGACAATATGGACGCCGACACCAGGTTAAGCTGCACACCAGAGAAGTCTACCGTTCTCGGGTTGCCTTGTGTCCCATGCTGCAGCGGATAGTGAGTACCAGGAGCTTAGCGTATAAGATCACGGCCCACCTTGAAAGCCAGGCTGATGCCCGGGTCAGGCTGTTCATCACATCCAGCACAGCATTCCCTGTAGAACGATTCCACCTTTTCTAGAGACCACCAATCATCCGTATTCTCTGAATTTCCTCTGACTACACGCCGCCGCCGCTCTGCCTCCCTTTCTTCAATAGCACGCTTCTCCTCTTTTAGAGTAGGGGTTGATGGTGGGTTGAGTGACGATATCGGGTAAACGGTAGAAATTTGCGGTAGAATAAAATGTGCTCGTTTCAGCGGTTTCTCTTCGTCCCCCGATGCTGGAGATGGCTGAGTCGGCAAGAATCGAGTGATTCGCGAAAATAGCGATTGCTGAGGCGGAGGCGGTCGTTTAAGGATGGATTTGCCAGGAATCGGGATAGTCACGGCTGAAGACGACGGCGAACATGATGCACTTGAGGACGACATGAAGACCCGTCTGCCTGGAGAACGACGTCCTCGCCAGCATAAATTCAAGTGGTGCCAAATACGAAATATCGTGACCAGGACAAGCGATTCAATAGATGTGGGAACCACTTTCTGTATTCGGAGTAATCCACGTGATCTTCACAGGGGTAATGCCTCACGAGTCGGCGAACGCAATTGATATTGAAATCTGAGACTTGACCTTCATGAAATTTCCGGGGGAATCATATAAGGTATATGTACCTCGCAAGGCTAGCCACGTACGACACAGTTTATGCTCAAGGTAAACCTATTGCCGACATCACGGCCCGTGGCCAACGGATACCTTTGAGGTACGTCTTTCTACTTTCTAAAAAGCTACATGAGTTCGCGGCCTCGATGAACCGTAAATTTAGGCTACACTCGGGCATAAAGGGGTTTCCTAGGGCCCCCTTCACACCACGGCCAAGTTCCATGGGTTCTGACACTCCGCGTCGAAGCTAAACACGCCTTCTCAAGGCTTCTCGTGCCTCGCCGTCAGAACACATAAAAGGTGGCTTCCAGAATATGCATTCTTGCACGGGAGACTCAAGGCTTCAGGCCCCTTGTTGCTAGAGATGTTCGCCTTCACTCATCTCTTCGTGTTATGCCTGGGCTTCCTTGCGTTCACGCATTCCCGTGGAAGCCCTCTTACGTTCTTGCCGTTCCCCGCAGACGTACAACGGAGTCTCCCAGTCAATTTCACGATTTCTGCTCTCAACATAACCCTACCGAACACGAATACAACCGGCGCACCTATGGTCCTTGGGCAGGATGGTAGGCAATTTGTGTCCTTTCATTTTTCACTGCTAACATATACCGTTCACGATAGGTGCTACTGGGGGCGCTCAATTGGAGGTCCTTTCTGTAAGTTCAGTTCCGCAGAACAACGTAACCAGCAACGAACGCAAGTTCTATAGACTTGGAACTCCTTCCCATATAATGATTTCCCCGCTCTGTCCCTCTTCGGAGGCCAGTTAAGAGCATTCACGAAACGAGGGGAGTGGATCACCAATGCTACCGCTCCAAGTCGCGGCCAGCCATTGGGTTGGCTTACGAGCCGCCTCTACCACACGACTGCCACGGACTATTCCGTAGTACCGGTCTATGGACTGAACCTAGCTAAATATGTGTTGGCTGCAAACGAGAGGGCAGATTTGTGGTCTTTATGTTCTTGGAAGGGGCCCCGCGGACAGACCAACGTCGTGTTCGATGTATCTGCCTCTCCGCCGAACCCTGGATATGATATTGCTGATTGTTATGGTGTATGGCTCATCGTGGTACCTACCTTACCTCCTCATTCCAAGTAATTACACTATTCAGCGTACATTGTAGAAAATCATGTAACCCTTTTCGCGCAGTAATATTGCATACGTGGCTCTGCAAGCTAGTACTATCGCTGCAATTAGCAGCGTGTCACTCTGGCGCAGTCAGCGGCCCCTATAAGTTCATGCACCAATCTTGGCGCCTCGAGCAGACCTTGAATTGTAAAAGTCTTTCTGAACCATCAATAACTCTGCAAAGGGGGAGTATACCCTACGATGCGCCAACTGAGCCTGCACGTCTCTGCGCTGAACGATTCGGAGTACGACTTCTACACGACATCTCTCATCGATCTCGCAGAGGATGAATCAGAGCCCACTGCACGGAATAACGAATACTTCGACAATCTCACTGTCGGCGTACGCGAAGCACGAGCATGGATGAAGGGCCGCTTCTCGCACATCCCGGTCTCCAAAATTGACGAGGTCTGTCTTTATCCACAAGAAACACTGCGAAATCATGACCCCTAGCTTTCGCAGATTCTGAGGCTCTTCAGCCCGAACATGAGTGCAGGCGATACGCTGTCGGGCGGGCAGTTCTTCGCTGCTCTCAGACTAGCTTTACATGTCGAGAATGGGAGGGAGGTGGACCGTGGATTGGCCTTTGCGCAAGGTAAGGGTGTTTGGCTAGCAAGCACTTAGCCTGCACTGAGCGGGCCTTGTTAGCATTCCCCCGGACAGAATCATCCGCTTCTCCTCCGAAACGGACGCTCCCGGTGCCCCCAATGTCGCCGCCGATGCTGCCTGCGACTAGCGCTCCCCATACGCCCAATAACCCCTTCAGTCAGGCCCAATCATTCTCGGCTTTGCAGCAGGAGCATCCCAGTCCCCACCCGAACCCGTTCAACCCTTTCGTAGGTCGGAGCAGCAGCCAATCGACGGGGCCGCCGCAGAAGTTGCCGCCACTTCCTCCTAGGAAGCCTTCTATTCATCAACCACCACCACGACACGCCTCCCAAGTGCCCCCCGTGCCCGATCACGCTCCTCGGGGGCATGTTTCGACCCCTTCCCTCACCAAGCCTGCCCACGTAACGAGTGCTTTGATGAAGCAGTCATTGCAAGCTAGCAAAGTGGGACAGACGCTGAAAAGGGCAGAAGAGCAGCTGGAAAAGGAACGCATTCTGCAGGTCCTGAAGAGCAGTAATTCGAATGTAGGACGGGCTCGGAGCAATAGCCCTCATAAGCCTCCCCCACCCCCGCCTCCGCGCCCGACATCGTCCTCAGGTTCAGGCTCGGAGGTCAACTCTTCTTCTGTGCCGCCACTTCCGAAACGACGTTCCTTCGTAGATCGAGCTAGAGCAGCCTCACCGCCGGTTTCGACTACGTCTCTCGAGGAAGTCGCTTTCGCTAGACCACACGTCAACACCAACGTATCCTATGGCTACGCAGCCAGCCCGTTCAAAACGCCAGACCAAGCGTTCAAGGAAGCATCATATTTCACGAGATCGCCTTCCGTCTCACCAACACGTTCACCGAGTAAAGATCTACCGCCCCCGAAGCATCCTCGTCGCAAACCACCGCCACCGATCGAGAGCGCCTTCTCCTCTACGTCGTCCGCGTTATCGTCAGCTGATTCTACGTCGTCTACCACTTTGCGAGATAGGCAGAGAGGCGAGGATCTGAATCAGCCTTTGAACGATTCCCCTACTTCGCGGATCTTCCGTTCGAAATCCGTTCACTATCCATCGCCTCCCCCACCCGTTCCGCCACCTCTCCGCAAGCGTCGTCCGGAAAGCGTCCAAGTTGTCGGCGGCCTCGCATCGTTAGAGCATGCTTCCCAAAATACAACTTCGCCGTTTCCATTCAGAGGCCCTCGAAGTGAAGGAGGGAGCAACGGCAGTGTCGCTGGTAATGGCGCTCTTCTCTCCCGCCACGTCTCCATGTCGGCTTCCACACCCTCGCCAAGGGCTCCTCATTACCGCAACAGCGCTCAAAACGTCGGTGGGGTAGATAACGGCGAAAGCCCTTTCCACCGCACGCTAGCCACGTTGCAGCCCAAACTAGACGCCCTTCAGCCGAAGTTGGATAAAGTGCGGTATAAGGCTGAGGCCGGTCTGTCGAGGAGAGGGTTTGTGAGGGAAAGGGGATGGAGAGAGGGTGAAGACGAGCAAGGGTTGATGGGGGGTACGAGGTCTGGGCAAAGGGGCTCGCCGTCGGATTCCGATGGATGGGAGAGAATTGGTGGTATGGATGGTGGGCCGGATGTTGATAGCGGGGACGAAGGGAGCAGCACGGCGAATGGGAATGATGAGAGGGGTAGACGATTGAATGGGCCCCGGGAGCCTGGTCAGCCACTCTTCAGCGAGAAGGATAACCTGAAGCTACCTCCCGGAGATGGATGGAAGCCTCTGTGACAAAGTGCTTTCACTCTGTCTAGTTTCCTCGAACCATATCTTCATGCATTGTGCATCGTATTGCACCCGTAATCTCATACCGAAACCGAAAATATATACCAAGCTCAGTGCTTAGTTGTAGAGTACGTTATTTATTTAGTACGTAGATTATGCCCGCCAGAGGACTGGGTCTTTTCATTTAGTGTGCCTAACGACGGGCGTTCCACTTGGGCGCAGACACTATCTGCTACACACTCGATTCTCGAACGTACTGTTTCTATGAGCATAGAAAGTTACTCGTGGTTGTTTGGATCCAGAGGCACCGATCAAAATCTGATCACGCAGCAGTGGTTTTGAACAAACGTCTTCGGAAGTGAGTTTCAAGATCTTGAAATTGAATGACTCTGAGCTGCGGGAATGTAGTATCCCTCGCCATCATATATATTAACACCATTACCAAAACATCCCCGAGAGTTGACAATATATACCTTCATCTGTAACGCTTTCCGAACACTTGACTGTCCAACTCGGCCTCCATGTCCATTCGACCAATAACCTCCTCGCTTCCATGGCTCATCTGTCCTAAGTGACCGCTCCCAACACCTCTCCCAGCGCCGCTGCCCGAGCTGCCTCCGAGGCCAGCGACTTCACTAGAGCTCCCAGAATCGCCGCCGTATTGATCCCTAAATCGCCCCAAGAACGGCGAAGAACGCCGTTGCTGACCAGGAATCCCTACCTCCCCTCCACCACGACCGCGACTCTCTGAGTCTCCATCCCAACTCGAACGTTCTCCCCCACTAAATAACGCGCCCAGAGAAGGACCTTCACTCCGCTCTTGATACTGATTCCAGTCTCTGCCTCGCCCTAAGGTACCAAATTCACGCTCTCTTCGAGTACTCGACCCAGACCCTGCCCCAGACGTCGATGTGGACCCACCTAGTCCTTCCAAACTTGCTAAGAACGCTTCGTTCATCTTTCGCAACCGTTCATCGATCTCATCTGCACTAGTGAGCACAGGGGAGGTTCCAGTGGCGAGAAGAAGCCCTGTTTGCGTTTGCTGCGCATTGAGGCTCGCACGTCGACCCAGTGGCGAGCGAGGTTCTCCTCTCAGGGGACCTAGAGACGGTGGTCCCATATCTAGATTCTTCCCCTTGTCCGCCATTTGACGCTCCGAGGCGTCCTTAAGCCATAGTTGGTCAACATTACTCGGACCGACGCTATGGGCTCGAGACGGTCCTTGACTATCCGTTCCACTTTCCTCCATCCTCAAGCGCCCTCTCAAAGGCTTTCGAGCGTCGATCTCTTGTACAAAGTGAGAAATATCGTCGTCGTCGGTGCCCCCCGCGTTGAGGAAGGAAGAACTCTTTTTGGTAGATATGTAAGTAAAAAATGGAAAACCGGAAGGGAGATGGCTCACGCTTCGTCTTGCTTTGACCGGATCTAACTCCTCTCTATTCCCTGATCCGGCGCTCCCAACGTTGCTTGGAACTCCCGCACTTCCAGCAGCGCTTCCTCCCGCGCTACCACCACTACCGGTGGCACTCCCTCCTGCACCAAGGGACGAGGCATACCTATGACCGAAGCTACTTGAATACCGCTTTCTGCCAGGCACAGGGACTGGAGACGGGCGGGGAGCGTCAGGACTACCTGTCGAGGGAGGAAACGCGTAATTCGACGGGCCCGGGCCAGCTGACAACGGTCCGGATGGTGGTGACGGTCGAGTCATTACTCCGGTGCTACTCCCAGAACCCGAGCTCGCAACAACACCAGCACTAGCCAAGGAACCTGCCTTGAATGGTTTGACTGCAATCGGACTGATACTGCTTCCCGAGCGTGTAGGTGTCGGTGGCATTGTCGCGGAAGCTTGAATGGGAGACAATGGGTGCTGCGATAATAGTGAGGTTTGCGGTAGCGAACCCGGAAGGCCTAGGCCTAGACCAATCCCAAGTCCAGCGGGAGATCCAGGGGTGGAAACAGTACTTGACGTCCGCAATCGCGAGAGTGGTCTAGGTATCCCCGCTGCTGCTGGCACGCCAGACGTAGACGGAGAACCTGACGTGCTGGGGACTCTGGGGAAGTCTCGAAGAGGTTGAAGGGGGGATGTGTAAGAGCCAGAGTTGGCGGTCTTGCCATAGATTGATGTGGTACTCGTAGGTATGCCCAGTGGCACGGAGGGCAAGCCAATGTTACCCTTGCGGGGGCTTGTGCGTGGGCTGCTTGTACGAGAACGTGATCCCCCTGAGAAGCCCGTCCCACCATAAAGTCCTAGGGCAGCGGGCGAACCGGAACCTGTCGATCCGGGTAACGCAACCGCTCTGTTGACTCCACTCCCAGGTGTAGACGCTGTGCGGCTGTGACCCATCCCTGGGCTTCCGGATGCTGATGGCTGCGGGGGTAGGATGAACCTGTCAGCTATCGACTGAGCGTTGACTTCGCGATCCCTGGGTAGCTGAGACGCCCAACCATGGACTGGTGAGGAGCTGTATCCCATTCCGGAGGAACTCGCAATGGAATCCCGTTGCTGATTCTTGACAAGTGTTGGCAAGAACTCTACATCACGAACTGGTGGTTCAGCCTCCGGTCGAGGAGCTGGCTGTTCCAGCAATCCGGCTTTGTCTCCAGCAAGGAATCGATTGGAGAACAAGCTTTCCTTGTCCTCAATTTGGAAATTGGGATTGGAAAGATATGTTATTGTCAACGTGATGGTTCCATGAGGGTGCGGCACTGGTACAAATGTGTGCGTTTGCGTGGGCAGAACGGGAGATGGTAAAAGAGGCGACTGGGAGGTGATCGGCATGCCTATCAAGGTCTGAGGGAAATTGTTGAGCACCCACAATGCTGGAGACGTACCGAATTCCAGCACATCGTCATCAGCTTCCTTCACCCGTACAATTATGGTCATATTTCCGTTTCGCCCTGCGCGGCGTTTGAGTCGTTTGTACAGCTTCCAGGCAGGAAGCACGCGAAGGAGTGTGTATAGGCTACGAAAGAGGGGAATACCGTGCTTGTATATAGTTGGTGGCGCAACGTCCGACGCGCTCGACGACGAGCTAGAAAAGGAAGCAGTAGAGCCGTGATGCGCGAAGTTGAGAACATGGGACTCCAATAGGATATATCGCGGTGTTGGGTCTATCCTGCTGGGTATATCATTACTCAAGTGGACGAGCACTTGATTTGAAGCGAGCTCTGGGATTGTTAGTAGAACCTGGATCTCTAAAGGGGGGGCTGCGCCGGGCGGGACGTAAGACGACAAGGAGCGATAAGGCTCCCTGGCCTCTTTGAAGAGCAAATCAGAGTCGGGTGTCTCTAGATTGAACTATTTCAAATGATTTTCAAGTCGAATTGACAGTATGGTGAGGCTGAACTCACCCATTTGTCGACTTTGGGCTGCACCCTGGGCTCGACAGTGGTACGGGCGTGATTGACAACGTGAGATAGTTTCGTATAGACATGAAAGGCTATTTGGTCGGCTTTCTGGGTCTCATTGGACATTCTGGAGGGCGGTGAGTTATAAACTAGGCGAAAGTGGAAGCCATGGTGGTGGTACGAGGAGAAGGCGTGGGTGAAGAAGATAAGATAAGATTGCAACGATGGAACTCAGATAAGATAAGATTGTGGTCTTCTTTCGACCTTTCGACAAGAGCTGGTACTCACACGACCAAGTTCACCACCGCCGACGGACGGTACATGGCCCTTTGCTTGCGCTGAGGATTACTCGTGCAACTGCTTGAAATATCTGCCTTCTCATTCTTCCCTCTAATTCACAATGCCGGCTTTCCGTACCGCTCTCCAACTCATGGCTTTCTCTGTCCCAACATTCGCCACGCTGTGGTCATACGAAGGATCCAAGTCACAGATTCCTATGTACTCGGAAATAAGCACCAAAATATATGATGGGGCTCTGTGGCGATTTGAAACGGAGAACCAGGATGTATTCCAATGGACGCTACGAGTCGCGCAGGTGAGCCGCACCCCCAAACTCACTCGGAAACTCTCCACGGATGGCTAGGACTATTCTCTGGACGTATGGAGAGCCTCTGGGGACTATGTCGACGTATACACCGCAGGGGACTCAGTCATCCCGAAGGCCCTGCTCTCAGTTCCCCACACCATTTCAAACCTCAGCACTACCGTCCGGACACCGTCGAGGGACTCGTATACCAATGCTATCGACCGTTGGAACCTCACGAACCTTGAAAATACGACGTATCACGCTGCATACCACCCTTCATGGGAGATCGACGAGTTCATGCACACGCTCGCAGAGCTGTATCCCGACGAAGTGACCGTCCTGAGACTCGGGCACACGGCGATGGGGTGCGAAATATACGGCCTGCAGATCTCTGGAGACACGAAGGCCAGCAAAGCGAAGCCTGGGTTCCTCATCACCGGTGCTCAGCATGCTCGCGAGGTGAGCCGTGTATCTCGTCGACGCGCTGATGCTGACGTCGCTAGTGGGTCGCTATTTCGACGGCGCTCTATCTCTCCCATGCGCTTGTGAGCAACTCATCCGAGTCGCAGTCAATGAGAGGGCTACTGGACGACTTCGACTTCTACGTCGTCCCTTCGCCGAATCCCGACGGGTATGACCATACGTGGGAGACGGACCGATTCTGGTGTGTTTCTCCTGTTCCCAGTGTGTCCTTATCTGTCCACTAACAAAATCAAGGTACAAAAACCGCCAGGTCGTCGACCCGGTCTCGCCCTGCGTTGGTATAGACACGAACCGGTGCGTTTTCCGTTTTTCTTGGGTCCCTCAGAGTGCATTGACTAACCGCCCGTCAATGTAGTAATTGGGTGCAGCTTCATTTCATTATTGCCATCCCGTCTGTTCTCATAGCGAAATGACGTCTAGGGATACAAGTGGAAACCCCATTCGGCGTTGGGAAACCTGGGGAAAAAGAAAAAGAAGCCCGTGCCGGACGACCCGTGTTCGACCTGGTATCCCGGCCACCGAGCGTTTGAGGCGCCCGAAGTGAACAACCTCGCCAACTTCGTGAGCACATTGAACGGCGCGGGAGGGCCTCATGCGAAGATCAAAGCTTTCGTCGACTTGCGAAGTTACGGTCAGATGCGTGAGGGATATCTTCTACGGTGCCACAAGGAGCCTGTACTGAGCCCGTTGACCAGTGTCGACCCCATATTCATTCTCGTGCAAACGCATGCCGAAGGACGCAGAAGACCAGCTTGAGGCTGCACTCGGGAGCGTTCAGGCTTTGAAAGTCAAGCACGGTACGATATTCAAAGTAAGACTTGCATTCGTACTACGATGCTGCTATATTTAACTGTTGACAGACCGGCAACCTGTGCTCTACGTTATACAGGTATGTTTCCTTGGGCAACCTAATCTAGTCGCTGAAATCATCCTCTCAGAGCTCCGGGAAACATCGTCGACTGGATGTACGCTCGTGCCGGGATCAAATACTCCTATGCTGCCTTCCTTCGTGATACCGGGACGGTAGGGTTTCTTGCTTGCTCCCCCTATTCTTCGATCGAATGATTGACATCTCCTCGCCCAGTATGGTTTCTCGCTACCCGCGGAATGGATTCGCCCGGTTGGCGAGGAGACGGGCAAGATGATAGAATACCTCGCAAAGTTCATTGCTAAACGGCAGAGTAAGCACCTGGTTTGTCCGTCTATATGATTTCCTCACTGATATTCGCAGAATGAGTTCAAGGGCATCACACTTACGCCCTATGACCAATCTTTGTTTAGGCTTTGTATATTACATGATGACTATATTGCATCCACTGTCTCCGCCCGATGCCGACTTTGGGGTGGATCCGAGTTCTTTCTTACTAACGCCATAGCGCAGGCACCTTATGGAGCGTGACTTATGCCCATTGACAGCCCGTGAACGGATTACAGTTCCTGGCCCTGGAGGCTCAAGGATCTACACACAGGTTGTGTGCAGGGGAGGGTTGTAAGTGAGTTTTGGTTCTGACCTTTTGATTCAATTTGTGCGGTATTACATTGATCTTAGGGAGGAGACTTTCCTACTGCCGGCGAAGATTGTCCCAGGAACTATCGATGCTCTCTGGGGCATGGTGCTCTCACAGTTCAAATCTCCGCAGGACACCATCCGGTCAACTGATTCAGCAGTCACTCTCACACTCTGTAACACACCATCTGCTATGGCGTTATATAATCCGACTCCACGTCGCTTGCTTGGGTGAACATTGGGTTACCACTACCATGGCCTCTCTACCTCGCAATGTGGATGTCCTCATCGTGGGCGCGGGGTTCAGCGGACTATACCAGCTCCACTTTCTTCGTCAACTGGGGTTCAACGTAAAGGTCTTAGAAGCAGGGGGTGACATTGGCGGGACGTGGTATTGGAACTGCTACCCCGGCGCGCGGGTCGACTCCTACGCCAGCATGTACCAGCTATCGATCGACGGCGTCTGGCAGAACTGGAGCTTCTCGTCTATGTACCCCGCGCGAGACGAAATCCAGAACTACTTCCACTACATCTCACGCACACTCGAGCTGGGGCGCGACATCATTCTGAACACGCGTGTGGTCTCTGCGGTGTACGACGATGCTGGGAGCGAGTGGGCGGTGACGACACAGCGCGGGGATGTTGTGCGGTGTCAGTTTCTGAGCTTCTGTACTGGGTTTGCGTCGAAGGCGTTTACGCCGGCGTTCAGAGGGATTGGAACGTTCCGCGGTCCGTGCCATCATACGGCGCTGTGGCCGCAGGAGGGAATTGAGCTGCGGGGGAAACGGGTGGCGGTGATTGGCACTGGTGCAAGTGGCATCCAGGTGATCCAGGAAGCAGCGGCTGTCGCCCAGGAGGTCACTGTCTTCCAGCGCACCCCCAGCATCGCGCTCCCTATGAACCAGCAACTTTTAAATGACGAGGCTAAAAGGAAGTTGAAAGACGGGCAGGCGAAGGCGTTCGACGCGCGGAGGAAGAGTGTGTCTGGGCTCGATATGGGACCGCTCGGGCAGAAGATGGCGGATCTCGATGAGGGGGAGAAGAATGAGTTATACGAGGGCCTGTGGGCGGAGGGCGGGTTTGCGCCGTTAGTGGGCGGGTTCGCGGAGGTGTACCAGGACGATGTGGCGAATGATTGGGCATATGGGTTCTGGAGGGATAAGGTCAGGAAGCGGATTAACGATCCTTGGCTCCAGGAAAAGCTAGCGCCGACTGTGAAGCCCTACCCGCTTGGAGCGAAACGCGCACCCCTTGAGCAGGTACGCTCATGTTTACTACAACTTGGTGTAGAAATGAAGCTCACTTTGTCCTGTGCTACAGAATTACTACGATCTGTTTAATCAGCCGAACGTCCACCTCATCGACGTCAACGAGAATGATATAGATCAGATCACGCCGAAGGGCATACAAACAGCCGATGGGGTTGCACGGGAGTTCGACGTCATCGTACTGGCCACTGGCTTCGACGCCATCACCGGTAGCATGACCCAGCTCGACATACGGGGTACGGACGGTGCTAACATACACGACAAGTGGACGTCCTTGGCTAGCACATATCTAGGGCTGATGACGGCAGATTTCCCTAACATGTTCTTCTCGTACGCAACTCATGGCCCGACAGCTCTCAGCAACGGACCCACAGCTCTGGTGAAGAAATTCCATCGCTGATATACGGGTTGGGGGTGTACTGATAGATCTTTCATTGTCATCTCAGGAAATTCAAAGTGACTGGATTGTTAAATGTATCCGGTACACGAGAGGGCGTGGCTTCTCGTCGGTCCGGGCGAGCAAGGAGGCCGAAGAGAGGTGGACGAAGCTTGTTAATGATATTGGTGATCAGGGGCTGTGGAAGCGCGCGAAGTCGTGGTATACTGGGGCCAATATTCCGGGCAAACGGGTGCAGCACCTGAACTTCTCGGGCGGCGTCGGCTTGTACGCACAGATCTGCCAGGAAAACGAGGAGAAGGGATATGAAGGCTTTGAATTTAGCGGGAAGAGCAAGTAGATCTGTGCGAGCTTGCGCTTTTGCATGGTGTGTAGTTATTCCTACCTCGCTTAGCTCGGGGCTAACGAGAATCATTTGTAGTACATCTGAGGACGTTGCATAGTAGCTTGTTTTTCAGTACAATAACACTGCTTAAAGTGGCGAGAGTTACATCCAGCCTCACGCTCCATTCATAGTGGATTCGCCTTGTAGGAAGGGTGGTAGGGTGTCTCTTTAAGACCATAACCTAGCGTGAGCAATGCTTTTCTTCCCCATGAAGTGTGCTTCTTGATACATTACAAAATCGTTCTAGCCAAGAAACTCTGAGATTTGGTTTCCCAACCTTCGTACGGCATGACTGCTCTAGCTCACATGTGGAACCCAGTGTATCGTTCCTTCCATGCTCTTTCTCACTCAATTTCCCAGGCAGTGCTGCAGCATGCGTAGTGCTCCCACCATCGATATCTTACTTCGTGTGACATGATCATCGCGATAGTCTAGCTTCAAAATCGCAAACTCAACCCACGAACTCGAAGGCTACTGCAAGACATAGGTCAGCCGAATGGTTCAATTTGCTATCAGCCCCTTCGGGTACCTCACTCCCACAAGCTGAATGTTGTTATCTGCCTCCGCGATTCTGCCATCAGGTCAGCTGACTTCGCAAGCATAGGTACTGGAATTATATGTTCTGAGCGGCCTTTGGACACACACCACGTCGACATGTCCAACTTACCCGACAAAGTGGACGTCCTCATTGTCGGCGCAGGTTTCAGCGGGCTTTACCAACTTCACTTTCTGCGAGGACTCGGGTTCAACGTGAAGATCGTGGAGGCGGGAGGCGACATCGGTGGAACGTGGTACTGGAACTGCTATCCCGGTGCTCGTGTCGATTGTGATGCAAGCATGTACCAGCTTTCGATTGACGGCGTCTGGCAAGATTGGAGCTTCTCGTCCAAGTATCCTAGCCGCGACGAACTTCGAGAATATTTCCAGTACATCAACCGCAAACTTGACCTCAGCCGCGACATCCTCCTCAACACACGCGTTATCGCTGCGATCTATGACGATCCCGCCAGCGAATGGAAAGTGACGACGCAGCAAGGGGACGTGGTTCGATGCCAATTCCTGAGTTTCTGTACAGGGTTCGCATCGAAACCGTTTACGCCGGCCTTCAAGGGGCTCGACACGTTCCTCGGACATTGCTACCACACCGCGCTCTGGCCACAGGGAGGGCTCGATTTACGGGACAAGCGGGTGGCAGTTATCGGTACTGGCGCGAGCGGAATCCAGGTCGTCCAGGAAGCAGCGGCCGTCGCTCGGCAGGTCACTGTTTTTCAACGCACTCCGAGTATCGCTTTCCCTATGAAGCAGCAAGTGTTGGATGATGAGGCTAAAAAGAAGCTGAAAGAAGGTCAGGCAAAGGCCTTTGAAGAACGGAAGAAGACGGCTTCTGGGGTCAATGTAGAACCCATCTTTCGGGAAATGTCTGACTTTACGACGGAGGAGAAGAACGAGATCTACGAACGCCTTTATGCACAAGGGGGATTTGCACCACTGGTAGCCGGATTTCAGGAAGTATATACGGATGACGCCGCGAACGATTGGGCGTATGGCTTCTGGAGAGATAAGGTCAGAAAGCGAATCAAGGACCCTTGGCTGCAAGAACAACTTGCGCCGACTGTGAAGCCTTCCCCAATTGGATCAACACGAGCTCTCGAGCAGGTGAGTTTACGACAATAATATGCCTATCGACGAAGCTAAATATGTTTCGTGAAGAATTATTATGACGTGTTCGACCAGTCAAATGTCAGGCTTATCGACGTCAACGAGATCAACATAGATCGAATCACACCGAAAGGAATACAGTTGGCTGACGGCATCGAGCAAGAGTTCGACGTTATCGTTCTTGCCACCGGCTTCGACGCGATCACTGGTAGCATGACTCAGCTCGACATACGAGGCACCGACGGTGCAACTATACTCGACAAATGGACGTCCTTGGCTAGCACATATCTAGGGCTGATGACAGCCAATTTCCCAAACATGTTCTTTGCCTATGCGACACACGGTCCCACGGCCCTCGCCAACGGCCCTACCGCGTTGGTAAAAGATTCACTTAGCTTGATTGAACGGGTACTGATGAAACGCCCTTTCAGGAGATTCAAGGCGCTTGGATTGTCAGATGTATCCGTTATATGAGAGAGAACGGACTCTCCTCAATCAGGCCACGCAAGGAAGCTGAAGACCATTGGACGAAGCTCGTGAACGATATCGGGAATCGTGGACTATGGGTTCGTGCCAAGGCATGGTACACTGGGGCCAACATCCCGGGCAAGACGGTTCAACACTTGAACTTCTCTGGAGGTGTCGGTCTATATGCTCAAATGTGTCGAGAGAGCGAGGAGAAGGGGTACGACGGCTTCGAGCTTTCCAACAAGAGCCATTGATCGATGATGCGCCGTTGGCTGAGGCAGGTAGACTATGTTGTCAAGGGAGTGATCATCAGTGTTTAACTAATCTATCCTCCGCGGTAGACATACATTCTTCGTTGACTTGTCCTCAATCCTCAGCTCCGGGATTTGTTCGTTAATAGGGGATATTCAGGAGGTCGTTAATGCTAACACCTGACTTGTGACCTTGCATGTCACGTTGGACAATGAAAAGGTTTTACCAGATTCTCAACTCTACGATTTCCTGAAGGCTCGAAATCTCAGGAGATCCATACGAGCTCAAATGGGGCTGTTGAATTCTGACAGGCTCAACGCGGACGATACGAGTCACACGGCCAGCGGAGCCAGCTAAATTCTGGCTGGGGGCCTACGACGATACCTTTACCGACGACACCGCCAATGACTACGCCTATGCATATTGGCTTGACAAAGTCCGGCATCGCATTCACAAGGTCGAGCTCGTAGAGAAGCTCGCCCCTACCGTCAACATGCATCCCTTTGGGATGAAGCGTCCCGCTTTGGAGCAGGTGAGTAGCCCGAAGCCTTTGATTATTTCTACAATCTGACGCCAAACGCCGTCAGCACTTTTGCGGAGTTTTTAAACAAGATAACGTCACCTTGGTGGACCTCAACGAAAGCCCCATTTACGAGATCACATCTACTTGGGTTCGTACCAAGGATGGGGCGGAATATGCTCTCGACCTGTTGGTCATGGCCACAGGGTTCGATTCGGGGACTGGTGGCTACAATAATATTGAAATGATAGGAGCGAACGGAGCCCGCTTTCGCGATATAATGGGCGAGTGGGGTGGGCGAACTTGGGCATGTTGGCACATGGTTTCCCGAACATGTTCATAGAATACGGTCCTCATGCACCGATTGCCTTTGCAAATGGACCTACAGGTATTGTAAGTGGTCCTGTATCAATTGCAAATGCGCTAGTGACTCTGACGACACGATAAGGAACTGCAAGTCGACTGGATAGCCAAATGCATTGAATACATGGCGAAGAACTCCCTCATTCACATCGAAGCAAGTGAGAAATCCGAACAGGATTGGACGCAATGAGTACATGAAGTCGGAGCCAAAGGCCTTTGGAATCGGGCGAAATCATGGTACAGAGGCGCCAACATTCCAGGCAAGGTTGTGGAGGACAGTTTTGGGCTGGAGGATATCCGTCGTATGCAAAGGCCTGCACAGAAGTCGCTGACAGTGATACGAAGGAATCATATTCGTGGAAGGACGCTGAAGGCCATGTACCTTCCGGAATTTGGAAGGTTTTACCCACGTTTCATGGTACTTGGCGCACATTTGTTTTTCTTAGACACTCTCCACGTGTCTGCCCACAACATGCTCTCTGCTGCTCATATGGGTGGCGTCTGATCGTCGAAAGGTGTTCGCACCGATTTAGTGCCTTGTGGGGTGCGAAGCAAGCCAGAGCAGCATGCTCTTTTATAAATACCCGCACCTTCAGTCCCCCCACGGGCCCGTTCTTCAGCCTGCTTGAATCTACCCTTGAGCTCCTGCGATGTCCTCCGCCTTTGCTACTGTCTGTGTCTTTCTCTGTTAGATTCTACGTGATCCCCCCTGACGTGAATTTAGGCGACCCTCAAGGCTGTGGGCTATACTTTCGCTGCGCCATATCTCTTAATCAGCGACGCTGCTGCACTCGGGTTCTACATCCGATTCATCACCACAGGGATAGTCCTCGTACTCGTTTGCATGATTAGTACTTCGGCTGGAGTGAGGGAGGTGGATAGTATGGAGTAGCGTTGGAATCGCAATTGTAGTATGTGCTCCCGTATCTTCACTCTTCATGACGCTAATCTAGGTTTAGTAAATAAATCCTTCTTATCCTCGCCGAAATTCCAAGATTTGTGTATGTATTCTAGTCGCGGTCCAAGTTTGTACGATGTTTGTATCATCAATTCTGGAGCTGTTCTGCCAGTGGACTTTTGCTTGAGCGACGTAGACGAACAACTTGCGGAAACCCATAGCCCCCACTGCCATCCTAAACCCAATTCCGCATCACAGCCGACACGGTTGGCAACGCTTGGACAAAAGACATTCTCTCATTAACAGGGAGCTTCGTAGACACCAGCATGTTTGGATGATGACCATCAACGTACGTTTCTCGCTGTCGGTGATTATAGCCAGCAATTGCATTTAGGGAGAAGGGCCGGGAGCGCGTGCTAAGAAGAAACGTATAATATTCCGAGCAACGGTAAAGAGGAGAATTGTACTAGTGTCTGTGTCAGATATGATCCATTAGGAACGGTGTTGCTAGGCTGATAGAAACCAGCCTCACTTTGAGTATACTATTTCGAGTCTTGAACCGAGTGCGAGTCCATCAACAGCGTTCCAATTGGCAATTCCGTCGAAGCAAGGGAAACATTTTAGAAACATGACAAGAAGAAAGAAGCGCTCAGTTGTAGCAAGACACCTTACCATCACATTGGCCTGAGGGCCTTCTTCGCAATCTGAATAGCAGCCTGAATATCGCAGAGGGGCTCGACGAGCCCTTGGGTCGAATGTTGGCAGAGTGACTCTGATGACAAGTGTCAAGCCGCCCCGGGCCGCCGTCAGGGTGTCCATGTCAGCGCTTATTAATTCCAATAACCGCCATCGCTTTACCACTCACTTCAACATCGAAAAAATCGTCGTTTCCTCGCACCTGTGAATTCCGTAAAAAGGAACACCTATACGCTGTGCCAGGGCCTAGCAGCACCCAAAGTCTGCGCACGGCACTGTGGTCTGTTCCTCCGTGTACAGAAGTGTGGCCTGGTTCCATCATCAATCCCGCGTTCAGATACGCAGTTCAAACTTGATGGTCGTTAAATTCCGCTTATGCCGAGCGGACCTTCGAGAGATTTTCCAAATGACATTCAATCATCTATGATTATGTTGCGCAATTGGTTTCAATACAGTTTTTTGTCCGCAAGGGGCAGAAGGAAGCATTGTGGCAGGCGCCGACCGTTGCTTATTTATGTACGTCCGGAATTCAATACTTGCGCTCTTCACGGCTTTTCTTCCTCTCCCCTTACGCATCATGTCGGATATCCTATCATCTGCGCCTTCCCTTGCCTCACCGCTGATCTTTGGTGTGTCGTTTGTAACCTAGTCGAGTGATTGCTCAACGACCGGACTCCGAAGGCATGGAGATTGGCACACCGTTTGTCCTTAGATTATGTTCTCAGATGGTGGCTGACGTGCCCTGCAGGCTTTTTGCCATCGCCATCGCTCAAGCTGTAACATATTATCGGACCTACCCCAATGACTCTACTATTAACAAAGTATATGTGAGTACACCAGAGCCATTAGTTCTGCTGTGACGAGACTTATTTAATAAACACAACCTATCCCAGATCGGCGTTCTGCTGTAGGTATCAATGTATGATCAGGGTTTCCCCAGATTTGACCTCGCAAGGTGATCAGTTCTATCGACTTAGCCCACGTGGTGACGATCGCACATGCATCGTTCGTCTGGTATCTCCGGGATCGTCTAAAGGAACATATGCCATGGTAAGTTTGCATCTTGTCCTGCCAACCAATTCTACTCACCCGAGTGACATTATCAATAGGAGTTTGCTGGTGCGTAGTTGTGCTATCGCTCGGCAAATACTGGGTGTACACATTCATCGGTTTCAGGCTAGTGGATTCTTCGCCGTAGGTGTCTACGTTCATCTGTACTACCCCAAGCTGAGCTCTGGTCAGTATCCCGTCGTCACACTGGTTCAGTTGTAGGCCACTATCTGAAAATCATCGGGTGAAGTTCTTACCCTTGCCCTGTCGTAGAGCGTATGGCCGCCGTGTTTGGTATTGTGGGTGTATTCTCTCAGTGCCATCCTCCCTACATTAACGTCCCCTAAGTGAGCCGACACAATAAGATCCTGTGTGTCTTCATTGTAAGCGTTTCGTGGCAATATATCCCAAGTATCTCTGTTCTCATCGCTCGCCAAGGTCTCTGCATCTGTTATCCAATGTGGTGCGCTTCGCCCTCCCTTCTTAATGACACGTCTCTTAAAGCCTTGTGGTGGCGGGTCAGTGTCTGGGATGGGTACGCTCTCTCTTTGTTCGCTTTCACATTGCCCCAATTAACCTCGTCCAAAGCAATGAATGTAGTGCTGTACGTACCACCGCCCTGCAAATTGGAAGACGTCTCATTCCTTCCTGAAGCCTGACGGACACAAGTGTACACTCTATGCATTCCACGGCAGGCGAGGTAAGACAAGGCTTTGTTGACTCGCGTTGGAAGAAACTCATTCTCCTAGACACTTGGCGGGATCCAGCTTGCCACCAGCTTGCTCTGCGATATACTTATCACCGGGAGCCTCGTCTATTTCTTGCGACAAGGCCGTTCCTCTAGCTTCCGTAGGTGTGTAAACAATACCTTCTCCTGGCATCAGCCCTTACTTCTCAATGTATAGCACGCGAAACGTCATAGACACATTAGTGCTCTACTCAATTAACATCGGTTTAGTCACCAGGTACGGGTTGACTCTGGCATTGCCGGGATAAATCTCACCGGACTCTATGTTTAGTATTCTTGCTATCATCACGCTCTTCATCGTAAGTCGGCCTCCGAGTTGCTAGTGTATGTCTAATCAGCTGCTCATTCTTATGGGTATAAAATTAGTGGTTCACAATGCCTCAAAATTTCATATTCAGCACGTTTCATATCATCATCAGTAAATGTGAGCAACTCACCTTAGTGACCCCTTGCCGAACGACAGCGCGCTGATATCGGCGTATAAGTCTACATCAACTCTCTTCTCGTCAGGTACGCCCGAGTCGCTATGGCGTACCTCCCTATATTGCTGATGTTGCTACATGGGGCAGCTTGAACGCTCGCCGTAGTATGCGGCAGTCCACTGAGGTTGATACTGAAGGATATACTTGTACGTACCGGCCATTGACGTGATGGCGGGCCGTTATTCACGATTGATCTCCGCCTACATATAGTGCGCACGATCCAAGAGATGGTATTCTCATAGGCTACTCAGTGATTCTGTTGTGGATGTCTGGATCGTACCGGGTACGGCACACGCAAAAATGTATTCCCCAAGTACCTCGTCCGTCGGTGCACGGATGGTTGCTTGCTCGTGATCAAACAGCTGCGCCATGTCATTGGGTAAGGTGATGAAGATGCCTATGTGTTGTATACAAAGGGCTTAGATTGAATTGACGATCGTGTACTCAGGCCCAGGTGCCGGAATCCTGAAGATAGGTGTTAAACGGTAACGTTCTAAACAGCTATTTCGCCCCCCGCGTCCCACGCTCCCAACACAGGAGATCTTTCGGCGTTCATGGACGTGGCTTCATCACTCTAAAATAAATCCGACAAATTTTACCCGTGATTACACAGGCGTCCTAGTACAGGAAATCGTCGGTTTCGGCAACACGGCCATCCCCCAAGCGCGCTCTTCCCTCTTTGGAGCTCTACATAAGTGGGCGGCTGACCGACGAACACCGTAACTGGCCGACCCCGATGGTTATCACTTCAGTGATTGATGGTGCTTAATCAAGGCCGCATGCTGTACCACTGAAACACATCTCAGAAGATGCCTCCCGCCCGTACTGTTATCTGGATGCAAGCATGCGTTATGGAACAATCTGGCACGATTCCTATCAAGTGAATTTCCAAGTATGAGTGCGGTTCCAAGGCACAACTGGATTCACTAGCGTATTCCTTTCCCCCTCTGGCCGATTGAAAGTATGTCCAACCGGCCTACTCACATGTGGAGTATCATCTGTGCGGGTATCATCATCTGGCTGCGCGCAATCACCATTCAAAGGAGACGGCGGCCTCGATATAATCATCACCCGAGAACCGGTGCATCTAGTTTCCCAGCATAGTTATTCGTCTTGACTCCTCGACCCAGCCTCAGATACGCTGAGTACCGGTGTATTCTCCTTCTAGACCATGTCCTCCGTTATCCTGCGATCTTGCCGCCGTCCCCGGTAACTCTTCGGCCTCCCGTATTCCCGTATCCTGCTAAGACGCAGTGTTTCAATTTACCAGGTACCTCCGTTGGCTATGCGCGGTGGATGACATGTGCAGTATTCGTCACTTTTCCCGACTCTCTGCGCGTCATCATCGCGAGACTCGCGGTCAAACTAGGATGCTTTTCATATATAAGGAGCTCGGCCAAAGAGAAGCATACCATCACTCCCAGAAGCTTCTTTGCCATGCGATTCACCGTCTCTTCGCTGCTTCTCTTTGGCCTTCTTTCCCCTTCTCGGGCTGTGACCGTAAATCATGACCTACGGGAGGAAGCAGCTGCAAGGGACTGCGTAAGTTCATGACGATGAATTAGCATCTCTCACTGACCAACGTCAACTTTCTTTGAACAGTGTCAGACCTTGCAACGACAGTTAGGCCCGACGGCCGTCCTCTTCCCAGGATCTTCAGGGTTCCAGCAACTCGTTAACTCGTACTACAGCAGGCAAGAGTCAGAGATTGTCTCTCAGTGCCGTGTCAGCGCACGTAGCGCCAAGGATGTCTCAGACGCCATCAAGGTGATTACCAACACGGGCTGCAAGTTTGCTGTCCGTTCAGTCGGGCATATGCCATGGGCCGGCGCTGCTAACATCGCGGCGCCTGGTGTCACGATCGACTTGAAGCTCATGGACAGTGTCAATGTATCGGCTGATAGGAAAACAGTCAGCCTTGGTCCCGGAGGGTCGTGGGGACCTGTCTACGACACGCTTGATCGCTTCAACTTGACTGCAGTTGGAGGCCGTTCTAACACTGTTGGTGTAGGAGGCTTCACCCTCGGTGGTAAGTTTCGTCCACACCTCGCTAGTAATCACTCAACTAACCCCACCACAGGTGGCTTTTCGAATCTTTCACCGTCGCACGGTTTCGCTTCTGATAATGTCATCAACTATCAGGTTGTCCTCGCAGACGGTCGAATTGTAAATGCGAACAAGAATTCGAACTTCGATCTCTATCGTGGTCTCAAAGCGGGCAGCACCAACCTTGGGATCATCACTCGCTACGACGTCAATGCCTTCCCTTTGACGCCAAAGTGGGGCGGAAGCAGGGGATACAATGTCTCACAAGGTCCCGCCATATTCGATGCGATGGCTAAATTTACTGGCAAGCTTCCCAAAGAACCCCTTGGTGGTGGATCAGTCGTTTGGGGGTACAACGAGCAGATGAAGAATGATACCATCTTCGCGACATTTGCCTATTTGGGCGCCGACGGTACCCAATCCAAAGCGGAATTGTTCTCGGAGATGCTCGACGTCCCATTCAATAGTGATACCATCCGAACCAACACCAACCAACAAGCTCTTTCCGACGAAGTTGATGTCGCCTTCCCTCCCGGCTTGAGGCGCATCTTCGCTACCCTGACTTTCAAGGTCGATACGCAAATCGCTGTAGGCGTTTATGAGAAGAGCCACGAAGCATTCGCCGGTCTCGTTGGCAAGGAGGGAATATCGTGGTCGGCTTCTTTCCAGCCCATCTCTGTAACCCATCTCCAGGCCACTCAACGGGCGGGAGGTACCCTTCAAGGACTCTCTCCTAAAGATGGAGATCTCATATGTGAGTGCATCTTTCACTGACTGAATTCTGTACCTTGTCTAACATATGTCTTGCAGTGCTCAACCTGAACAGCGTCTGGGTCAACGAATCTGACGACGCGGCAATGCAAGCGGCCGTTCGCAAGGTCATCAACTGGGCAACCCAAGAAGCCAAGAAGCGAAACGTTCTCCACCCCTGGCTGTACATCAACTACGCCCTTCCGGACCAAGATGTTTATAGTTCTTATGGTCGAGACAACATCAAAGTCTTGAAACAGATTCAGGCCAAGTACGATAACAAGAATCTGCTCGCGAAGCTCTGGAAGGGTGGTTTCAAACTCTAGTCCTAATTCTAATTTCTCCACCATTCCGCACCCACTACTTATTGCGTACTTTATCACCTACATAAATATTAGATCAGTCGAACAATTGACCCAGTTCGCGCGTAGATATATATTCTATGGCCTCCATCTTCTCTGTCCGTCGCCCTGTGCTCAACAACCATTCATTGATAAACATCAAAACTTAGAAAATCCTGAAGATGCCTATCCAAACCACCTGTCTGGCATTTGTTCTGATATATTCATTCCCCGGATCTACGTTGGCAAGGGTTTGCTCCGGCTCCTTGGAGAAATGAAATAAAACCGGTGGATCGATGAATAAGTCACAGTCCGTGGTCAATGAACTTTTGCGTTGTACAGCACCATCCCACGCAAAATATCTACGTATAAAGGCGAGAGTTTGCGTACCTCAAAGGTTACAGGTAATGCACACTCCATCCGCTATCTTCCTTGCAATCGGGTCCTTGGCACTTGCTGCCTCTGTAGCAAGTCTTCCGTCTGGAAGCAACGCCACCGAAGGGCTCTCAGCTGAGCAGTGTGTACGTGAGAGACTCGTGTACTGAGTATTATGGAGACTTACGCGCTTTTAACTCTGTAGTGCACTCGCCTGAAAGGTGTTCTGGATTCCTCTCAAGTTCTTTTCCCGGACTCCGAAGAATATGATGCTCAGGAGGCCTCCTATTATTCAGGAGAGCAGGCCCTGCAACGTCCTGCTTGTCGGGTTACGCCTTCGAACGCAGAGGATGTCTCGAGGGTCGTGAAGTTTGCCACTTTAAATGATTGCAATTTCGCTGTGCGCTCGGGTGGGCATATGAACTGGGTCGGATCGTCAAACATTGGGGAAGCTGGCTTTACTATCGACTTGGAAGATATGAAACGGATCGAGCTCCTCGACAACTCGAAGACCGTTGCTATTTCTCCTGGGCTCCGATGGGCCGACGTGTATAGTTTCCTTAGTCCCCACAACCTACACACTGCTGGTGGACGATCCTCGGGTGTCGGCGTTGGTGGGTTTCTGCTGGGCGGTAAGTGCAGAGCAAACGAAGTCCGTTCCCGCCGCTCACAAACTGATGCAGGCGGTATATCGTTTCTGTCACTCGAGTTCGGCTTCGGGAGTGACAATGTCGTTAACTACGAGATCGTTCTCGCGGATGGATCGATCGTCAACGCGAACGAGTCGGTAAGCAGCGATCTGTATTGGGCGTTGAAAGGAGGCAGTACAAATTACGGGATTGTGACGCGTTTCGACATGGCCACGTTCCCGTTGACCGAGATATGGGGAGGATCCTTGTTCTACAACGCTACACTCGGCCCGACTTTCTACGAATATCTCGTTGGATTTACGCAGCGGCTCTCGGTTGACCCTCATGGATTACTAGCTCCCATACTCGCATGGAATGCAGCAGAGAAGGACTATCTTATCTGGACACCAAACGCCTATCTTGGCCCGGAGGCGTTCCCTAGCCCACTGTACGATGGGCTCCAGGACATCCCGACGATCCGAGACACGATGCGTATCACAAACCTCACCTCTGTCACCGACGAGATTGAGAATGGATCACCTGGCGGAAGCCGGACCCAGTGGTTCGCTCTCGCATTCAAGGCGAACGCAGAACTGCCTTGGGACATCCATCTCAAGGGCGACGACATCTTCAAACCGTTCCTTTCCCGACCGAACACATCTTGGGCGCTCACCATGCAGCCCATCAACGTCGGAATGATCGCAGCAGCCAAAAATCGGGGCGGAAATCCGTTTGGCCTCACTGAAGAGGATGGTGATCTATTTCGTAAGCCATCAGTCAATAATGCTCTTCTGGGTCATAGATTTACTTGACTTGGTGCAGTGGTTTTGATATCCGTGTTCTGGACTGACCCAGGGGACGACGTCGATATGAAGGGAGCAACACAGGACTTGCTAAAATGGTCAACAGACACTGCAAAAGAACGTGGCCTTTTCAACCGTTTCATCTACATGAACTACGCCTTGAACACGCAACCTGTGTTAGAAAGTTTTGGACAAGAAAACTTCGACCGAATGAAAGAGGTGAAGGAAAAGTACGATCCCAGGGGGCTGCTCAATGTGTGGAAAGGTGGGTATAAGTTGTAGGTAGAGATGTCACAATGATAGACACACGTACTCAGGCTCCTAGAACCAGCCGCTCGTACGAGAGTAATTTTCAAGCACGTGACGCCTCTTAAGGCGCGATGTAAACAAGTACATCGTCAAGCGAGCTTGAAACTCTCGATAGAGCGGCTGGCAAAATATGTCGCCGAGATCACCGATTTTGTTCCCATGCTCTTCGCCGAGCTCGCGGCAGGCTGTCGATGTCACTGTGACAGTTATGTACCGGCAGACTCCGGTGCGTAGCTTAGGTACTAATTGGGATATAACCCCATAGTACCGCCCAATCTAATCATACTCCCTCTGGATCCCCTTCTCCTCGACGCCGCCAATCTGCTTGCAGTGAGGTGGCATTGAATATACTGCAAATGTGAGTACATTGTTATTCCAGGAAGCAGCGTTCTCAACTGATGGGAGCCTTGTATCCATATTTGCGGAAGGCACTGGCAGGTTCTTGCAGGACAATGCACATGAACGGAACGGAAAGTGTAAAAGAGATTATGAACGGGAACCAAATGAAGACAGATCATGTAAGTATGAACACAGTTCCCCCCCATTTCGTCTCTGATTAAACGATATGAGAAAATGGTTGTGACTGCGAGTCTGCGACGAAGAACTTGAACATTTGGACGTCTACACTCACACAAGCTTGCAAGAAACTGACAGTGCCCATCTACTGGGATCCCTTGGTTCTGCACAACACCCTCTGAGAGCTGACTGTCCTGCTATTCCAATACCTCCCGCCCTTCCTCTTCTATCCCGCTCAATATGACCTCGCCGGTGTCTTGTGCACTGCTATCCATAGCTTTCTTGTTAATTACTACTCATTTACCATATTTGGTTGTATATTACTTGGGAATAGAAATTATCTAAACTATTGCGTGACAGCCTGCCGCGAGCTCGGCGAAGAGCATGGGAACAAAATCGGTGATCTCGGCGACATATTTTGCCAGCCGCTCTATCGAGAGTTTCAAGCTCGCTTGACGATGTACTTGTTTACATCGCGCCTTAGGAGGCGTCACGTGCTTGAAAATTACTCTCGTACGAGCGGCTGGTTCTAGGAGCCTGACACGTACTATGCTTCATCAATGCTTCGTACCCCATCACTACTTCGTACCCCTTGAATTACTCACCCATTGTCTCCTCCCCTGCTAAGATATTCTCGGAATATGATGTAGCAATGCCTACGCACGCATTCGTACCACTTTGAAGCAATACACGACCATATTTCAAACGGTAGAATCTTGGCTGGTGTCACGCTCTGCCGCAGAAGCCGCTGCGGACAATGAATCTGGGATTGATTTATCCTACGTGAGTTCCAATACCTTTTCCGCTCGTCCCTGTGATCGCCAAGTCGGAGTGCAACACTGTGACGAGCATAGTACCTACCCATCGGCCCGTCGTGCATCATCAACGACCAATATCACCCAGATCCCATGCTTTACAGCTCTATGGCTGTTTATGGTATACACATTTCGGCCGCAGCCAGCACAAAAAAAGACATCTGATGAACATCGACTCTGGTGTACATTCGATTGCGAGTTGCTGTCTGTGCGTAAATGGATACTGTCCAACGATGAGAAGGTCCATAAATAGAGAATAATCTAGGTAATCGCGTCATGATAGAGAAACATATAACCTAATCCATGGTATCATCCCGTGTGTTTTCCGGGTTGAGGCTGCGAATAGACATATTGCCCGGGCAAATTGGTGGTTGGACTAGCCACACCATCGGATAGAACATAACCTGGCATAGGTACAAGAGAGGAAAGATATAGAGGGGACGCCTGGCCGGCCTGGCCTGAAAATAGTCCAGGTGGCGGGGGAGACTGTTGTTGTTGCTGCTGCTGCTGTTGTAGTTGCTGCTGCGGATTAGTGGGATCCGGGGTGTTTAGGCGAATGGCGGTAGGCACGGGAGTACCACCTGAACCAGAACCAGTCTGAGATTGCGCCACGTAGAAAGGTTGAGGAGGATATAGAGGCGAGGCGAAAGTCATATGCTGTGGAGGATGACCATACGTAATGTAAGTGGGAGTATATATCGCGGGAGGAACAGCGAACGGAGGAGGTTGCTGGAGGTGCCGGGGAAATTGAGGGACTGGCGGGGGTTCCTCGCCGCGGTGATGATGATGTCGATTCATACGCTGCTGGCGCCTTGGGGGAGGCGTACTACTGGCCGAGGTATGTGAACGGTGACGCCGTTGATCAGGGGGGCTAGAGGGCAAAGAGGGACTCCTAGAGCGATGATGATGAACAGGAGGGGGGGAGAGAGGAGGGGAGCGTCCATCTGTCTGGCGAGAATCGCGTGGCGGTGTCTGACGTGCACCATTTGAGCGATGGGCAGAATCATACGGTGACGAACGATAGCCATCGTTAGCATAACGTTGCGTAGATGTGGCGGGTGCATCACCAGAGTTTCTTCGCCTTGGTGACGACACCGTCCTGCTCCTTGACGATCCGCTGAACCTACTCGACGACGAAGGCTCGCCGGTTGACAACAGGTCAACGGAGTGCGCAGCGGGAGAGTCCTCGTAGTACCATCTAACAGGCGGCTTGTTCAAGATCACAATGCGCTCCTCAGCCTTCCTCGGTCGGTGGTCACCGTCAGGTCCTCTGATTCCGGGTTTATAGTCAACTGTGATGCGATCGTGCTTGATCCATGGTAGACGGCTAAGGTCCCTGAAGAACTTTTGCACTCGGTCGATGTGACTGTACGTGCTGGTAGACGGGGGCGGTCGTGCCATTTTGCGGTAGTCATTTGAGGGCTGAATATCCGCCAGGACGGCGTTTGGAGAGTAAGGACTAGCCTGATGGGTGTCCTCTCTTTGAGCGGTGTATCTGTCGCTATCGCTTCGTGTGCGTCGTGCCGGCCCATCGCGATGAACGGAGTCTTGCCGGATCGTGCTTGCGTGCACGGATGGAGTGTGGTCAGATTGTGAACGAACCTGGCTTGTGGATGAGTCTGCTGATGGGGGCGTTACGCTGATTCGAAGGCTAGGACGACGTGCCGGCGTCTGGCTGACCATGGATTGCCTCGGCATGTATTCCGACGGTTCAGCAACTTCAGGGATCGGCATATCGATTGGAGCCGTGTACTCGATGTTCGTGGGTGCACGAGGAGCGACTGGAGTCGGAGGATTCGAGGAATACTGGGGGAGCGTAGCCCCTGACTGGGCGGCAAGGTTGTCGGCGTGTCCGTTGGTAACTCCGACCGGCGTCATCGGTTCGTTCAATTTCTTTCTCTTTCCAGCACCCTTGCCTCGCCGCCCTAGAAGCCCAGCAAAGAAGCCACCTACGAACCCCTTCTTCTCCCGTCGCCCAGGATACGGGGCACCATCCCCATCTGCAGAAATTCTGGGCGACACGACTTCCATCGGATGCGGATATACACCCTGTGTCGTCCAGCCATAACCTTGCTCTTGTACGACATTGTTATGGTCGATGGTCATATATTCATCTTCAACCCCGAATCCCGTCGGAGGCCGCGAGCGATGCTCCGAGAGCCCGCGTGCTTCCTGGACAGGGGATGGAAGGTTGATAGCTGCTGGCGGAGGTGGAGGCGGAGGCGGAGGTTGTTGGTTCTGTGGAAAGGTACTGACCCACGACCGGACGCTAGCATGACTAGTTGGAGGAAGATGGCTGTAACGGGAGACAGAGACCCTTTGTGTAGGCATGCCCTCGTGGACGACGTCGAGATCGTTAGATCGCGCATAGGCTGGCTGGGGTGGCGACAGCGGGTAGTCCCCGCGGTGCTCGCTGTATTCGCTCATAATAGACTGAGCTTTTTATCTGGTCGCTCTAGCGCTCTGAGATAGATATGAGTTCAATGGGGTGCAAAAGGACAAGGATGACCATACCAATGACCAGAAAACAGATGGGAGAAGGGTGGGGCAGACACATGGGGTGCTGGACTATGGCAAGACGATGCACACGTGGTGAATAAGTGAAATGAACGAGGTGAACGCTCATCCTCAAGGCAAGTCTCCAGACAAGGCTCAGGCATGTTGTAGACGACGCCGGCACAGCGTTAAAGGTCGAGGCGACGGGGATGAATGGCTTGTATCGGCGAGAGTATAAGAGCCTGGAGGCAATTTGATACCAAGGCCTTCGGACGGGCGAGGGGATATATAACATGCCATGCGTATTGTGCATGTCATCGAACCAGGTTCAACCTGGAGAGCAGCACCGAGCCTCAAAGCCTTCGTCACGATTCTGCGCGGGCCGATATAGCCGATGATCTGAGGCCATGGCGGAAGATGCTGAGGGGGAGCTCGACGGCGGATGTTTAGACTCTGGACGTGATGAAGATGTTACTGGACAAGACTGGACGTCAACTGGACGCCTGTGGTCGTGTCCGTCGTGCACGGCGCAGCATGGTACATCATCATGAGGCCGACCGAATGGCGTAAACTGTCAGCGCTTCCAGGCAGCATCAAGGCATCAAGGCAATGTAGAGCACGCCCTCAGAGGTCATCATAAAGCATCATAGGTGCCGGTACCGATGCTTGGGTCCCGCCTCCCAAGTTGAAGACCCCGTGACACCGGAAACTGTGATCGAACCGTGACTTACCCCGGTGGATCTGGGCCCGAATGCCTCCTGCAAGTACTGCAAGTCATCTCTTCAACAATTATCTCTGCGAGGGCGATAACTTCGCTGTTAGAATGAGTCATATCATATTAGATCTTTTGCCGTGGACCTCTCATCAACTCTCACCCTCCCTAACGCCATCGTGGCATTACTGAAAAGCAGCCAGCCCGATTGCAGCCCGAGGCGGTTGTTCACGGGCCGAACAAAGTAGATTGTAGCACCTCCTACGATATTTCCCCGGGGCGCTCACAGCGCCGGACCTCCAAAACGTATCGTAGGGCCGTTCAGTGAGATAAAATGTCTTCAGGTGCGCGTATTATTACTGTATCACCCAAAATTCTGGCCACCGACTATGCAGTCTGGCCTTGACTCACGAACAGAGTTACAAACGAAAGGTTCTTGATCTCATCACGCGAAAATAGAACCATGCCCCACCCCCATGCGCCTCGGTGTTGTACCTAGGTTTAGCGAGTCTGGGGGTCTGGTGACCGGGTTCGTGTGTGGGTATCAATGGAAACTATTATTATCATTGGTCCGCTAAATCTCATATATAGCCCGCTATAACGGAAGGTATATTTTGGACGGTCTTCCTTGCCCTTCTGCGAGCGAGCGCAAAAAATCGACATACCTCAGCCATGGCGAAAGGCGTGCGCAGTTGCATATTTTTCGTTCTTCTTGACGAGTTACTGATGTAGATCTTGTGGATTTAGTATAATGCTGCGATTGCTTCGAATCCGGTGAGCTTTATTGCTCGTATGACTACCGATAACAACTTACCACTTCCTACAGTATGTCGTGGGCTCCTTTGCCTGCATCGGAGGTGCCCTCTTCGGTTTCGACATCTCGTCGATGTCGGCCGTCCTCAGTGTACGTACACTTTGCCTCTTTTGAAGACTGGTGGCCGACGTCGTCTTCTAGAACTCTGCGTACAGCCGCACATTCGGCAATGTGAGCTTTGGATCTGAGTCGTAGATTTCCTTCGCTAAAGGAGTGTTAGCCCGACCCGAATGCCCAAGGCGCTATCGTAGCTTCTATGCCCGCTGGTTCTTTAGTCGGCGCCCTCGCTGTGACACAACTCGCCGATCGCCTGGGTAGAAAGAGGACAATCATTCTCGCCGGTATAATCTGGGTTATCGGCTCGATCTTGCAATGTGCTGCACAAGTCAGTTTATCCCCTTTCTGCCCCCTTGTACTACTAATCGTTTTGCAGAACCGTGGAATGCTTGTCGTTGGCCGCATTATCTCTGGTCTCTCAGTCGGTATATCGAGTGCCATCGTGCCTATTTATCAGTCCGAAATCACCGCGCCATCAATCCGCGGGAGAATGGTTTCGTTGCAGCAATGGTACGCCGTGTTTTTCAGGGAGCTCGACTTGCAGAAGCTGACGGTCTTCGGCGTAATAGGTCTATTACCTGGGGTATTCTCATTCAATACTTCATTGCTTTTGGATGTTCCTATATCAATGGGACTGCCTCTTTCCGTATTCCATGGGGTCTTCAGATGATACCCGCCATCATCCTGAGTCTCGGTATGACAATGTTCCCAGAGAGCCCTCGTTGGCTCTTTGATCAGGGACGGTGAGCAACTCCCGCTTCCTTGGTGATGAAGACACTCACCCCTCTCCCGCTCTTTCTTAGTGAAGAGGAAGCGTTGGAGATCCTTGCTGACCTTCACGGTGGAGGAGATACATCCAACGAGCTCGTCGTACTCGAGTTCGAGGAAATCAAGCAACAAGTAGTGCATTTCGGCGTTGGCAAGCGGTCGTCTTCTAACTCGTAACCTCGTAGGTCTACTTCGAGCGCCAAGAAGGCGCCAAATCCTACCTCGATTTGCTCAAACCTGGCATATTCCGCCGCGTCGTACTGGGAACCTCTCTGCAGATGTGGTCCCAGCTGTCCGGCATGAACATCATGATGTACGTCAGACCCACTATCGGTCCGATGGACTTGCGTTCATGTATCTTTTTCAAGGTACTACATCATCTATGTTTTCCAAGGTGCCGGTCTGACCGGACGGCGCGGCAACCTCATCGCCGATTCCGTTCAATATGTCCTCAACGTGGCTTTCACCAGTGATTATGAGTTTGCTTCTCATTCGCTCGCACGTGCTGACGCCTAGGCCCCTTCAAGTACCTGCTATCTATTACATTGACCGATGGGGTCGTCGACCCATGCTATTGATAGGAACGTGCCTCATGGGATTCTGGCTGATGCTCGTTGGAGGTCTACAGGCTAGATTCGGACACTGGGGAACGATTGATGACAGCGGTATGTCTCTCGCCGTTGCATGCTGGCGAAACCAATAGTTTGACGATGTCCTCTTAGCTGTGTGGGTCATCGAGAACAACGACGCCGCGACGAAAGCTATCATTGTATGTTCATACTTCTTCGTCTGCAGGTAAGCATTGCTTCTCTTGTTCCCTCACTACCAATCCTGAGCACCTCGCGAAGCTTCGCTATCACTATGGGACCCGTGTCGTGGACGTACCCCGCCGAAATATTCCCCATGAAAGTCAGAGGGAAAGCTGTCTCAATCTCCACGGTTCGTATGGTTGCCCTTCAAGCGCAAGCGCACTACCTACTGACAATCGCCGACACATTCCCTGTGTATTCATAGGCCGTGAGTACCCATGATCCCCTCCACCACGTTTCTCTCACGAGTCATATTTTTAGGCCAACTGGACCTTTAACTTTGTCCTCGCTTGGGCCGTCCCTCCCGGGCTTGCTAATATTGCGTGGAAGACTTACTTCATCTTTGGCACGTTCAACTTCGCCGCCATGATTCACATATTTTTCATGTTCCCCGAAACAAAGCAACGTACCCTGGAGGAAGTCGAAGAAATTTTCACCCAAGGCCACCTATTCTCAGCTTGGAAGATCGGAAGCGATGTGGGGGCTAAGACGGTCGCCGATGTGAAGAAGCCGACGGTCAGTACCTACCAAACACCGTACCGTGAAATCCTTCTAATTCGCATTGCGATAGGATGAACACTCTGTCGATGAGAAGAACTCCGCCTGATGTTAATGATGTCTTTATGCTCTCACGCTGTACTGCTAAGTTTTATACGAATGATTTCGATTATCTCGCGTTTGGCATGATTGTAAGATTTTGAGCAGAATTTCTATGGAGCAAGTTGGACTAATGGCCGAGTGGGATATGTTAAAAAGCTCGAGATTTACAGACGGCGTTGATTATGACCAACTACAAAATACCATTTACTTGGTATCTACACCTTCACGCTCCACGATCTCCAGCTACAGCTGATACCCGCCTCTTAGGATCGTGCTGTCCGACCTCTAAAACGGACTGTTCATATAGATGGAGCAGTTTAGAAGGCCGCGCTCTTTCGCTATTCGAATCTATGGTACATTTGAGGCGCAACAAATCTTTGGTGTACGGCAAGATCGTATACTGTTAGCTAAGTGTCCACCCTGCCCACTGTGGTTAGTGGTGAGAGTACACCCACCATCGATGGCTCAGCAGGATGCCCCTGAGTTGTGATGGTAGTCACGGGTGACGGGACCCGCACGGGACCAAAGTTGAAACCGAAGGGGCGCTGAAGCGCCACACATAGGTCAACTTCAACCACCATGTCGATGGACGCTCTTCGACTCGAGGACCTATATATTACTGATCCGAACCAGCGACGCTACTGGTACACATTCTTTAGCGAGCAAACAGACTCGGCAGAGGCACGCCTTCTCGCCTGGTCATCAGTTACTGGTTGAGTGACTCAAGTCGAATGGCGGTGTAGATCGATGTCATGGAGTGTTGCTTAGGCCTCGAACGGGGAGAACTAGACGTTAGCAATAAATCCTGCCCCATCTCTCGTTCCGTTATCTGTACGTGATATTCAGTTCGTGCTCGCTCAAGCTGGTACACTAATGACTTCTTAGTGCGCGGTGAAATGATTCTATCCCTCCAGCGAGCAGAATGGGCGATGTTCCCTGACGAAGAAACAATCAAGGTACTGGGAGCAAACCTTCTGAAAAACGGCGAACGCGCAACGGATGACCGCCTCAACTGGGAGACGGTAAGTGGCAAGAACCTCTTGCTAGATCCGTAGCTGACCGCCAAGATGATAGATTTTCCCGATCCAGCCGGAATATACATACACCCTTTACTTCAACCCGGATGTTATCAACATCCAGTCGGTTCGTGGGCCTTGCAAGTCGGGAGAAACGTTAATTACAAGCTCAGTTCACCCCGCACTGACCCTCGCCTCCATCACTCGATTCACTCTTGCCCGTCTCAGGAAGAAAAATCTTTCGAAGATATGCTCTGCGGTTCTGGAAAGCAACAAAATATATCTTACCACACTTCTTCGGAGGTCGTTCATTGAGCAGGACATGACGCTTCATCGACCGGTTCCCAGTGACATTATGGATGACGTTGAATATGGTACTCCGGAGAAACCAACCCGTTGCCATTTAACCTATTAGATCATGTGTAAGATCCCTGTGTAAATTACTTGAATTCAGTAGATTACTTGAATTCATGACCATGGACGTCTGAACGCGTGGCTTGCTCGTGACCATATTGACGTGACTCGATCTCGAACCACCATGTCTTTCCGGCCATGAAGCATCAGCTTCAGCACCCATTCGATGCGTGTAGTATTATGCCCTAAACCGTTTCACTGACAATCGTCACATGGCACAATGCCAGTGTTATTCGGCACAAATCTTCATTTCGCTTCACAAGAGAGCATATGCTCAGGCTCGATGCCGGAACCCCCCAGTATGGCCGAGGGAATGGGGGGGGGGTGATGTCGATGAGGGTTCAATTAGTACGGGGCTGTGAGCCAATGTTGATCAGCCAGCTCCCCGAAGACAGTTGGTTCTCTTCTTTTCGTGCCAATTCCGTGCCTTGACGTCTTTGAAGAAAGGGACCACCCCGAATAAGCCACGCGTGGATGGTGTAGGCCATTGAGTAGGTCCTTGTGACTAGGTTCGTGTTCAATGCACCATTTCGACGTCCTTGCGGATTGGCTCACGCTTTACCTCTCTTATCGTTCTCGCCAGATTCCACGAAAGTGGGGTCGGAGGATGATTCTGGTCGAACGTTGCTTGTCACGGAAGAGCAACTCTCCGAAATGCTGTACCCATATTGCCCCAACCAGGCCAATGCTTTTTCTGTATAGATCTTCGCCCTCGCATTGCGTCCGAAACATCACACGTACGAATCATCTCGATTATCGATGGACGTCATTCCACATTGGATGCAAGAGCTTCGTCTCTCATATAAACGTGCCCCACATATGCCGAAGGAACATCATAATTTCTGAGCACTATCATGACAACGGAAATTGTAGGCTCACTCCCCGTCAAGCACAACGTCGACCCCAACGGGTCGCTAGGCATTGATGTACCACTTATGCTTCCACCAGCTAAGATGGCACCTAATCTCACGGTCTCCTACCACTCGGCTGCAAACAACGCGTCTGTCATCGGTGTCGGTTGGACCATTAAAGGCGCATCATACATCGAGCGTGTTCCGGCTACCATAGCCCAGGACCAACTACGAGGTTCGTTCGAGCACACGTTAACTCTTCGTTCTGAATCTAACGGTCACTTCACTAGGATCTGTTAATTACGACCAGAACGATAGGTTTGCACTTGATGGACAACGCCTGATCTCCATCGGCAATAACGAGTATCGATATGAACTCGAAACATGGTCCAAAGTTGTGGCACGCGGCTCTGACGCGTCGAACCCCGACTCTTGGGTGGAGTATCTCCCTGACGGCACCCAACGAACATTTGGAAATACTTCGGTGAGTTTATACGTCCTATACCTGTACCCTGCTTGCCGCATACTTAGGGATTTCCTAGGATTCCAACATCAAGGCCGCTGGCGGAAACGGCACTAGGGTCTGGGCGGTGACCCAAAATATTGATCCTTTCAAAAACTATGTCTCCTACTCGTACATCAACGACACCGCCAACGGCGCCTTCTACCTTGATCAAGTCAATTATGGTGGTAACCAGGCCGTCAGCATGGCTCACCAGCGCAACGTCAAGTTCACTTACGCCGACCGCCCTGATACGAAAGTCAGGTATTTGGGAGGGTACAAGATCGCGATGCTGAAACGGTTATCAACTGTCACCTCGTCTATCAACAATGCAGTCGTTCACACTCACGTGTTGAACTATGATTCTGCGCCTCTCAGCGGCGTCAGCCGTCTGAATTCGATTTCCATCAGAGACGCCTCTGGCAACCAAGTTCGACCAGTAAAGTTCAACTGGGTCGATAGTAACCCGGCCATCTTCGGCGACCTGAAGGCGCCTACGACGATTAATCCCCAAGATCCCGATGCTCAAGTAATGCCAATGGACGTTCATGCCACAGGTAGAACCGACTTAGTTGTCTCGTCGAAGCGTTTCCAAGGGTCGCAGAAGCTACATCTCGACGTATATCGCTCGGACGCGAATGGTGTGATAGCGTCCACTCCCGAGTCTACGTTAGATGGTATCGACTATCCAACGCAACTTCTTCCACTCGACTTTAACGGAGATGGTCGCAATGACTTGGTAAGTTGTCACCACAACTTCGAGATATTTTATCTTGTTAACACTGCAATGAAGCTCCATATCACCACGTCCATGTCCTCACATACCCTGACCGTCTTACTATCTACGCCAAGCGGATATCAAGCTCAGACCCCCCTGTCGTTCACTCCTGAATACATTGGCGGTTCCTTCCATATTGGTGACTTTGAGGTGAGAGCGCTTCATATTTGTTACCGTCGGTCTGACATTAGCGGGATTAGGCGAATGGACGCGTTGGCCTCTGCTATATATACCAAGTGTGGAAGAATGGGGGTCCTCAACTGCGCTTCATCCAGTTCGTGTCCGACGGGCAGAAGTTCACTGCCCTGCCGCCGCAGGATGGCCTAACAGGGGTTAGCTTCAGTTCAATCAAAGTGGTTGTGGGCGACCTCAATGGAGACCAGTGAGTCCTCCGTCTGGAGAGTGCGGTCCTATATTGACATCCATTCAAGCGCTGAGGATGTCTTTATCATGTATTCGGCGTTCAAAAACGGTGGAAACAAAGTTCAAATAGAACTTTTGCAGTCAGATTCGAACGGCCGGCTCCAGTATCGAAGTGATAAGCCGCTTCTATCTGTTGCGGAGAGTATCTACTGGACAAACAACATCAACTTCCTCCCGTACTCGGCCGACGAAGACGGAAAGACCAGTCTCCTTGTCGTATCACCGGATATCAATAGCAACTTACAGCTTCAAATGATTCGCAGCTCAGGGCCCACTCTACTCCCTCCATCATCTCCTATCGCTACCAGTATTGCGTACAACGGGAATGTGACGCTCGCAAAAACGTCTTCGACTACCGCCATTGATCTCGTCAACACGTTCAATAAGCAGTTTGCCAGTCCGCCCCAGACTGAAGTCACGGTTATGCGATTCTTCAACGATACCTTTACTATCTTGAGCAACGTGAAACAGCCGGGCGTAACGTCTAGCTTCGTTACCTGGGCCGATTTGCGGGGTATAGGTCGATCTGATTGCCTTCTAGGCACCGCTGACCACACTGGCACAATCACTATCAAGCCGATGCCATCTTCTGCTTCCCAGCCTCCCGACTTCATCTCCGGCTACGAAAACGGCCTAGGAGCGAAGCTATCTGTATCATACTCCTCCCTCAGTGACCCAAATACGTATACGACAGATTCCACGGACACGTCCGGCTCTCCTGTGGTGGCAGTCAATGCCATGGCGCGGAACGTCTCTTTCACTGCCAACCTATCGTCGTCGTCAGTTTCCCAGTCTTCGGCCCATACTCGATCACAAATCGTCTACTTCCCATCCTATGTCGTCAAGCAGCTCAAGCACACGCCATATGCCGCGAGGCCGGACATCGTTGATGAGAGCGATTACACGTACAAGACTGCACGATATGGATTCGACGGTCGAGGATGGCTAGGATTCGAGACCATTACGAAAACGGCGCCGTCTCTTGGCTCATCAACGGCGACGAATTATCACCAACAGTTCCCCTTGATCAATCAACAAAAGCAGATTCGAGTCACAGACACGCCTTCCAGCAAGGTGCTGCAAGTGACCGACAATACATGGCAAGCGACTCCAGGGAATAACAATAAGAACCAGTTTGTCAGCCTATCGAAAGTGAAGGAGAGTAACTACGAAGGCGGGAGCATCGCATATGAAGTTAATGTCGACTACGCACACGACAATTACGGCAACGTTACCTCTATGACCACCCAAGTCCCACAAACAGGAGCGCCTGCGCTGACGATCACCTGCACGTTCAGTAACGATACCGCGGCTTGGGTTCTTGGACAGAAAACTCTCGAAAAGGTCACTTCGGGATCCACTATTCTGAGGCAAACAAAGCGAAAATTTCACCCAGGTTCGCTGATCGCAACAGAGCAAAGTCAGTGGGCTGCAGACGACACTTGGTCTACACAATCTTTTGAGTTCGATTCCACTGGAAATGAAACCACTGTCAAGGGCCCAGGACAGGCGCTCAGGAAGTTTACGTATGATTCGACATCTACCAACCTTGCCTCCTCGTCTGTGTACACCTCCGCTGACAATATCTTAACCGAGACTGCCGTTTTTGATCTCGTATCGGGGAAACCACTCTCGACCACCACTCCTAACGGTGACACCACTGCGATCGTATACGATGTTCTGGGACGCGCCACACAAATATCGATCGGCAGCCAGGAGTCCGGGATGAAAGTTATCGAGAAGCAAGCCTACGAAACGGATGGTACCAACTTCTACCACATCGAGTATACCGACAGCGATGACAGCGGACAGGATGTCTGGTTCAAAGTGATCAACCACCTCGACGGTATGAGTCGTGTGTGGAGGAGAGAAGTGCCTCGCCCTGACGATCCTAGTATAATGACATACTCGGATGTCGAATATGATGGTGCTGGACGGATCATCAAACGGGCGCGCGACTATGTAGCAGGTACCTCACCTGCATATGCCACTTTCCAATACGATTCACTATCGCGCTTGACCAGTCAATCACTTCCTCCTGCCGCTTCGGACGTGGCCTCAATTAGCTCTACGTTCACCTATTCCTTCGTCGCCGGCATTATGCACGCCAAAGAGACACGGTCCGATGGCCAAGGCAGTAATACGGTAGCTACCACGCGAGAAATCACTTATCTCCCGAACCCCGAGCCCTCGGCTACCAAACTCACTAAATCATTCGTCACTGCTTCCGTTAATGAACTCAATCAGCCGGTGAAGACAGTATTCGATGGGCTTGGGCGGCCTATCTCGATTAGTGATCCTTCTGGCAACACCCTTCTGCTCGGATGGGATGGTCTTGATCGTGCCATCACTCGCCAAATCTCTAACTCTGACAGCGGGGCGGCGAAGGACATTCAAAAAACTTCGGCAACCTATGAAGACGACCTGGGGAAAGTGACGATTAAGAATGAACTAACTGGCACTAGCTCTGTCGTTCAGTCTGATTGGGCCAATCGGCCTTTGTCCAAGGTGACTGCTGAGGACTCGTTCACGTTCGTCTACGATACCGGCGGCAAGTACACCAAGGAAAACCTTGTCTCTGTCACATCTACAAAGGGCATCGGATACAAGTTCGATTACGACCAACGGGGGAACCTTACATCTTCCATACTCACGATCGATTCACAAGATTACCCCTCCTCGTATAAATGGTCAACCAGCAGGGAGCTTCTTCAAACTACCAATCCCGACGGCACAGTCATGACTCGCACTATGTACTCTGACGGTGCGACTGTCAAACGAGTTGAACTCACTGATACAAGTAAAGCCGTTCGGGCATGGGTCAATCTTAGCGACTACAACGACGTGGTGAATCGGCCCCTTGTCTGTGAATTTGGCAATGGAATCACCTCTACATCCAAGCTAGCCGACAATGGGTCATTGGTTGACATGTCGCTCGCAAAAGGGGGTTCAACGATACATCAACAAAGTTGGAAAATTGATTCATTTAGCCGCATCAATCGCTATGATTCCATCAGAGGTGGTCAAGGTCTACAAGCGCAGGCCTCTTCCAGCCATACCTTTACCTATGATGACGCTGGTGAGTAGTAATATCTAGATAAACTAAGCCATACTCATCATTCGCAGGTCAACTCTCCGGACGTGTCCCCGATGCGGGTTCTGCCACCGGCAACGCAGAGTCGTATGCATACGATAATTGTGGCAACATTCAGTCTAAAGGTGGCAAGACATTTGTTAACAAAGGATGGCAACTCGATCAGATCAGGGACACGAACACTGGAGCTACCGAGTTCACGTTCCAGTACTCAGTGGACGGCCACTTGACCTCGAAAGTAGACGGTACTGGAAAGGAGACGGCGTCGATGCAGTACGACTCAGAAGGCCACCTCATTGCATTGAATAAGACCAGTTTCGTTTACGATTACGGCGGTCGCCTTGTCAAGGCGGTTCTACCAAATGGCGACATCAGGATCTACCCCAGCCACACTTACGAGGTCGACATTGCGGCTTCAGGCGATAAGACCCACTCTGCTTACCTCGTCCACGGATACCGACGCGCGGCATTGTCTACCTCAGCGACATCGTCGAGCGTGAATTACTTCCACACCGATCATCTAGGCAGTACCATTGCCGTATCCGACGCCAATGGTGGGATTATTACCGAGTATTCGTACGACTCTTTCGGGCAGGCAACAGTGACCTCCGGTAATGATGTTTCTCGCTATAAATTCTCCGGAAAAGAAATGTTCGACGGCATCTACTATTTCGGCTCTCGTTTCTATGATCCCGACGTGAGCAACCTTCCTATTGGCACAGTATTGTTGCTTACCCATATTTAATCCTCTAGACGGGTCGTTTCTTAACGCTAGATAGCTATCCCGTCGATGTTCAAAATGCTACGCCCTCGACGTTCAACATGTACTCATTCTCTCGTAACGACCCTATGAACTTCATAGACTTGAATGGAAATGTCCCTTGGTGGCATTGGTACGTATGATTGCTTAACTTCATGTTTTACCACCACTGACTCTTTCATTTAGGCTTGTTGACGCTGTCCTGATAGCCGTTGGCGTCGCTCTCCTGTTTGTCCCCGGGGTCAACGCCATTGTCGTTGGTGTCATGGCGGTTGTGACTGGGGCCTTGATTGGAGGTGGGTTGGCTGGTGCAATGTACGACGTGAAAGCACAAATATCCGGTAAATCGGACGACAAAGCCTGGGGTATGGCGGTTGGCTTGGGGGCTTTGTTCGGAGGAATCAGCGGAGGTCTCTCTGCTGGCGTGGATGCCCTTCTACCCGCGGTGACCTTCATTGATATCTCTTCGAATATGGGAGCAATCGGGGCGCGAATGGTAGCTGGCTGGGTTGTCAAGACCGTGGCCAGAGTTGCCATCAAGACAGCCGTCGACACTGGTCTCGGCGTGCTGAAGCAGATGTCGGCAAATGGGATTGAAGGTAAACGTTGGGACGAAGGCCTCGGAGACGCCGCCGCCTCAAGTGCTCTTTCTGGGTTCGCATCAGCTGGTGCGTACTCGACGCTGAAGCTTTTGAACCTTAAGCTGACCCTCAGCAAATTCGACAGCCAAGGGCGAAGCAGTCGCATTCCTCAAGCCGATCAAAGGCAGCGGATTGCGGCTCAAATTCTGGAAGAACAGAAACTGGAAAGTCTACCGAGTTGCTGACGCAGAGAAGATGTCAGGATTGGGCAAGCTCGCCAAAAGTCCTGAGTATCCTATCTCATCCTCCGAGCCCAAGCTTCTCAGCTATAAGTCCCTCAGCGAGTTTGGCGATAGTTTCGCGGCGCCATCATCTTCACGATTCATCCCTGTGGGGCACATTAGTGGTTTGTAGCGTACTGTGGAGTTCATGGTGTAGAAATAGCTATTCCGAAATCAATATTTCGTTCGCAAATCTAGAACTTGGCAGGGAGTGGATCCTTCATGTCGATTTCGATTCTGAACTCCCTAACTACTTGCGTCACGTAAATTTTTCGTGTTTGCGCACAGAACACGCTCAACAACAGGTCGTTATGCCCCCATCGTACCGGAGGGCTCCAACAGGTTGTCGTTGAAGGTATTGTCTGTCTGAGGAGAAGCTCACTGAAACTCCAATCTTGACGCCGGTAGGCTGCATTTGCAATCCACATAGAAAATGCTACACAAGCTGGTGTATTCGAAGGCAACGCTAAAATTCAATAATCGGGATTTTCATCGACAATTTTATCAGTGCATAATTGTCAAGGAATCAAGGAAGCCTCTCTGAATCAACGCTTTTCATCAAGGTGCCCCTCCGCCATGTTGTTCAGTTCGTCTTCATGTCGATCCAAGTCTCTAACTAACCACCAGAGGATCACACCAGAGATAGTGGCGATAACGGCCATTGTTCCGTAATTCCAAACCAACAAAGGATCGGCGGATAACGCTATCAGATCCTGGTAAGCACTGGGAAGGGACAGCCTGAGCAGATACGTAGGGTCCTCACCAACAAAGGCTTCACCTAAAGCCGATGCGATGGCTGAAGCGAAAAGGAAGACAGCCATGACGAGGGAACGCATATTCTTGGGCGCCTTTGTAAACGCATACTCCAACCCAGTGATAGATGCAAAGATTTCGCTGAATGCTATCAAGATATACCTAGGAGCCAGAGATCAGTGTAGATTACGAGGTTTACACCAAGCTAGCTTACGATCCAGATTGAATCCAAACGTTCAGAGGAGATACATTCGGCGCCTTGCAGTCAGCAGCGAAATTCCCACACGGGCTTGTCTACATCCAGGTTGAAATTTAGGTGAGGTATATCTGGGCACGAATCACTTACCTTGTATATGTAATGCTGGACAACTAATTGCCTTGTTATCAAAGACCGTCAATGCAGATATGTAGTTGACGTACCTGCTGCCCAGATCATCGCTGCGGCGCCCGTGAAGAATCCAGCGGTTATCTTCTTTAGGGCGCTGAAATTGATCCCTAATCGCCTGAGACCTGGATAAATCTTAAAGGGGTCGTTGATGTTACATCTACCAAAAAGAGAAGCCCAGACATACGAAGCGGTCAAAGATAGGAATGAAAATAATCAAAGCCAAGGGATCGAGGTTTGACAGGATATCGTTGGGCAAACCGTGCGTCGACATCGTGGCGGCCTGCGATGTCAGATTGTTGTTCAATTGGTTGTATGTGAGCCCTATGATCAGATTACCAGTAAGCAGACGCTCTTGACAGATTGTTATATCATACTTACAATAAAGCGGGAACCAACAGAATACACTGCACGCCTTCAATCCACGGCGGACTTCATCCACCCATATATCGTCGAATGTCATCCAGCGAGGCTTTTCATTGCCTCGGGCAACAACGTTGCTGGGTTTGGCGTTCTCCCAGAAGTCGTCGGCTGTCAATTGGCGGAAGGTTTTCACGGGATTGAAGCTCCAGCGGCCCCGAGCCGCGTATCGCCAAAGGCGAAGAGCCGTAGCTAAGACCGATCCAGTTGGAGGCGATCGGATGTACCGCTTGCGGCCGACGAAAAGGGCAATGGGCGAAATCATGAACACTACCGTAGGTAGAGTATAGGCCAGCCAGAATCCAATGTACTAGGTTTAATTCCGTTAATAATCGCCGATCAATTCACTCATATGTCGGGTTTACCTTCTCAGCATACGTCCTAGTATAAGTGGCGTAAGCTGTCGAAGCGTTAATCGAGGGACAAAGTGGACATACATTGTGATTTGCCCGATGAGCGCCCCAATATTGATAAATAGATAGAAGTACTGATTCACAGTTAGTACTTCGGTGACACGATGAACACCAGTAACACTGACCATATATATCCTTGAAACCGTCAATGCGGGATCAACGATGACTCTTTCGCCGCTCGCTCTGGTAACAACGAATAATTTGGTGCGCCTGTACTGTTCAGCTACGAGTGGTGATATGTTTGCTTTGAATCCTCCGGCGCCTAGGCCCATAACGATCAAAGCAACGACGAAGGCGCCTATAGCGCCTGGTTTATCGATGACACCAGGGACGCCAGAGACAATGAGGATGATGTGTCCAATGATTGACAGTCCAACGGACCAACACACGGTCTCGTATCGGCCTAGCCTAGTGTCGGCAATGAAGGCACCTATCAACGGAGTGATATAGCACCTGCCACGGAGTCATTGGTACCCGAGCATCATGAGGTAGTCACAAAACAAACCAGAACTGGAAAAATGTTGAAAGCCCAGTCGAAGTTCGCTGGCCAAGGCCAAGAGCACCAGATTGCCCAATGGGCCCTCCAGCGCCAGTATGAGAACCATCAGGTAAAGGTTGTTGGATGTAGTTCGTCTAGTTCCGAGTCCCATATTAAATAACATCGAGGACTTTTCCGAAAATGACGTACAAAGACCACGGTACTTCCTTTGATGGTGTGAGCCCACAGATATTTGTCGAAGCATTAGAGGACATTACCGTAGAACTAGGTAAGACGGATCAGGGATATAAAGAGAGTTTGAACGATGGAATTCGTACCGAAAACCGTTCGGCTAATTCAACCAGCGCAATCACTTCATCGCCGTGCGGAGATCAGTAATAGTGCAGCGAAATGCGGACCTATCCTTACTGTAGGCATTCCACGGGATCGTATCAGCCACCCTTCTCAGCGTTAATCTTTCTTCTTCAGTAGGAAAATCGAGGCCATCATGAATCCCATCAAGTTGGTGGTTGACGTCTTGGTCGATGGACTGCTCCGAGGAAGTCCGCTTCTCGTTGATCTTGCCCTCGTCTTGGTTAGCTTCCGCTAGACCAGCGACTAACGCAGTATCTCGCTCGAGACCAGCCATGGTGTTGAAGATGGGGAGGTGGGTTCAGAAAAAGCCACGGTTGAGCTTATATGCAAGAACCGGCACGCCACCCGTCCCACTTCTTAGGATAGGTGGCGATTGCGCCAGTGAGGTCAGGAAGTAGCATGTGGCTTTGCGATACGGTTCCACATTCATTGGTCACTAATAATACCCATGCGAAGAACCGAGTCGGCAAGCGATAATCCGAAGATAATGGGATCAAGGGGTTCTCGTGGGTAGCTGGAATCTGGTGCCAGGTATGTCTCATTGTAGCATCAATATTTTTGCCAACCATCAGTGATACAGCAACGCGGGGAAACAAGACCTACAGACAGTGGTAAGTACCATGTGATGATAAGAAGCGGGGTGAGTTATAATTAGAGAGGTACGACGAACCTCAATTAATACAGCTCAGGCGAAATACGTCTGAACGAAGGTCTAAGGTCAGTGTCGGAGGGTCGTTTTGCGTTGCTCAGACTGGTGCCCTCGGCCCATCGACATCGACATTGCTATACCGCAGCGGGAGGGACCAGGCGCCGTGGCTCGAGTTCATTCCAGAGTTACGCCTACTCCTGGGTTTACAATCGGCTGCGATTGATTATCAGGAGGTCCAGAAATGATGAGGCGTTTCTACTCATTCGTCTTTCTATGGCGCAACACACCTAATCACCACCGATTTGGACAGTTTAAGAAAAAATACGTGGAAGGTTGCTGAAAACATGTCTAGAACGAGCTTGAAATGAAGTCACTGAATGAAGACTACTACAGACCTTTAGAGCTTCAGATTTCCACCACTACTTGGTTTGGCGAGAAGATTTGTCAGTGAGCGAGAAAAAGTGCGCCATTTGACAATCTTACACGAGTGAAAATACTCTGTCAGTTTTGAGGAATTCAAGAAAACGCTCACCGTAGGTTACAGCGGTTCTACCAATGAGTCTGGGCAAAGTTATGAGGCCTCGCCACATTGAGAGCTTTGACGACGAAGTATCGAGCCTCTTCATAGCTGGAAAATCACAAAACATGACTTAGAGATCATAGATATTAGTCGTGGGAAGATATTGCTGACCGTGTGAGTTAACATTCGAAAGGCGTGCCTCTCCTCTTTCAAGGGCCACCACATCGACCAGAACATTCAGCTGGCGCAATGGACGGAGCAGCATCGTCCGGAAGGAGGAAGGCCCTCAGACTGAAGTCTCTGCTTGCTGTCCCAGGCAGCTTTACTGGCCCGACTTCCACCAAGCAACAATCCATCGTTTGTTCGAGTCCGACATCCATCGTCCCCGGGGATGTCATTTTGGCCGTAGCCGACCTCCTGGCGCCGTCGGACGTGCTGAATCTCAGCCTAGCGGTGCGTCATGACCTGCTCCATCGCTTTCTGATCATGCTGACGCCGGGGGACAGTCAACAAAAGTGCGGGCGCTACTCACACCAACACTTTACGCCACCGTCGTCCTCAAATCCAGCAGACAATGCCGCATCGCGTTGAAAGCTCTCTCAGATAGCCCTCGCCTTTGTGCGCACATTCGAAAGCTAGCCGTGCGCCCAAACTACTACCTCGCATGGCCAAAGCCAGACGAGCCGCTGGACGAAGACTGGGTGGCCAAAGCGATCATCGACCTCGCACCCCACCTCAAGTACCTGCACACGTTTGATTGGGATGGGTTGGAGATGCCTGATGATGACCTGTGGACTGTGCTGAGGACATCGTGAGCCCTGGCCTCGAGTGGCAACGCGGCCCGTGATACTGATGCGCGACAGGTGCCCTGATCTCAAGACAGTGTACAGCAATGTCGGTTGCCGCCCGTTGAACGCCGAAAGCACGGTGAGTAGCGCGCGCGCGTTTCGTTCCATCAGTTCTTACTCGTATGTCCAGCTCTTCAGTTTCAGCAACCTCACCAGCTTCTCGTTGATCGTGAGACACGGGTTGGGAGGCTTAGGTGAGTCGGCAGCCGACGCTTACTGGTCGCGACGGTAACAAATATTTCGCAGATCTGTTCCCGCCTACCGAGGAGCTCCCTGATCGGCTGTGGGACATGCTGTTGAAGCGATGTCCCGATCTGGAAGAGATTACGCTGTGCTCCTTCTCTTCTTCCGCGCGTCTTCTTGCCTTCGACCGCATAACTGCTGGGCGCTTCCCAAAGCTGCACACACTCACGCTTGGGTCGTTTGGCTACACCAGCGACTTCACAATCAGTTATCCAGGCAGCGACTCGTCCACCTTCAGTGACTTCTTGGCAAATCATGACTCTCTCAAGCACATTCGCTTATCGTGGAACTTCAAGCGCTGGGTATCGCCTGAGACGATACCTATGCACCTCCCCCCGACCGCATTATCCAATTTACAAACATACATCGGGATCTACCAACAACTATCTGAGCTACCGCATCCGGAAAGTATCGAAACTGTAGACCTCACCTGCGAGCCCATCTATGAAATACGGCTAAGAGATATTACACCTGTGCTCAATAGGCTGACTTCCTTGACAACTTTGGATATTTGGGTTTATATCCCAAACACGACCAACGACTACACCACTTTCTTTATGACCCTTCTTCAAGCATGTCCGAAACTCACTGAACTACATTTCATGTGCACCACCGGCTTTACTTCGGTGAGTAGCCGGACAAAAGAAATTTACGATCGCTAACCCTATCGCGATATAGAAACCCCTCAAACGACTCTCGTCCCTCCTGTCCCTCCTCCCCGACCTCAAGACCTTCTCGCTAACCAAAGGCCACAAATACCGCGACGAAACGATGTTGCAATCCGCCTTACAGATCGTCAAGGACAACCCGCGGCTCACGCAGGTTAACGTGCGGTGGGCACGCGAAACGTGTCCGAACCATCTCAAGCAGGAGGGGACGTATGATATCGTGCACTCCAACGTTAATCTCGACGGTGACCTCGGCGAAGGTGGTCATGGTAACGGGCAGGCCACGAAGAATGTCCCTACCAGCATCAACGTATTCGAACGCGGCTTGACGGTGGTGGGGAAATCGTTCACGAGGCAGTATTCGGTCAACTTGAGGCCTAAAGGCAAGCTGGCGACTCTGAAACGTGGGGTGATGGTCCAGAGATATCGCTGAGCCTATTGTTCCTCGATGCTCCTCCGCAACAACCTGAAGCTCTATTATCCCATCGTTTCGATATCAACACTCGCTCCTTGGATCTTGAAATCGCGTTGCTAGCTCCCTCCACCTCTCCCCATCAGGCTGCAAGTCTCATCGATCTCGTCAGCGTATCAACCTCGAAACACCACTCAACCAACTGACCGCCACACTCGTTACTCTCGTTAACCATTCTGGCTGCCGAACCCTCACGACATCACGACTCACCATTTCGTTTTTCTCTCCCGGCCTCATATGTCTTTTATCATTCCCATCTACGGACTCTCAGCCTCTTCCTCTGTTTCTGTCCCCGTCCCCGTCTCATGGTCCCCGATTGTCGCTCATTTGTATTAAATAGTGTGTGCATCTGCATCTGCGTGTATTGTGTGGTGTAGTAGGATGTATAGGGTGTACGGGGTACCAAATCCCCATGTAATATACGGTGTAGAAAGTAGCCTCTCCTCTCTTTTATCAGGATTTCTTCTCAGGTGTATAGCTTCACCTTTTTCCTTTCTCCTTAAGCTCATGTATGTACACGTGTATCATCCAGGCGCTATTCCCCATCGATCTTCCACAAGCACGCATTCTTCCATTTAGATGATAGATTATCAAGATATACATAGCTTGGTAGGTCGGCGGGGTAAAGAGCCCTTATTCCAGTGCTCAGCGCTGAGTGGCTATGTATGTATACGGTTGGCTTCGACACAGATACGCTGGTGCCCCATGGAATTATTGTAGTCACATTGCGCAAGTCCGCACGATATGTAACCAAACGAGAGGACACTTGAGGCAACTCCGCAGATCGGATGATGGGGATGCCAAATAGTACCGTGATGGTACTGTTACCTTCAGCTTCTTGATATCCGTAAATTTTACACCGGTGAGCCTCAGCCTGAAGTCCAAAGGGGAGTGTAGATTCGACTCTTCAATCAGACACGGGTAAGGATGAGTATCTGATCCACGCCTTCATCTAATCGTTCTCTACGCATGTCATTTTCGATCAGAATCAGAAGGAACTGAAGACTTACCCCCGAAACAAACTAAAGATCGGGATGAAGTAGGTATGGGGGCATTCCGAATTGGCTGCCATTCGCTAACGCGCTGATAGCAATCATGAGTGCCTGCAGGGATAACCAACCGGTAACTATTTCCTTGGAGCACATCTGCAAACATGCAGGGCAATGAACACAAAGGTGGCTTCGGCGCTGACGAGAACTAATGTTCATTGGATACTTGCCTACTACTGTCCACGATGCCGGGGTACGTGTAGGTCGCCTTTAAGTGGGCCGTTCAAACCGGATGTGACCAGTGCAAAGAATGTGCATGATGTACGGCATGGTCCGTAATCCACCGAGCTTGAACTGACTTGGTGGCATTTTCGAGTTCGCGAGGTTTTGTATCTCTTATTCAATGGACAAGGCCTCTGTGCGATTCTCGAGGAGTCAGGGGCACAGGGGTGGTCTCCTAGAGGAATGGACGAAGGATCGCTGCATCGCGATCCGTTACATGTATCCAAATGATGTTGCCGAAACGTTCAGACTATGGAAGATCCCGAGATGCATATCACCCAAGCGGTGCAGACTCAACGCTCATTTACCGTAAAGCCCGTGTGCTGCCAGTGATCCCTCTCAAATACGAGAGGATAAACTTGATGTGCCAAGGTGATCCCAGTTCTTTCCCCAATTCCCCTCCAGCTCCAGCGCAATGACGCTCACGAAGAACGGACGCCACATCTTCAACGAAGTTCCACATGGTGGGTACTCGATGAGTTGTTTGCAGAGTCTCGTCTGGTTTGACTGTCGGCTGACCCCGGTGGCTGGCATACGTCTGCAGGCTATCCCATTCCAGGCCGGACGACAATATACGACGGCAGCCAATCCATCGACCTCGATAATGTCCCATTAAATGGCGGTTTCTTGATCAGGACCTTGGACTTGGCCGTCGACCCGTACTTGCGAAGCATGATGGACCAGGTCTCGAATTCGCATGTGGTATGTCCATCCCTGGAGGCACCTTTGGTGTATAGAGTTCAATGTATTGACCTATCCATGGCGAGGTAGACCCCCTTTCAACTCGGCGAACCGTGAGAGCTATTTATAAAGTGTCCTTCCTTCCTTCCTAACGCTGTATTTAGCCTGATTAATTATGGAATCGGCCTCGTGTTGCGATCAGAGGTAGGAAGCCTCACCTCCTTCCATAGACACCAGCCGGAAGCTAATCCCCTCTCAAGTATTCCGAGGCTCAGCCGGGAGACCACGTCTACGGGCTCATACGTGAGTCGCTTCTGACATCAATAGCGATATCCAATCTGACTTTGGCGCAGCGTTTCAGGAGTATAGCGTGTTGAAAGACTTCGAGAATCAGATAGAGCGAATGCGGGTGTTGAGAAACGATGTCGGCCTACCGTGGTCGGTCTACGTCGGAGCGGCCGGGATGCCAGGTAACAAAGGTCCAAACGGGGACTACGCAGCAGCTCTTATCTTGTCGTCGTAGGTCAGACTTCGTATATGGCGTGGAAGGCGTATGCGAAGGCGAAACCGGTGAGTTGCCCCGAGAGGTATGCCTAGAGACTCGGATTAAACTAAAAATATCTGCAGGGGGATGTTGCTTTCATCACCTCTGGAGCCGGTGAGTTCCCTGATGGCTTTGAGGCTGCATGGAGTCACTTACAAAGTTGCAGGAACCGTCGGATCGTGAGCATCTTTCTATGAAGTCCTATATGGCATCCTTTTCTGAAGGGCATGCGGAATAGGCTCGTTATACAACTGGCGAAGAGGGACGGGATGAAGGTCATCAGCTGCGCTTCGTCGGAAGAGAAGCTCCAGTACCTCTCGAGCCTGGGGGCCGACGTCACGTACAACTACAGAACAACAAGTGCGAGGGAAGTCCTCGAGAAAGAAGGACCCATCGACATGTGCGTACGCACCATCATCATCATCATCATCATCATCCGCGACATGATTACGCACAATACTCACGCGACGCGACGCGCGATTGTACAGATACTGGGACAACGTAGGGGGGGAGACATTAGAGGCCGCGCTGGACAACGCCTCGACTGGGGCACGATTTCTAGAGTCGGGTATGATGTCAGGCTACAACGAGCAACACCTGCCGATCAGAGTGCGCTGCATCTCCGCAATATTGGCCGAGGGTCGTACGGTTGTACATACTGACGAGCATCCAACCTAGAATCTCTTCAAGCTCATAGGCATGCAAGTCACGATGCAGGGCTTTCTGGTCTGGTCCCTGGTCGATCAGTACCGAGACGAATTTTACCGGGAATTCGTCCCGTTGCTGGCGAGCGGGGACATAAAATATCGGGAAGATATAACACACGGGCTCGAGACTGTCGGTGAAGTCCTCCTGGATGTCCAACGAGGGAAGAATTTCGGGAAAGGTATTATACATCTAGCAGATGGATAGCCTGTCCGCCTGTCCGCCTGTATTTACCACATAAGACCATATCCGATAGAGGCATCCGGGTAATACTCACCGTTCGTCCCTGCCTGCAGCCGGCCATAGCGCCATCGCAGTCGTGCTTTGATATCCAGCACGGAGGATATGCGGCTCGCTAATCCATGACCCACAGACGAACAGCTTTGCAGGCTCCAATCTCAGGGTGGAGTAGAACAGAAGAAAGCCAATGCTGCAGAAGCTGCCGCCGACGCTCTAGAAACACCGGTCGATACTTGGACAGCGGCGCCTTCGGGGGCAGATCAGGCACGGACGCTTGTAAATTCCGCTGCATCGCATCAGCTTGCACCGCCGCAAGGTACGAAGAAAATGGCCGCATACCGGAAGTGAAAGCCGTAGCGCCGTCTCAAGTTCTTCGAAAGCGCTGTAACGTTTGTGCGCATGGATTACCGTCCCCTGGTGGTACCCCCGGATGAGTCGGGATGGCGATCTACACTGCTGGGCGCACCTCCTTCGTCTTGATGGAGCAATCGTATACTGAGAGTGATGAGGACATCGTACCCCGCCACACGTCGCCGCAACTCACCAACATAAGCTCCGCCCTTCCTGTCGCCCACACTAGTCCAACCTGATATCTCTACATCTTGGGCGAAAGCGGCACTTTCGCCGGAGTGATCTTGTAGCCATATTGACTCCCTAGAGAATAGCGAAGGTGCCACGTCGGGGGAACTTGATCTACTCCCTCTGGGACCGGTGGGTGTGCCTCCATCTGAATCGTCGTCCTAAAGTGCGTGAGCATATGCCATATCCAGGCCCTACCCATATGAGACGGAGACGGACCTCGCATAGCTCATCGTATAGCCTAGCTTCTTCCCGAACATCGATTCGATTCGGGATGATTTCCAAGAGGTGGTTGCTGGATGTAGTGGCCATCGGGCTAAAGCTTCGGGATTGATGTCGCGCAAATGCAGCCAAACGCGTGCTAGTGTTACTCACGGCCCGGCTGTTAGGAGTTCATGCACATGTACAAACAATATATTTCTCTTGTAACTATGGATGACGCCGCCAAACTCATAAGCATTTCGAAAGTGAACGCGCAAGAAATGGCTGGCAAGCAATCGCCAGGTAGACTCGGATGCCCTCGTCATCTGAGCGGGCCCAGACCTAAATCTAATCCTGAATCTAGGAAATAGTCGTTAACAGCTTCTCCAACATGGCTCCATCAAGCTCGCGCGTAATTTTCGCGCCTGGGCGCACGCCTGGTGCCCAATCGATGCCCGCTGTGTTGAGGTCGAGCGGATAGCGCACTGCACCTTCCGCACCGCTCCAGTCGAAATCGAAATCAATCAAGTGGGGATTGCCGCGGGAATCCACAAGAACGTTCGCGTCACGCAGATCGCCAAAGACGAGTGCGTGCGCGTGCAGCGCGTTTACCGCATCCCGCAGCGTCTGGACGCCGTCAGCCGTCAGCTGCGCGCTCGCCTTCTCCTCCACAAACTCGGTGACGACACAGAACTTGCCGACTGTTGGCTCGAACGCGCAGTACAAGAGCCGGGGGGCCGCGCCGGCGGTGTAGGCGATGTTGTGGGCCTCCGCGCAGTAACGCGAGGCAAACTTGACGACGCAGTCCTTCGGCAGCTGGCCGGGTGACTGCGCCTCAGCAAAGAATACCGCTCGCTCGCTGCGACTTGCGAAGAGGCGATGGCGGTAGATGAGTTTATAATCGAAGTCGTCGGCGCGGAATGAGGAAAAATGTGGGCACGGGACCAACGTAAGATGGTCAGCAGCAGGGAGGGAGGGCATATTGGTGTATTCGTCGGCTAGTTGGTCTAAACATTCCCGGAGACATATGAAAAGATGGGCGATACGGTATGCAAGCTGGTCGCGCGCTGATGGATGCCCCAATGGTTCCTGTGAGGATAAAACGGGCACGAGAGAGATGATGTCGGTTAACCGCTCCGTTATGACTCCCTCGACATAGATGGCTCCGGAGACAGTGATGTTGGGGCCGCTTATGCCTAACAGGAAGGCGGGCATGCAGGATGTAGCGCGTAACTTTCCAAGCTGCCGACAATTGAGCATGGAGGGCGTATCTAAGCAAACGACGGACCTCAGACGCCGTTACAACTATGAGGTAAGCCTTGGCTGCCTGCTCTATTGGATCTCGGCCACCTAATCCAATCCCATTCTTGACCTCGGCGATAAGGTTTAGCATCAGCTGGCGGCCTGGGTCATAACGGAGGAAGACACCGCACTCCACTGACCTATGACCGTCAGGCTTGAAGGACATACTCCCGTAATGGAGTGTCACCTCCCGAAAGACAGCCCAAGGTCCTAACAGTGGTGTTACGACTGGCGCAATAGCGGACTGACGCACAGGCTCCGAAGCGTAATATTCTGCACTCTTCACGATGAAGGCATAGGCATCGGTCAAGGCTGTCTCAGGTATATCATCTATTGAAGGAGGCTGGCTGAAGCGTTGTTGGAATCTCGTGAAGATGGGGTGGTATATTGCAATGCTTGGACCCGTAATGCCAGCCGGGCGACCGTCGTAGACTGCGTCGGGGCGAGTTGACCGTTCACTTTGCATTAGAAGGGCGTTCATTGCGCTGGTGGACGGGGGGTTGAGCTTCGACCGAATAGACGTAGCAACTGACGGATGGGCTGAACGAAGAATCAACAACGAGGCGACATTAATGCGAGAGTAACGAACGCGAACGGTGTATGTGTGGATGCTTGTGACCCCTACGGCCCACCGTATTCTCTTCGATCGTATTCGTATGAAGGGTCGACTCGGCCGAGTGTTTGATAGCTTGGAGGGGTGACGTCAACAAACCTTATGGAATGACTTCCGAAACGGCTCACCACAAAACGCGACGATGAAAAGCTTGTTGTCCGAGTCGATGTGAGCATCTCTGAGCTCTGAAAGGCGTGTGGTTCCATAGTGGGCAGAACAATCGTCGATGACGACACGCCAATCAGCCCTGATTCGGCGTAGCTTGTTTGGAGTATTTCCATCAAGTCTAAGGAGGGCCAGCTCTGGTGGCAGCTAAGATGAGTCAAAGATGGGAAAATGCATCGTTATGAGAAGGTCATTACATTGTGTAGTGCTTCAGGTGGGGTGACGGTACGAAGATTGATCTTCGGATGGACTTTGAGATGATTCAAAAAGTCGGATACTTTGGAATCGCCGTTGGTCACGAGCTCTGAAAGGCCGATGGGGTTACCGCTGGCCTCGTCGATGATGATGCATGTGTGTACGACATGCTCCCCTTTGAGATCCATGCTACCATTGCTGCGGTCCAAGTAGAACAGCGTCTGGCGTCTTTCTCGATGCCGTTGCGGGCTGAGCTGAGTTCGAATTATTCCATCCCCAGAATCAACGCGAAGCGCTGGAGCAGTTAACCACCTCTTCCTCATTGCAATCGAGCATATCCACAAACCGTCCAGGATTCAAGCTCAAGTCTCAAAGGATGTCTATGTTCTCAAGTATTCTGTGCTGCTGTACGCGTGCACGCCGCGATTCCTTGGTGAGTTGGTGCCAAACCCTCGTGTGCATTGTTCATTCTTTGACTTCAGGCTTCAGGATTCTGTCGACGAACGAACGTCCTTGATACCCCATCAGGATATGTGCGTCGCCTTCCCTATGCATCGAATATCCTTAACTCTGCAGCAATTCAGCGATGCTCGCGTCGACGCCCAGCCAGACGATGAAGTTGTCGATCAGCAACGTCTGCGAGACAAATGGGCGGCTGTGGTACGCGAGAAAGAAGGGTGAGTTCCTACGTAGCGCATGAATGCTGCGTCGATTGATATTCCGCAGGAAGCTCATCAATGTCTCCCACCCCCTTCCATTCAACTTTCACAATCGCGCTCTGCCAGCGATGTATGGTCCAAGCTCGTCGCGTAGCGCCAGTACATCGACGAACAGATACTCTTCGATGGAGCCCGGCCCGTCCAACGACGCAATACTCACACCGTCGCCAGTTCATCACCTCGCTGGCGCCTTTTCCGAGTCGACTGCAGACGTATCGCAAACCGTCGGCCCAGACGGGATAGAAATCGACGTGGATGGGGACCGTGGCCGGGTCTTGCAAGCGCATATACGCAACCCAATCCTCGGGATTCGGCTGGTCCATCCTTCTGGCACTGCCCCCGATGTGAAAGGGAAGCACGTTGAGGTGCAGAGGGGCAGGGAGCGAGTAGCTTGGGGTCAAACTGAAGCCGCTGGTCGCACCCTTGAACAAGAGAGCAGCAGTCACGTTGACGGCGGCCATTCCGACTCGGAATCCGACGCGGATATGACCCCTAGGCCATCCAGGTTGATCGTGAATGTGAGTGGTCTTCCCCACTTGTCATGTCATTCGCTTACCCTATCTGTAGACGTCGCCACGTATCCCCCCTCCTCCCGTGGGCGCTGATCTTAATCTTGATGTCGGCAAGATCTGCGTCAGCTGGAGCGACTGACCAGCAAGGCTTACGCGCCCCTTCTTCGGTATCAAGCTTGGACTATGCGTGTCCTGTTTCCTTCAGTTATCGCCGTCCTCATTTGCCACCGTTCGTTCTAATCATAGACTGCCGTTACCCATGTTTGTTTTGCGTTCGTTTTCTGGTCCATCTCTTTTCAGCATCTACACAAACACTGTATCGATATCCACCAAGGCACTTCCGTTCTCGCTTCATGTATCTCCATATATATATACTCGCTACCATGCATCGTCCTCGCCGTGTCTTCCTCTTCTGAACGCGTTTGAACGCTCCCGAGTCCTTTCGTAACTACCCTTTGTGATTTGTGACGGCTCCGGAGCGACCCCCTCGTTGTGTGCCCGTGTTCGTCCCTGGAGTATCATATATCAAGGCCGGAAGACGTAGGCTGAATCCCGGTATGATGTAGCCCGAGGGTACGTCTGTTTTCATGTACATGTCGCTTTGCACCACACATTAACTTCCTCGGAGCAGACCCGCCGCCCTTGAGTCCGCGCAGCTGGAGGACACTAGACCTAGACTGAGCTGCGACCTTTGGGGCTGCGACCTTTGGGGCTGCGACCCGCCGAAATGGCTTGCTGACGCGACGGTTTTCCGTGCATTGCATAAACGTTGATCAGAAGGACGAATGCGGACCCCCGCATGGTCTCTATACTGCATTATGCATAGAGGTTCGCGACCGGGCGCTAGTACAGGCCGCTTCGTCCTGGCCCTGGGTATAGTGGAGTTTTGGGTGGTCGTTTTCTGTTGGTCCTGCTCTACTGTACCTCCATTGGTCGGAGTTGTTGGGGCAGACACGTTTTTCGTTTTTCGTTTTCTGCAGAACGTAACTAGAGCGTCGATCTTGGTGACCCCACAGCGGCCGCGATCATGGGGAATTGGTGAACTTGTGTCCATCGTAATATCGCTGAAATGGTTCTGACGGTGGAACTAGGCGAGGGTGTCTGGCATTCTGCTTCGTGCGAAGGGAGTGTTGGAATAATAGAATAATAGAATAATAGAGGGGTTGATTGTTGATTCACGGCATACATTTACCATACATTTACCATACATTTACCATACATTTCAGTTTCAGTGTGGTCAGACTGAGGATCGCTCCCAGCGCGGAAGAAATGCGTCGGATTGTTGGGATACGCCAAGTTCGTGGGCGAACAGGCAATTGACGTGGTAGACAATCGCGTTGGGGGCGCTATCATTCCATGTCCACGAACCTGGGCTTCGCATACGGCGAGGAGGTGAGTCGCGATGGCGATGCCTCTATGCCCAAGTCCGCACGCAGCAAATGATCGTCTTCGTTTTCAGAACCACTGTGATCGTACATCATACCGGCGCACCTTCTTCGCGAAATCTTGACAGGGGAGGAAGTGCGTGTCGTCATCGATGTGCCGATAGGGTGGTACGGTGATACGGTGGATGGTCCATATGTAACTGTTCGCTTCGTGGCTGACCATCTGACAAAGAAGGGGAAATGCGCTGTAGAACGGTGGGTCGGTAGTCAATGCAAAGGCTTGGACAGGGAGACATTTAGCACGCGTCTGGGCGCGCTGCTCGGCGGATGCTGGTACGTGTGTGGCGGGCTGGTCTCACTGCCACTCGTCCTCCGCGATGATCGTTTCGTAGGGATTCGTCGACAAACGACGATATATTCAAGAATCACAATGCTGCTTTGCACCAGCCCGAGAAGACTTACATCGATCGCCTTGGAGTGACATATTCAAGATAGAGGATCACTGGAGCAGTCAGACTCTGACAGATCGTAGAAGGATAGACCATGCGTTCAGCAAACGACATAACGGGTTGCCCGTGAAGGTAAGAACCTTGCACTCCTTCTATGTATAAGGCTCCAAGCCGAATCGCTGCATTATAGTTCACAGACCTTGTACCACCCCCGCCAAAGTGCTACATCCCGGGCGGTATTTTTATTTTTCTCCCAAAATCGATGTCGACGCCATCCTCTCCTGAAGCATCAATGCTACGTCGAACCGTCGTCGAACCGCTGTTCGCCTTCCATCGCCCGCTCCAGTACACCTAACGCCGTAGGACGTGGGGCAATTCCGCCTTTGATTCGTGACCGGGTATTTAAGGGGGAAGGGAAAATTCGATCTGAGGTAAAGACCTTTGAACAAGGGGAAGCGGCCCTCGCATGGGACATGTGCGCTGGGTTGCGAGGATTGTCGTTCGCCAACGATAGGGTGACTCCCCACGTATTCTCCATTTCGAAAAGGATGGGCGATATCCTGGAGGATAACTCGATGATTTGAAATTTGTGAACCGCTTCACAACACCTTCAAATTCAGGTCAGGACGTATTTTCCCACCCTCCTCGTAAGTTCATACATCTCCAGCCGCTTTGCCATGATTGATTTTATACCCAGCATGTGGTAAAACATGTATCTGCCGAGTGCTCGGTTCCATAAATGATGTTGATTACATGAACGCAAGGCCTTACTAGCGCTGGAAATGAATCTCGAAACATTGGAAAAAATATTACCGATGCACAATTCGGAGTTGGGTCAGCGACGTGATAAATAGCATTGCGTTGTCTGTTGGGAGTGTTTCCGCTGGTTGCGACTCTATATAGCGAAAAGGATCGTCAAGACTTGTACATACTCCCATCCTCATCGTTCCAAGCCCCTGTCTGCATTGTACTTCACCGCCACCAACATTTGACAAGACTATAAAAACCGGTACCATGCTCGGCTCCACAGCATTTGCTGTTAAACAGATATCACTCTCTCGCCCGCCAATCGTTCTCCCCCATCAACCCATACCATGGATTTTTTGAAGAAATTCACCGATAACAAGGAGTCGGACAACAGCGGTGGGGATCATCGAAAGCAAGATGAAGGAGGTTTGATGGGAATGATCAATGGCGCGATGGGAGGGGGACAGAAAAGCGAGCACAAAGAAGGTACGACCAGCGTTTCTAATCATATCGCAAACGATCGAGCAATATTTAATATGGTGACTCTGTAGATTTGCTCGACAAAGGTACCCGTTGACTGACTCCTATCAAACCTACCACTCACCACCCGTCATTGGCGTGTAGCCGTTGACTTGGTTCAAGAACATGTCTTCAAGCAGGGCAGCCAAAGCAACGAATCCGCCATTGAGCAGGCGAAGGACGAAGCTATATCAGATGCGATCAGAGACCAATACAAGAAGATGACTGGCAAGGAATTCATGATCCCAGATAAGTCTGAATGAAGGTGCGTGGTTCTATACCCCATGTGAGTCGAAGAGTGTTCTCAGCGCCCGATAGCAGAGAACACTCTGAAATTGTCGATGTACTACCCCTGTATAAATCTCTTTAGCCAGAATTCACAGCCATGCAGCTCCGCGTTGGCGGAGCGTATGCATCACCCTGTGCTTGAGGAACGACCGAAAGTTTCTTCATAAACCCATCTCACCTTCCAATACACATGGCTTCCGGGTGGAGACGAAAAAAAGTGATTCGACCCAGGCTCGAACTGAGGACCTTCTGTGTGTTAGACAGATGCGATAACCAACTACGCCATCGAACCGACGTTGTGATTTCAGTAACGAATAGATATCATATGAATAAAATACTATAACGGTCACCTGCACAAATACATATGTCACGCATAGAAACACTAAAATTGAAGGAAAAGAATAGGAAAAGAGATTGTCTCTGCAGTTTGAGCGCAGCTATCGACTGCACCAGCATTCCGATGACCATTATGATCCCCATAGTGCACGCTCGCGGGCAATAGATGTGGACCATCGTTCTAGTTATTGCTGTGGTCTCAGCATATGGGATGTACTAGTTGGTACGGCGAAGGCGGCACCATATATAGTGATGGTCGGGCGAGAGGTAACGGGGGTCGTGGGAGCTATGAGGGCGCTGTAGCTCATGGAAGGAAGGCCAAACAAGATCAACGAGATCGAGTGCGGGAAGATGGGGAGAGAGGGGTGGTAGCCGTATATCGATATCTGGAATCAGAGACAGTGTGTAGGCCCGTGGTAGCGCCGAGCCAGCGGCATGCACCGTGTAGGCTCATTAGTAGCCTGGTACTTGTCCGCAGTCTGGTACTTGTCCGTCACAATACACGTGGCATGGACTACACCATCCGCCAAATGCGTGCATCAGAGGTAGCAAGTCATGAGGGAACGTGCGAGTGGGATTATAGAGGGGCGACTCGAAAAAGGGGCATCGATAGTAAGGTGGTGGTAGTTAATGGGGAAGCGCCTGCGTGTTGCTGGATGCGTCGAGCATCAGGGATGAAGTAGCTGCTCTGTTTTTTCCTTGAACCATTTATTTGCGTTAATCGATAATCTTCATCCCGCCTTAACGTTGGGGCGGCTGCATGCGATTGTTTCGGGCTACGGTATTAGGCGTCCTTTAAGAACGGACAACCGCTGCCACGTAACAGCGTCATCAACACCACGGAGAGTGCTAGCGTGCATGCCACTAGCACCATTGTTCTTTTGGGCTGAGACGTTTCACGGTCATTGATGTCTATGCGCCCGGCAAACTTAGGATATTCAATCAGGAGGGTGTTGAATTACTCACGAGTTCCCTCGGCGAGGTTATTATTGTCACGTCCTCCGACAGTGCCGCCATTGATCGTCGCGTTGTAGTAGCTGTCTCCGAGCATGATGATTTGGCATGTATTAGACATCCCTCGCAACAAGGAAGTTGGTCGGGGCGCGGAGGAGTGAGGAGGGGCTGGAGACTGGTCCCTAGTTCCCTATGAACTTTTATGGAGTGAATGTATCGCTTTCGTAAATATAACAACATACCAGCTCACCCACGTCATTCTTCGTGCAGATTTCAACAATGAGGTGGGGTGTCAGCGGACTGATTCTGCATCGATGTCTTGAAACGAAACGATGAAGCATGCTGCCGGGACCCAAGATTGAGAACTACGGAATGTTGCGGTGCACGAGGGAGTGAATTTAGCCGTGTGCCACTTGGTAGATAGACACCTATAGCGTGGATAATAGGTTGGTATACTCAGTTATACGCGGGACTAGATTGTCGTACCATGGGTCTTGAAAAGGTGAAATTCAATAGTGAATTGGTTAGGGTTGTACAGTCAGCGAGACATTTGGGTTCGGTGATATGGGCAGTAGAAATCATGCAGTTTCATCTGACGGGAGAGACAGGCGGGCTGGGTGTAACTGATCTGGCGCCAAAGGCTCGTATGGAAGCAACCGGTGAGCGGATATTGGATGCGGACGTCATGCACGCTACAGGTTTTGAAGAGATATGTGGTGTTGATACTAAGTGCAACGTGAGACCTTAGCCAGATTGAACCAGTACATCGTCCTGCCTCGAGGAATTGGCACAGCGAACTTGTGCTCACCCTTCGATGTCCAAGCAGCGTCTGTTCCTCATCGGGTAGAAACTCCGCCACGAGGCAGTGTGAAGGGATACCTCCAGGTTCATTATTGGCTCAGTAGCCCAGGAGTCTGAGAGAAAGGTATGGGAAAACTTGGTACCTATAATGCCCGACTGAAATTACACCAATTCTCTAGCCAACACGATTGAACGGCGTGTTTGAGCTTTTATCCTTCGATAGCTTAAGCTCGTAGCGTGCGCTGTTATCCCAGACTATCAGAACACTGTCCACGCATTGAACACGATAGATCATCGATATGTGTGTCATGTGGTGTTCCAAACCTGAAACGGAGCGCCTTTGATCAACGTGCACAGAAGATTTTAGAGCGAACACACCACAGATCCTCTTATGTTATCCACATACTGACAAGGGATTGTGACATCGGTGAACTTGAAACGATGGCGCAGTAACGAATGAAATCGGTTCTCCCCAGCAGGAAGGGGCCTGTCATGGATGTTGTAACTTGGGATTGCCTCGAGGATTGCGAGCTCCTGCTGGAATCTACCTTGCATGCTTCCAACGTCGGTCGTCGAAGCGAGGAAGACCTCTTGGACGCCTGCGTTTTTCTTTTTTTGGGGGGGAGGTTAATGTATGAAACGGCGTCACTATACATAGATGTACCATTCGGTGTTACCTGTGTCCACTGCTGTATTTCATGTGTGTGGATGTACAGCAGCTCCACTGCGAGTCAACCTGTTGATGGGGGCAAAGCAAGGGCGAAAGAAAGGATAAAGACATGTACAGATGGAATGCTGACTAAGATATATATACTTAGGAGGCACATAATTTTCTGCCGTTAAACCCAATGGTCCGAAGTTCTAGGTTATCAAAGGTGTATCGCCGAAGGGCTTAAGTCGTAGCTAAGGGAAAGAGAGCGGAGTGGCGTACATGCGACTGCCAACTCTCCGAGGAGTTGACCATGGTATTCTAGAAAAGATAAGCGAAGATGAAAGAGTGTGAGTTCGTACCCTTTGCCCGCTGAAAACCACACTCAACGTGTTTATGCTGCAGTATCAATGTCGAATGTGAGACATACCCAAGCTTGCCGTATGTCCTTCGGCTCGTTCCAGACGTGGCTGTGTGTGCTGTTAAACGGATGAACGACGTCCTCATTCTGGCCTAGAATGCACGGCAGTCAAGGGCACTAACGTACACTCAAGTCGGTTCTGGACCTCCATATACTCTAACACGAGCATATAACAGTGATCAGCGAGCTCAAGTCATCAAGTGTTAGAATGCATGCCTTTGTCAGTGGCTGTTGAAAAACAGTAGCCAAGATGCACAGTTTCGTCGCGGTCCAACCTCCAAATCTTTAGCGGTGGGTGTAGGGACCAATTGCGTAGGCTGCGGGTAGTCTTGTCGTTCCAAGGAAGTACTTGGCGGGAAACGATTCTCGTGCATTTCGAGAAGCTGTTTTCACAGCCAGTAGTTTCACAGTCGGGCTCTACTCGTTGAGTGCTTCATCTACCTGATGTGTAGCGCATAAAGCATTCTTGGTCGGGCGAGCCTTAAGGTCCATCCGGAGTACTCATGCGATGAAGCTGATCGCAGCACTCCTTATCCGCCAGTCGGTTGAAGGGCAGTTCAGAGAAACTATTAGTTGAGTAGCAAGGGGCTGAAGTGGTGCTCGCAGGCCGAACTGCATAAGCGCCGATGGCTGAATCAGGAAACTTACCACGTACACCTTGTGAACACCATATTACTATTAGTAGCGCGCAACGTCGCCGACCCTGATTCCCTGATTCCCGACTACTATCTAGGACCTTGTCATACTCTCGAATTCCTCTCGGAGGCTGCATTCCGTCAGCCTATCTGAGCGGTTATGTGGACGTCGAACGCTTGTAGCTCATCTCTATTCGTCGATGTCGTTACGTTGCTCTCTAGATGAAATTACGACCTCGACTTAAGTGGTGGCTTGAAAAATTCAATGCAAGTTCGTGCTCCCGGAGTTCTGGACCCTCTTTTGCCATGGTTCAACCATAGTTGACGGAGCAAGTGCATCCTCGAAGGGGATCTACACGACAACTATGAATAGGCATTACTTAGCTGTATCCGGTGTAAATCTCTCCAAGAAGGCCACGATTCTCAGCGTGTAGACCTCGCGGTCAAACGGCAAGAGAATTGTACGTGACGCGTCCCTGACTGTGCATTTGTCTCTGATATCATAAATGCCATCGTTTTCCGGGCACCGCAGCCTCGGTGCTATACGTATCCACAATTTCCATGATAATGGCATCCTTCTCTCTCTGTCCAGCTCGATGGTACCTCTCCATGTGGGACATCGGCAGAAGCAAGATATATCAGGCCCCATATCGCTTTCACCTCGACTTTCTAGCCCTATCGATATACAGAGCCTTGCCCTGAGACACTGGCAGTATAGGCCGATCACTCTGACCGTTACCTGCCGTCTGGTGGGCCCGCAGGGCTCACTCAGACGTCTATGGGTTACGAAACGGGCTACTTTGCCGTTGCTCTCGAGTTTCTACAGCATTCGCTACAAACGTTCACACGGCGCCCAACGCACGATCACTCTTCTGCTGCGCTTGAATGACATTCTCTTCGGCTGCTCACTCCCTATCTACAGTGTATCCTTACCCCAGTGCAGATCCACCAGTTTGGCAACAATATACCTCGTCCACGGCCCAACTTGACGGTCGCCCTTCTTGACAAGAACTGCGCCTCATCGTTCGTGTGAGGGTAGATCGAATGGGTTTGGGTCGGAAATGGCTGTAAGTGAAAACCGCATGAAGAATTTAAGCCTTGTAGTTTCAGGAAGTAGCGAAATCCACTGAAAGTAGGCGTTACATGCTGCCGTAAATGCCGCACCGCAGTCCCGAAACGCTTAGACTGCGGTACACTGCCTAAACCCATCGACAATATTCTGGTCGGTGAATTAGAACAGAACTAAATGGCGATGGGCGATTTCTTTTGTGGTGTGGTATAACAAGAGAATATAATCATCGTGGTGAGCACTATCTATTCTTTACTCGTGCAACATGCTGCTAAATATGCAGCCGGCGCAGTCGATTCAACGTGCCGCCACCTTCTAAGGCTTCGTTCATGGCATTCTCACAACGGGCTTAAGCCCCAAGAACTGCAGTATCGCCACTCTACGATTGCGACTGGGGCTGGATTAACGTTTGTATGTAGATGCTTAATTTGATCGGCGAGCTTGAATGCTTCGATACGATTGGTTGCTAGTGGCACTTCGTTCCCTCCTAAACCGTCACACTACAATAGCCCAACGGATCAGCCCAAGTACTAAAATGGGCAGAAAACTCCCAAACTGTCTTCTTTCGCGGGATGCCCGTCGGTTTTATGGCGAGAAGCAGAGAGATTGCACTCTTGGCAACGGTGAATACGCATGGGCGGCACGAATTATTGTCTATGACGGGCGAAGGCCTCGCGAATTTCCTCACACGAACTGTCGTTATGATCATGAGATGTAGAGAATTCCCTCGACTGGGACGTTTTCTTTCCACGGTGGCATGAGGCTACTACATATAGGCGATGTCTGAGCCAGCACATGGAGGAGTACACATCAATGCCCCTCCCCATTCGCATACCGACGTCGACACCTGAGCTACCACTACTCCGTACTCGGTTAGTTCTCCTTGTCTTGACGGAGGTATTCTTCATCGTAGCCGGGTCGCTGTGTTTGAAGATCTTCACCAAGTACGTGCCCCTTCCCTTGTCTTATCTCAATCTGAACGTTGACCGACTGCTGTCGCTCATCCCTTCCTGCGTTACAGACACGGTGATGTACAGGATCTGATAAACGAATCCGTTATTCCTGGGGTGACCGTAAAGCTGGAATACAACGGTACACCTTCTCATACCACACATCAGACTCGAGCCTGGGGACTGATATTGCTTCTGGATACTTCGCCGTCAAGATGTCAAGACCGCGACTATCGTGCTTTTCATCGCAACGCATATTGCAACGGCCATCTTAGCCAAGATCATTATCCTCCACTTGCAAGATATCTACAACTTCATCCCCCTCTTCATCGCCAAGAAACTCCGCATCGCGAACAAGCGTCTCGCATCCACGACCCTCGGATATCAGGCGCTTGGCCTGAGCGTTATCATAGTGTTTAATGCCGTTTCACTAGGCTTTTTCTCGTTCTTCGTGTTCAAGAGGGAACAGACGGTTAGAGTAGTCGTCGGGGACGATGTCAACGTGAGGATACCGGACGGCTATGGCATGCAAGTCTTAGACCGGCTAGGAATTGCGCTCGCATATCATGATACATATTACTGTACGCCGCTCGTCTTCGTGAACTCGTTCTCCTACCCTTTGAACCGTGACGTATTAATCGTTCTCATCATCGTCTTTATAGTTGAGATCACCGCGAAGTTACCTTGGGTTGCTTTGCTGTTTGCAGTTCCTACAACATTCGTCACCATCGTCGCCCGCATCAAACGGCAAGCCAGCCTCACCGACATCACTCAATCTTCTTCATCAGGCCCCGAAAAGGGGGACCCCTTGAATTCAGGGGTCGATGAAGGGAAGGCCGAAGGAAACGTCAAGGCCGAGGTTGAAGTCGAATGCAGAGAAGTTGGAGCAGAGAAGGTCTGAGCGCTTGCCAGCCCTCGCGGTGTAGACTCGAACATTCATGCGTCAATAGAACAAAGTGTATGTATTGATGGTGGGATGTATCGCCGTTCTCAACTTACCAAAACGTGTTCCGCGTTTTGCTCCTTGCGTGTCCGCGCCATGTGAAAGGAGGTGATGAGGCACTGCATAGACTTTACTCTGCATAGATACCTTGCTTACTCGAACTTCGTTTAGGGTAGATTCAGAATCAAGGCCTTAGAGATGGGACATATATTTCTATTCAACATGGTTTCATGTACTCGAATAACTATCGGTCCCGCCATATGCTCTTACCCTTCCAGCCCTTACCCGCTGGCAGCTGCTCTTCCGGGACGATGACCAACCAATGACCAACCCAAGCACCACATCCCCCAGCAAGTCGGCCTGATAATCGCTCAAGAACATAGTGTCCCGCTGCATTGTGGGCTTTCACGTATTCCCATTTCGTGATATTTATTGGCGCCAGTGTCTCGCGGTCGTGGATTCTCATTGGATCCCAGAATAGCACCCAGCACTTCCGCACGCGATACTCCATCTCCAACAGCCCAAGGATGGCTTCGTTCTTCAGCTCCTCCGTGCGGCGCCCGTTTCAGCTCGCCATCGCCCTCTTTGTGTATCTGAACAAACCAAATGACTGGTTTTCGTACCTCTCGAGACCTTCGTCGGACGTCTCGTCTGTACTGGTGGCTCGACGAATATCTGCCATATCCACTGCCCCATTATCCTTTTGCGCCAGGGCCCATGCAACTTTGGGGGCGTGCTTTCCGATTCACCGAGACAGAGAATACGATCGTACGCCAAGTCGATGATTACTTCGTCGACATTTTTTAATAAATAGATGCCGGAGAAGGTACTCTCTCGCCACTAAGAACGGTGAGGTCAAATTTGTGTTGATTGTATGGTTCCATCGCTCCAAAGACATCGCAGTGATGGGCGTGGTGGCGGTCGGCAGTATCCCATGGTTTATTACGATGATATGAACGGGGGCGAAGTCAGACTCGCCGTCACCCTGCGAGAATATTTGCGAGACACTTCGTTCATTAGTGAGGTCTGCCTGGATGGCCTGTACCTGCGATGGTCCGAAGCTTTCAATTAGGTTGCGAAGCGGCGAGATATTGGTGTTATAGTGTGCTGTGATCTTGGCTCCCTGCTCTGTAGAAGGATAGCATGAGCTCAGGCTTACAAATATCCATGAATTATATGATACCGGCATATACGCGAACGATTTCAAGGCCTGGGTCAGCCGGTGAACCTTCTTGAGTCAAGGTAAGTAGTTCCAGAGGTCAGCGACCTATTCCGCCACTAGCACCTAGCCACAGCCCGCCGGTTAGTTGACAATACGGGAGTAGTGAGTTGTCCTACCAGTAACCAGAACGTGCACGTCCTTCAATCCGAGATCCATCAGTAGGTCTTAGGCAGAGTCGTTGCGCGATCTTCGTAGGGCTCGTGTGAGACTGTCGCTGTGAGCGGTACACGTGTCCATTGATGGTATTGGAGCAACTGAACCTGAAGTGTTCACTATTTGAGTCGCATCTCAGCAGGCGTCCGTCAGAGGAGAGCAATCCCCGACACGAACCTCGTTGTGTGGATAGCATGGCCTTCAGGGGCATTCCGAGGCTTGCTAAGATTGAACTGCGACGAAATGAAATGAAGGGCATAGCAGGGAAGGCGATGCTAGGGTGAGCAACTTCCGCTAATCTTAGTCTAGTCAGCGCGGAAGAGCCCTCGGCAGGAAGCGTAGCGTTGAATATGAAGACGAGCTCGAAATGGAGTTGCACAAGGAAAGAGTAGGGGAAGAGGGACGAGGAAAGTGGCACCCCCGCCGCGGTTCAGGGGAGTGATGGGAATGATAGGGGACCTGCCTGCAGAGAGGAAGACCGGATAGATGTGACGAAGCGCAGTCCTGAATAAGTGGTGAAACAACACATGCGAAATACAACAAATTAATAAAACAACAGATTGAGATGAATACAAGCTTATCAGAATACATGAAAAAGATTCTGAGAGGCGAAACGGCTAGATAACAATGGCAACATAGTGAAGGTGAAGGGCAAAGCAGAGAGGACCAGGTCCATAGAAAGTGGGACGTGGCGAAGTAAGGGGTGAAGGTTGAACAGGGAGTGTCACGCTCGAAATGTGCTGAGCTGCATCACGTCCGACGTTGTTACTGTTCCTATGTACGCAACATCAGAAATCAATATCAGTATTGAATCGCGATATATAAATGAAAGTACGAAACCCGAGGGGGAGTCGGCAAAGGATACAAAACTGACAAGCTCGGGGATCCCAAGTGAAATTGAAAAAGAACGCACCTGTCCCATTAGATATCACCCCACAGCTGTTGACCTCGAATTTGTATCTGCTGGATTTGGCGGTCGAGCGGATCGTTTTGCGTGTGTTCAGTCTACAAACAAAGTAAGATATCAACGAACTGAGAACGGAAATGAGAGAGAAAGGGACGAAATGAGACGCACGTAACCAACCACGAATTGACGTACACCTTCCCGATCAGAATGTGGAAGGTTGTGAATATGAAGTTGTCGGGCATCGCGAACCACTGTCGATAAAAGCAAGAAAGGCCGTCATTAGATGATTCAGTTACTAGTGAATTCAAGTGGAATATGAGGACGCACAGTGATCATTGCGACTAAGGAGAGCATGCTATATGTTTGCACCGAACAGGAAAGAATCAGTAATCCGAGACGGCCTAATGTAAAGCAGAGGGGAGGGGAGGGGAGGGGAGAAAGATTTACGCACCTGGTGACCAACCCGATATTGATCGAATATATTACAAGCCTATCGACTAGGTTCTGTGTCCTATACCACATGATGTACGATGTTAGCTTTTATATCCCTTGGTCTACGTAGGTGAAATCATCGAATGAACTTGGCGGTAATGGGAACGGGAACGGAGACAGTCCTTGGTCTACGAAATACGAAGTCAACGAAATTGCAACACTCAACTGCTTAAACGCGCCCCTGCCCCGCCTGAGGTACCACACGAGTGAGCCGGTGATGAGCACATCGCAGACGACGCTTGCCGCAAGCTGGAGGCCACCGAATATCTCCGCGGAGGTGTGGTGAATGGAGATGAGGCCGACGTTGAGAGCGCTGTTCGTCCGCGTCCGTGTTCATCCAAGTTCACATCCACGCAGGAGATTGCGTTGTCGTATGATCAGATCGAGGTGAAGCAAGAACCTGTGAGTACCACTGAAACGGCGCGTGTACGCGCGTAGTGAGAAAGGAAGAGACTCACAGCGTCGTATTCATCCCGCACCCACATACTATCACCAAAGACCCTATTTGGTAACCATTCTCCTTAGCATTAAGGGACTGACGCACTCAGTTGGAGGAGCGACATTGATGACTGTATACGCAGATATTAAGAAAGGGTCACATTCGAAATGAAGTGATATGGAGGGGAGGGAGGAAATGGGGAAGACGGAGGAAGGAGGCATGAGAATTGGAAACGAAGGGAAGGACTCACGAGTATGACGGGGATCCATTTATTCCCTGCGCTTACTATTATCTCATTAGCGTTCACATCTACCTTCGCAAGTCGAATCGAAAGGAGAAGCAGGGACACAACGTACTCCGATACACGCGCACCATATACGCCCTTCATAATCAAGAGGTGAGAAAGAGTGGGAGGAGTGGAGGGAAATGTGGGGAGACATGGAGGGGACGCACATCTGGACTAGGCTTATTACTACGTACTGCATTTGGAGTTAGTATGGGTAGACAACAAGACGAAGACAACGGTGAAGAGTAATATGCTGTGAACGAGGGAGGAAGACGAACGAAGGCAGGGTATGCGTGGGTGAAGATGACGGGAAACCGGATACACAACGATGGGAAAATGACTCGAGAACGAGAAGCAAAGGTGAAGGAGAAAGCATTCGAGAAGATGAAGGGTCTATGGAGGGAGAGGAATAACTCACGGCGACGTATCCACTAGCCTATTAGATCCATGATACCTATTCAGCTTCACAAACACATTCAATAGTAAAGGTAATACACACCAACAAACTCTTCGGGAGGACGAACGCAAGCGCCGCGCGAAGGTACCACACGTTCGAAGCGTGTGCGATGAGGAGTGTGTGCGCGGTTTCCAGGACCATAAGGAGGGCGATCTACCACGCCGTGTGTCGGGATAGTTAGCGTTTAGGTTGAAGTAAGGATCAAATAAAGACGAGGAGGAATAAGATGACTTACGAAACCCTTGATCAACCGAGGATCTCCAGCATACGTCCTGTAGTAGAAGACGGCTTGGGCAATAGAGAGGCCGTATAACCTTTTCATCATTATTCATGTTGTTTCGTATATCGAGAATGAAAAGGAACAAGAGAAGGGACGTACGGGCATGAGGCAATCAGGCCGTATAAGAGTGGGGCAACTACGATGGGCGGGGCGTCTGGCATCTTCCTTGCCCTTAAGCCTTTATCAACCTCGCGTCTACTTATGCCTTCGTTTACTGGTCGTTTAACCTGTGAACTCGTTCGCGCGGCGGGGGAGTAGTAGGAGGATCAGAGGAGGACGTCGTCAACCAAGAGCAAGAGCAAGACTCAAAAGATAGGAACCAAGTCCTTAGAGGGAGACGCGTGACCTGATCGGCGTGTATAAGTACATAAGTAAGCACGCTACAATTACAATTAGTGGAAGCGTTACAGCGTTCGAACAAAGATAGAGTGATAAGCATCACTCACCATCACTGGTCAGTCCATCAGTGAGTCAAAGCAGTGCATCAATAGCGCGCACAGACTCGTGATGCGTTTGATCGCGTTCGTATTGGTATTTTGGTCGTACACGCTGAGCAATGGGGGAAGTTGTTGATGGAATCAGCTTCTCTACTGATAGATGGGTAGGTGTGCGGCAGATCACGCCATGTGGGTCATGCGCGAGTCGGGAGTAGTATGTGGTGGTTCGTATGTCGGTGGAGTGGGAGCGCCAGAAACAGAGGTAGTGAGTCAACATAAAAGTGGGCGGGCAGGGCGCGTCGCCAGAGCCAAAACGGAAATAACGGCTGCGTTCCATAGCTACGGTCCATTGGAATTTAAAATTCCTGGAGTCGCGCGCTTGAGTGCAGGTTGGTGAAAATTGGAAATTGGATTTGAAGAGGTCGTCGATGTTTTTTTCAGTCCTTTTCCTCCGCCGTCCTCGTCCTCTCACTAACAACACTGGCAACATCAATACACGCGAAGGTTCTTAGACCCACTTCCCTAGTCTACTTCACAACGAAGAGCAATCGAAGCAGGGCGACGGTCGTCTGGAGGGAATCGACGGAAAGTCGTTGGCGAACGCGTCGTTTCCCCAAAGGTGCGCGATAATCGATAACCTGCTACGATCGGGCACCCTTAGTCATCGCTCTCTAAGCTTGTTCTTGGAGTTGTCCGACATGCACTGTCTGAGGAGGTGCCAATCAAGGCATCGGGAGTCTATTAGATCATCGGAAAATGTACGTCTCGCCTGTATTTAATGATAATCATTAGTCCAACTTCTTTCACTGTATATCGCATCCATGTTGGTAGCGTGAACTTCTCTGCGTTATACATTCTTACTGTGACGCTCAGATGCCTTTTACTATAGGCTGAATCGTTGGTCATTCACGCAACATGCCACCTCCTTGGTATTCACGCGTTCACAAATTCAAACTTCACTTGATCTGGAGATCTCCATCACCACTGATCTATTGGTTGATGGAGAGGGCGAGCTGAAAGTTCAATTCTTGTACCCAGTGAGCCGCGACTAAAGCTAGAAGCGTTTATCCAATGATGAACCGTGCTTTTCAGACGCACTTAGGATCCCTATACTATGTATTACGGACAGATATTACGATTGAATCGCCCCACGCGTGAAGGCCCAATGCTCGTACGAATTACCACGTATCAAGTGTATGCCGTATCGGCTCTACAAAGCGTGAGTGAACTTGGTACTCATCGGGCAGCAAGGTGCCCCTCTCTCCCGGTTGCCACCAATCGTATTTCCAGTCATACTCCCACCCATTGTCCTTCATCTCCTCTCTCAGTAGCTTCCTCAAACTTGCATAGTCAGGCTTCTCCTCGAACTTCAGTGCGCGGCAATGTGCAAAGAATGGCGTGAAAAACGCTGGCGAACGCGCGAGTAGATCTGTGAAGCGGTCACCCCGTTTCATCTCTCCAATACGGCGTAGCTTTGCTGGAATATCGGGAGCGCAGATGCCTTGCCAAGGGAGACGGCCGTGAAGAAGGTAGAGAAGGAGGATGCCAATGGCCTCAACATCATCTCGCCTACTTGGTTCTAGGAATAATGTAAATGAACAGGATAAATGAAACGATGACAAACGTGCAGGTACCTAGGCCGAAATGAACGTTATGGCTAGCATATCGCGGGGTACCAATCCCTCCACGTCCTTCGCGAAACGGTATGTGCTTTCCCGTAGCTGGATCGAGATAAAGTTTGGACAAGCCCATATCGAAGAGGCACAGTCGCTGATAGTCTTCCAGATAGCCCATTGCGAAGTTCTCTGGTTTGATATCGTGCACAATGATACCCCTGGCATGAACGTGTTCAATCGTCGAGAGCTATAAACACGTCGTTATAGCGTCGGCGAAACTTTGACGTGCGGGGTGGCAACTCACCATCTGTTCACCGAGCATCAGGATGGTCTTCAACCCCAATTGACCTCGACAGAAGCGCCGCAGGTGCTCGAGATTGAGCCCGAGCTTGTCCATTACGATTACATTCGCGTTCTTGCCCTGCCCCGACCAATGAATACGCGGAATGCCCTCAACGCCCTCAAGTTGGGCGTATATCACTGCTTCACAGGGCAACGTTGATGGAACTGAGGGATCCATGACCTCAAATTTCAAGGCGACGCCGGCTCCCGTGTGCACCTGAATACCATTCCAGACGTATGCTGTAGATTAGCTGCATCAATATAGATATCTTCGAACTCGGAAAGAGGTGGCCTACCAAATGACCCGCATCCCAACAAAAACGTACACTGGTAATTGTCCTTCACGCGAAAAGGCGGATTCTGCCTGGACACCTTAGGTGAAGTCGCGGGTATCAAAGGTTCGTCTAGAACGGTTAACAGGTCCAGTAAAGATGACAAGGTATACGTAGGCGCTATCGTTGGGATTTTTAGCTTGGCGCTGCGTGTGCCTTCGGCTTTGATGAAAGCGGTCGGAAAGCCAGCTTGACTTGCGGTTTCACAAACTCGGTATAGGTCGGACGATACAACGAGAATCTGGTTGGGGCGAATGCCGGAATCGGATGTCTTGCAGAACGAGAAAGCTTGTGGCCATAATTCTGCGAAGGACTTCTGCGATGGAGCTTCGTCTAAGATCGGGTGGGAATATAACTCGATCGAAAGACCGTCGTATCGTAAGACTGTTTCCTTGGCTGTAAATGGGATGGCCATGGGCGTGTAGCCTCGCTCTCGTAGCTTGGTGATCAGTGTTTGACCTTCCAGACGTTGGGTCGCTTTCCCATACGATTCCATTGCATCGTCAACCGTCAACTCGTCCACCGAGGCGCCCAAATAGTGAGCAACAATGCGAACTATGTTGATCACGGATATTGGCTGTTGATCGATGGTCCCAAGGCTTTCGTACTCCACGTATAGATCCAGCAACTCCTTCGCCGACAGCGAATGTTGGGATGGGGGGAAAATGCGAGAAAGAGCTGTTTGTAACGGCCCGTCCCGATCCTGCAGATATCGTCCCTTAAGTCTCGCGTACGCGGCAAGAGAAACTACTTCAGAGGTCGCGTACCAGGAGTACATGAGGGTCGATTAGGACAATTTTGATATCCTTGGGTACGATTGCGGGCGTCGCTTTGGCCATGTCCAACTCCAGATCTGGCTCATTGTCCCATTCGCCGTCTTCGCTCTCGGGCTCTACCTTTGGATCGCCATCGTGTACTACTGGGAGGGACTGCAAATGAGATGTACATGGCCTTCTGGACTCAACGAATGGATCCGGCGATGCGTCTTCGAGAGGTATAAGGCGGGGTTGACGGAATATTTGGCCAGATGAGAGGAATCGAGGCATTCCCTAACATTAAAGAGTGAGTAAGTTCGTCAATGCGTCAGCAAGCTATTAATACCTCCCGTACAGACTTTATGTATAGTATAGCAGTGTTACAGCCCTTCCAAGTATAGTCCAACGTCAGTCTGTATATTATCAATCAGAGACGCTGAGCCTTTAGTCGATATCACTCGACGTACTGACGTATCAATGGTAGCTCGTCGAATACGGTAGTTTCGAATTCCCCGGGGAGCTGCTTCATAGGGAGGGCTTCGAATCTGAACTGAACTTCACGGTCTCCAAACAAGATACCTGGCGTCTCTCTGGGGGACTGGCCGCTCCAGGTATCCCATCGACTTCCGGGATCGTCGTCTCCCCCCGTCGTCCCGGCTATTGCTACGGAGGGACCAGCATCTTGCCACGCCTGGATGAACGCCTCAAAGCTGGTCCCGTCTAGCTGATAGTCCACGTTCTTGAGCAGTTGAATAGATTCATCCCCAGCTCCGTCAAATGTAGCGCAAATTCTAGGCGTGACAGAGAGATACAAAGGCCCTCTGAACGGGAGCGGGGGTACGACGTTCAAGGGGCGCGCACGCGCACTCGCCTCCAAAACCGAATTGAGCACGAAATATTCGCTCCGCGGTAGATGGGGTCTCTCGCGGGTAATCACGAAGAGATTCGGCACCCGTACAAAGTTTGGATCAGTATCCCGGAGGTGGAGGGCGAGAAACGGCTTGGTGACGATCGAGAATGCGACTTTCCGCCCAGCTGGAGCCCATGCAGGCAGGTGCGGAAGGAGCCTGGGTACGACGAAGCTATGTAGCATGTTGCCGTCCCTGACCAGTGCGGACGGAGTCCAGGAATATCAGGAACCAGTTGTTGCATTTTGGAGAAAGAGATAAAGATGTGGCGTGTGACAGGTTGTGGGTCCAGGAATTTGAGGCGCCTCCCCAGCTCCTAAACGAACCCCCTGAAGTTGTCCCTCAGTATCGTGGGCTGTGGCGAAAACATTAAAAAGTCATAAGAGAGCTCGGAAATGGTCATATATAACAGGAGCGACCTTTTGTCCAGGTGCTCCTGTCCAATGTCATCATTTTGAGGGGGGGAAATAGTATAGAAACAGTCCACAAGTTTGCGTCCCTTTGGCAGTCACTTTGTCCCAACTTTCGACCGCGGCGCGCTAAGAGCACTAGAAGATACGTGGCAAATCAATAAATAAGTGCTGCAGGACTTGGCCGTGTACCACATCCTGGGGTCCTCCTGAACATAAAACAACGTTATGGCACCCTACTGGCA